GGTCAGCTCATTGTGGAAACAAACTCTGATCACTGACCAAAACAAGATATTAGCTTCAGCCTAACAACAGAAATAACAATTTTTCACTAAATTATATGCCCAAGTGGTCATTGATTGCTTTTGTTTCTAAGGGTTTGGATCTGGTCATTCTGAAAATACACTAATTACCATTGCGGGATGGAAGAACCCCTGAATGTTTCAGAAACACACTGACCAGGGGCTTCATTTATCAACCATGCATAGAAATTCTGGTGTAGGAATGAAATTTCAAATGTGCATAGGTACAAAAAAATCTGGATTTATTAAATATGCGGACACCGGTCGTACCCACACTAGTAAGTAATCAGTGATAATAAATCCCACCTGTTCTTTACCATGCTCGAGCATGGTTAGGGACATTTGCATTCAGAAACGCCTCTAATCAACCATATATGGTATCAACAATCCCTTTAAAAATGTGTGTATGAATTTTTTTCCCCCTCGTCAAAATCATGGAGGTGCACACTCATAGAGCTGTTCTGCAGAATGAAGGCGTCGTGCATTCCTCCAGACAACAACGTGAAACGTGAAATCCTCGTTTTTTTCTGGCTTGTTGGTGATGTGTGTATGGGAACTGGATGTAAATTGAGGCCAGAGAAATTATTGCATTCAAGTCTGCCGGCATGATTCTGCTTAGCTTTGGCTGTGAATGCCATATATGTCTCCAATCTCACACTGAAATGTTCCAGTGGCCAAAAATCCCAGGGGGGACAGGAGCTGGATGGTCAATGGGATGGCGTTGGTGCATTTTGACTCTCGCTCCAACACGGGTTGTAAATCATGGCATAAACCCATTCAAATGTTTTTGGGGAAGCGGTACCTGCTGAGAATCCACTCTGTGTTCTCACTGAACAGATCAGCACGCTCTTAGAAAACGCGCTCCCAGTGGAGCATACGGTTCTCTAAGTCCTCCAATAGCGCAAAATTAACCATGATACTTGTATTTGTACTTGTAAGATTTCTTTTGAGGTTGTCCTGTCACAGCTGATTTTTATAGCTTGTTACACCAATCATTCAAATGTCTGCTAAATAACTAATTGATGATTTTTATTAATTAGAGGCAACGGGGAACATGTGTGAAGTTTGAGATTGCTGAACGCTGTGACTCCTTTAATGGGTTCTATTTGTAGTTTCACTGTTCTACCACTAGGTAATGTGTGTACACATAATAAATAAGGCCCCTTATTTAGTCCAGAGGGCATTTCCCTCTTTGGCCACATTGTTTGATCGTATGTGAATTAAGCAATCAAACTTTGTTGCAGATTCAAACAAGCAAGCTGAGATCGTCAAGAAGATATGATCTCAGCTTGCTTCCAACTGAGCCATGTAGCTGTGTTTTTGCAGTGAAAATACTGCCAACACAGCAATCAGAACAGATAGCTGCTTGATCATCACACTCCAGTAAGTGTGGTAGTTAGCATAAATAGGGATAGGCTAACATTATTTACCTTCTCCATTCAATTTAATTACAGAAACTGGTGGTAGGCATAGCTACATCACTGGACTTAACAACAGCTACTGGTTCAGCAACTGCTTTAGTCCTGAGAAATAAGCATGTCTTGCTTGTTTTGGTGAGCAGTGTCCAACATTTGGCGAATATACTATCTGCCTAATTTTCAATGAAACATTAGCCCTCTTCACTGCTCCTAGTGAACCTAAAACTCATTTTGTTGGTAGATTAACTGGCTGAGTGATCACAGAAGCAGTCAGAGAGAATGCCAAATCCAAGGATTCTGTGAGGATGAGTAACCAGGGTCCAATCTAGCACTGGTTTTGATCTGGCATGGACTCTGGTCGGTTCATTGATAGGCTGAGTTAAATGTATACTTTCAGTGAGGTTTTGGTCGTTTGATGAAGAGTGGTCAAGCCAGTTAGAGTTTAAGTCCCCTACAATAATCATTTCATGCAGCTGTTCAAATGAGGTAAGCGTAAGGGTGGATAGGTGAAGATCTTTAAATACTACCTATATTAAGATGTTTATTTTTATTTTTTAAACAAAAAGACATTAAAAGAGAGATGGGGGTACTTTTGGAGAGATAGTTTCAGAGATAAAGTTCAAGGACATATCAATAGCCATGCCTCCTCCTCTGGTGCCCCTATCTGATCTATACAGCAAATAGTTATCGAGTTTGATCTAGTTATCATTGATTTTGCTATGCAGCCATGTTTCAGAGAAGGAAAGTATATCAGGTTTGTACTCAATTTTTGGTAGAAGGCTCCTAATATTCATGTGAATAATTTTTAGTCCTTTCAATGAATCAATTATAAATCAAACATACTGTATGTAGAAGAATACTGGGTAGAGTGTTGTAGAGAGAATATAGGGGAGGAGGGTAAAAGAGCCATGGCCTGTGCCACACGAACACAAGCACATAAACACAAGACAGGACAAGATGAAAAAATAAATAAATAAATAAAAAAAACGGAAGAAAACCCCAAAAATCAGGCTGCAACAAACACACAGCTCAGTCTGCATAGCTTGCAAGTAACAGAAGTCCTGGACAATTAAAAAAAAAGCATGATAATACGACAATTGTGACATATTTTACGGCATAGTCACGGCCCCCAAACAACTCTCAGCAGAGCTAGAAACAAATAAAGCAGCAGCCACCACTACAGTGCCTATGCCAGTGAGGATATTGAGAGTAAAAAGAAGTAGTACTGTAAGTCCTCTTTTTTTTCTGTGCAAATCCATATTTGAAAGTTTCTATGATTGACACTTCTTCGTACAACCATACAGCCTATGGGTGTACGGAGATTGCGTAGCTCACCAGGGGGATACACTGCTTGAGCAGAGCGTCATCTCAGTGTATCTTGGTGACTCTCCTGCCGAATGCGTACAATACTACTGTGCAAGTGGTGGTTCCAAGAGGTGGAAAAAATCCAGAAAATACCATGAGCAATTCAGCTTGAAAATAATGATGGATGGTGTTGTCAATAGTTGTCCATACAGTCTATGGAGAAGATACACACGCAGCGGTACAACAGAGCAGAGGCACAGAGAAAAGAGAGGAAGAGGATTCTTTGTCTTGTCCTTTTTTTTGGCAAACTTTTCTGCTGTGCAGTTACTTTTATCAACTTGTAACACATTAATTTCGTGGTTAAACTTCTTAGATTTTTATTTGACTAAGCAAGGCATTTATTTAGACACGTCAGGGACACAATGCGCACTATATTCGGTTTTACGATTGCTGCGCTTTGGCAGATCGTCATCATTTTTCAATCCTTTACGATCTAAGATCCTCAGATCACACGCCTCTAATTCACACATTCACAGAATTTGGTTGACTTATTTTTGTTTTTAATCAGACCAGCTGTTCAGAGTGAATTTCACAATGGTGTCCTGACAAAGAGACAAAGGATGGGTACATATTTCATACTATGCAGAGAGAGCCTGGATTTTGAGCATGAGAGACAGAAAGATAAGGACAAGGGCAACAAGGCCTTGGCTGGCACCAGTTGAATCGACGGATAGTCTCCTGTGGCAAGGACATGCACCCCCTACTTAAACCTTACACCATAGACATGGTGTTACACACAAACATGTGCCCACACAAACATTCGGTTGACTCAACACCCCCCTCCCCATGTGACTTTTGCACAGAAAGAAAGAGAGAGAGAGGAGAGGGAACATGAGGATAACAATGTTAGCTCCAATACACAACATAGACAACATCAACACATGTTTGTCCTCAGGCTTATTCTCATCTACAAGAATTGAGGCAGAGGGCACACTACCCTCCAATACATAATAAAGAATTGGTAGTTTTGTTGCTGGTGAAATATAAGCTGATATTTCTCTTTTTCTTATTTTTTTATTTTATTATTGTGTCATGTGTCAGTATGATAGGTATGATTGGTACCATCATCAAACAAAAATGCCTTATTGCCCTCATTTTTTTCAGGGTATTTTCAGCTGAAAATGGTAGACTTTATTTTGTTTAATAAAATTTGCTGAAAAACTTCAGAAGGGGTGTAAGCATTATCTGTGGCCATCACTCTGTGTTGATTTTGACATGAACCGGTCAAAGGCATAGAGGCAAGATATTCTTACAACCATTTTACAGCAGTTTATATTGGTGTAATTTTCCCCACAGCAGTGATGTCTTCTTCACATTAACACCTGCTCAAACATCACTCACACATCTCACACATCTCCACCTTAAGTTACTTAGTTAATTGCGAGCACTCCATGCCTGCCTGAAACTCTTACCATAAAATCTCACGGTTTAACATATGGAGACCAGTGCCAGTCTCCTGGTCAGCATTCATAAAGCAACAATTTGAATAAATGTATACAACAACAACACATCTAACTCATCCTTGAAACTGCATGTGTCCTTTTGTGTTGGCTTACCAGGGCTTGGTGATATTAGGGATTATGTTCTTTGCGGGCATAACATTGAAAATTTGTCTACATTATTGTTCCTCTCAATATGGTTGTGTGTGTGTGTGTGTGTGTGTGTGTGTGTGTGTGTGTGTGTGTGTGTGTGTGTGTGTGTGTGTGAGAGAGAGAGAGAGAGAGAGAGAAAGGGAGAAAGATAATGGGTACATCCCTTGCATGTACTTGAATTTGCTGCTATGCTTGTTTGTTCTGCTCACTCTCTTTTTAGCTCTCTCTCTCGTTCTGTCTCTCTCTCTCGTTCTTTCTCTCGCCTCCCCTGTTTAGTCACGCTGCCCCTACAGCGCCCAGCAGTTGAGTAACTGTGAGAGGAAGAGAGCAGACGTCGAATGCAGAGAAGCAGATACAGAGAGCATAGAGATCACAGTAAATCAAAGACAGTGAGGCTGTTTATGGTTATGCTACTGTTAACAAGTTTCCAGCCGGAATGGATTGTATTTTACAGCCACACACAGACCAGAAGCAGCAGCAACTCTGAAGATTATCTTAACTCTGCTTGGATTATTTCAGTGACTCCTGCGATCCTGATAAGTGGAAATGACAGCTTGCAGAAAGGAAGATGGTATTATGACAATCCATTTTGTTTACTCTGAGATGCTTTTGGTTCTTTGTTTCTGTCTTTGTTGGAGGCAACAATGATTATTTCTCAGGCTATGTGTGATAAAGGTAATCAAGTCATAAGCAAAATTTACACTGACCTGAGCGTTTAAAACCCACTTCAAAAAAACTGAAGGTAAACTGTAGGAGTGTGAGAGCTACTAAATCCTCAGTAAGAATTTAATTTACTAGTATGTTGGCAGAGCTACTGTGTAAAGATACTTCCCAGTCATGATGAGAGCAGTGTGGCGGTCTGTATGTTCCTCCAACTCAAGATGGTGATTTCAACATCTTAAATGATATATTTGGTTAAACCAAATGCTGAACATTTGCCGCATTCTACATTGCTGTCCTATATTTTTTGTATAAGGAAAAACTGGGTTACAGGCTGTTGGGCTGACAGGTGAATTAAAATGTCACTTTTCAATCTGAGAAAACTAAATTGGCTTTTTTTTTGTGCCATTTTCTGCTATGCACCAGACCAAATAGCAAAACTGAATTATTCATTGATGTAGACTTTGTTGAAACATTTGTGACCTTTTTCAAATAGTTCAATGGTCTTATTTATTGCACCTTCACAGGTAGCCTATTAGATTAATACATGTTTGGATTCTGACAGTGTACAGCCTAGCTCCCATAGCGTCCTTTGGCTGCTGCTCTCTGCTGGAGTGTTTTGACTCAAGGTGATGGTCTCAGGTTACAGAGCATTAAGACAGATTTCACAAACCAGCCACTGTATCTGCCTCCCTCTTAGTTCACTGTTTACTGGCATGTGAGTCATGCAAGAGCTAGTACAAATCCTGGGTGAAAAAACGTTTAAAATATCAAGCGGGTTAATGCTAGAAATCAACTTGATCTGACACTTTGGCACATACTTGAAAATGCAAGGCCTGTTTATTATTTGAGCCTGTAGAGAATCCCAGCTGCACATGCTGTTGAAGGTTTCAAAAACTTTCCACTTTAAAGTATGCCTTGGTTGTGGAGTGGTGTGTTGGTCATATATCAAGTAGATTTTGTTTGGCACTCATGTCTGGGAGGGTGTTATGTAGTCAGCTGAATTTTCAAAAGCCTGCCCAGCTCTCCGTTATGTTTAATTAGGTTGGGCACTACATGTGTGGCATGTGTGTATCCGCATGCGTATGTGTATTGCTGGGATTTTCCTGCTGAATTTTCAGCATATTTGCCACCCTGTTGAAGCCAGAGTCCATTAGCCAGCTATTCCTGTTTGGGAGTGACCTCAATGTTTGGGTATTTGTTCCTGTGTTGAACAGGTACCACAGAGTATCCTTTTACTCTCAGCAGAAGGACTTCTTGTCCTGTTCTTGTGTTTTAATGGAAATAAACAACTGTCAGCTCAACATTTCTGTTTGCAAAACTACAAATCAATATCCCACCTTCACCTTGAGCTTTTTTCAGTGTGCTGCACTGGCTGGGATGTGAGCAGCTTCTACATTAAGTGTTGTCAAATACATGTTCAATGATACAAAACCTTTCTGTGGCTGTTACTCTGAGCTGACATGTCATCTGATGTGTCTCTGAGGCAGCTGTTCAAAGTGTTGGATTATGATGGGTCAAGGCAACTGCACAGTTTTCATTTTACTTCTTGTTGTTTCCCTGCATACTGTTTTATGTGTTTTGTGGATTGAACAGGTCATATTAGGTGATGAAAATATTAATACGAGAATTTATTTTATTTTATTTATTTAATTTAATTATATATATATATATATATATATATATATATATATATATATATATTATTTTTTTTTTTTTTTTTTTTTTTTGTTTGTTTGTTTTAATTTATTTATTTATTTATTTTTTTTTGGGGGGGGGCTGTATGAGTATAGCTGAGTTAAGTTTATCACCTGTTTTTCTCTGATCTGTGAGTAGTGAGTGAGTGCTCCTTGTCGTTTGTTATTGAATCTGCCAGTATGAATAACATTAAGTACAGCTGTGGTCTAACTTCAGGTGAGTGTGTCAGTGAAAGCTAAGCCAGACTCTGATTTAATAACACCCCTCATATACGCAGTGCATATTTGTCAACTCCCTTGTGATAGGTTTAAGGATGTGCCTGAAGTGCCAGCTCATTCAATATTTCTTGACGTGTTCGTAATGACTTAAATACAGGCTTTGCTGCCTCCTGACTGCTAGTTTACATCCACCTTCAACCTTCCCTGCTGATCAAGGACGTCATGATGAGTGTTTGCCTTCCACAAGCTTAGATTTGCTGATCCTTGTGAAGCTATACTAAATATACTGTCTGGCTGTCATTGTGCCGAAGTGGTCTTGTTCAGGTGCTCCTCTCAACCAGTATTTAAGTCAAATCTCAGGGTACCTTGGTTTGTGCTTGTGTTTAAGTGTGTTGAGCTGGAAACCAACAACATTTGAAAAATATTTGTAGAGCAAAACAGTATTTGACTGTTTTCCTTGTAACCTTTTGTCTCAGAATTGGTTAGATACAGTGTTAGAATATCTCAAGGTCCTCTCAGTATGAAGGTTGGTATTTTCTTGTATACAGTGGTTTCCTAGAAAAGAGTGACAAGCCATAAACAGCACAGAATAAAAAATAATGATTGAAATCCTGTGCAAAAATAACATGAGATATTTTAGCAACCAGAAGGGATCTAATAAGGTGTACATTTTACACCCCAAACTTAAGGGACATACAATCACATCTAATATAGATACTGCTTATAATTACAGAAATATAGATGTAATCAAATTCAAGTTCATTTACAAAGTTGAGTTTGTACATATTCCTTTGTTCAGCTACAAAAAAGTAATACATGTCAGGCCTGGGCTTTATTTTGAAAAATCGTCTTCTTTCTCAGTAGATAGAGTGACAAACAAATAGGCTATGAAAACCTCTCTCTACTATCAGTGAACAGACAAAAACACAGAAACAAAATAAACCAAGACAGAACAAAAATTCACTCCAAAAAGGAGGACAAATTAATAGGCTGATCTTCTCTAATCTTCAGAGGAATAACTATGAAAATTTATAAACAAAAACACTCCAAAAAGGAGGGAAACAAAAAGGCTACAAACTTAACTACACTGCATTACTACGCAAAAGAAAACGGTAAGAAAACAAAGTCACTCCAAAAGGGAGGAAAAAACAGCAAGGCTATGAAAAAAATGCTAGATCTAGAAACTTGACTGGAAAAACTACAACAGAAAATCGATCTTCTAAAGAGGAAACATGGATTATCCAAAATCCAAACGTGGTAATCTGGCAAGGCTGTGGACATGAAGGCTGGAGGCACACAAATAAACGACACTCTGGCACAGGACAAAGGGAGACGCCAACTTTAAGACACATGAGGTCAATGGGGAACAGGTGGACACAATCAGGGATCAGGGGAGACGTCAGACCGTCAGAAAATGACAAGACTGAAAAACCAGGACAAGACACCCCTCACCGTGTTGTGGCAATACAATTTATACAACAATAAAATTTCTTCTGGGAAATGTCATCGAGGCTACTGCCAGGATGTGTACCTTAGTCTGGATCAAACAGCTGGACCTTGGCCCCCAAAAAATCCCCAATATAACATTACTGCCTCGTTGCATTTGCCCTGTGGCCCTAATTAAAGTAATACAAAGATAACTTTAGAATGCTGGTTTATGATATGGCTCATAGTTGCTTGAGATGATGCTTCTGGTGTGATTTAGATTCGTAGATGTATTTCACAACTGAAGCAAAAAGTGTACAAAAGTAGCGTTGACATGTTATGTCTTGACTTCTTGACTATTACAGAAGCTTAACTTCCATAAGAAAGTCTGTTTTGACAGGAGAGACATTACCCTGCCTGGTATGAGACACTACTTTGTGCTGTCCATTGTTCTGGTTTCACATTGCACAACTTGGGTGTCAGAGTTGCTTGTTTGCTGCATTATTAGATTTCCTCAGCTTAACAAAATGGTTCAGCTTGTCTGACACTATCTGTTTTTCCTGGTCATGATTGGTCCTTCTCAGGGAAGTATTTTCAGTGAATAGATAAACTGATCGGCTGACTGAGAACCGCAGCTCATGAGAGTGCATAATCAAGAGAAACATGATAGTGGGGGAATCTTTTCTGCAAAGACAGCATATGGAGAAAGTTTCAGGGATAACTTGCTGACTTGCTACTACTGTGTATTGCTTTCTCCTACTAGATGGTCAGAGATCTCATAAATGGCATCTTAAACGCATCAAATGTGTTTATGACTGTTTCAGTTTGTTAAAAATCACATGCAGACTCTCATAGAATTCTAAAATATTTTTATCTTTTGTCATTTTATAACACAGTTGTCCATTTAATCATACACACACTAAAAAGAAGCCAAAGTCATGACATTTGTTCACATTTCCTTAAAGTATACATAATCCAACAATTATCCACAGAAGCTGAAAATAATAAATCAAGGAGAAAAGATCCCTTTCTGTAAATAAATTCATGTTTGGCTCTTAGTCCTTCTTTGTGTGAGCAATAGGAGAATTATTCTAAGTAGTTAGGGTACACTTGTCGGAAGTTCCTGTTTCAGTTGCTCATTTAAAAAAAAATGAACTTAAACATAAACACAGGAAATGGATTCTTAACATGCTTATTTATGGACAGTATCTGTGTTTGAGCATGTGAAATTTGGCCAAATAATATCCAATTTGTTTACATGATTCACATATTTTCTCAGACATTGTGTATACGTGAACTGAATATTTTAAGGATGCCTCACTGGACTTTTCTGGGGGGATGCTTTATAAATGACAAAATAATAAAACGATTCTTCCGTAGTTAGTAAACACAAACAATTATGAAGTCAGATCTTAAGGGGCCAAATACTTAGACAACTTTTTTTTTCTAGCTTTGTCCATCTTCACTTCATTCAGGACGTAGTTTTTCCAAAATTTTAACAAAATTAAAATTAAAAAAATATTTTGCTATTCATACAGTTGCTCTTTAATAGCTCATTTGGAGGTAATGTCATGTGCTGGGTTCAGTAGTTAGAAAGCTTACCACCATGTGACAGCAACATACACTCTGTTGGATTACACATACCCTCTTTCTCACAGTAATCTGTAACCACTGTGAAACCAGATACTATTGAGTAAAAGTAGTGAAATGATAGAGGAACACAATAGATTTCACTTCATGGTGGCGGTTCAGTTTAGAAGTTAGGTTGTGCTGTGTGAACAGAGTCTACCAGTGACATGGGTCCCCTTGCATCCCCTGTCCTGCATGTCATTCCTTTCTGTCACTTCATTTTCGTGCCCTGTCCTCTGTTCCATCCTTTCCTAATAATGGCATCAAAGCCTGAAAAATATAACAGAAAAAAAATTTCAAATAAATAATAAATGTCATATCATAGTTAGATTTATCAGGACAGAACTGTCACAGGGGCATTAATAATCATGCATGCTTTTCTTCTCCCAGTGATATATTTTGTTCTTGTCCAGGCAGGGACTTGTTTGACACCAGGAATGTACAAAGATTATTTCTGTTTCATAATGATACTGGACAGAGATATTCAAACTGTCCTGAGAAATCCACAGTTATTTGAGCATGGTTGTTTATTTCAGTGAGGGAGCAAGGGAGCGAGAGAGAGACCTCAGTGTTTATATAAAGCAGTGAATTTGCAGCTATGCTGGCAAGAGCAGTAAGACAGGTCCATACACTTACACACAATTTAGGAGGGAAAATTTGTTTGCAGTACACAGGATGCTTCTTGTCCCACCACCATCTTCCTAATATTTGACAACTTCCATTCCTGCATTACTGTCCCCATCCTGTGTTTTGTCCCAGGGGTTGTTGCAGTGCTGGCCTTAATGCTCTGATTCATTGTGTTGTTCCAGAAACTGTGGGGGCTGCAGACTGACCGGAAGCTTAGCATTTTCAAATCATAATGTAAGAGAATAAGACAAGGAGGCTCGCTAGATGACCAAACTGCTTGATAGAAAAAAGAAAAGAAAAAAAAACGCTGATGCAGGGAAATATAAAAACAACAAACATACTGTTATTCTCAGAAAAGGGGAGAATTTGTCAGATAGTCAACTTTTAATATAGTGCAAATGTAAAAGTCAGAGCATCTTAAAACAGAGTGTAACATTTTCCTTTTTCAAAGATGTGGAGATAAAGATGTAAGGCAGATTGCAGAGCTGTTTAAATAAAGTTTCAGACAATTTCATGCAACTTCTCTCCCTCTGACCGATGATGTCACCCACCCTGGCATGAAGATTCCACACAATATGCACCCAATAATCTCAGAATTTCTCCAAAAATGGTCATGGTCATTGAACAGTGAGTGATCAGAAACTACAATACCTATCGAATTGTGGATTAATACACCAATAGACAAGATTTGTGTCTACATTTCAAAGTTTAAATGAGGTCTCTAGCTATAAGCATTTAGCATTTTATCGTTAATCAAATTGCTCCAAAAGTTATTCAAGGATGCAGAGATAACAGAGCAGTCCCTGATTATTGATTTGGTCTCAGCCGTGGGCCTGGCCTGAGACTTACTGTATGTCGTGAAAAATTCATGTACAATAGAGAAAAGTAATAGCACAATAATCCCAATCAAACTGCACATTTTGATATATAGTTTGTCTGAAAACTGTTCAAGCTGTAGAACAAGAAGGGAATCTAAATTGATCTGATAGAGGAATAAGAAAAAATCCACAGTATAACAATAGTGCCTCAGTGCGTTTGCCCGTGGCCCTAATTATTTATCTCTTCACTAGGAGGGAATGAATGTATTCCTCCTCACCTATGTTTTATTTACGCAGTGTACATAAAAAGTTGTTGAATTCCAGACAGGAAGATTTTGTAGTGAAAACCTTATTTCTTATTTACTGATATTAATGTAATCTTACACAAAGGGAAATTGCGACATGCATGCTATGTGTCCACATTCACACTTTAGCCTTTCTGACGCCTTCCACCTCCCCACAGAACCTCAGCCATGCATGTACATTAACCCTGAGGTCTGCTGCTATGGCCTTTGCTGTGCTAAATAAAGCAGGGCCTAAAAGTGGGTAGCAGGCCCTGAGTTCAGGTCAAAGGAAATATGAAACCATAGACCAGGAGGCTAGCTAGCTAGCCTTGAGACCAGTAATTACACACTGTGTTTATTCAAATATTTGCTGTCAGGTAAGCTGACCATATGCTTAATGACCAGCACAGTTTGTGTCCTTGTTGCTTTTCTCCCGGAAGGTCCTGTATAATTTACTGTGAACAGTGAGGTGAAAGTGACTAAGTCCAGGTTTTCTGTTGTTTTCCTCTTCTGTTCCTTACTGGGGATCCTTTTGGAATCATCGAAGAAGTTTCTTTTAACTATCCTCCAAAATAATCAACATTAATCACCAAAAGGGTGGTTGGGGTCATCTGAAGAGATTTTAAGATTCTTACTGAATGTTTTACTCACAATATTTTTACCGATTATCACAAAATAAGATGGTCAACATTCAAATTCAGATTTTTAGCTGTACGACTATTTTGTACCTTTTTGCACATACAGTATTGTGTCATTTATTAGGCCATATGCAAGCTATTTCAATCAACAAACTGAGTGCTCAGCTCACAAGGACATCAGATCTTATTTCTCTTAAAATATCAATTTGTTTATGCTTAGGCTTATTGAGTCAAATATGTAGATTACAACAGATCTGTTGAGTGATAAAATATGGCAGACTGTACTGAATGTTAACATCAGTGCTCTACACAGCAACAGCACCACCTTTAAGATCATCTTTTAAAGAGAAGATAAAAGATTATTAGTCAACACACCTGATTCAAATGATCAGCTCGTTATCAAGCTCTGTAATGGCTTAATAACAAGCTGATCATTTGAATCAGGTGTGCGTTGAAGCAGGGAAACATCCAAAACATGCAGGGGGGGGACTCGAGGACTGGACTTGAGAACTACTGCCGTAGGCGGAGATTAAAAAGCCATTTTTTCTGGCATTTTTCAGTCAGCTTCTTATATCTTTCCCCTTTGTGTAACACTACTTTGGGCACAAGATAAAAGCTCTTGTTTTTCTTTTTCCAAACAAACAAACAAACAAAGTTAGCGTGCTACATTATCAGACAGTAGAAACCAACCAGAAAGTACGGAAAATTGTCTGAATACTCCTTTAGCCACGACTGCCAACACAAGCAAGAAAACGAACTAAATACCGGAGACTCTGGCGAAATAACGGGTGCTTAAAATAGAGGTAGACCACCCAGACAGGAGCTAAGAAGCCAGGTCAACAATGATGGAGGATGCTTCAGGATCTTACGGACCCTGTAACCTTTCATCTGGACAGGGAAACCGCTTTAACAAAGTAAGCCAAGTGTCTGTAACAAAAGAGTTTCTTGTCAATCGGGACCTGCTGCGTGTAATAGCGCCGCTAAACTGTTGACCTCAGGTCCTGGAGTATGTCACTTTATCCTAGTTTTAGAAGTCCTGCAAACATTGGGCTCTATTTTTGTGTCCGCCGGTGACGCGGCGGAGGGTAGCGGGCCCCGCACAATGGTATTTTATGTCACCGATGCCTCACCAGCAGGTTTCCAAAGTGTCAGGCACATTTCAGTGCAATAAATGATCAATAACAACTAATAATCTGAGTCAGCACATACATTTAGACCTAGATATATTCTGATCAATATCTGATCTGATGAGCACATTTGGCATGCGTTTGGACACACAACCTGACCGAATCAACACAGCTGAAACCGCATTAAATGAAATTAAATTCAATATCTAGTAAATGGACACACATGATGAAGTTAACAAGATATGTAATTCGTCTCCCTCCTTTTCTTTCTTCCTCTTCCTCTTATTTCTTGCGCAGCTTGACCTGGACATGTCTCTGTGTCCTCTACCCGTCCTGCTGCCTGCTGCAGCTGAACAGATGATTTATTTCAGTGATCAGATGAGTTTTTTACTTTAAGCCTACATACGAATATTATAATATTCAGTTTTGTGAGCCAAATTTATTTTATATGCCAACATCTATGAAAGAAAGAGCCAAGCCACGGAGCGCGATGTGTCCTTTACGCACAGATGGTTCCAATTTTTATGCCATTATTGGAAATTATGTTGTGATCTGTGCGCACAACCCACCTTTGTCACATGAGGTTTGAATATATGCAACTTTATGAGTGTCTTTATTTGTGGAAAAGGGTGTTTGTTTTACCAGTGGGTCCAACATTAAACACACCAAATCCATCTGTGCTCATATGAGAGAGTGTGGAGGACGCCCAGTGCAGTGCTTACAGCGACACTTTTGAGGGGCTGCCTTCTGTCGCTATTGTGTGGCATTGCTGTCTTCAGACATCTCTTGATCTCTTTGACTACTTCATGAAAATTGTAATACACCTCGCCGGTGGCGGATTCAAAGGCGGGGAGAGGAGCGGTGCTGATTGGCGAAAACAGCTGGGAGGAGCTGAGTTAGGGAGGGGGGTTAGTTACGCCGGGTCGTGCTGCTCACAAAAATACCAAAATGTGCTTGGGCACGCCTTGTCGGCGTGGCAGACCTGACTTACGCCGTGCGTATGCCACGTCGCTGGTGAGGAACGAACATAGAGCCCATTGTGTTTGCTTGTAGCCTGTTGGCATTTTCAGTGGCACCAATGCTGTTTACTTTCACGTTGACTGGGCCCCATTTGTAATTATCTTAAGTATTTATCTGCACTATATCTGAATTTTATTTAAAATGATACGAGCAAGCAGGAGCGTCTGTTTGTGGGAGGGGTTTGCTGGAGCAGATAGGGAGGGGAGAGGAGGAGCTGAGGGGAAAACTGGTTGGGAGGGGTAGTGTTTACGTTCAAGATTTCTCCCAAAAACTGGCACTTCCTCAGATCCTGCCTACCCCACCTTTAATCTACTATGAATGAAACACTTCACAGCATTTACCAGATTACAGTGGCAAGGAAAATGTTCCTTCCAACTGCAAAAACCTGAAGTAGAAATCAGACTTATGCTGGACAGCTAATTGGTGATACTGAGTTGGGCTTTGAAAACGGTAGAGTGAGATGCACAAAGAGAGAATTAGATCTACACAGACAACAGCAGCAGCAGTAGTTCATAAAGACTTAGGGCTCTATTTTCGTGCCTCGCCGGAGACGCGACGCAGGCGCAGCATAAGTCAGGTCCACCGCGCCGACAAGGCGTTCCCAAGCACAATTTGGTATTTTGGTGAGCGGCGCAGCCCGGCGTAATAATCCGCCGTCCCTAACTCAGCTCCTCCCAGCGGCGTAAGTCGTAGCGAGGGAGGAGAGAGGGCGTGGAGTGGGTTTAACACAGCCGAGACCTGTTTTCACCAATCACATAAGCTCCTCTCCTTGCCTTTAAATCCACCACCGGCGAGGCGTATTACTATTTTCATAAAGTAGTCAGCGATCAAGAGATGTCTGAAGACAGTAATGCCACACGATGGCGACAGAAGGCAGCTCCTCAACAAGTGTCCCTGTAAGCGCTGCAGAGGGCGTCCTTCACACTCTCTCATATGAGCTTATGATTCGGTCAGGTTGTGTGTCCAAACGCGTGCCAAACGCGCTCATCAGATCAGATATAGATCAGAATATATCAATATAGATCTAAATATATGTGCTGCTGACTCAGATTATTAGTTGTTGTTGATTATTTATTGCACTGAAATGTGCCTGACTCTGTGAAAACCTGCCTGTGAGGCATCGGTGACGTATGCCGATACGCCGCCGGTCTACCAAAACACCACTAGACCAGCCGCGCTCTGCCTGCGCTGAAAGCTGACCAGGTTTGAATCGGCGAGCTTTCAGCACACTTTACACGCCACTGGTGAGCACGAAAATGTCACTGTGCCCACTATTTCTGTCAACACCTCCCCCTGCCATGCCACCACGCCCAGATTGGCGGATCTCGGTTCGCCTCTGTGCGCCTCAGTCCACGAAAATACCAAACTGGCTGTACGCCGGGCTCCGCCAGACAAAAATACAACTGCGTGGGGTCCGCCAACCTCCGCCGCCTCACCGGCGTACACAAAAATAGAGCCCTTACAGTCCCAGTCCTGTTAATAATGCTTAAAATATGAGTACTATGTTCAGAATCTGCAAATCAATGATAATAGACTGATCCTAATGTTCATAGCAATAATATGAATTTTAGTAACATCATTGATTACTGTATTTTAGCCTGTCTTTTTGATCTTTTTTTGTTTTTGTAATGTATTTTTATTATATATACTACTGTGTTGTAAAATGTCCTTGAGTGCCATGAAAAGTGCTATTTAAATAAAGTGTATTATTATTGCTGTTATTAAGAGCTGGGCCAAGCCTGAACTAGCTCTATAAGCTTTATCAAAAAGTAAAGTCTTTGGCCTACTTCTTAAAACAGACAGAGCTTCTGCCCTCAAGTTCCTACTTCTCTAATGATTTCAGAGAGGATGGGCCTGATAACGTAGTGTTCTACCCACAATTTTACTTTTAGAGACTTTGGGTACAACAAGAGGACCTGCATGTTGGTGCAGTGTTCTAGAGGGGAAATATTTCAATGCAAGCTCTTTTAGGAATTCAAAAATGCAGAGGCAAATGCCCAAATTTATTGACAATAAACATATAGAACAAAGTGAACAACAGAAAATCGCAGTTTCCGGGAAAAGGCACGGTCAGCTCGGACGGCCACTAAAAAACACAAAACAAGGATTAGAAGATCGTCACTGCAGCAAGGCAAAATAGCTGGTGGAAAAAGATAGTGATGATAGTGCCACGTGGGGCAAGTAACAACTAAGGATGTAAAAAGACAAAGTGCAACAGAAATAGTAAACCAAAAATCTCAACTGGAAGAAAAAATACGAACACAAAATCACCTTTGCTCAAGGGAAAAACTCTCTGGAAAGTAACAAAAGAACTCACAAACAAACACTGAGAGGCAGGCTGGATACATGGGCGGGAGATCAGGGCGCTTGGCGTGGCAAGACACGTGTAGCATGACTGAGAAATCATCTGGCACTGAGTCGACAGAGGAGCTGGCATATAAAGCCAGGTAATTGACACCAACGAGAATCAGGTGTGTACAATCACTCCGGGCCAGCCCCACCTCCCGCCGTGCTTCCAGCGCTGCAGAGAGAGAGAGAGAGAGAGAGAGAGAGGGAGACACACACAGAGGAGAGGAACACAGGAACCCCAACTGCTGCATAACTCAAAATCCTCACAAGCTCTTTGAGATGCGATTGTGCCTGACCATTAAGAGAAGAGGAAGGATTCTATGGGGAGCCAGTGTAGCAAAGCTTATGCAGATCTGGACAGAATGGAAATGTGCTTTCTACTGTACAGTGCCTGACAAAAGTCTTGTCACTTATCCATTTTGTAGAAACAACAGCTTATAACCTGACTTGTCATTAATCCATTGGTTTTAGAAATGGCTCATATGAAAGCTAAAACCCTCCCAAATTATATTTAAAATCTAAAATAAATTTCCTTCACCGAAGAAAGATTGATCATTTAATGAACACAGAAAGGTCAGATTTTGGCAAGACAAAAGTTTTGTCGCCTACATAGAGTAATGTGAAAATTGAACAAATAATTTACTTCAAATACAAAATATGTTGCACAACATCAGTGAATCAAGTAGTGGTGCTGTGAGATCCATATTTAATATCTTGTATGACTTCCATGAGCCTGAAGAACTGCATCCATGCAGTTCAGCAACGATTCATACAATTTATTGATGAAGTCATCAGAAATAGCAAAGAACGCAGTCTTACATGCCTCCCAGAGTTCATCAAGATTCTTTGGTTTTGTCTTCCATGCTTCCTCTTTCATTTTACCCCAGACATGCTCGATGATGTTCATGTCTGGTGACTGGGCTGGCCAGTCCTGGAGCACCTTGATCTTCTCCGCCTTGAGGAACTTTGCTGTAGAGATCTAAGTATGCGATGGAGCACCATCCTGCTGCAAAATTTGACCCCTTTTATGGTTGGGAATGTAAGAGGTAGCTAATACTTCTTGATATTTTAGGCTATTGATATTGCCTTTCACCCTGCAAATCTCTCGCACACCTCCATGCTGGATGCAACCCCAGACCATGATTTTTCCACCACCAAACTTAATTGTTTTCTGGGTGAATCTCGGATCCATGCAGACTCCAGTAGGTCTCCTGCAATATTTGCAGCGGTTGTGATGTAATTCAACCGAAGATTCATCAGAAAAATCCACCTTCTGACACTTTTCCAGCGTCCATCCTTTTAGCAGGCTGTGGGCCTTGGCAAATGCCACAAGTTTTTTTAATTTCTTTTTGTTTAGTGCTGGTTTCTGGGCACTGATTCGACCATGGAGGCCATGCCGAGACAGAATTCGACAAACTGTTCTGGTTGACACAGGGACTTGAGGTGACCAGACCTGGTGGAGCTCTGCTGCAGTGGAAAAGGGGCTGGCCTTGGATTTTCAAGCCAACAAATGGTCCTCCCGAGCAGTTGTCTTTCGGGGTCTGCTGGGCCTGGGCTTGTCATAAACATCTCCAGTCTCTTCAAATCTTTTTCTTATCCTTTGTACTTGACGCTGAGACACATTGAAGGTGTCAGCCACCTCAGCAGTGGATCTGGTCTTCAGCCTCTTGATGATCAAAGCTCTGGTCTCAGGGTGAATCTTAGGCATGTTGTCAGAGGTTAAGTTGCAGTTGATGTGAAGGTCTGGTGTGCTGTGGTTCTTTCTATACACCCACTAATTGATTGGTCAATAACTGATCACAGGTGAGGCTGTAATCTTGGATTGGGTGCATCATATGACAAGGCGACAAGACTTTTGTCTGTGCAAAAACTGACTTAGTGGGCTTTACCAAGCTGTGAACATTAGAATGCTTTTCAGCAGTTTCATTTGGCACCAAGACATTATTTCAAACACTGTTGGGATTGAAATTAGACATTTCTTGTAAAAAAAAAATGTATTGCACATATATTTGAGGGGCACTTATGGTCAACTTGTACCCAAGCGACAAGACTTTTGTCAGGGACTGTATTCCTAGTTTCAGTCAGTACTGAAGCTATAGGATTAGCTGAAGCGTTTTTCAAGACTTAGTAGGGCAGCATGATAATTGGGAGTAACAGTAATCCAACTTAGAGGGAACAAGTGCATTGGCTAGTTTTGCACGAAGAGTACCCCGTTACGATTTCCAAATGAGAAGTTTTAATGGAACCCAAAAACGCAGAGGCAGTGTGATACGTGAAATTATTATAAAGGAAGTTGCGTTGGTGCAGGAGAAGCCAGAGCAGGAGAGGAGCCATCCAATCTCTATGAAAAGAAAGGGTAGAGACTCTGCACATAAAAAATGACTCCAGGGTGCCATTACAAAATAAACAAGTGCAAATCACCACTGTACCCAAACTTTAGAAAAAGTTGATACATTTTAAAGTTATAGACGAGTTTCTTGTGTACAAACAATACTAGGTGCATGCGCAACTGGGGGCAAAAGCCCGCTTCGGAGTGAAGTGATATCAATGAAGATGGCGTATTGTTTGCAAGTTCTCCCTGACACAATTGCAATAAAATGTCATTTCATTGAAAAATCGCTTTGTCTTTCATTGCATCACAAATCTGAAAAACACTTGCTGAAATGTCCATGAATTTCACTCAACTTACCAGGCTGTGACGTTGTTTTAGTTGTTTCTAATAACAGGAGCGGGGTCATAATGTCAGTGAATGCTAACAAAGTCAAAGTAAAAATGGCTACTTTACGGCCTGCCAACATTTTTGAAAACCTGCCAATGTAATTGTAAATATAAGTCTGACAGCTCATTAGCTAGGTCTTAACAGAGATGGTTCAGACCAATTATATCAACAGCCTCAGCAGCCCAGACTGCAGTGATTACATGAAATTTTCCCTCAGCGCTGATGAGAAATTACCAGACACATACAATATTCCAAGTGAGGAATAGATTGCAGATATGTCCAAATGGCCAGTTATAATACGGCCCAACATATAAAATTATCTAATTGAGAAGCCTTGTGTGTATACAAAGGACAGTTTGCATGCACACAAATCTTTAGACGCGTATAATTATGTACTTTGTGGCCATGTCCAAAACTTAAAATGTTATGACACAGGTTCAGGGTTTTGCACATGAGAGCAGGTGTCCTGCCTAGCCAGAGACAGGGAGTAGAGGCAAAACCTTATGATGCCTGGTGCACGTGCACTGGGATCTACACTGGATGCTGCACAGACTCTCGCCCCCTTTAGAACCTCCAGAACCCCAATCCTCTCTTTTGATGGCCTGGAGCCACAATCTTCTTCTTCTGTTGGCAAAAGGATGAGATCCCCTCAGGATGTTAAACAGTTTCCATCCATCCTTTTGCTGATTCGTGCCGTTTACAGCACAACAGCTCCTTTTCATTTTCTTTCTCTGTTGACTCCGCTGGCTGCTCGCACATACCTGCGATGATGTTGCATAGAAACCCGTTTATTGAAATAGAATAGTAAAAAGACATAACAACCCCTGAAGCAACAATGATAGAAGCTCATTCTCTCTCCTTTGGCCGAAGTCAGTACAGTGTTTGGGTTTGGTTCTTCCAAGCAGGGGAAGTGTTGACTATCATCAACTGTGCAAAGTATAACTAATCATAGGTATCCTGTTCAACCCCATTTTAAAAAAAAGGTTAGCAAATTTTCAATCCAAAATATGGGTCATTGAAAGGGCAGCAGAGTCTGTCTTACATTTAAGTGGAGATTTAAAACCACACAGCATAGGTTTTCTGAAATTGCTGGTGTTGTTCAAAACTTTTATGTTGATAATAGACCACTTGATCAAGTCCTACATGTCCATTATTCATGCACAAATTGTGGCACACTTGCCTTGTAAAGGATGTTATGTAGGCCAATAACTTCACTCTTCATCTTTCCTCAGAACCTTGACCCTTTGGAGGGCTTGATACAGAACCTGCTTGCTGTGCTGCATCCACCCTATGAGCCCACGGCCCCCACTCTTCTCAGCCAGCTCTTTCAAGTCATGGAAGGTCATTATCAAGGAGATGCTCTATGGTGCCTCCTGGACTTCTTAATCCCAGCTAAGCACATTTTAGACACTATGCCACAGGCTGCATGTATAAGTCACATTTTGCTAGCTATCATTGCAAAACCTGTGCCAGTCTAAAAAAATGTTTTCACTACATTTATTGATATAGAGCAAGATCTTGCTGTACTTAGTGTTACAAGAAAAACAGACAAAATTTGTATTTATTTTAACAGGATTTGTTTCAATTTCTAAAACTGTATCTATTGCTGTGTCCCCCTCAGGCTCCATACTCTGATGCTCTCCTCTTGTGTGAGGGCTGGCCTCTTTGTTTGTGTGACCAAATTTTTGTCCACATCGCTCCCATTAGCCCCCTACATCTTCGGCCAGACGACTTTTATCTCCAGGTTGCGCCATTTTGTGACCAATCAGCTCAAATTGTGGTCTGCAGCCTCCTAGAAGAGGGAGGGTTTAAAGTAGAGATAGTTGAGGAGACCCCAATCCCTGAGACTTCTTATCCCTGTATCTTCAGCTGTGACTAGTTGGAAGAGATCAACAGAGGCTACCATGGAACGCCTCTCAGCCAGTGCCTTCTTGCCTCTGAGAAGGGCATGGTAAAGTTACCATGGGAGCAGGTAGCTGTGCCTGACTTTGTGGATGTGCCACTGTGTGCTGGGAGTAGCATGGCCTCTGCTCCTCCTGCACACTCTCCTATAACTCCTCTGCTTCCTCTTCACCCATCACCCCATCCTCACCCTGACAAGTCTCCTTCTAATCATTCTGTACCCCTTTGTCCTTCAGAGGAATCTGCACCAAAAAGTTACCCTGTGACCATCAAAAATTCTATTTTAACCTCTTCTTCACATCCCTCTGCCTTTTCTGTGGAGACGAGAATATGTCCAGCAAAGCACGGGATTGCTGTGTCACTCTGCTTGGTGGATTCTAGAACTGCTTCTTCACACAGGCTTTTCAAAGCGCAAGAGACTGAAACAGAGCTCAAGCCTATTGGCTGGGTGTCTCCTAATATATCGGACAACTGTTTAACTGGAAGAGGCCCAAATACAGCTACAAAAGCAAGCACTGCTGCCAGTTTAGGCTTTCCTGCATGTGCGGATTCTAATGGATGCAGAGTTGAACATATAGAGCAAGACAATTATAAAGATACAAATACTCAAGGGTCAGCTTGTCAAGTTTCAGCAGAAGGGGAATATATAGATATTCTGCAGGCAACTATGCTTTTTAATAAAGCCCAGGCAGTCAAAGAAGACGGACAAAAATTAGAGGAGAAAATGCAACCAAATTCTCAAGTTGATCCTCGAATACAAAGATATCTATACAGATGCGCACCAATGCAACCACAAGCACAAATGCAATTGTACAGGCAGACACATAGACAGCCAAACACACAATTATCATCTCAAACACAGGCACACATTAAGTCTCCTACAGAAACACAAAGTTTAAGTCACTGTAGACCAGAGGCCACTGTATCAGTAAGACCCAGCACATCTGAAGAAGTGCAACCTCCAGGTACTCTCCTTCATTCTATGTCCCATCACCCTCACCAAGACCCTCTTGATACTTCTCAGTGTGTTCGCACTGTACAGTTCTCTGAAAAACCCTGTACCCCATGCATGAGAAGAAGACAGGGCAGAAAGGTCTCCAGGGCTCAGGAGCTCAGGTGTCGGTACAGGGATTCCTACCAGGCTGCCATCCAAAACCCAGTTACCTTTGGACAGGAGAAGGAGAAGGACAATATACTAGCTGTGATGGAGGAGGAGGGTGCATTCTCACAGGGTAATGATAAGCTAAAACTACCACAGACTGAGACAAGGGATCCATGGTGTAAAGTTCAAGGAATGTGGTTTGATCCCGGGATGCAGCACCGGTCTTCATCATCTGCCAGTGGAGGTGTATGCAAAGAATCAGGAGAAAGAAACACTGTTCTATATTTGATAGAAGACAAAAACACTACCCAAGGTATGGATTACAGAGAAAGGACCACAATGCCTTTGAGAGAACCAAGTTTTGGCACACATTCTGCCAAAGTTTGTGGCAGTCTTCCCAGTGACAATGTAAATGAATCAAACTTTACAGCACAAATTTGTGTAAATACCAAAGGGGCTCTTTCAAGCTCAAATGCTTCTCATCAGTCAAATGACATCATTGCCAAACACCACATAATACCGACTGGGACAAGTCAAGTTTTAGATACCAACATTAACCCAAAACTCCACGGAAGGCTCCAAAGCAGAAACAAGAATCCAGAGTTTTGTAAGTCTCAATCTGCACCACCGAACAGACCAGAATCCATTTCAGATGGCAGATGTTCTTCACTCTCCACAGCTGTTGTGGACACCTCAGAGAAGTGTGAGCTTGTTATTGTTGAAGGACAAAATGTTCGCAGAAAGGAAGTTATTGAGTCCTGTGCTGAAATTCCTCAGTTGCATGTGGTGAAATGTAAATACAGCACAGCCTTTCGACTAGTATCACCCAAGATCAGCAGGAAGAACAAAGTCATTGCAGGTACAGAGAAATGTTAAATAGTGACAGGCTCTACTCTCATTTTTCAGCCTTTTGTTCATCTTAACATCGACATCCAAATCTAGAAATTGACCACCAAAAATGTGTCCAATTTATACAGAGGGTGCTCAACATGGATGTAAGATCATGACCAGTAGAAGTGACCATCAGATAAAGAACATATCACAGGCAGATGCACCACTGGATGCAGAGATGCCAAATACTTCTCAGCCAGAGTCTCCTTGCTCCAGACCTGACCACCTTCCCCTTGGACCCCCAGACCCAAGAGCCCAACCCCTTTATTTAGGAGTAGCTTCTCTTACGGGTAAGTTGATTTAGAGCACAATTGATAACATTAAAAAACACAATCATTTTGCATTGTTTGGCAGCATCTGTAACAGGATCAGTATAACAAAGTTTCTGACAAGAACAAAATTTGACAGTTGTATGAATAACATGAACACCTGACATATAAGAGGTATTTAATGAGTCATTACATGAAATACATGCTGATCAAAGTTTTTAAGTTGTCTACTTAGACCCTGGACTTCTTTTTAGCTCTTAATCTGTGTGCCTTTTTATACCTTTCCTTCATCTTTTTTGGTGTTTCCTTTTTTTTTTTTTAGATTTTTCATCTTCACAGTTTAATTTTTTTTTCCATGATCTTGAATTTATTTAGCTTTTTGACTTAGAGTTAAAGGGCAACTTTATACTGTCCATCTCCTATCTTACAGATGATTTATTCAGAACTGTACCTCATAGTTTGACTAATCTTTCTCTCTCTAACTATTAGGTGGCAAAGATAGGACTGACAGAGCAATAGTTGAACTATATGGAGACCACCAGGGATGGGGATCAGCTGTTTCGAGCACAGAGCTCTACAAAGTGTTGCGTTACTTCCACTCTATCACCAGGTTACATGTACATGCCAGCTAACAAATGAAATACAAAACCTTCATTCAGAGTCATGTCATAGGGAAGTTAATCATTTTTGAGTCTTGAAAATGATTGCTGTGTACACATATTTGACTGTTTATCTTTTATCTAGGAGAGAAATCAGAGAAGCTGGACTGACTCTTATTTTTGATGCAAGAAAGACAAACCCTCAACCACAGCTCTGTAAGGCCTTAATGACACTTCAGGTAAGTGGCCATAAACTTCAAGCACAGCAGATCAGAATTTACTGCTGTTTGGGTTATTCCCTTGCTGGAGACACGGTGCTGTTAACAGACAATGAACTGAGTAAAATGCCACTGCTAAATAATGAATCAGCTTCTGCGCACAATCCATCTCCAAAGGTCCTCTGAATTATTGAGTAGGCTTTGGTTGTGTAATGAAAATATTCTTCCACTCACCTCCTTTTGTCTCAAAGTACAACATGTTTTAAGACAGGTATGGGTCAAATGATATGACTCAAAAAGATAAATACACAATCTCAGCAAGGAAAGCAAAAGGTGAATTTGGTTATCAAAGATCTGTGAATGTATATAAGTGGGACTTAGCAAGTGTTTCACTGTTGCAGGAACAGACTCTCCAGGCTGTAAACAGTTTTGTGCTGCTCATAGACAAAGACATCAACCCTCAGCCAGAGCACTTCCCTGGAATCCAGGTCTGTTTTCACAATCCAGTTCCCTGCTTATGACACTTTTATTGTTTTCTGTTTGTATTAATGAAGACGTTGGAAATATGAGTGGGCTGTAAGATTAGTTTATCTCTTTGGTCAAAAGATATTTTAGCCATACCTAGAATCCATACACGTCTTGGGGGGTCAGTTTGTTTATTTGGTTCATCACTTTCTTCTTTACAGGGGATACAGTGAAAGTTTGAGAACTTTGTCAACAGAAGAAGAATCTTAATAAACTGGTGTTTGACATATTCATATTTTTATCTACTGCCCCCTCAGGTCAGCATTCCACATACATAATGAAGTAAATCAACATCAGTGAAATTATCATTTTTGGAAGCCACAACAGGGCATTGGTGTCATTGAATTACAGACATTATTGTTATTTACATGCTAGATAAACAGCATTATGATTTAGTTATGTTTAGTAAGAAAAACAAGACAGTAAAAAATTACGTGGCGCACCTGTTTCTTCTAGCACATGACCAAAGCAATGTCCAACACAGGAAACAAATGAATTGTGCTACTAGTTGATATGCAACTATTTCGAATAATGTTTCCTTAAAACAGACTGAAATAGTGACATCAATGAAAGCCTTGCTCAAACTGGTGGACATGAGTCAGCTGAGCTCCCGCCTAGATGGCACACTGTCTCATAGCACCTGTGACTGGACGGGGCTGCACAAGGTGAAGTAGCTCAACAAACATGTCAATCCATCCTCCTCTCCTGATTGTCTTTCTAATTAGGTTGTACACATCTTAACAGCTCCTGGTTTACTTATGACCCTAACTTTTGTTATCCAGAAACTTTTCCCATTTGTGTCTGATCTTCATGAGGCATCCAGCCTCCTACTAAGAGCCATCAGTAAGTTGGAGGAGCCTCACAGGATCGACAGTGTGCAGGTAAATTCCTGTCAACTGCTTTCTGCTCATATTATTCAATTATTTACTGACATTGGTAACATGGAGGTCTGTCTCTTACTCTGAAAACCCGGCATACACTGGCTGTTCTGAATAATTTCTATAGCTGCAAAAGATTCACATTAAAGGGAGGCAGTATCATGCTTTTCCACATTGATAACAAAAAACTGCAAAGTTGCACAATTTGGTGTCAATACTACATGTATGCAAAGTTTAAAATCATGAGGTAAACGTATGTTGTCTTGGTATTAGAAAATAGATGTAAACTGCTAAAAACAGGCCCTTGCAAAAAATGCGAGACTCACTAAAATAAATGGGATATTGCAAAAGGCCTTCATAAATGGACCTAAAGAGACAGCAGCTAAAATGAAGCCTCGCAGACGAAGGCTGAAATAATGATATTTTAATTCACCACTGTGAGATACACAAGGCTTCTTTTGATCAGAAAATTATGCAAAGCTATTAAAGTGGTACCACGTAGTATAGAGTCTGAAAAAATGCACAATACACCCCCCCCCCCCCAACATTGACACTGACATTAAGTAGTGACAGCATAATTTGCAAAAATTTATTTTGTCCCAAAGACTGTACAGCAGAGCATGGCGGACCAGAGGACTCTGATGCGAGATGTACTGGAGAACAGCAGATTGGTCTGCCTGCAGAGGGAGGGCGGGGCAATGTTGGCAAGGCTGAGGAAGGAAAGTGGCCTTAAGTACCCAAACTGCAAGGACCTCAGGTTGACACAAAATTTCCTGCTTTCATCTGTGACAGTATATTTACATTTACACAACAACCCATGTATTACCTTTACAGTTTTATCACATAACACCAGTTATGCTTCTGGATTAAAAACCACAAGACTAAACATATTTCTTACCACCACCATCATACCAAGAATGACAGCTAGCTAGTCAAAATATGCTCATCTTGACACTACAACAAACTCTCAGGCTTGTCATTTCAGAAATGTCAGCTGATTATTTGATACTGATACTAATACTACAGTCAAATGCTACTTTGTCACTAAGGGTAACAGTTCGTCATGTTTTCATGTTTAAAAACTCGACATCTGACTTTGTGTTAAAGCTGTAAATAAAAAGTTAAGGTTTTAAAGCCATTTTTTTTCCTGTCGCCTCATCTTTCACTTGAATCTTTTTTCCAGAACACCTGTTATTTATGTTATCTATTGTTTTTTTTCTTTCTTGAGCTTTTGATCTGTCTTTTCCTCACATTCAGTGATGCAGTAGACTCAGTGACCAGCTTATACAATCATGTGGAGGAGCAAGCTCATGTTCTTGTGCAGAGGTCCAACCAATCGCTGGAGCACCTGGAGTATCTGCTGCAACTTAGAGATATGGAGGGACACTTTTCACAGGTTACCATTTAAACTGCTCACTGATGATCAGAAGAACGTAATATCATAACAAAATATGTTAGGTCTGACATTTTCAGTAATGGGTCTCAGAAACCGTGATGGACACAACAGTGCCTGAGTCCATTGGGCTTAGGGATCTAATGATTATATGGGGATAGCTTGACAAAGATCCAATGCAATATGCATTGCAGGGTTTTATAAACTTAAATTAGAAATTAATGATACACAACTTAAAATGTGTTTTTCATTGCTCATATCCCAAGGAACGCACAGTTGTGCAATTCAGTAATTTTACATGTCTTTCCTGGGCCAGATGACTTGTTCGTGGCTCTGTTCAGGGGCGAAGTTTAAAAAAAAAAAAAAAAAAACTGAAAAGAAATGAAACTGAACGGGCTTAAGATAACCTCAAATAAGTGCACATTACACCTGAAATGTGTAAGCATCTTTACATTGGCTGCCAGTATGTTTTAGGATTGATTTTAAGAATTTAAGCTCTTAATGGTCTCTGTCCAAGTTGTATCATCAAACTTTCAATCCCCTACACTCCAGTACGCACTTTACGATACTTGAGCGAGGGCTTTCTTGCTGTTCCAGACACTTGGCTGATATCAACAGGGGACAGAGCATTTTCAGTTCGGGCTCTTACACTCTCCAATGAGCTCCCCTAGAAAATTAGGTCAGCTTGTTCAGCTTACTCATTTGAGGCACTTCCTTTTACAAACTTTTATTGGAGAGCCTCTCCTGTTTTCACTTGACCCAATGTGTCTTTTACAGTGACCTGACTTTATGTTTCCTCAAATATGGTGTTGGTTTTATGAGCCAAGATGGTTGATCCCTTTAAAAATGTGTTGAATTAGCATTTTTCTCTTTCCTGCCTTCTAAAGGAGTGTGCAATAGACTAAACACCACTAATATTCTTTTCACTTCCTAACCTTGTAGATGCAACAGTGGTTCAATGTAGAGGGAGAGCGACATCTTTTTGATGCTGTATCAGTTGAAGAGTCTGGAGACAGAATGGAGCATATCCTCAACAGCTTCACTGGTTTCCTCCTTGAAGCAAATGTGAGACTATGTTTTCTTTTCAGCTGAGTGAGTATGTTGGTACGTCCACATTTGCCAAGCTGTCTGAATCTCTCTTTCAACTCTACTAGGACCGAAGGCAGCATGCCATGACTTTGGTGTCAGAGGCAGAGCGACTCAGGCTGAAGGGGTCCTCCTATCAAGAGACAGAAGCATTTTGGACTGTAGTCTGCACCTTCAAGTCAAGCCTGGATGACTTTCTCTGTAGGGCTAAGGCATGTGGCAGGGAGCTGCAAACCATGGTCAGCGTTTGTGATTTTTGTGAGCAGGTTGGTGCAAAATCAATTAAAGTAACATTTTTGTAACCAATAACCAGCTACTGTTTGTAATCTAGAGAAACTATAATTTTTGACCAGGTTTGGAACACAGACATAGCTTTTGTTATTGTTTATTGGTTAAGTATGTGCTAATTCATCTTTAATCAGCCATGCACAGTGTTTAATACATGTGCAAAAATTAACGCCCACTTTTAAAATTGAGTGCAATCTTACAATTTTCAAGTTTTTTAATCAGGTAACAGCACATTTGCTGGGGGGGTAGCATGATACTAGAAAATGAAATAAGTTTGTGCACGTATGTTCTTATGTAAATTTAATGTCTTAAAACAGGCTACAGCTTTGGCGAGTGAATGTATTGAGTATCTGGACCAGAGTCACTCAAGAAATCACACAATAAAAGGTCAGGAAAAATCAAGACATCTGCAAAGCCAAGAGCCTGGACCAACATCAGCATCCCTTTGCCAGTCCTATGCTCATGCTTGCTCTGGTCCAACAACCACCAATATTTTACATCCAGAAAATGATGTCATCCAGACTTTCCAAGAGAGGTTCCAACAATTCACTCCCGAGAAATTTCAGGAGGTGAAAGTCCAGGCTGATACCCTGCAGTGCTCCAAAGGGATGCAGGTCTGGAACATAGCTTGGCTCAAATGCCAGGAGGCTAGACAACAACTCCAGGAGAGGATGCAGGACTTTGTTGAAGTTGACCAACAGCAAGAGTTCAGCAATTACAGTCAACATCATTATGTTGATGTGGTAAGCACTAATGTCCAGATACTGCCTCCTGGTGGCCAAAGTCTGGTGGTACAAACAACACCTGGGCCTCGACACCCTCAGTGGGAGGAAATCATAACTGGTGCTGCAGATCTGGGGAAGAGAAGGCCCATCCTCGGCAGCAACATCACCAGCTCAACGCCTTTATCCTGCTGTAATATCAGTATTAAACCTGAGGATAGCCATGATGCTGGAAATAGCCAGAGCTCAAAGGTCTCTCCACAGTCACCCAAAAGGTAACTTATTTATCCATTTACTGTACTTATCTGGTGACTGGCAGTGGCTTTCAATGTTCTTTATAGTAGCACAAGCTGAACATGTGAGGGTATTTCAGGATATCTAAGCACTTTGTCTTGACCTTAATTTCAGTTTGATAATGTCTTGTTTTTTCTTTTGTCTGGATGTTGTTAGAACTGAATTTTTCTGCTAAAAGATGTATTTAATTTATGGACCACACAACCCATTTACCATCTTAAGTACTGATAACCTAAAACCTTGGACATAACTGATGGTTGTAAAGAAAACAGTCAGTCAGTGAGATGGTGTTTTTTCTGATCACCCATTAATGCTGCATTTTTGCGGTTGCTGTTTGAAAGTGGAAATCGGAGCTCAAGGTTCTCTGGCAGGGCGCCGGATGCTTTTTACTTTCACGTTGACTGGGCCCCATTTATAATTATCAGAAGTATTTATCAGTATTATATCTGAATTTAATCGAAATGATATGAGCGAGCAGGAGCGTCTGTTTGTGGGCGGGGCTTGCTGGAGCAGAGAGGGAGGGGAGAGGAGGAGCTGAGGGGAAAAATGGTTGGGAGGGTCAGTGTTTACATTCAAGATAGGGAACCGAAGCCACGCCCACTTCCGCGTTAGCGCTATAGGTCCTATTGGGATAATAGGAGTGAATGGACAGGTCTATGGTATTTTCTGGTCCGCTTTGTTTTACACCCTGAGTCACAAATATGTTGTATTTTAACTTAAATGATAACCATTAAGGTAAATAAAGGCTATGTTTGTTGTGTAATTGTTGATCTATTTGTCTTTGAAAACACGTAAATGGAGAGACTACAGACCTCAAGAAGTCGCGTAAATGACGTCACGTCAGTATTTCTACTTCTAGCTAGCTGACAACTCCTGTCAACTCGTTATCATTGCCAAAATGCCCGTGTGTTTTGTGCCAGAATGTCACCATAATAGTTCAGCAGGATGTTCCAGGATGTTTTCACCACGTTTAATACTCTTTCCTTCATCCTGGAAGAAGGACGTGAAACTTGCCAAAGTCACCGCCATCGTCGTCTGTCAAAGCTTAGACAGTGACGCAAAAATAGTGCGACGAGCAGTGTAGTTCATTACGTGGTCTCACTCTAAATTAAACTGTAGTTATAGCAACATGTCTAAAATCACGGCTTTTTCGAGGTTAAAATGTAAATTTAAACATGATAAACATTTTATGTGAAATGTGTAGGGGCTTCGGTTCCCTATACCAAAGCGGACCAGTAGTTATATATATCTGTCCATTCATTTTGATGGGCTCCATAGGACCGTATGCTAACCCGGAAGTTAGCATGACTTCGGTTCCCTATTCTTCCCAAAAACTGAGAGGTGACCAGATGCAGCGCAAGATGGCGGACCCAAAGATAGAAAACCACATTTACAAAACGCAATAAGTTTCTCCGATTGGCGGACCCAAAACAATTACTTCCGGTGGAAAGGCTTTCTCGTTGGCGGACTTCCGGCGCCGAAATACTTCAGGTAGTCGGATTTAGTCGCCGGATCCTTTTTTTTTTGCTCCGTTCATTCCATAAGAATCGAATTAAATTTATTATTGAGCTAAAAATCAAAATAAAACGTTTATGTATTAACTATGACTACTGTTTTGTTCTGATTTAATTCTGAAGTTTACAGTAATATGTATATATAGCCTGATGTCCTCATATTCTGATAATTTGTCAGAATAGGTAAATGTATGTAGAAGTTATCATCTTACTCAAATTCTTTTGTAAGAGTTTGCTACAAGTATGGACTGTTTTAACCTCTCGTTACACATCATATAACAGTGTTTTCTAACTTTTCTCTCCAATAGCTTTATTACACAGCACATCAATGTTTCTTAACTTCTCTGTGACCTTGTTTCTCCACTCCTATTAGGACCTTGTTTAATGTCAACAATGTTGCCCTGACCCTCACATATTTTCTGTTGTTCATAATTATGTTTTATGAGAGTGCTTATGTTGCTGCACAAATTTACTCCCCCATCCTTTAGTAACATTGTGTAACCAGGGACATAATTTATGAAATGGTGTGCTTCCTGGTGAACCTCTTCAGGATTGCTTGACTGTGCAAAATCCAAGTATACAATAGTTGTAGAGACAAGTCACATGATCTCTTTAAGGTTCAGAAGAGCCATATAGCAAAAACAATTGAATAGCGATATCATTACAGACTGTGTAAAGAAATGGGAAATTGTCATACAACTGCTTTGAAGATTTCTTTAATTTTTTCCAAACAAAATTGTGAACAGTAAAAAAAAATATATATATACAAAATTCAGCACTGCCGTCGGTGTGGTGGGGGGCTTAAAACATGTTGCCACAGGCCATCATCAGCTCTGCTCTGAACCAGTTGATGCCATGCTCCTTCAGTGCTTTGATCAAAAGCTGAAAAACAGTCAAATAATGTGAACAATTGAAGTTATGCAGTATGGGTTAATTGTTGTTCTTGAGCTTTCCAAATGAATAAGAACAACCTCTTAACAATATCATCAATTTTCAAAGCAAGCTATATAGTTTGATCTACTCACCTCTGGGAGCATGACGTCAAAAACGAAATCAAGCAGATAAATCTCGCCTCTCTTTATTTTTTTAGAAATGTTTGTTGCCACCTCAATGAACCGCAGGAGCTCGAACATCTATTGAAGAAAAACACAGAAAGTAAACACCTTTCAAATGTAACACCCCTGAGAGTAAAAATACTCATGATGGATGGCATTTTTACTTACGCGCTGCTCACTCCAACTTAGTGTCCTTATCTTAAGATGCTGCTTTAGTCGGAGTGAGGTGGCGGGATTCCTCCAAAGGAACATTCTGTTGGAGCGGATCTTTCCAGACAGTAGATCATCGTGTAATGTCTGAAACCAAAGAGCAAGAGACAAAAATGTAATCATCTGAAAAAGAAACGGTGGCTTTAACAACTGATAGTGCATTCAAAAGCAACCTTGATCTGTGTCTTAGAAAAGACAGCATGAATTCCTCAACTGTCAACAGCATCCTTGATCCTGCAGAGAAATAAGAAAAGAGCAAGCCCTCATTTTTTCATCCTTTGAGCCTCGTATTTTTGACTGATACTATGTTTCCTTGATAAATTATGTTATACCGAGGATGCTCAATGGAGTCCTCGCACCCGCAGTCAAACGGCTCCATTTCAATCCCAGCACAATCCTGATGCAGCCAGCCCCTGCACGTCTTGCACTGGACCCATTGTATGACGTTTACCTCAGGGTAAAGCAATCTGATCAAATGAGAGACAAACATAATATTAAACAAACACGCTGTCCAATTGATTATACCTCTGCAGCACATTTGAATGTATAAATAATTTTCCTGCATGATTCGTGCATTTAAACTATATGTAAAAGTGGTCACTTCATGGAAAATCACTGAATAGGCCCCGATAATTGCATTTATTAAATTGAGTCTGCAACACACCTCTCTCCTGTGTTGTTCGATGTCTGGTAGACACAGAATTGCATTGAATCTGCCATGCACATTCTTTGGACATCCGATACCGTCTGTGTCATGGTTTCCTTGACAAGGCAATTTGAAAAGTAACATCAATTACCAAATACATCGAGACGATGTTGATCCATACAACTGTGTGCATTTTGAAGGACTCCCACTGAGATAATACTGTTTTTACAAGGCAATTTTCTAACCTCTATGTCCTGCTGCTCTGCCTTCCTCTTTAGACTGAAGACCGGAGTATGCTTTCCAGCAATGAGCTCTTGACATTCTTTGGTCCAGTGGGCGAAGATTTTCCCACAACTGTAATGACAATATGTCTTTGAGTACAATATATTGATTGTCTTCCAGTTAATTAGGACATCTAGTTTACTTAAACTGTCTACCTGTTCAAAGAATTGTTCTCCAGGAGCAACAGGCACCACCATCGCCGCCAAACAGGCATGTCATGCTGAAATTGTTGTTTGTATTTCATTTTAGTGCACAATACAAAATACAATCTTGAGGATGACACTGCGTGTTGAAAAGTACTTACAACTGAGTAGTCAAACTGTGACTCCATAACGATGTACATGGCAGACTTAAAAAAAAAAATTATGAGACAACATGTGAGATAACTTTAAAAAAGTCCATGTTGGAAAGTTATTCTAGATACAATATTTGTGCATTACAGCTCGTTATGACCTACCATCAACATGAATATGCCACAGTCTGAGCCGAAGTCCTGGCTGGGGAAGCCCTGATTTAACAAAAGCAAACGTTAATCATCTTGTCACATACACTTTGTAGGAGCCAGATTGGGGTTTTGCAGTTTATTGTTATGTATTTTTTGTGCCAGCAGATGGTGCTATTGTGCCTGTCTATTTAATGGGTGGGTTGATTAGGAGAGGTGCGCACATAAAATGATGAATGAGTAAATAAATCAAAACAACAGAAAATGTGTGTGACATGTGACATTATTCCACCTGCGGGCACGCATCAACTCAAGCAAAAAGGTGTTCGCCACAAGTAACAGCATTGGAAAGCTGTTATACACTTTTCAACTGTAATATAGAGCATGCACAAATACCTCCAAATCTCTGCCCGTTTTCTCAGTCCATTGCCCAGGACATATCTTCTGCGCAATGTTCCTGTTAATTTGAGAGCGTCACTTAGATTTCCCATGATGGAAACAATGGAATGCAGGGTTAGGGTTAGTTTGAGTGGTCGGAGGTGAGATTGAATGAATGCGGACGGCTTGCTTCTTTTCAAACTTCCTGAGAGTTCTTCTTCTTCTGTAAATTTTGCCGTCAGAAAGTGTAGGTACATACCGCCACCTACTGTTCTGGCATCGCAAAGCAGAAGTTCAAAGTTCATGTTTTGGGTCCGCCAATCGGAGGTAATGCGGAAACTTATTGCGTTTTGTAAATGTGGTTTTCTATCTTTGGGTCCGCCATCTTGGCGCTGCATCTGGGTACTCTTGCAAAAACTGGCACTTCCTCAGATCCTGCCTACCCCACCTTCAACTATGACCCTAAAGAACCAATAATTGGAGGGTCTGCTCTGCCAGAAACATGGTGGAAAAAAATGTGGCCACTTAAGTGTAGGTACCCTTCATTTTTTGATAGAAATTTTTAGCAAAATCTTAGAACACATTTCTACATGATTTTGAACCATTTTGATGCCAAAAAAAAGGCTGTCTTTAAAAACTTTTTTTTAGTATTTTCATCTTTACTTCATTAGTAATCAACTATTTATGCCATTCTTTTCACCAAGCAGTATTCTCATTCCACAGAAAAAAAAAATCCAAATCCAACCCAAATCATTGGATCTGTGGTGATTTCACTACTAGTTGGCAATAAACAGACTCAGAACCTTAACAGACTTCTCTCTAAAATTCCATAAGACATAGGCCTACAGATATTTAACATGGCTGTTGACAATTATTACAACTTTCACAGAACAGAATTTTTTTTAACATAATTAACAAGGTTCAGTTCCCTGTGGGGTGGCATAGTCAGGAGGGTGACACATTGCAGATACTTCTGAACAGGTAGGAAGATATCCATTGTCTTCATCCATGGCTCCTGAAGTCTATCCATGTGTGTGATGTAGTACATGCACATCATGATCACATCTGTTCGGATGTTCAGGAAGAGGTTATAACAGCAGTGCGACGATACATGATGTCACTCTATGCAACTCGCAACTGCACTGCAAGCCCATATCTCGGTGAAGACATGGATATCTTCCTACCTGTTCATGCTGTTGAAGGAGACATTTGTTGCCTTTCACTAACTGAAGATGCATTACTATTACACCTTCGTCGAGCCATGCATCAGTTGGCTGTGTGTAAGCGGGCACACATGGTTAAGCCAACCTGCCCAGCTGCCACTGATTTTGGGAGACACCTTGTCAATGGCAAGTTTGTGGCAACCATGATGCAGAAAGAGCCAAAACCCCCTGAGTTCAAACACAGTGTGTGTGTGTGTGTGTGTGTGTGTGTGTGTGTGTGTGTGTGTGTGTGTGTGTGTGTGTGTGTGTGAGTGCGCGCGTGTGTTAGAGAGAGAGGGATGGGGGTGCATCTTTTATCACAATGCTGTATTAACCCACCCTGCAGGTCTTGTCTCCTCAGGTAGTGAGGATGGAGGTCTGCCTCCAGAGCAGTATCTGCAGTGTGCCACCTTCCTGACTGTCCAGCCCCACAGGGACCTGAACCTTGTTAATTAAGTTATGTTAAATAATTCTGTGTCGTTAAAGTTGTAATAATTGTCATCTCAGTGATGCTTTTGATACGGTCTATCACTGTATCCTCCATGATAGACTAAAACATCACTTCTGCATCTCGGGCACGGTGCTGCTGTGGCTGAAGTCTTACATGTCAAATAGATCTCAGCGTGTTCTGTTCAATAAGGTTCTATCTAAGCCTTGTGAAGTCAGGCATGGTTTGACCACTTGGTCAACTACTACATTTTTTGGGATTTGTGTTTCACTGTTATGCAGATGATTTACAATTATACATGTGTGACAAACTGTGACAATGGGCCTAACTTATCAAAACTTCAGGTCCCTCTGTCAGCTGTTAGGAACTGGTTTTCAGAGAATTTTTTGTTCCTTAACTCTGCAAAGACAGAAATGATATTCATTGCACCACAGAAGTGGCATCATCTGTTTGAAAATGTTACTCTTTCTCTGGAATATCTTGTAGTGTGTTGTACTGATAAAACGAAAAATCTTGGGTTTATATTTGATGAGACTCTTGTTTTTGACAAACACATCAATGAGACGTCAAAGGTGGCATTATTTCATCCAAGAAGGATTGCTGAGATCAGACATATCCTGTCTGACAGAGATGCAGAAGTCCTCATTCATGCATTTGTAACATCTCACCTGGAGTATTGCAATGCGGTTCTGTCAGGACTGCAGAATAAAAATTTTGGGGTCTTGCAGATGGTGCAAAACACTGCTGCTCTAAATGCTTCTATGAATAAGATTATTATTATTGTTATCAATATTATTATTAGTAGTATTTTTATTATTTTCTGAGGCAATAAAATAATGACAGTGGTTAGGGTTATATTTCTTGTGTGACACGTTTCCATCAAAAGAACAGGGCTATGTTGAAATTAAAAAGATACCTAGGCCATGATGTTTACTAAAATGGACAGGAACAGGCATGTTAAATATCTGTAGGCCTACGTCTTACGGAATTTTGAGAGTAGTCTAAAATTCTGTTGAGATTCTGAGCCTGTTTATCGCCAACTAGTGGTGAAATCATCACAGATCCATTGATTTTGGTTGGATTTGTACATTTTTTTCTGTGGAATGAGAATACTACTTGGTGAAAAGAATGGCATATTAACTGATGTCAAACTTAGGGGAATAGTTAATTGTCAGTGAAGTTGAGATGAAAATACTGGAAAAAGTGAAAAAACGCCTTATTTTTTTCTGCATTAAATTGATCCAAAATCATGGATCATTATGGATCAAATCATTTTTTACTGAATGTTGTCACCACATGTACTCTGTGCACTTGTAATGCATCTATTGACGGCTAACCCAACCCATTAAGGACCTGAGGAAAATTTTCATTTTGCAAAAGTTTTTATCAAGAAATGAAGGGTACATACACTAAAATGGCCACATTTTTTTTCACGGTGCTTCTGGCAGAGCAGACCCTCAAACTTTTGGTTCTTAGGGTCAAAGTTAACAGAAACAACACTGATAAAAAAGTATAACAGACCATGTCAGGTTCAACCCATTTTTGAGACTTTGGCTCCCTAACTATTAGCAATGAAGAGGAGTAGTTGTCCCATGTTAAAATATACCATTTTAACTGTAGTGCAATATATACTCAGATGATTAACTTAAGTATCGGTGTCAATAACACAATGTAAAGGCTGTACTAAGGGAAGAAACCCTGCATTTTAATTAGGGTTGCACAATTAAATAAATCACAAATGTCTACGGCAATTTTCACAGGAAGGTGTAATATTTGTGTGTTAAAATACATGTCATGCTGCAGAAATATCATCAAATATCATATCATATGAGATCATATATTACAGACATAATACAAATTTGTTTGGTATAAATCCCTCCCAGAAATCTCAAAATAATTCTATTAATATTTTTCAATTCATTACCACTTACTCCAAATCATAAATCATCGATCAATTGCAGTATCAGTTAAAATAATAACAATTTGATATTTATTCCAAACTGTGCCTCTATATTTAAAATCCTGCTACCAGCTGAAGTCACTAAGGTTATGATCCCTTCTTGCAGAAAATTGGATGGCCACTGATATATTTTAAAAAGTAACATAGTACATTACTTTGTTACTTCTTATGTCTTCTTATGCTTCTTATGTCAATGCATAAGAAGCATTTTATCATTGCATGTGCTGAACATGGAGCGAGTTTGCTTCACTTTATGGGGTTATAAAATAAGTGTTAGGGGATTATAAACTAATAAAAAGATACTTAGTATGTTCATTTGCACTGCTATCAGTTAAAATAATAAATGTTCCTTTGTTATACATTCACTTCTTTAATTCGTCCCTCTGTTCTTTCTCCTAACACCGAAAAACTTTGACGCATTCCCATAGCTCTGATGCTGCAAATACACTTTTAACTTAACAGCAAAGCTCTCACAGGTTGGTACAGACCCCAGTATGATAGCTCCATGTGTTTTTGTTTTTTTTGTTTGTTTGTTTATTTCTTTTATGAGAACAGATTTACATAACTGTTATTGGCTGGCCTGTGTTACTTAGGCCCCCTTTTTAAAAAAGGCTTATTGCCATTTCTATTCAATCCAATTATTGTGAAGAAAAATAATAGATTTTGAGACCTATACCTGCCTCTGTATCATTTAACCATAGGTCAGTGAGGAAAACAGAAAGAGTGACAAGGAGGAGACAGACGAGCAGAGCAAGGAGTGAGAGAGATGCTGTTGCTCTGTCTCAGACCCATACTGTGGGATGCTATTGGATTCCATGGGGACGAGGTCTTGGAGTGAGATCGGTGAGCCAGGACTCATGCATCACTAGACCACCATCCACTTCTCCAGAGCATCAGGTTCAATCTCCGTCATCCTGCTCCCACCATGGTCAGCCATCTTGTCGGATCTTACAGGAAGCTCAGAAGTTCCAGATCTCCCGCCATGGGAGCTTCTGTTCCGAAGACTCCTGCATGAGCAGCCGAGCAACTGCAGAGGCTGATGGCATTTTGAGCTGTAAACACTCCAGCCTACCTATTGGGAGATACCAGGGGGAGTTTCATTTGGCAAGATCTCAGGAGAGTGCCAGCAATGCCGTGTAAGTTTACCACACAAGTATTTTTAGCTTGGGTTGAAGATTTAAGGGCAAAACAGATTTTTCAGACATTAGCCTTATAAAACTTTTCAATAATATGCCCCTGATTTCTTATTTATCTTAAATGGGATTTTTCTTGGCCTTCCTCTTCTGTCTCTCAGCTTACACTGAAGTTCTGCAGGTATTGTTCCTTCTGATTTTCTTTGTACCTTTTTTTTTCACCTGTTAACATGAATAGAGAAATTAATATTTATAACAGAAACAGAACTTCATTTTACTCTGATTTCCAATGATTAGGGTGTGAAGTCTTGGTATTAAAGCACTGGTTGAAATCTATTGATTGATAATTACAGTATCATATCTCATGGCTGAGTTGGGAGGACAGCTTTTTGTGACAGCTTCGTAGTAACAGCAACCTAAGTTCTTTCTTATTGAGAATCTGTTGATACTACAAAAAGTTGGGAAATTGTGATAAACGTAAATAAAAACAGAATACAATGATTTGCAAATTCTTTTTAACCTATATTCAATTGAATATACTACAAAGACAAGATATTTAATGCTCAAACTCATAAACTTTATTTTTTTTTTTTGCAAATAATTATTTATTTTAGAATTTGATGGCAGCAACACGTGACAAAGAAGTTGTCACTAGAAGAAAGAAGTTGTCTGTAGAAGAAAAATACTGAGAAATTTGAGGAATGCTCATCAAACACCTATTTGGAACATCCCACAGGTGAGCAGGCTAATTGGGAACAGGTGGGTGCCATGATTGGGTATAAAAGCAGCTTCCTCAAAAATTCTCAGTCATTCACAAACAAGGATGGAGCAAATAGTCGAACAGTTTAAGAACAATGTTTCTCAAAGTACTATTTCAAGGAATTTAGGGATATTAACATGTATGGTCCATAATATCATCAAAAGGTTCAAAGAATCTGGAGAAATCACTGCACATAAGCGGAACAGCCGGAAACCAACATTGAATGCCCGTGACCTTCGATCCCTCAGGTGGCACTGTATCAAAAACTGACATCAGTGTGTAAAGAATATCACCACATGGGCTCAAGAACACTTCAGAAAACCACTGTCAGTAAATACAGTTTGTTGCTACATCTGTAAGTGCACGTTAAAACTCTACTATGCAAAGTGAAAGCCATTTATCAACAACATCCAGGAAGGCGCCGGCTTCTCTGGGCCCAAGCTCATCTAAGATGGACTGATGCTTAATGAATTAATTTTTCAATTCAATTATTTTATTCGATTAGCATTTAAAATCCACCCACAACAGATACATAGTAAATTTCAAAAGCATCATAAAGCTAATCGAAAAGGTGTAGGCTGAAGCTCATGCTTATTTTGCCTACCCTTTTTACAAAAAAAACAAAAACTTTAGCAAGGCGACTCTTTAACTACATGGTCTGAGTTACACCACAAGTCTTCTAAAGAAAAGGGAAAAAGAAAGAGAGAAAAGATAAATTCTCAAAAACATGTTAGAAAATAAATAAACCAACAATATTCCGTAACAAGTATACAAACAGACACAACCAAAAATTTCAATATTTTGTTATTGCACTTCTTCATACCGGATTTACATATTTTCTTATTGCTTTAGTTTTATACATGTTCTTAAATAAGGAAAGTGAACTACACATTCTTAATTCATCATCACAGCTATTCCACAAATTAACACCTCTAACAGAAACACACCTCTGCTTAATATTCGTTCTTGTCTTAGTTGGACTGATGCAAAGTCAAAAAGTGTTTTGTGGTCTGAAGAGTCCACGTTTCAAATTGCTTTTGGAAATAGTAGACGTTGTGTCCTCCAGTCCAAAGAGGAAAAGAACCATCCGGACTGTTATCAACGTAAAGTTCAAAAGCCAGCATCTGTGATGGTATGGGGGTTGCATTAGTGCCCAAGAGATGGGTAACTTACACATCTGTGAATGCAACATTAATGCTAAAAGGTACATACAGGTTTTGGAGCAACATATGCTGCCATCCAAGCAATGTCTTTTTCATGGAAGCCCCGCTTATTTCAGCAAGACAATGCCAAGCCACATTCTACACGTGTTACAACAGCGTGGCTTTGTAGTAAAAGAGTGTGGGTACTCGACTGGCCTGCCTGAAGTCCAGACCTGTCTCCCATTGAAAATGTGTGGCGCATTATGAAGTGTAAAATACGACAACGGAGACCCCGGTCTGTTGAACAACTGAAGCTGTACATCAAGCAAGAATGGGAAAGAAAGCTTCAACAATTGGTCTCCTCAGTTCCTAAACGTAAATTTAGTCTTGTTAAAATGAAAGGTGATGTAACACAGTGGTAAACATGCCCTTGTCCCAACTACTTTGGCACGTGTTGCAGCCATGAAATTCTGTTTTAATTATTTTTTGCAGAAAAAAAAGTTCGTGAGTTGAACATTAAATATCTTGTCTTTTGTAGTGTATTCAATTGAATATACTGTAGGTTGAAAAGAATTTGAAAATCATTGTATTCTGTTTATCACAATTTCCCAAAGTTCAATGGAATTGGGTTTTGTAGATTGAAATTCATTTTTGTATAAAGTGCACACAGATTTAAGTATTTAAAATTTATGGTAATAATGCATAATGAATTTCCCTTTGCAGATCAATGAAGTTCTTGTATTGTATAGTATCTTAGAAAATAACTATCACTCTAAAATAGTTTGGATTTTGATAAACCAGAAAGTAAGTGAACTGGGAGAAAAAAGAAGCCATTTCTGTCATGAGACTAATTTATCACCCTCTAATGTCGGGATTTGCTGATTTGGCAGTTAATCTCTCCACTTTGCAGCAGTTATGTACAGACATGTGAAACCATGGTTGATGCAGGGTGTGTTAAGAGTGAACTTTATAAATTTAGACAATTTTAATTCTGAAAGCCTTTATGTATTTTTTACTAAGATGGTGGTTCTTTTTGGATCACTAGGAGGCTGCAGCATATCCTGGAGGAGCTGGTGTTAACAGAGAGAGAGTATGTGCGCTCACTAGGTTACATCCTTACCCACTACCTCCCCCTACTGGACAAACCAGACATTCCCCAGGACCTCAGAGGAAAGCGCAGTGTCATATTTGGAAACTTGGAGAAGCTTTTTGATTTCCACAGCCACTATTTTCTGCCAGAGCTGGAGGCCTGTCAAAGGGAACCGGCCATGGTGGCCCGCTGCTTCCTCAGACACGTGTGTGGTTTCTTTACATGAAAAAAGAATACAAAATATGTTATATCTTGATTGTACATGATGTAGGATAAATATAATGATGGATACATGAAGCCAAATATCTTTTGTTTTAGCTTGATTTCTCCTATTTTTAATCCAATCATGATATTATCTTAAAAACAACTGTAAAGATAATTAGTTAAAGGTGGGGTAGGCAGGATCTGAGGAGGTGCCAGTTTTTGTGGGAAATCTTGAATGTAAACTCTACCCATCCCAACCAGTTTTCCACTCAGCTCCTGCTCTGCCCTCCCTCTCTGCTCCAGCAAGCCCCGCCCACAAACAGACGCTCCTGCTCGCTTGTATCGTTCCAGTTAAATTCAGATATAATGCTTATAAATACTTCAGATAATTACAAATGGGGCCCAGTCCACGTGAAAGTAAAAAAGCATTGGGTGCTACTGAAGATGCCAACAGACTACCAGCAAACACTCTGGGCTCTATTTTCGTGTCCGCCAGGGACGCGGCAGAGGGTGGCAGACCCCGTGCAGTGGTATTTTCGTCTGGCAGAGCCCGGTGTTCAGCCAGTTAGGTATTTTTGTAGACTGAGGCACACAGAGCTGGGCGTGGTGGCGTGGCAGGGGGAAGTGTCGACAGAATCAGCTGGCGCGGTGACATTTTCGTGCTCGCTGGTGGTGTGTAAAGTGCGCTGAAAGCTCGCCGATTCAAACCTGGTCAGCTTTCAGTGCAGACGGAGCGCAGCTGGTCAAGTGGTATTTTGGTAGACCGGCAGCGTATCGGCATTTCCACAGTGTCAGGCACATTTCTGTGCAATAAATAATCATCAACTAATAATCTGAGTCAGCACATACATTTAGATCTATATAGATATATTCAACACACACAACCTGAGTCTCCGGTGTTTAGTTCGTTTTCTTGCTTGTGTCGACAGTCATGGCTAAAGGAGGATTAAGACAATTTTCTGTACTTTCTGGTTGGTTTCTACTGTCTGATATTGTAACTTTGTTTGGGCTCCTGAACGACATGGGGGAGCAGCGTCTGTCAACTAATAAGCACTGAGGAGCAGCGTCCACCTCACAACCAATCAGGATAGGGGAGGCGGGGAATGGCTTTGTTTACAGTCAGAAAGAGTGGAGCACTTTGAAATTTTAAAATGTTGACTACACAGACATAACAAAACACAGTGATATTGTTATATTACCAAATGTCATCAATGACTAATAGCTATTGACTGATATTAAAACCTTTTTTGTATATATACAACAAAAATGATGCTTCTTTAACGGATTCCTGCCTAACCCACCTTTAATCACTGATGTGAAAACTTTCGGCTCAAATACCACAAACTTGTTTACGCTTTATCATCAGATGTGATGAAACCAGAATTTGTTGTGTGTGTGGGTAAAGCCATTCCTTTACAATAAAAAAATAGAAGAACTTAACTTTAGAACTTAAATTTTCATAAATGTCTTAATTTTAATCCACAGAGTGACAGTTTTGGCCTGTATGCATTGTACAGCAAAAACAAACCTCAGTCAGACGCCCTGATCCTGTACCGTCGTCATGACATCTTTAAGGTCAGTTTAGGTCCTTCTTTTAACAGAAGCAGCTGAGTAGAAGAGTTTGTCACTATATCTGATTCAGACTAATGTTTCAAATTCTCCTTTTGCTGAAAAGAAAACTTCCCAGACTCTTTTGCAGATGACATACCTTCATTTAACATTATGGGATGTTTCATATGTAAATCAGAATGCCAAGTAAATTTAACCATAACCCCTATCTTAACCCTGGAAGTTTTCAGCTACACAGACTTTCTTTGTTTTCAATCACAGAGAAAGCAACAGGAGCTTGGAGACATGATGGACCTGTCATCCTACCTGCTGAGGCCAATCCAGCGGATCAGCAAGTACAGCCTCCTGCTGCAGGACATGCTGGCCCTGGCTGGCTCATACAGGCGAAAGGACATTATCGAAGATACCCTGTACACTGGTGTGAGTACACAGAATGTGTGCAGCCCAGTTGCCTACGTGCCTGATCAGACAAGTAGTCAAAAGGAGCGAGAGAAGGCTGAGATCCGAGCTGCGGCAGACCTGGTTCGGTTTCAAATGCGCCATGGCAACGATTTGCTCACCATGGATGCCATTCAGGGCTGCGATGTAAGATATAAAGATGATAGGTAATATACCTGATACACAGAATAAAATTCAAGGTAACTGTAAGTCTGCTGTACTGCTCTGTGTACTTTCAGGTAAATTTGAAAGAACAGGGCCAGCTGATTCGCCAGGACGAGTTCACAGTTCTATTTAGGAAGAAGAAATGTGTCCGCCGTGTTTTTCTCTTTGAAGATCTTATCCTCTTCAGCAAGACCAAAAGGACAGATATTGGCAATGACGTGTACGTCTACAAGCAGTCATTCAAGGTCTGCACACATTCTTGTTTATCATGAGATCGTACTACTCTACCATTTATTGAGTTTCAATGGTAACTGACATTCTGAAGTGCAGATAATGAATTTCACTTTGGTCATTTGTGTCTTTGTGTTTTCTCTCTCAGACGTGTGACATCGGGATGACCCACAATTCAAACGTGAGTGGTTTGTGTTTTGAGATCTGGTTCCGTAGGAGAAAAAGTGAGGACACCTATACCTTAAAGGCCTCTAGCATGGAGGTGAAGAAAGCCTGGACTACCGACCTGGAAAAGATACTTTGGGATCAAGCCACTCACAGTAGAGGTTTTAACAAAATCTCAGCAAAGCATTTTTTTAAACCCTAGTGCGCAAGACTTTATTTTATAAAGGACTTTACATGTTTATAAAATTATAAAATTTATAATGAATAAACCATATGTTGCAGAGCTGCGTTTGCAGGAGAGGGTGTTTATGGGGACCGGCTGCAAACCATTCATGGACATTCAACCTAGTGAGGCTGCTATCTGTGACCGGGCTGTCAGCTATGTTCTCCCCGGGAAAAGTAAGGACATTCAGTGTCTTTTCTTTATTTTTTTATATCAATATTTACATTGTGGATTATCACTGAAGGCATCAAAACTGTGAATGAACACATGTAGAATTTTGTACTTATAAAAAAAGTGTGAAATAACTGAAAAAAATGTTTTATATTCAAGTTTCTTTAAAGTAGCCACCCTTTGCTCTTGATGACAGAAGTACTCAGTAGTAACCCTGACAAGGCACACCTGTGAAGTAAAAACCATTTCAGGTGACTACTTCACGAAGCTCATTGAGAGAACAGCAAAAGTTTGCAGCGCTATCAAAATAGCAAAGGGTGGCTACTTTGAGGAATCTAAAATATAAAACATGTTTTCAGTTATTTCACACTTTTTTCTTAAGCACATGATTCCACCTGTGTTCATTCATAGTTTTGATGCCCTCAGTGAGAATGTACAATTTCAATAGTAATGAGAATAAGGAATAGATAGATAGATAGATAGATAGATAGATAGATAGATAATTTACATTTATGAGATACATTTAATTTCCTTTCGGGGATCACTAAAGGTCTTCTACATAAGTATTTATATATATATAATTTATTTTTTACTAAAAGATTATATAATCAACAAAATGTAGCAGTACAGACATTTTTGGTTTTAATGGGATATTATGGGCCCCTTACTATACCCTTTACATTAACATGTGTTTTATGCCAAGAGCTTTAAGTGTAATATCGTAACCGTTGTATGGGTTTCCATGAAGTCTAGCCAACAAAAGTACGTCCTGCTGTGGACTTTGTCACTAATAATTATGTTTACATTAATTTTTTGCATTGTTTTAATTAAAGAAGTGAACATAGAAAACAAAATAATACAGGAAAACAAGCAAGCCAGTGTTCTAAGCTTTTACAGCTGCTTATGTGTGTACTGGTGTTACAATAAAGTTAAACTCAGCACAGCCTCACAGTGTGCATAGTTGTCATGGATAAAGAGTCTTGATTCCTCTTTTATGCATATTCCTCTTAGACCCTGTTTACCAATTTCATATTTTTAAAACTTTTTTGTTATTCGAGCCAAAAAATACACTATTAACACGGTTAAACAGTTTTTTTTTTCTTTCCTAAAATCACTTTACAGTCATGCTTATACCCTCATTGTTAACTGACCTAGCCCATTATTTTCTGCTGTAATCTATCTGTGTGTCGTCAGTTCCTGTGGCCTGTTGTTCACACAGGGGCTTAGAAAATCCTCGGCCACACTCGATAGGCTCTGGTAGTACTGCCTCGACCACAGTCAGCCAGTCATCTTCCTCATCTGGACGGGGTTCGCTGCCCCCTGCTGGATATCTTGGGAACCAGTCACAAGGAGTGGAATCAGGTCTTGCTGGCTGCTCCTCCCCTGAGGCTGTGGGTGATAATGAACTCAGCAATTATCATCCTCAACACCATCATCTTCATCATAATAGTGAACACCGGAAAACTCATCCTCTAGGTGTGTTTTAATTTGTTTAATTTTTATGTGAATACTCATGGTATAGGTCTGTTCAAATTTTGATCCCATTTTGACATTTTAGCTTTTCTGTGAAATTTGTGCTATAGTGGACAGTACCAAACCACCTGGAGACAACATCAACCACTTAAGCAGCTCCAACCGCAGCTGTCTGTCTGCAATTGGTGGAGAAATAGTGGACCTCTCCTCCTTGTTTCTATCCCAGAAGTCTTTGCAGCAACCACCACTTTTGCAGATGCCAGGCATTGATAAAAATGGCTCACCAGCAGTTATAAGAAAGAAACAAGGTGTCACTCTCAAAGTTCCACATCTGGCTAATGCTCAGTTACAGGTGAGGTGTAACTCTTTGACCTGGTGATGCAGCATTTGTTTTGTAAATTAAACTGAAAGTCACATTGTGTCATCAATAATGTTAAAATTACAAAGGTTTGGAAAGTGTCTTAGTGTGTTAGTATGAAATAAAGTTTGAGTCTTCTATCAGTATACAGCATTGATTTAAACACAAAGTTCTTTTTCTTTATTATGATGGACTGTTTGATAATTTTTTGCAGAGTGATGGTAGAATAATTGGAAAATCTACGGAAGTATAACAACTGGTTTTCTACCAAAGGTAATTTTTACATACTGTTTCTATTTTACTCACAAGTGTATTAAGTCAGCCTTTTTTGCATATTCATGTACTGTTCTTGTATCTTTTTTGCCTTAATCTTAATAGTCTATACATTTTTGTGCTGACCTTAAGACAGCATCTCTGCATAAAAAGCTCTATTATTATTATTATTGTTGTTGTTGTTGTTGTTGTTGTTATTATTATTATTTTCTTTGAAATCATTGACAGTTGTAAAGCAAGAACAATGTGTTGATGAAATATTTTGCAGGTCATGAGTCTTCTGTTACTTTTCCTGCCTTGTTGAAGATCTTCAGACCTCCATACTGACTGAGCAAAGAAGTTATTTTGTGTGGCCACACAGTCATATAACTCTCACCCAGCTTTACATGTAACAAGCTCCTTCTTTAAATGATTTATTTCAGTGTTGGGTGTTAGTTGTATCGGCATCAAGAGAGTAAAATGTGGATGGCCTGCATTATAATCAGTATGATACCATTCCTGGAACAATGAAGAGATTGCTACATGGGTACAATGGTTAACAGTTGACAGAGTAACAGATTCACACCCATGTAAGCAAGCACATGTTTTGCAATGGTGCGCTATATAGAGGTCACAAAACTTGCTTTGGCCTTTTTCTCTGGCAGGGTCATCTTCTTCCAGCCAAGGGAGATATTTTACATGTATTTGATCAATATTCTGTTTTTCAATATGTCAGCCTGTCTAATCATTATAAACTCAGATCAAGGAATATTTTTTAAATCATTGAGAGCTTAACACACATAGAGGAAAGCACTTGCATCCAGTGCCAGAAGTACAATTACTATGATTTCCTTGAGGGAACTCCCAAAAAGGATATATATAGGTGTTTCTGATCTAATGTAAACTAATCTACAGTGTTTCTTAATACTGATGCTACTTGTGGAGGGTTTTATAAGAAGCCGTTCTAGCGTCTATTATTCTTTCAGAAGCAGGAAAAATTTGTTTTGGTCACAAGGTGACAATGGAAACAATGCAGGCCAAAACACAGATCAATTCCTGAGCTTTCCATTGGCCAAAAGCCCAGTGCTAGCTACACACTCACCAACGGTTGACCATAAATGGGTATACATGGAGATGTCAGGAACCAAATGCAAAACTAAAACTTTTTTCATTTGATAGTCTAGTTAAGAGATAAGTTAGAGATAAATACAGACACGCTGAGGGATTCTCTATGATTTCTCCTGCAGTAGTTTTAGTCCTCTGATATCTTTGTGTACACACATTTTTATCCTCTTTATTGGACATTGTTAAAGTGGTCTTATATTTACTAATTTATACTAGGGGACAGACCACTTGTCCATGCACTTGATTGCATGTTTTAACACCTGAAGAATAGAATATCTTAAACTCTTGCATGTGTTGCAGGAATATGACTTTCAGGTCAACACTACTAAGAGGTAAAAAGGGTCCACTAATTGTTCCACTCTGATCAAACTTCCAGTTTCCTACTTGTTTAGATGACCATTACAGAGAAGTTTTTTTCAGGATATTTAAATGCTTTTCATGTAGTATGGTTTCATTAAAAGGTCAGTTAAATAAGATGTAAACCTTTTTCAAGCTCTGAATATTGTGCAATAAGTGCACACAAGTCATGACAGGATCTTGCTAAACAGGACAAAAGTTGAATGTTTAGGTCAATATGTGGAGCTCTGTTTGATGTATTTGAAATCCACTAACTCCAATAACACTGCTTATCTATTTTTTGTACCCTGTTTCCTTTTTATTGATTATTTAATTTCCCTGAAGCTTTGTTGTTTTAATGGGTTTCTCAATTTTACTGTTTCATATTCAAATAAGAAGTTACTACTGTTGTAAGCTTTCTTTCTTTCTTTCTTTCTTTCTTTTTTGCTTGCTTGCTGCATTCTTTTATCCAGTCTGGGGTTTTACAAAGATGCATCACAATTTCATAACTTTCCTCTCAACTCTGTCTTACTTTCTTGCAGTGACCAGATAGACTGCAAGGAGATAACATTAGTTTCACTTATTTATTTCACCAACATACCAGTTCCCCACAAAAACAGTTGTGGAAACAACTCATAATTTTTCTAACTTCTTCAACCAGGTTCAAAAAAAGGAGTTTAATGAGCTGCACATGATAATTTACAACGCTAAAACAGTACTGTCATCCAGAGCTGAAAGTGAGAAATAAAAGTTTTTGTTTGTGTCACTTCTTTGGAAAATAAAATGTGTGTATGTTTAATTCTGAAGATGTCTTCAGTTACTTATAGATTTGCATTACTTTTGGCCACAATTTTAACATAAAGTCATAAATGTTGCAGTCCAATGATAAATAAATAATTTATCAAAAAATGAACTATTGAGTCTTGTTTTGTTTTTCATCAAACATTTAGCACATGGAGATTTGTCTTTTACGATGAAGTATAAATATGATGAATACGATGAATATATACATATATATATATATATATATATATATATATATATATATATATTATATTTATTATATATATATATATATATATATATATATATATATATTTTTTTTTTTTTTTTTTTTTTTTATCGAACTACACAAAAAAGACTCCATCATTTTACATAATGTTGGTAAAACTATAGTCAAATTAAAAGGTGGGTAAGCTGAATGTAACTGTTTGGCCGTCACATTAAAGACGATAGAGGAAGGAGTGGCGCAAGCCTGTTTGCCCTTCCTTACTAAAAACAGATCTTTACGTGACGAATAGACTAATGGGGGCGTAGCTATCGGATTTCAGATGCTACAAATATCTCTGAGGATCTACAGATAGCTGGGTCACCTCCAATAAAGTGGTCTACGGACAGGCGCTGAAGTACCTATCGCAAGTTTCAGCAGAAGCCGAGACAAGAACTTTGCTGAAGACATGAGCCAAGGTTGGGAAGACAACGAGCTTTTTTCTTTGACATTTCAGAATAAATGTGTAGCCTTTGTCAGTACTTGACAGGAAGGCTTATTTCTAACTTGTCAGTTTCTGTCGGTGTGACTTCATAGAGTGTGTTTTTTGAGAAGGCTATCATATGAGGGTCAAGTAACCTAAATGTGTGAAGTGGAATGGTGGGTAATACGGAATATAACAACACAGTAACACTGTCTGCAAAGGGTGATGTCAAGTTATATTTGCTAACCTTATCGAGAAACCGCAGTTTTTGTCTGTTGATGTTTACTGAAGTTTTGATCGATGTCAACATTTCTGTTCTTTTCTTCCTCTCCACACAGTGTTGGACATTGAGCTCTGTGATCTGGACATAAAGAATAACAGCATCAGCCACCACACAGAGAAGTATGCAGAGGAGCGGTTGATCATCAGGAGGGGACAACCCTTCAACCTAATATTACATCTGAAAGCTTGCAGTAAGGAGTTCAAACCGGGTCAAACAAGTTTTACACTGATTGTTGAAACCGGTAAGTTTTTTGTTCTAAGGTGGTTCACACAACTACACTGAGAAAAAATGTTATAAGTTGTAAAGGGACGGGAGGGTGCATCTTTGGTGTGTACAAGAGGATTTGTGTTTCCCTTATCTAGTTTTAGATTTTATATTCCCACCCTTCTGTCTCTCAAGGTCCATTACCCAGAAAAGAATCAGACACCAAGGTTTCCTTTGGCCTGAGTGACACTGTTGTGGATACTGAGTGGAGCGCATCCGCCACCAACGATTCCTCTGCAAACAAAGTGTCCGTATCTATCTGTTCCTCACCCAATGCCCCAGTTGGGGTCTATTCACTGACTCTGGATCAGGAAGGGCAGAAAACCAGTTTGGGAGAGTTCACCCTGCTATTTAATACTTGGTGCCCCAGTAAGTTTGCTCAAAAGGGTATATATTTTTGATGTGTATGTGTATGGTCATGCGCCACCATGTAAGTCGGAGCTATTTATGAGAGGGGGGCAAAGACGCACACTTATCAGTGATTCAGGATTTAATTTAAGTTATTTTATACCGTAATAAAACTAAACTGGATGAACACAGCATTTCTATTGCTAGGAAAATGAAACTTTGATAAAAAAATCAACCATTTTAAGGAACATAACAGCATTCATTTAAAAAAAAAATAACAGTTTCCGCCCCTGACTCAGGGCTATCACACGTTACCTAAAGTAGACCTTCTCTCAGTTGACCTAGAGATAATTCATAATGGACAATTGCGTTTGTCTTTCCTGCGTAATGGTGTTGCGCAGCCAGGTTTTAATCTGCGCGGGGCTGAGAAAGAGCGCACGGATGCCGCGACAGATATGGCATATCCTTTAGTATGTCCAGCTCAAGGCTTAGCTGATTGATTGATTGATTGATTGATTGATTGATTGATTGATTGATTGATTGATTGATTGATTGATTGATTGATTGATTGATTGATTGATTCTCCCGTGGAAATGGGAGTCAGATCCGGGTAACCCACATCAACCAGTTTCCCCTCAGCCGCCTCAAGAACTACCTTGTTGGAGACCGATATGTACCAATGACTCAAAATTTCATTAAAAATGTAATGAAACCCCAAATGTAATTGTTCGATAATGTAAAAAGATTCTGAGCCCTAAACGTAATAACTTTTTGGTCATTGTCGGTCTCTCACATGCCTGCTCTTGCCCTGCAACTATAGGTTGAGTCCCTCCTGATCAAAACGCTGCTCCACCTCTAAGCGCACCACGTCCAGCCTCACACACTCCTCTCTTCCATGAACTTGCATTGCTTGTGCCATTAGGTTAACAGATCAAAACAACAATGCGCGCGAAAACATATAAAAAAAACAATGCCCGCAAAACAAGAGTCATGTTTTTGTAATTTGTTTAGCCTACATCACACTGAACTGTCGATGCACATCACATACATCTATGCCTCGTATATTTTATGAAAGAGATAAATGTAAGACAAATTGAGTTTAAATTTAGATTCTTTTTAAAGCGTCATGCTGCAGGTAGGGAGGCCGAAGGGCTGCGGAGGGAGTGGATGGGAGTGGGTGCGCCCCCCCAGTTCCGACGTCTATGTGCATCACACCCTTTTTAAAAAAAAATCATATCTCTTTGTCTTTCTTTTAGATCATGTACAATGTAGAATCGTTTAAAAATGCATTAAATATATCATGCCACTTATATATCATATCATCAAATACATGTTTAAGTAATCAGAAAATCTCTGTTACATATGCAGTCTTGCTTTTCTTAATATGCATGGTTCTTTTCATTGACTCACTTAGAAGATGCAGTTTATATGCGGAGCGAGACAAAGAGGAAGGAGTATGTTTTAGAGCAACATGGGCAGATTTACAGAGGGACACATAAACGAATCAAAGGGACACCCTGGAACTTTGGACAGGTACACAAGATGTTTTTAAAACTTCTCACAATTTCTAAGTACAGTACTTATTCATTCATCAACAGGGCACAATTTTATATTCTGGTACATTTGTCATTCATTAGTTTTTACTACAAAATTAACTGAATATAACAAATCAAAATTTGCAGAGTTCACCTTTAATCTCTACTGCTGCTAACTTCACTATGTGTTTATCTAACAGTTTAATTCAGGGATACTTGATATATGTCTCAAGATCCTGGACGACAACCCCAAATTTGTATCTGATGCTGACATGGACTGCTCTGCCAGGAGAAATCCCATCTATGTGACCAGGGTGCTGAGTGCCATGGTAGGTATGCGTATAGGCTGACTGAAGGGTTAGTGCCAAAAAAATTAGAGCAAATGGCCATTCTGCAATAACTGCACAGGAAAGACAATGGTACCCCTATGAACTTGCACTGGGTGCACCAGAACACTCCTCAGTATACCTCTTTATAGGGTTACTGTTTTGCAGGGAAACTGCTGGCAACTGTGGGCCTAATTCCCAGCTCCTTCAGTCAGCTTAGGTGTCCTCGGGAAAGATGCTCGGCGTCAAAATAGCCTATCAAAGGCACAGCCATTACTGTATGAGTGTATGTGAATGACATAAGTTAACTATTGGTGGGTTGACTCTAGGGATGGATGATGAATTATCATTCACGATATATCATCAGAAAAATCCTCTGTGAATAAATATTTGGCCAACTCATGATAAATACGATAAATGCAAGTTGATGATGTAAGCGCGAGCAACGGAATCGCAGCCATAGCCCACACAGAGCAGATAACAAACAAACATGGCCCAAGGTAATGAAAAAGATGTGAGCAGCTTGTTACTGAACTAGGTTCCACATGAGGGATTTCCTTCAAGATTGGGGCTTAGATATGCACAGTCACGTATGCCTGACATCAGACAGTGAGTCTGCCGCTGCTGTTCACTCTGTGCAATAAGAGTTTTCCACAAATGTTGAAAATTTTTTCACATTTTAGACTTGTTTGAAGTCATTAGTTTTCTCCATAACCTGCCACTTAAACTTGTGGTTAAGTATTTGACTGTTCCAACTGGTGTTCTCAAGACAAAATAGGTTGAAACATTTGGATTTGAATTATAATATTTTTGTTGGGACTTCTATTGTTATTGCCAGAATGGCAAATCCTGTAGTGATACATTTTTTAGAAAATGGTTGAATTTGTTCTTTGTTTCTTTTTCTAAATATTTTAACTCTGCAAAAGTCAGATCTCAGTAAATTTGATAGAAGTCCATAGAAAATCTGATGACATAGAGGAATGTCCTATTTCAATGATGATAAGCATGTTCAGACTAAAACCTCAAATTTCCTTTTCTCTCTTCCAACTTTTGTCCATCTTTCCTCTGTCTGTGTCCATAGATCAACAGTTTTGATGACAGAGGGGTTCTGGTTGGAGAATGGGAGGATTTTTCCGATGGGGTTCATCCAGGAACGTGGACTGGCAGTGGGGCAATTTTGCGCAAATGGGCAGAAAGTGGCCCTGTCCACTACGGACAATGTTGGGTTTTCGCTGCTGTTGCATGCACAGGTTTGAGTATCTTCCAAGTTGCAACTTCAAGCTCAACTTTTTTAACTGAACCTTAAATTTAGAGCCTAATCTTGTGGATGTAAAGCCATCTGTCACGTGATATTTTTGTGTGATGTCTTTATTGCAAGTCTTTGATGACAGGCACCATCTCAAGTGTACGCTTTAGATAGCAGACTTGATGAAGTGTGACTCTTCTTCCTCTTCCAGTGTCCCGTGCCCTTGGAATCCCATGTCGAGTGGTTACTAACTTTGGATCTGCTCACGATTCAGATGCCAACTTGTATATTGAGAACCTGTATGATGAAAATGGGGAGAGAATTTCCGGAGGTGATTCGGTTTGGTAAGTTATCAAGCTCTCCATGCTCCAAAGGTATGAGACTCATGGGTATCTGTTACAAAAAAATCAAACTTTAATGAATTTTCTTAATAATCCAAGAAAAAAAATTTATTTACCAGGAATTTCCATGTCTGGGTGGACAGCTGGATGACTCGTCCTGACTTGGGAACAGAGTATGATGGGTGGCAAGCCAGTGACCCAACCCCACAGGAGAGAAGTGATGGTAAAATCTAAATTGTTGTTCTATACTGTGTTTTCAAACACATAAAAAAAAGGTTTGGGTGTGGAAATGTAAGTCCTAAATTTGATATTGCAAACTGATTATTGTCATGCTTACGGCCAAACCAGTTACACAGTGAGGACAAAACAGTTACAATTAACTGCAACTCTTTCAAAACTGAGCATGCAGGGTCACAACACTGCATGCTGAGTCTTAGGATTTTAACCACAGTGGTTTGCATCTGTTCCTGACAGTAGTCACAGGTTTTTTGGATGGTATGGCATATGACTTTTGGTTGGTAAGTTCCTCTAACTCATCTCAAGACACAGCACAAACAGGGTTTATGTGGTAAATGCACACATGGGGTTATTTCTTTTTCCTTATGACACCTTTTCTTTCAAGTAAAGCTCTTTTGTTACAAAAGAGAATCGACTCCTGACATTTGAATGATATTACCCAAATAAAAACAGTGTCTCATGTGTTGGCCATCTTGGGTATTAGGGTATTGTTTGTAAGACAACACCCAGAACTCTTAAACTGGTCTTCCAGCTCACCTGTAACTTTCAGCATTAGATGTTGCTTTATTTGTTCAATTGGCTCAAGTCTTAAATTTATCACTGTGTGTAACAACTGCTTAAGTGCAAGATGTTGGCTATTGTGGAAAAGGACCCACACCTTTGTATACATAAAAGGCTCATTTTATTTTAACAAAAAACAAAATGACTTTGACATAATACATTGATCTGAACATACTTATGAATACCATATTCCATTTCTACTAAATCTGTTCTGCCAAATGCTGTTAAATTCGACACACTGTACCTTTAAGTGAGTCCAGTGTTAATTTGTTGGTTTCTGTCAGGTGTTTTCTGTTGTGGACCAGCTCCTCTGAAGGCCATCAAGGAGGGAGAGCTGACAAAGAAGTATGATGCTCCCTTTATTTTTGCTGAGGTGATTTTTTGATGAATTTAGTACAACACTGAAAGAGAAAATTCAAACATTTACATCCTTTTCTTTAACTGTGTTGACTTGAGGTTTTGAGGTTAAATGTGTAACAAGGCCTGACCGAGCAAATCCATCAAACGGGGGCTGTCATATTCTGTGTTCTGAATATAACTGATACTGTGCTGCTATGAAGAGATATCTGCTCTTGCGGTTTCCTTAAACTGCTTTTCCTACCTGCTGTCCTCCACCAAATGACTGCTTCCTGGAATGCCTTTCTAGCCACTATTGTTTTATATTATCTCTTTTTTTGTGTGTATGGGGTCAGGTCAATGCAGATGTTGTGGACTTGGTGCAATTGACGAGTGGAGAGTTTGTCAAGTTCAGTGGATCAACTAAGTCTGTCGGACGCTTCATCAGCACCAAAGCAGTTGGCTCAGACGAGCGGCATGACATCACACATCAGTACAAATATGCAGAAGGTATTACAGAGTGCACAGACATACAGACGCACACACTTCTTGGAGTATACTTTTGTGCATCTTTTGAAGTCTCTGCATTGTTATTCGTGCTCGAATTATTTATCTCTTAGCAGTCTTAGAAGGAAATTGTGTATTTTTATTCCTTTTTGTTAGCTTAAACAAAACTCTGTAAATTCTGTTTGATTTTGATGGTTTACAGGTACAGAGGAGGAAAGGAGAGTGTATGAGAAGGCTCAACACCACAACAAGTTACAGCAGAAAGGAGAAGAGCCAGGGCTTCACCTCAAGGTGTTAATATTCATAGAAATACTAATAATAATTGAGGAGGTTTAGTGCTGCTATTGCAACAATAAATTAATTCTGCAGTAATTAATTCAAAAAGCTTCTTCACACAGTAGGTGGGGTGGCTTAACTTATGAACATGATCAACTGTGGACAAATGACAGTTTTAATACACTAGAAGAACTCTCAGAAGGCAGTATTGGCTGTGCAAAGTTTCTCTCTGATCGACTATATGAAGAGAATTGGATAAAGAGTCATGCCTTGTAAAACAGGACAGAAGTCATGGGGTTTTAAAATAAAAAAATATTTGAACAGAATGACACAGAAATACTGCTAACTGGCATGCAAATATTGCATTTGTGTTGGCAAATGTAATTTGTAAAAATAGAGGAATAAAGATTTAATTAAATACTCATTGAGGCTCGGGCCTCAATGGGGGCCTAAGCAAAATTAGATTTTGGGGCCCTTTATTTCTGCCACACACCTTCACAAATCTCTTTGATGAACATTCCATGACATGCAAACATACCTTTATCTTGGCGTTTTTTCTCTTTTTCCTCTTTCTTTTCTCTGCTCCTGATGGACATGTCCTTTTTTGCGACATTGTTTTACCCCACAGCTACCTGAGCTTTGGATGCTCAGTGCACATTGCACAGCATTAGGCACATTACGGTGGCGGAGCTTTGACATATTGGCAGTAAGAATTATAGGCCTACATCTGCAGCAGCACTAAAATGTTTTTACTTGGTTTTATTTTATTTTCACAATAATATATATTTGATCATCAGAAAGCATCACTCATACAAACTAAAAAAAAAAAAATATTCAAATGTATATTTTTTTGATCGCTCTTGAGGGCCCCCTACTGGCTGGCGCTTAGTTCGCTTATTCCAAATACCAAATACCCAAAGAACCACCTGCTCCTGGTCAAAACCTACAAAATATTACCATGCATTATTATTATTCTGAAGTTGTGGATTGAAAAATATATATATATATATAATTCTCATTGCAGATCAGACTGGCTGATAACATGATGGTGGGTTCAGACTTTGAAGTGTACGCTGTCCTCACTAATAACTGTGAGGAGGCCAAGACCTGCACCTTCTTGTTTTTTGCCAGAGCTGTCAGCTACAATGGAAGACAAGGAGAGAGCTGTGGGTTTGCTTCAGACAAATTGGAGGTGGCCTCTGGTGAAGGTTAGCTCTAACCATTGAATAAACAGAACATGCTAAACATGCACTATAATTATTTTGAAACTTGATTCACATTGTTTGATTTTGCAGAAAAGCATCTGTCCCTCAAACTGGAGTATAAAAGTTATGGATCAGCAATCACTTCTGATAGGTTGATCCAGCTGTCAGCCATCACCATCGACAAGCAGAACATACATTACAATAAGGCTGAGAAGACCATTGTGCTGGACGAGCCAGACATTCAGACAAAGGTATGGATAATAAATTGGTGAAAAACAGGCATTTTCAAGCATTAAATATATTCTGCAGTATAACCTGAGGCAATGCTGTTTATTTTACACCTTAGCAGAATGCAGACCAGTATGAAGAATTCAGAGCAAATAAATTCAAACTACACAACCTTTATGTGTTATTACTTTTATGTATATATTCAAAATATGGCTGCTGCATATCGAACAGTCAAAAGCTGTACTGATTTTCAAAATTAACTGAAGATCTGACCTTTTCTATATGAACTGGTAATCCAAGTATGGTTTTTTTTGTATGTTAAACTGCAATGACAAAAGGTTTTAGTTTTAATTACAATTCTCAATCAGTGAATTTACTTTAATCACATTAAAATAGGTTTGGTCAAAAGATGTGGGCAAAATGATAATCCTCTGTTGTGACCTGATGAAACCTGTTTCTCTGCAGTTGATTGGAGATGCGAGACTCAATCAGCCTTTGACAGCAGAGCTAAGCTTGTTGAACCCCTTACCAGAAACCCTTCAGGACTGCAGCTTCTCTGTAGAAGGGGTTGGAATTACTGATGGCAAACTCATTACAAAATTGTAAGTGAACACCAGCTCTACTGTTGTGAGGGGACTTATATTATTTCTGTGCCCCTACCTCACTCCATTTATGAGGTTTTTCTTGTGCACTTTTCATAGATTTGCTGTTACAATCAGTAAAAAATTGCAACACTTTGGCTGACATTGCTTATTGTCTGTGTGTTTGATTCTGCAGAGTTGGAGCTGTGGGCCCAAAACAGAAAGCCATGGCCAGCATTGAGTTCAGTCCCACCACTGCTGGCTCCAGCATACTGCTGGTAAACTTTGATTGCAACAAACTGCACAACATCAAGAGCTCCATCGAGGTTGTGGTGAAGGAATGAGCCATTACACATAAATCCTTAAAAGTTGATGCTGTTCATTTTTGTTTTTTTTTAACTTAACTACAGTTATGTCGAGGGAAGGGAGCTTTTATTTATAAATGCGCATATATTTTTAGCCATGTAATATGAGCCCTAATACAGAAATGAAATATATCTGTCATAGTGTATAATGCAAATTTTTTTTTTAACTTTATTTTATGAGGTCGTTCATTTTTCAAAATACTTAGAAAGAGAGAAAGAAAGGGGAACAAACTGGAAAAGAATGAGAAAGAAAAGGCACAGATGGAAAAATAGAGTAGAATCATTGTAACAATGCATACATTTCATTCTAGAAACATTCTTTCTCTAGAGCCCAACAGCACTGATGGAGCACATCAAATAGGACAGTAGGGTGTACTGTACTCAAGCATAAAAGAAAATAAAGAAAAATGAACATTCATTATTCACTGTCATTAATTGCCTCCTGTTGTGATAAAATGTCACTTACTCAAGATGAGCTGTCCATTTCCTCCATAGCCTGGTGAATTTGTCCGTGCACAGGTTCAAGGAAAAGGTCCGTTTTTCCATGTCGTATATTTCTTTCACAATTACAATCCACTACTCTTTAGTTGGGGGCTCTTTCAATGGCCAACTTCTTGTAATAGCCTTTTTACCGGCTGCCAACATTATTTTAATCAAATATTTATCAGTAGCATTGATTGTGGGGGAAATATTACCAAGATAAATTGGGCAACACACAATGTTCTGACAAACACAAAACTAAAGGAAATCATAAGCATTCAAATTAAAAGTGACAGCAGCACTTGTTGACTACAGGTGCATAATGATTTTTGTCTAATCTTTGGGTTTTCATTATTGCACACTGTATTGTAGATCACTTGTCTTCAATGACAAATAACCATAATATACACTAACTTTGAAATTTCCTCAATGGCTATATTTTTTGGCTATGAACTCTTGATGGTATTAAACAATTTTCTTTAGTTTTACTCCACTCTGGAGTAAAATCTGAAGATGAAGGTGACGTCACACAGCCCTGATGTGGAAGTAAATTTAACATTTTAATTGGCAATTATTTTGCAAATATATATCCTACATTGTTCAGTGAAACAGGGATTTTTATTGAACGCACACGCTTGTTCCTGCAATCGTCCTCTACTCCTCCAAGTGTGTCCTGCGTAGTGTTGCAGTTGTAGGAAATGTGTCTGAGCCTGTCGTTTGGGTCTGCCGGAGGTTCACTGTGATTTGAATGCAGAAATACTCAGAAATACAATTTTGCACTTACTATTCGCATGATTTGTCCTGTAGCATCAGAAAAATGATATACAAACATGTAGACAACAAGAATAACATGATTTTCATCAGAGTGGGTCTTTAAGGTAAGTTTAAACTGTGCAAAATATTTTTGTTGGCCTGCAGAATTTCTTTATTTTTTTCTCGGCAGCAGTCCATTTATTTCATAAATGCAACACACTATAGTTTTTATATAGTTTGCATGAAGGTTAAAAAAAACGATATATGCAGTGTTATCTTCATTTTAAGATGTCAAGGGGGTTTTGTGGTGGCTCCCTCTGTTTTCTTTTCTGTGGGATACTGTTCCAAATGGCTCTTTGAGTGTTTAAGGTTGCCGACCCCTGCCTCCACCAAATATCAGCAACGATTCCTGAGCCTCATAGGCCCCTGCATACCTTTTCCATTGAACATCTTGGTAGGATGCCTTTAGGAGTTAAAAAAGAAGTAGATTGGTTTTATTTTCTCTATTTTTGCATTTCCAATACAAGGGAAGATTAGGAAAGAGGAAAACAAAAAAACTTCAAAAATGTGTCCAAGTACCTTACAAGCACAGACTAAGCGATGAATGGGCCTAAGGGCATCTTTTTTACAGATTTTTTTAAAAGGCATAAAATTTCAGGGAAATATCAACCAGCCTCATCAACGGAATTGCCACTGCTGAGCAACCACATCACTTTGCTATATGTTTAAAGACCCAAAAGAAACGACATTACCACCCTGAAAATCCTGTAAACGTGATTTGTCTCTCGCAAATCCACACAAAATGGAAACTTCTTGTATGTGCTTCAAGACAAGGCAGTTTATTGGAAAACAAGTTTTTTCAAGAACTATTTACAAAAACTCCTCAGAATTATTTTGTAAAACTCAAACCCTGTCTGGTACACACTTATGACCTAATTATCCCTATCATGGTTAAAGCATCTGTCCAAATAAAAACATGGAAAATGGCCACTTGGAATTACAAAGTGTTAGTCTTCCAAGAAGAAAAACACTTACTAGCTGTGACAAGAAAACCAAAGTGGGTAATAAACTAGGTGTCCAAGCCTCAAAACCATACGTCTTTAATCACAGTTTTTGTGACATGTTCATGGAACGTACTGAGACCGCACCCACACATCCAATCTGTGTATGCATGACAGCTCCCAACTGAAAATCAAAAAATTAAACTAATGGGCAGTAGATCCTCTTCACAGAGTTGTGATCATGTACGAGAGCAAACAGCTCATCTCTGCTTTATGAATCTCAACATAACACACAGACATACACATTTGTTGACATGTAACAAAAACTAACATTGATCTAAGTTTTGCTTCTTTACCCCAACCATCCCCCCTAGATCCCTCAGATTTCCAGCATTTAAAAAATAATAGCAAACAGGAAACAAATTCATTCTGAGCTGGTGGAGTGGAATCCTCGTCAATAACAAAAGGCTGGAAGATTTCCAAGCTGACAGGGCTTCTGTTTTCCTCTGCTGAGTGTTTTCAGCCCTCCGATACTGTCTTTGAATGACCCTTTCACCCTTTTGTCCTAAAGGGTTGACCACGTGTCCTCTGGTCAAAGACACAGCTAGAGTCAAACATGGTACTGTATTTTGATGTTGAGGAGCAAGGGAAGTATTCTGTCTGGGCATGTCTCAGTCGGTGGAGAACAGGTCTCCAGCAGAGGGGAGTGGGGCCAAACCCCCGGTCACATTGGGGAGAAGGGAGAGGTCAGGGAGACTCTGGATGTGTGATTTCAGCTCTTTCCTTACCTGGGTCACCCTTGCTAACTTCTGTTTGTACTCCTACAGAGAACACAATCAGATATTCCTTTATTAGTCCAAACAGGGGGAAATTCCAAAATAACAAGATGACAAAGCACCTGAGAAGATCACTTATTTACACATTTAAATTATCATGCTTTGAGATTTTATTTTGCCTAAACATCTGGCATGTGTTGGACACTTGTGGTGCAGAATATGTAGCTCTGAAATTATTTTAAAGATTCATAAAAAAGAAACTTTTGATTATCAACCACTTAATTTGAAGATACTATTGAGAGTAAACAGACTCAGTAAGTAACAAATAGTATCTTATTATGACTGAAAACTGTTCAAACTAAAGAATGTCTGTCAGGTAGGAAGTGCTTTATTTGACTTGGCACATAAGTCTGGCCCCTGGTTCAGGTCAGGCAAAGAAGAGGTTGAACAATTATTGGGCAAATTTAATCAGCAGTGAGGCGTTTCGTGCCCAAACAAAATGGCTGAGACCATTATGTTAGTAATCAACAAATTAGACCACGCTCAAGTCAAATAAAACATATTTAGAGTTAAACACGGAAATGAAGTTTTAGCCATTAGAAAAGATCCTTGGACTTGCTACCTACCAGTTCAGTTTAACACTTAGGGCTCTATTTTCGTGTCCACTGGCGACACAGCGGAGGGTAGGCGTGCCCCGCGCAGTGGTATTTTCGTCTGGTGTAGCCTTGCTTACAGCCAGTTTTATTATTTTATCATTTATTATTTATTATTTTCATGGACTGAGGCGCACCGAGGTCCGCCAAGCTGGGCATGGTGGTGTGGCAGAGGGGAGGTGTCGACAGAATCAGCTGGTGCACTGACATTTTCGTGCTCACCACTGAGGTGAAAAGTGCGCTGAAAGCTCGCCGATTCAAACCTGGTCAACTTTCAGTGCAGGCGGAGTGCAGCTGGTCTAGTGGTATTTTGGTAGACCGGCGGTGTATCGGCATACGTCACCGATGTCTCACAGGCAGGTTTCCACAGTGTCAGGCAGATTTCAGTGCAATAAATAATCAACAACAACTAATAATCTGAGTCAGCACATACATTCAGATCTATATCGATATGTTCTGATCTATACCTGATCTGATGAGCACGTTCGGCACGCGTTTGGACACTCAACCTGATCGAATTATCACAGCTGAAACCGCATTAAATTAAATTAAATATCTAGTAAATAAACCCACACGATGAAGTGAACAAGATCTGTAATTCGTCTGCCTCCTTTTCTTTCTTCCTCTTCCTCTTATTTCTCACGCAGCTCCACCTGGTCTCCGTGTCTTCTCCCCGTCGTGCTGCAGCTGCTACTGCAGCTGCTGCTGCAGCGGCTGAACAGATAATTTGTTTCAGTGCTCAGATGAGTTATTTACTTTAAGCCTACATACGGATATTATAATATTCAGTTTTGTGAGCCAAATTTATTTTATATGCCAACATCTATGAAAGAAAGAGCCAGGCCACGGAGCGCGATGCGTCATTTACGCACAGATGGTTCCGATTTTAATGCCATTATTGGAATTTATGTTGTGATCTGTGCGCTCAACCCACCTTTGTCACATGAGGTTTATTTATGCAACTTTATTTGAGTGTCTTTATTTGTGGAAAAGGGTGTTTGTCTTACCAGTGGGTACAACATTACACACACCAAATCCATCTGTGCTTATACGAGACAGTGTGCAGCCACCCTCTGCAGCGCTTACAGTGACACTTGTTAAGGGGCTGCCTTCTGTCGCCATCGTGTGGCATTGCTGTCTTCAGACATCTCTTGATCTCTTTGACTACTTCACGAAAATTGTAATACCCCTCTCCAGTGGCGGATTCAAAGGTGAGGAGAGGTGCTTATGTCATTGGTCAATACAGATCTCGGCTGTGTTAAACCCACTCCACGCCCTCTCTCCTCCCTCCATACGACTTACGCCGCTGAAAGGAGCTGAGCTGGGGACGGGGGATACTTACGCCGTGCTGCGCCGCTCACCAAAATACCAAATTGTGCTTGGGAATGCCTTGTCGGCGCGGCGGACCGGCGCGGCGGACCGGCGCGGCAGACCTGCGCTGCACCTGCACCACGTCGACGGCGAAGCATGAAAATAGAGCCCTTAATGCTGCTCTGATTGGTTGTGTTCAAGCGCTCAACAACAGTTTGGTATTTGCCATCTGATAAATTTAAGGAAATTATAAACTTACTCCAAGTCAAGTAGTGCGGAAAAACATGAGCAGTAAGACCAGGATTACACACAGCATGTTTTAGGAGGGGCTCCGGGGGAAACAAGATGACAAGAAGTGGAAGACTTCCACTGCATGCAACATGCAGTCTCCGTGCAGATGCGTAGCAGCAACCCACGTGAAAGTTAACTTTAGCCTACAGTACAGTTAAAAGTTGAAAGGAATGGCCTGATCCATTGCCCATCACCGATTGGTGGAGACTTGCACCACCCCCATCTGTTGGTTACTTATCTTAATTTGGAGTCTTTTAAAACCTGCACTCCTCAAGGTTTATTTGCTTAATAGTTAACTTTATGCATGACTGTGAATAGGCCAAGACAAGCTGATGAAAAGTGATGCTGCCAGACGAGTCCACCTCCCTATTTACTAGGCCCTAGATGTGGTCCAGTGGTTGCAGGAGTATAAAAGATATAGTATACTTTTCAGATTACAAAAGATATTAGAAAGACATGTTACACACTGAATTTTACAGGAGTTTCTGGTTCATATGTTTATCACCCACCACACTGTCTACCTTTCAGTCATTTCATCAAATAATGATGTAATAATAAGGAGCTCAACACTCATTATATGAGAGGGTTTAAAAACAGGACCCCAAACAAGTGTTTGTCATAGTCTTACGTATAATGTTTTTCGTAATATTTGTGTGGACGGTGCTTACCTCTAGTTTCTTCTCTCTCTCCATCAGTGCCTCTCGCAGGCTGCCGATGTATTCAGTCAGCATGCGAGCCAGCTGCCTGCGGTCCTCCAGCTCTGCAGCCAGTCGACCATTGTACTCTGCCAGTAGTAAACAGGCTTCATCCACTGTCTTTGATAGCTTGTCTGCTGCATCCTTGTCTAGATTGGTGACATAGTGGTTTGTTTAAGTCGAGAGAGGACATTTGATTATGAGTACTTTTTGAAACCTCTTTGTTAGCACTCACCTTCACAATTGTGTTCTGCATTCTTAAGATTTGTTTTATCTTTCATTTAGTACATGGACCTATTTAGTCAACTTGCATTGTTTTATAACTTGTACTGATGAAAATTCTCTGTGAATGAAACCTAATAACTATAACTAGCACACAAATATGATGAATAGTGCTATGAGTTGCTAAAATGTTCTAACTGTAGCTGGTTATTGTAAATAAAAGTTGAGTTTAAAGTCTATTGTTTGTAATTTGCTTTCAAAATTGCCTACAATGCCTCGTTTACTGTTCATCCCTCCTTGCCTTGTTTGACTGTTGAGGTTCAGTGTGCAGTATTTGGTGGCCTTAGGGAGAACAGACTTCAATATATATAAAATACAATATTTGTACGTGTGTTTGGTATGTCAGGACAATTGGCTGTTCTAAACTGCCTGCAGGTGTGAGTGTGTGCGTGTGAACCATTGTCTGTTCCGCTTACTGTAACACCTGCAATAGACTGGAAACCTACGCAAGATTTACCCTGCCTCTTGCCTAAAGACAGCTGGGATAGACTCCAGTCCCCTTCAGCCCCCAAGAGATACGTAGTATATTTAATTGTATGGTTAGCTGGATGGATAGGTGTTTAAATAAGTGCATAATCACCTCAATATGAAAACTGTTTTGGTCTACTTCAAATGAGTCTCTTGCACTGACACAGGAGTGTTCCCCATTCCACAAAAGCTGCCCTGCAGAAAAGCTACTTTAGAAAGAGCCGTACAGCAACACAAATTCTTTGTCTACATTTTGACACATTTTGATTCAGGGTCCTTTATTTTCTTTTGTGGCATGGCTACTTTTTGGATTTAACTTGACATTGAAAAACATTCTTTGGATCACCACATTTCATGGGTAAAATAAGATGGAATTTCATAACATAAAGCAACTTTTTAAAAATCTAAACAATTGCTCCGTCAGTGACTACAGACTCTGTATCATATGACACCCATCATTAACATAAACATTTGACCATCCCTTTTAAACAATACTTTTTATATTGTCTGACCTAGGAGTTATTTTTGATAACATGGGTAAATAAAGGATTACATTGATGTACAAATTTTCATTTCTTATTCAAGTCTTTATTCTTTATTTTATTATTATTCATTATTTTTGTAATAGTGCAAGTGTGAATGTGTATGTGGGTGTGTCTGTGTATATTTATGTATACTTGACATGGGAAACTTCCTTAGGGGTGGGGGCTGTGGTAAATTGCAGGTGGAACTAAAACAATTACCTTTTGCATGAATTGACTTTATCACCCACTTCTGTCTATATCTAAAAAAAACAAAACTTTAAAGGGGACCTGCCACCAAAATTTCATACCCATTTTTATCATTTTTTCATAATCCTTGATGTCCTCTGATCATGTTTGCAACATAATTTTAGCTGAAAAGTTATTTGATGGTTTGTTTTAGTATGCCTAAAAAACCTTACAGGAAAACCAACTGGTTTTGGCTCATTAACATTTATGGTAATGAGCTTTGCTCTGATTGGATCGCTGCTGTGAAGCCTGCTGTGCTCTGATTGGCTCAGCAGTGGAGGTTCGGATTTCGGTTTATCCATTGTTATTATGCTAATGCTAATAGCATATGCTAATGTGTGCTAAAGTATGCTGCCCAGATGTCTGTATTGATATCCGGGGATATTCGATGCGGCGGCGGCGACGGCGGTGCAGGGGCTGCAGGGGCTGTGTGATCACAGACAAAGTCTCGGTACTATTTGGTAGCAGCGCATGCCCCTTGTAATAACCCCCGTAAGAACTGTTGTTCAGGACTGCCAACTAAATTCGGCTACTGTAATAACCGTTGTTCGAGCCCACACGCAACATTTTTGCTCTCATTCATGAAACGCTTAAATCGGGGACATTTTCGGGGACAGCTTTTGCCGGGGACAGGTCATCCAATACGGGGACTGTCCCCGGAAATCGGGGACGTCTGGTCACCTTATGCTAAAGGCTAAAAACGGCAGGTATTAAACCATATATTTTAGACCCGAGTCCGAAGAGGAGGTGGAAGTTGAGGAAAAAGCCGGAGATCTACAGCGGTGTTTTCTCATTCATTCTGCCCAGCTTTAAGTTCATTTTCCCGGCAGTGAACCGAAGGAAACACCGGTCGTTTGGAAGAGACCCATAGCGGGTACAGTGGTAGCTGGGTCTCGCTCTGGCTGTGACTGAGTACGAGAACGAGAGAGTGGGCGCGGCTCACCAAGGACGCGCTCGTGAATAATAATGAGCAAGGTCGGCGCAACGTAACACCGACCTGCTTTTTCAATTGGCCTGGTTTACTCGTTCCTTTATTCTAAACCTTTACAGAATGCAAACGACGTAATGGTTTTTTTTCACATTTACAACATAAGACGAACATAATATGGACCTAACCCCCAAAACCCCAAAAATTACATTTTTATGGCAGGTCCCCTTTAAAAGAATTTGAAAAAAAAATACAGCAGAAAAGAATGGACAAACTGCTAGCATTTGTGTTAATGGATTTAGTGAGTGGCCATGCAAAATACACAGGTAGAAGGGGAAAGAAGTCGTAGATATTGTGAGCACAAGAATTTGTATGTGATTTTTGATGGTGAAAAATCAACTGGAGGATTAAATCAATTTTCTTTCACAAGAACTACTTGTCCCTGGAGACCACCATCACTTCACTGATGGTGAGGGCGAGCAAAGAAGCATTTCAATCTAGAATGTAAAATCTACATATTGCTAATCAATCCCGTTGCTACACACTGTACCTTTGGCTGTCACTTTGACTATTTGTTTTAACTTTTTCACAGCTGAATCGTATTACTTTGTAATAATAATCTTTTTTGACCCCATATGAATCTCCACAAGCCATGAGTATCACCTGTCAACTACATTCTTTTCAAATCATGTTGGGAACTCAGATCTTACCAGTGATTTTCTCTAGCAGGGATACATCTTGGACTTCCTGCGGCAGGGAGGCGATCTTCTGACGAACTGCTGCATCGCCTGATGCAGCATTTTCCAAGTCCTGCAGGGCTTTTACAAGCTCCTCGGTCTGAAAGACCACACAGCATGGAGATCATGTGACAGGAGGGTGAATAATAGGAGCAGTGAGGAGAGAACTTTGTGTAGTTAAACTGTAAAATTAATTTATTGTAAACTTCTGGATTTCATTCATCTTACCGGCTGAGTTGAGGAGACTTCTGTATTGTGAGGAGAATTATGGCTTCTATAGTCATCATCTTCATCATCATCCTCTTCCTGGACCTTTGGATAACTTCGTTTCACAGCTTTCTTCTCTTCTGTAGGATCAAGTTTGAATGTCGTAGAAAGAAAATTTAAGTTATTGCTGCAAGGGTTACTAGCATTTTTTTATATTTAAAAAGTTGTTAAGATATTCTGCTATAGGGTGCAGAATTTTGACTAGGGAGAACTAGGGAGAGTTTAAACAAAAAAAAAAAAAAGATTTTTTAAAAAGTTTTTTAGGTTAGAAGCCCCAAAAGACTTATGAGGATGCCTAGAAAATACAAGAGTTAAAATAAGCAGCAACACAGATCAGTTAAAAGAAGAACAATGTTGGGCCTGTCAAATCATAGAATTTACACCAATAATTATTGATTGATATAAAAGGTTAAAAACTATTACGGGTGAATGATTTGATACCTTAGGTGTCAATACTACAAAGATTTTACTTTGGTAATTGAAGTACAATAAAAATATTTATTATTACCATAGCACATAACTTTAAACAATAACATTCTTTTCTCAATTACATATTGCATAGCTGATTAGAGTAGAGGTTTCTGTATCAATGCACTGAAGAAATCCCTGTGGCCTACAGTGATCTCACCTGAAGGCCTGGGACTGTTAGAATCTTCTATGGCCAGTTTGAGCTGCTGAATAAAGTCTGCGCGATAGAGGTTCCTCTCCTTCCAGATATTCAGTAGTCTCTCCATTGGCTTTTTGCAGCTCTCATCTGCTTCTCTGGGTTAGTTATAGCAGAAAAAGACAGAATTTAGATAACCAGTCTTTGTAATAATTAAACAAATAAATAATCACAGACCACGGCTGTTTCAAGACCACATATCCAGTGCATTTTCTCATTTTTTATGTGAATTTTTGGCACATTTCTGTTTTAGTGAACAGAAACACCCAAATTTAGTTCAAGGGTTTGTTAATTGTTTCTGCTTTGTCATCTTTGCTTAAAAGTAACAAGATTACCCTTCAAATACATAGAAGATCCCCATTTAGGAAAACATTTAGATACAAAGTCTCAAAGCTGCAGTGAACATACCATCTTCCAACCCCACTTCCTTAACAAGCTGGTACGCTGCAGATTCTACTTTTGAATTTGCAAATAATAAAAACCTTTTTAATAAAAACTGTGCAAAGACAAAATATCATGTGTGGTGACTGAAAACGTTTATTGTTTTGTGAAAAATGTATGCTTATTTAAATTTAAAGCTGGCAACACATTTATAAAAGTTGGGACTAAATGTAGAAAAAATTGTGTAATGCTAAAAATCTAGTCCATCCACAAACTACTTTGGTTAATTTTAAAAATGTTAGTAATGAGAGGATTCAAAAAGGGCACTCCCAGGGGGCTTAGTCCCTCAGGAGTAAAGATGAAAGGAGGTTAACCACTCTATGAGAGGCTGAGTGTAGAACCAGTGACAATTAGGAATTTTAGTTCTCTGCTAAAAGTGCAACGAATATGGAGAGTTCTTTATCTGCGGTACATAATATCACTGAATGAGTCAGAGAACCTGCAGCACTTTCAAATGGATTGTGGCAAAGTGGAAAACTGACCAATTATTTTAAAGTGGGAACATAAGTTTTCAGTTTCATCATATGATGTGTAATCTATGCATTTTTTTATTTTAACTTGTATTCAATAACAAGCAAACATCAAATTCATTTTTTATTAACATGTTACTCTGTGTCTCAATTTTGTGGAGACTTGGAATTATGTTACAGGCATTGACTGCACAACATTCACCTGGCAACATGGGAGTAGGCATCAACAAGGACAGACTCAAAGTCTTTGGTGAACTCTGGTCCTTTCTTCTTGCTGTTCTGGATGACATCGTTGGCCAAATACAGAAAAGTCAGCTTTCTGCTGCTCTTAGCTGGAGGACACAACAACATGAGTCAATCTTCAGAGAGATTTACAGCACCATTATGTGTTTCTTTCATCAGTATGTCTCAAGTATTAGGCTTTGTGGATTTACCATCCTTGTTAGCTGCAGACATTAGATTGGTGGTCAGAAAAAAAATACCTGACCTTTTTTCAGCTCCCTGTGCCACACTCTCACGATGAGCGCCGAGTGTTTGCGGTGGTGGATAATCCACAAAGACAGGGTTTGGACGCTCTGCTGTGAGCTACTCAGCTCCGTCAGCTTCTTCTCCAGGGCAGACTCCGAGAAGGATGACATGCCGGTGTGAGTTTGTGTTTTCCCTTTGACCCAAGCGACCCCGAACCGCTCTAAACCGACAGAGCTCCAACCTAGTTTAAAGAAACTCACACCGTCAACAAAACTGAAGTTGGGGCGCTCTTTTGCTACTGTGCAGTACAGACGGACTTTCTTCAGTGTTTCTTATGTTGAATCCCGTCTTGTCTTACTGAACTATTGGGCAAATCTGCTGAACAAACTGGAAGTGTGATCTGGTTAGGGTTTCCCCTGTCTGTAGTGTTTGTTTACAGACAAGGCTACCATTAGCTAGCCGAGCTCAGCAGCCATCTGCAGCTCACTCCAACCCTGAGCTAAGATACTCAACGACGGATTTTAATAAACAAAGCTCCAGTAGTATTCGCGTACAATATTTCTTGAATATACCAACAGATAATCTACAACTGCTGATGAGTGACGGAGTAACTCACAGTTGATATTTTGTTGTCTGACTCAGGAAGATTCCATCGAAAAAATGGCAGCCTGCACTTTCACCTCCACATGCACGTCGCACATTAATGACGCAAAGACGTTCCCTAATACCCAGGAATGAATCTCAAGTAGCCTAGGTTTTACCTACAGACTGTATATAGAATATATAGTATGCACAGTCTATGGTTTTACCTATTAAAACTTTACATTACAAATAGGTTTAAAATAGACATTGATTCTAACTGTAGCTTCTGAGATCTAAATCCTGAAAATGTTTTACATTTATTTTGATATCGCTCTGTTGTAAACAAAATTCTGGCAAAAACTCTGATCCCCCCCCCCCCCCCCCCCCCCCCCCCGCATTCAATGTTTACTTGTAGGTCTATGTTTGTATTATTTTCCTCAGTTATAAATTGACTTGATAATTTACACAACTGTATACTTCAACATCATTAACTGTTTATATGTGAGTTATGAATGTGTTACTGTATCTGAAGTGCCATAAAGTTTGATTTAAAAAATTAAGTCTCAATAAAGTGACTATTTTGTGTGAGTTCACACCTCGTTTACCCTTATTTTTAGGATCATGGGGGTATACAGTTTCTTCTCCTCCTGTCACAGCATCTTTAAGATCAACTTGATTAAACTTTTTAATAATTTAATTTGTAATTTAGTAGACCCTCCGCCCAAAAAAAAAAAAAAGAAAAAAAGACATGTTATAGTTCTTGCTAAATCTCATGGACCTGCTCATAAATTCAAATTCTGTAACTATAAATAAACCAACCCTTTTATTTTTCAAAAATTAATTTAAAAAAATAATATTTTTTCCCTACAGCTAAGAAGCCAATTCAAGTTTATTTTAAAAATATCCACTAACTGTGATATTTTGGAGAGCTGATTGCCAAAGACACGAGTTTTACGATTGATTTGGCTCTCTAAATCATAATATATTTCTGAAAAATAAAAACAACACCAACAGACAATCAATGTTTTTATACTTTGTAATGCTTGAAATTAAAATTTCTAAAAGTTTGAATTCACCTATGCTTCACTGTGTTTATCATAGTTGAATATCATATTAAGACTTTAATTTAATTAAGTTAAATTTGAAGCCCCTGTGAGGAATGTTTTGGGTGATTATGAAACAGACTGAAATAAACATTGGTCTCACATTATGAACTACAAAAGAAAAGACAAAAAAGGATAAGACTGACAATTTGTCACAATTTTTAATGCTGTAACTGATCTATGGGGATAAGTTAAGTTAGGTTTAACTTTATTTCCGTCAGGACCACTTTAGTCTAAATTTATTATTTATTACAGGCAAACAGGCAAATTTTTTAAAATTGGCGTTATGGCCCTGTTCTGAGAGTTTCCTGTCCTTCCATGCGCTGAGGAGGCAGAGGTTGGGCAGACAGTGGTGGCTTGAGGAGGCACTGGTGGAGAAAGGAGGACAGCAGGGATTAGTAACTTGCTAAACATTCACTAGAACACACTAAGTTTTCAATACTAGAAAAAGTTGGCTGTGATACCATTGTGAGAACAGGAATAATCTGGCGACTAGCAGTCTTCAGAGCTGAGCCTAAAAGCAGGTGGTTATTCGGTGATCAGATGCAGGTGTGGAGGTGCAGGAGGTGCTGTTGAGGAGCTGCCCAACCTCTGTGAAAAGAAGAGGGGGGGGGGGGGGGACACTCCACACACACACAAAAAAAAGAACACGCCACAGAGCCATAAAAATGTCCAAACCAGCAAAATCATGACAGTAAGGAAAGAATTTATGGAAAGACCAAAAGGTGTAGGTGGGCTTTCACGTCCAAATCTGCGTACGTATTATTGGACTGCAAGTCTAAATGCCATTTCTCTGTGGTTAAAAGATTGGAATGATAAGATCCCTGCATGGCTCCAGATTGAAAAGATCACAGGCAGCCCACACTCACTCCCTGCCTTACCATCACTAAATTACAAAATAAAAGATAATATAATTGTAACTCAATCCTTACAAAGCATGAACCTGTTCAAAAGATGTCTGTATTTAGAGTATTTCTATTCACTCTCCAATAATATATAATCACCTTTTTCAGCCATCTCTATTGGACAATGGTTTCAAAATTTGGTATAGTAAGGGAAGACTTACATGTTAATAGTACTTTTGCTAGCTTTGAACAGTTTTCCAAAAAATCTTGTCTGACCAATAATCATTTTCTGCAATACTTGCAGATTACAGATTTTACTTGTAAAAAGTTTGCTAATTCTCCTACTCTTCCCCCTTTTCCTGTTTGGATTCCCTATTAAAGTCAATATGTTGAATAAACGCAGAATATCATTTATTTATTGCCATATTATGGATTGCTGCAACCACTCTATTTCACATATTCAAGAACGATGGGAAAATAACTTATGGACCCAGCTGTCCAATGAGGAATGGGATATGGCTCTTCTTCCATATGCTCTAATACAGTTTAAAGTGTTGTATAGGTTACACTCCTTAAAAGCTAAATTAGCAAGAATATTTCCGAACGTAGACCCGTTATGTGACAGATGTAAACAAACCTCAGCTATTTCTTATCATATGTTCTGGTCTTGTCTAATACTTGTTCCTGCTGTTTTTGGTTAGTTTTCTGATCCTACGGGAGCTATTCCCCCTGCTCATTTACAGAGGGTCATTGATTTTTCCTCTTTATTAGCTAGACTCTTGATTTTATTTATCTCATCACCACTGGATTAGGGACGTTATGCAGAGCCTTAAAATGGAAAAGGTCAGATGTTCCCTCAATGGATCCAACGACAGATTCCACAAAACCTGGGACTCTCTAATTACTTATGTGAATAATTTACCTGGTCTTTGACTAGTTTGTCACATGGATTTGGGGTTTGATCTGTCCCTGTCTATTGTCGGGACTGTTTGTTGTTATTTGTTATACAAATAATATGATTGTTATATATGTTAACTGAAAATTACAAATAAAGTGTTTTTTTTTTTTTTTAAATGACTGCATCACAATCACATGCCAAGTCTGATCTGCATGTTTAAAAAGAAATGATCATAAAAAATGTATGAAAAAAGTCTTTTACTTTTGGAAACGGTTAAGGTCGCTTGATGCAAATATTGTAACTCAATTCTTTGTGTTTGTACAGAGATGAAGATTTACATGTCCATTTGCCTCCATAATCTGCGGCTGACTAAGTGCTCAATATTCCTGTCAAAACAAGGGGTTTGTACCCTAGATGAGGCTGACAGTCAGGCAAATTGTATGTTGGTACAGCAGATGTGTTTTTACAAAATAAGCCTCAGATATCAACCAAGATGCAAATGCAGCTACACCTGTCAGGGTTGTTTTCATAGTAGACGTTTAACCAAGTAGTTACTGGTAAGCTGCTGGTAGCAAGCCAGCACCTTAGATCAAATTTGCTAGGATGCAGTCATTATTTTACAAATTCTACTTGTCATTTTTCTACTAAGAAAAATCTACATTTCTAAAGGAAAATGTCTTTGGTGAGACTGACTGGCAGAGCAAGCCATTATCAAATCAATTGCCATACCACTTCTTCTACCAGTATAGGATAACTTTGTAAAATTGAAAAACAAAATGTTTGAACATCCTAATGTGGAGTGTTATTTTTGGGTTTACTTATAATGGTGTCTGGATTTTTTCCTTTACTTTCAACTTTTACAACAGATTGACTAACAGATACAAAGTCCTTAAAACACCTGACAAAAGTAGATTTACCAAATAAGATTGCCTTACAAGCTGAAGGTGTCACAGGAGGTAATTAAAGACACCTGGCCTGATGAGAAGATCTAATCTCAACAACCAAATGGCAAAAAAAAAAAAAGATCCACACAATGTCTGTTAACAACTGTGTGTCACCTGTGAAAGATTTATGGAACAAACAGCGGCCTTTCTTTCATGGTCTATTACATATATGCAACTGATTTTAATGAGGGGGGTATATACAGTCATGCACACAAAGCAGACATGCAAATATAATTCACTCAACCAACACTCCCCGGAAGGATGCAAAAGCGGTCCTCTTTTCCCTCTCCCTCCCCCTACCATTCCACACTTTTAAAAACAGGCCCTGATCCATCTGGAAAACCTCACTCGGGTTTACATTGGCATGATAAAGGTGAAGCAAGGACATGTTTGGTGCGGTGTTTTTTTCCTTAGGTTTGCTGGTTGTGCAGTTAGTTGATGGGGAGCTGGATTACTTCTCCAAAGGAGAAGGAATGCAACTGCAAGGGGACTTCTCCATTGCTGGACTTTTTCCGCTCCACTACACAGATGGACAAAGTGGTAGTCTGCCTGCTGTGGGTCAATGTAATGGGTGAGGACAGAACAATTAACATCTAGCTTCAGCACAACACAATCCATCAAAAATGTTTGTTTTTTTCACTTGGTATGTCTTCATTTTTTGCTTCACTTGTCACTTTTCTAGAGGTGACTACAACAAACATGGATTTCACTTGCTGCAAGCCATGAGATTTGCAGTGGAAGAAATTAACAACAGCACTGGGCCACAGCCTCTTTTACCTGGAGTAAAGCTGGGCTACCAGATGTATGATATCTGCTCTTTATCAGCCAGTTTTCTGGCCACACTGGATGTGCTGGAGCAACACTATCGGAGCCTTTCTACATATGACACACAGGGAAGTATGGACAAAAACTACAACTATAGTCAAGGGACTGTGGCAGTAATTGGTCCAGACAGCAGCAGCAAATCTTTCACCCCAGCTGCTCTGCTAGGAGCTTATCTTATCCCACAAGTGAGTTTCTGTCATGACCCTTAACTTGGTGCATTTTTAGCAGAAACATATGCCCAAATGATAAAGTCATTCCTCACATTCTCTTGCTTCGCTTTAGATATCTTATGAAGCATCAAATGAAAAGCTGAGCAACAAGTTCCTATATCCAGCCTTTCTGCGCACAATTCCCAGTGACAAGAACCAGGTGGCAGCCATGATCCAGCTCCTTGTTCATTTCAACTGGACCTGGGTTGCTCTGTTAGGTAGCGACAATGCTTATGGCCTGGATGGAATGCAGAGTCTGTCCAAGCAAGCACCACAACATGGCATCTGCATCGCCTACCAAGGAGTTATCCCCACATTCAGTGTTGACAAAATCCAGACCATGAGGAACATAGTGACAGGCTTACTGACAACCAAAGTCACCACAATTGTGGTCTTCTCCAGCAAGTCAAAACTCAAGGGCTTCATCCCATACGTCCTCGAACAAAACATGACAGACAAAGTGTGGATTGGGACAGAGGACTGGTCAACATCTTCCCTAATAGCAGATACCCCTGGCATCAACACTATTGGCACTGTGCTTGGTATATCTATAAAGTACGCAGCCATTCCTGGTTTTAATGAGTATGAGAGAAAGGTTGCTGAGGCTTCAACGGAATACCCTGTCACCCAGGAAGTCTGTAATGTCACGTTGAGCAATGAGTGTCTACATAGCACAGACTTGTACAGCCTTGCCAGGCACAGGTTCCCTCTGGATGCATATGATGTCACCTCCTCCCTAAATGTGTATAAGGCAGTATATGCTGTGGCTCATGCTCTGCACAAAGCCCTTGCTTGTGATTCTGGAAAGTGCCAAAAAATGAGAGTGGATCCATTTGAGGTGAGCAAGAATTAACATATTTATATAGAGTATATTTACTTAAAGCCACGGTTTAATTATGCACTGATGATTTTTTTTCCCTTTCTACCTCAGCTTCTCTGGTGGCTTAAAAAGGTGAGATTTTCTCTGGACAACACCTCTGTTTACTTCGATGCAAATGGTGACCCACCGACAGGATATGACATAATTTCCTGGGTTTGGAGGGGGACAGACTGGTCTGTAAAAAGGGTTGGCTCCTTCAGCCCGTACCCTGTTTCACTTAAAGTTGATGATGATCAAATTGAATGGCATAACACAGGAGACTTGAGAAAGGTAAGACCTATTGGGTGTTCTTGACTGGGGGTGTTAACGCGTTATAAATGTCAAAAATGTTGCAGTTTTTTTTTTTTTTTTAAGTCATTGGTCCAGCTGCAAAGGTAAAGAGATGGTGATTTCTTAGGCTTTGAAAAGGCAAGAATAAAGAGTCCTGAAAAACTTCAGAGATGGAACACAGTCTACTTTGCTTCTTATTCTTATTCTTATCAAAATAAATGTATAGGCAGTTATGAAAAATGTTTAGAGATGAAATAAGAAAATGTAATTGAAGGTTTTACAAAAGATAATTTTCTGCAGATTGCATCATATTAATGGCACAGATTAGACCCAACGACTTCACTATCTGATTTCATAAACCTATATTTCTCATTTCTGAACTTTTTTGTGATTTATAGAACACAGTCCAATCCTGTGCTTTTTGTTTGTTTGTTTTTTGTTGAACACTGTTGGATTTATCAAGGTGCCACCGTCCATCTGTTCTCCACCTTGCCAAAAAGGCCACAAGAAACTGCAGACAGGGCAACATGCCTGCTGCTTTGACTGCCAGGCTTGTCCTGCTGCCACCTTCCTAAACACAAGCGGTAATATAAAGATCGCAAAAAAAGAAAATTATTTGGACATTTTTTTAAAAGATAAGAGAAACAAAAAGTGTTTATAAAATAGGATTGTTAAACTATGTGAGACCAAACGTCACCTAGTTACTACATAACAAAGACAGGAGAAGTGGTCAACCTATTACAGTTTTTCAGAGGCAGATGTCAATACCAATTATGAGAGAGCAGGTTGGCTAAGGCCAATATATTATGCCAGTATCTCATCATGCTTTTTGTTTGCTTTGTTTTTTTTCGTTTGGCAAAACACAACAGTTAAATAGTACTCACAGACAGAAATAAAAATAGCAGGACTGGAGGAAATAGTTAACCAAAATCTAATAAGCATGGTGGTCTTAGCCAGTAATATGTTTGGATAGATTTTTCATGAATCAACAGAAAGAACACATTATTAATCAGTCTACCTTTAAGAGTCAAACACTGTGAAAGCGTTCAACTGTTTTCTGGCTGTAGTGCATAAAGCTGACCAGCAGGAAGTGCTAAGCACTCACAAATGCTAACACCTACCCCAACAGGAGTAGACTCCTGTTTAAAATGGCTCACCATGTCTCACAACAAGTTGGCTAACAAATGTCTTAATATTTTTTCCTCTTTTAGACCACAACACCACAACATTTTTATTTTGATGATTCACCAATTTTTAAAAATCTGCTTGTTGATTGCACTAAAACGGAAAGAATCTTATATCTTAGTTCTTTTTTTAACAACTCTACCATTTTTGTTTTTCTTAGATCCCACTAACTGTCAGAAGTGTCTGCCCCAGCAGTGGTCTCTCCCGCAGAGCGAGCAGTGTCTAAACAGGACTGTCCTGCTGCTGGCCTGGGACAACCCTCTCTCCATTGCACTGCTCTTCTTTTTGGCCTCCTGTCTCCTCATGACCTCCAGCTCTGCAATAATCCTTCTGCTCAATTTGAACACTCCAGTTGCAAAGTCAGCCGGAGGCCGCACCTGCCTCCTGATGCTTGCAGCTCTGACTGCTGCTGCCATGAGCTCTTTGTGTCATTTTGGCCAGCCATCTTCTCTGGCCTGCGTCCTCAAGCAGCCTCTATTTGTTGTCAGCTTCACTGTGTGTCTGGCCTGCATCACTGTGCGCTCCCTTCAGGTCGTCTGCATTTTCAAATTTGCATCCAAGCTGCCACCAGCCTATGACAAGTGGGCCAAGAAACACGGACCAGAGTTGACAATTTTCTTAGTCTCCATCACTGTCTTGTTTATTTCGGTGGTCCGTGTGTCTATTAACCTTCCCCGTCCCGACCAGGACCTTGACTTCTATGAGGATAGCATTGTGTTGGAGTGTAGTAACACCCTTTCACCTGGTTCAGGCCTTGAGCTTGCATATATGTCACTGCTCAGCATCCTCTGCTTCTCTTTCAGTTACATGGGCAAGGACCTTCCAGCCAACTACAATGAGGCGAAGTGTGTCACATTCAGCCTTATGGTATACATGATCTCCTGGATGAGCTTCTTCACTGTCTACCTCATCAGCCGAGGCCCATTCACCATGGCTGCACAGGTGTTCGCCATACTCTTCAGTGTCCTGGCCTTTTTTGGGGGCTACTTCCTGCCTAAAATGTATATCATTTTAATTAAGCCACAGATGAACACCACAGCTCACTTCCAGAACTGTATTCAAATGTACACCATGAGCAAACAATAAAGACAGACTACTACTCCTTATTAAGAACTAAACCTTCAGGGCTTTCTTAAAGCTGTAGCAGGAAGGACTGTGACACTTGCTGTGGGTTAAAGTTACATTTGTACTAAGGGAAATATACAGAAGGTTTAACGGACCAAAATGGTTGAGAGGTTAGTTTATATGTCTTAGACGGTTTCAGTTGTTGCAAAATACATAAAACTCAAAACACGTGCTTTCTGTAACATTAAATCTTTGATGTGTTGTAGTACAGGCAAACTGTTTTGTCTCTTTTACTTATTATTACATGACATGTGGCACATGATAATGGTAATGATATCTTGGACTCACAGAACAAACTAGATCATATTTTCAATAATCTAAAAAATAAAAATTAAGGTGGCATCAAGTTACAGAATAAAAGTTTTTATATCACAGAACAATGGCACATGTCACTGAATGTAAAATAGATGCACAATTGTCCTGTCATGAGAGTATAAGCACACACGCACGCACGCACGCACGCACTGATGCTGCTGGCTGTTATTTTACAGCTGAGATGAAAAGGTCTAGTTGGGAGGTCAGTCCTTTGGTCAACAATAGAAGTGTGCAGTGGCTTCTGGCCCATAGGGGCGCTGGGGCGCCGCCCTCCCTAAAAAAATGAGGGGAAAAAAGGTTTCTAAAAATAGATTTTTACAATAAAGATGTTTTTGCCAACTATTGTGGGGCGCCTTGCAGTACTAATCATTTAAACTAAATTTCCCACCTGCTATTATTCGTTTACCATTGAAGGTCTACTGACAGACTCGAATGGATTCTTTCATGGGGTGCTTGGTCAGATCGTCCCAGCATTGCGACGAAATAACCAATTGTGTCCAGTTGCCAGGTAAAATTAATAAATATATATACAATATAATCAGCATAGCAGAAATTTATGGTATTGGGGCGCTGAAAATATCGCCCCTTGCAGCCAGAAGTGTCGCAAGATTTTTAGGGGCGGGTTAAGGAGGAAGAGGAGCCTGTGTGCGCATCCAATTAAGCTAGCACAGTGGTGACGGTGATGGCGAATTTAACAAGCGAGGAGCAGCTTCAACTGAATTCGGTGCGATCCTTATTGGTCTATCCATTTGCTAGATGGACAACGGAGGAGAAAATTCGAGTGAAGAAGCTTTGACCGGACAAGCCCAACCTTGTCATTAGCCAGCAGACCAAGGAGAAAAATAAATCCTAAAACCTGAGTTTTTGCAGGAGTTGGTTCGAGCGCAAGTCATGGCTGACAGGATATGAAACAGCAAATGTGAGACACTACATAAAAGCCAGACTAAAAAGAAAGCTAACAGACAATGTTCATGCCACAATGTTAGAAATCAATAACTTTTAACCCATTTAAACCGGGACAGCATGTACACATTTCAACTTTTCAAGCTGGGAGAGCGGCTGAGCATTTCTACCCTTTAAGTGGGAGCACGGATACATCATTTTGTTATATTCTGTAGCTTTTCAATCATTTCTGGAGTCGTGGTGAATCAAATCCTCATACCTGTCTGCCTCTGATAGGCGAATAAAGCATTCGAATTCATGCTCAGATCTTGCTACGTGCTTCGTGAGTAAACAATGATGGAGGCAGAGAGCAGCTTCAGAGAAGTATCCAGCAGTGTGAACAACCTCTTCATATTGAGGTCTTAAGGTCCTTACACACCGGCAGCCGGCATGAATATAGAACGCGAAATTACAAAATATTCGGAGGCGAACTTTGATGCGCCTGACTATACACATCAATCCCCATGCGATTTTGCAACTTTACAGGTGGAAAAAGATGCGTCCTGGGTGGAAGTGAGAAGACTGACACAACAGCAGACTGACTGTTTTCAGTTCTGATTAGACACTAGTGTTGAAATGGCTGTCTGTCATGATAGCATGTACTGAGTCGGGGCCAGTACCAGAGAAGCACATTAAACTATAATCCATAAACTTATGGTAACAGCTGAGACCTAATGGTGCTGTGACAGCAATTCTAATGGAGTTTGAGACAGTGAAAATACATATGGTATGTTGTATCTGAACAGGTTAGCTTACGAGCTAAAGTTACTTACAGGGCTTTCAAGTCTCACGCATTCAGCGTGTGACACACGCATTCCTACTCGTTCACACGCTCACACGCCACACATTGTATTTCTCACGCATTTAAATGAACATGGTGATGTCCACCAAGTTGCACCTCTTTAACTATGGAACAGATAGGAATCAACTGAGTTCCCCCGAGAGTTCAGAAGCTGCGTACCAAGCGCAAGCCAATCAAATAAAGTATATCTACTGAACAGCCAATAAAAAAGCAGCATTGCTGTATCCGGGTAGATTTTGATATCTTATGGTTTGACTACAGAAGAAGACAGACACTCGCCGTAATAGAGCAGGTTTTTATAAGGACGAGATAGACCCGATGATTACAGTAAGTCAGTAACCTACACATGCAGAGACCTCAACACCTCATGGCATATAACTCATATGATAAACTAAAGCCCTATGCTATTGCTATTAACAGCTTTATTGACGGATTTAGCCTCTGTACAGCCATTTCCAGCTATTTTCCCCTCCACAAAAGCAGCATTTCTCATATATCTGAAATACAAGTTCTGATACTCATGACAGTGTAATGCTCATGTACCAAAGGATTAAGTATCTCCATGTTTGTGAAACCTATACTAAAGTACAATTCATCTAAATGCTCCACAGTGCTGATTTTAACAACTCTCCTTCACAACAGGTAACTTTACGACTTAATACTGATATTAATGACTTTATTCTGTTTTTTTTCTAATTGTGCCCCTTATACTCCGTTGTATTTAAGAGATAATTATACTAATAATTATCTTCAATCACCCCCCCCCCCCCCCCAAGGAAATCTCACTCTAAGCTTAGTTCAAAACTTGAGAGCCCTGTTCTCCAATAGGCTGTATTGGCTGAGGGAGATCGTGTTGGTACGTTCCACTTCAGTGGGGCAAAATAAACTGTGATTCATAAAATAGCTCTATTGATAGTAAGTACTAAAAAAAAATATCTACTCATGCCATCCGTTCAATTTTTAGTAATCAGTGTTTCGGTGTCGAACTATTTCATTTCTGCTGCGTAGTGATACTTGCACACGCGCAATCAAATATGCAGAGGGGTGAAGCGATTTTTTGTCACGTGGCCCAATAGGAGCCGAGTCTCGTTGCCATAGTATCAGAAATACACAAACATGGCGACGAGCGCATCTAGCAGCGAGAGAAGCGAAGAGGAAGAAAAGAAAAAGAAAAAAGAAAACAGCCTTCAAAAGTACATAAAAAAGGAACGAAATGATGCTATATCACGCATCTATCATCTGTCCAGCGTGAAGACGTTCTCGACTTTACAAGGACATGTTGGGAAACTTACAGAACTAGTATTAGAAAGTGGCTTTCTCTACAGGGTGAGACAAAGGACCAGTCAGAAATGTACACATATGTGAGTAACCCAAAAAAACAATTATATGGTGCTGCTGTTTTTGCTTGTAGAAACTGCTATGTTGATTCTGGCAAGACAAAATCTTTCTCAAATGTCCTAAATACATCAACCTAACATCTGAAACAGTTATTGGTGCCTTAGTATACGCATAAGTGAATTCAGATTATGAAATGTAGCAAATTTCTTGAAGAAAACGTCTCAACTCAAGTGATTTGCACCCAGCACAATGAAATATATACAGTAAATTTAGCTAAAAGCTTATGTTTCATACATAAAAATGACACAACCTACTGTGTAATAAAAGCAATAAAATATAAACAGCACATCATGGCCATAAATGGCTGAAAGTCAATCAAATTGCTACCACACCCCCCAAAATTGGAATAATGGAAAAAATGTAACAATATAAAAATAAATGCACGAAAGGTCTGAATTAATTCAAAATATGGTATAAAACATTTATTCAAGTATCACAGTGTCAAAACATCTGACATTTATCAATCCCTCCAGAATATGAAAATAAAGATCAAAACACAAACGCAGACAAATGTAGAACAAATATAAAATAAATAAAAATCTCAAATCTCGGTGTAGCAATCCTTTACACAAAACAAATTGTACATGGTGACATGGTGCGTATATTACGCATCACTATCACTTTCATCAGAGTCGTCATCCCATACAGCTCTTTCTTCTGTTTCCTTTGAAGCATTCTCATTCATCCAAATCCACATCCAAATTTATCTTGACACCAAAGTTAGTGTGGGTTAATATGTTAGAGCATATTCACTCACTATCATTAACTTTAGTGCGCCTAGCCCGACTCAGAATCTTTTATTTAATCACCTATTATTATTTATCCTCATTATCCAATAATTTATTGTATGTCGTACCATCATTTATCCTGTTATAAACAGATCATTCTTTTTAAGTTCTTGTCTGTTAGTGTTCTTCCTGAAGTGGAGTCCCTGAAATGAGAATTTCAGCTTAAGATATGAGATTGATTAATTAAAGATTGACTTGATGTTTGATTTCTGAATTAAACTTTTGTTTTTCTTTATTTTCCCACCATTAAAGGTGGGTGGTGCCCCTTCAACAAGTGCATAAATGTCATAATTGAAGATTATTACTCTTCAGACATTTATTCAAAATTCAAATCGCTACAAAAACATCCATGAAAAGTCCTGAAAAATGTTTTATAGAAAAGAATGGGAACCCTGTATTTGTTCACCCTGTTTCAATTCAGTTCCCCTGAAATATCAAATATAAAAAAATTTTTATGTATTTGAGGCAAGTGTTTGAGTTGTTTTCTTGTGGCTGATCATATAGATGTGCAGCCTGATTTGTTGTAAATGTGGATCTGCTCTGATCTTTTCTCTGCTGTTGTCTTTGTGTGCCCCTTTGCTGTAGCCAACCTGTTGAAATGCAGTTGAATGCACACGAGTACGCTACTGTCAGTTTCTATATTGTAGGTTCACACTGAATGTAAGTCGGCTGTGTGTCAGCTACAATTCCCTGTTAATAAGTTGAAATACAGTTTCCCCACACAATTTGTCTTTGTAGGTCAAGATTGTATGTTTACTTAATTATTTTCTCAGAATGCACCAGAATGCTTAATTTACATGTGAGAGCCAAAAAAATCTCCCAGGGGAGGATACCCCCAGACCCCCCAACAGGGCTCTGGTCTCCAAGCTTTCCGCCCCACCTACTATTTTTCTCACCAGCCGCCACTGGAAGTGTGCCATGGGTGAACAAGCAGAAGTTTTATTGTCACTGCACCAAGGACCAGAGTGAGCTGCTGTGAGGGGACTCAAGAGTTTTGTTTGACAAGATTTTTTATCCATCACATTTAGTGGTACAATATTTACTACTATGTTTTATTTAAAAAATATGTATAATTTGAACCACTTTGCTGCGGGTTTGACACAGTTAGGGTTAATATTTGTCAGGTTTTGCCCAAGATCCCCTAGTAGGCCCTATAATACCAAGCAGACCATTAATGTAACATTATATGAATACCTTTACACATGCCTGGGTAGCAGTGAAAATCTGTCAGTCTTACTTGATCTTCTATTATCAATTAGCTTCACCAAGTCAGTCTTTAATTACTTTAGAATAATAGGTTTAACAGAGCCTAGCCGTGACATTGTGTCATTGTATTAAAAATTTCTCAGTGACTCTGGTTTAAAAAGATGTTATGGCGAAATAAAAAAGATAGGACGTGTCTTTATGCAGAAAATTAAAGAAAACGAACTCCCAAAAAATATACAGCCTTTTGTTTGAGAAATCCAGATTCCAATTCCACCAATTAAAAGGATGCAGACATCTTTTCCCTGAATTTCAAAGCACCTTTACACAATTTATCACATTTACTTGTTCATACGTCATTGGCAGTGGATGTCACAATATGCAATTGTCAGTATCTTTGTCATCAGGAGCAATTTGAGATTTAGGGTCTTGCCCAGAGACACTGTGGTATAAGAATATGGGAGCTGGGATTGAGTTGCAAACTCAACTTCACTTGGGAGATGACCCACCCAATCACAGCCACTCTTAATGAGGAAAGAAGATGTCAGCAGATAACTGTAATGTTAGGAATCGAACAAAGGCCAGGATCCAAAAATGCAGAGGCAAATGCCCAAATTTATTGACAATAAACAACAAAACAAAGTGAACAACAGAAAATCGCAGTTTCCAGGAAAAGGCACGGTTGGCTCGGACTGCCACTGAAAAACGCAAAACAGAGTCAGAAAAAAGTCACTGCAGCAAGGCAAATAGCAGATGAAAACAAAGTTCAAATGATAGTGCCACGTGGGGCAAGTAACAAATGAGGGAGTATAAAAAGACAAAGTGCAACAGAAAATGTTAACCAAAAATCTCCTCAACTGGAGGGAAAAAGCATGAACACAAAATCACCTTTGCTCAAGGGAAAAATCTTTGAAAGTAACAAAAAAACTCACAAACAAACACAGAGAGGCAGGCTGTATACACGGGCAGGAGAACAGGGAGCACGGAGTGGCAAGACACATGTTGCATGACTGGGTAATAATCCGGCACAGAGCCGACAGAGGAGCCGGCATATAAAGCCAGGTAAATTACACCAACGAGAATCAGGTGTGTGCAATCAGTCCGGGCCAGCCCTGCCTCCCGCCGTGCCTCCAGCGCTGCAGAGAGAGAGAGAGAGAGAGAGAGAGAGAGGGAGAACATACACAGAGAGGAGGAACACAGGAACCCCAACTGCTGCATAAACTCAATTCCTCACAAGTAAAGCTGATACGTGTATGATGAGTATAGTTAAATGCATTCAAATCAGTTTATACTGTGTTGAAGTAAGGTTCAAATGTATACGACATGCTTACATTTTACTATGCGCACTAATACCATATAATAATAAAATAAAGTGTATAAAATCTCTCATGCATGCACACATACACATATGAAAATACACTTACAATTGATACATTTTTAACTTGTTTTTGGAATAATAAATTTTGTAAATGCTTTTTGATAATTGCATCTCTTTATTGTTAATTGTCATACAAGAAAATAGTCACAAAGAGTTTTAAGAGCCTAGGTGGGAAAGACAAACAGGATTGCCACCATTTTATTAAAACTTGTTCCACGCTCACCCATTTAAACACACACACACACACACATACATTCATTCATACACACACACACACACACACACACACACACACACACACACACACACACACACACACACAGGTATCATTATCATCATTATCATTATCATCATAATGCAAAATTTGGTTTAGTTTAATCAAAACACAGAGAAATATTCTCAACAGCTTCTTTCAATATAACACAGTATGGAAAATACTGTTACATCAAGCAGTCCAAAGACAAACTCCACTGGAGTGAACAGATATTTCACAAGATATGATCAGTTCAACATAAAAATCAAGAGTGGATTGAAGTCAAAGCAAGACAATCTTCAAATAAGTGAGAGCTTCGCCTTTACTACTTGTCCATCAATGTGATGAGACAATAAAAAAAAACACCATCAAGGGGAAGGCTGGAAATATCTTTCCTACGAAGTGAGGGAGACGTTGCATCCCCTCAGTTCTGACTGACAGGATTTCTACCAAGGCCTCCACATGGGGCCTCTGCTGCTGTTGCTATCCTGCAAGGTCATGGGCTTGGATGTGTGGCAGACTGAGAAGGGGGTGCTGGTTCTCTGGTTGTGATGGAGCTGCTGTCGGGTCTGTAAAGGAGTGGCAGGGGCCTCTGTGTTGGATCCAGCTGTAAGGTAGTGCACAGTGTCCCTCCAGCAGGAGGAGTGGCCTTGGTTATGGTTGTTCCGACAGAGACCTGGCTGCAGCTGCTGCCTTAGGAAGCTCACAGTCATCTCTAAGATATCAGCTTTCTCCAGCTTTGAGTTGGGCTCCCGCTTGTGGAACTCTTTCTCCAGAATAATCTTGAGTTGCTCAATACAGCTGTTGATGCGATCTCTGCGCATTTTTTCCACCACAGGTTTTCTTAACTGAGGCAGAAGAGAAAGGTAGGTTATATGATTAAAATCCACAAGAAACAATCAGACATTTGTGCCCTCTGTAGTACTCACTTTGATATTTTCTCTCTCAGAGATCTTGATGAGAGGAACAGAAGAGTAGTTGGCAGAGCAGGGAGCCATGTCTTGCAGGTGGAGTGAGCTGTCTCTTGTTGGCAGTACTGTTAGCTCTAATGTTGCTGAGGGAGCTGCTCCTCATTTTATACTGAGAGATTAACATAACAAAGCCATGTGGCTGAGGCAGGGCTGGGGTTCCCACACTCTGACCAGTGGGACTCTCAGCACAATAATGGGAGACATGTCAATAACTCAGAGAGGAAAGTGTCTGTGTGAGGCAGATTTCCCAAGATAAGCAACAGTTACTTAACAGTCTAATAAGCTGATATCTCAGAATTTATCCTGAATAGAAAAAAGCAAGGTATGTGTGTTATAAAGGACAAATGCTTTACTGCAATAAAACAATATAAGCTGACGTCTTTCATTGTCTCTTCAAAGGACCCCCTTTTCTTCCAATAAACCGTAAGTATCTGTCGAGTTTATTTATTATTTCTGAGTTTCCTGCTTTACTTGTTAACCTTTCAGTTCCAGTTGTGCTGCCTCCCTCACTGTTGATCACCAGTCCCCTTCCTAACATGTTGCACTTGTGCCTTGATAGCCTCACTCCCCTTTCCTGCTTAAGCCCTTGCATTTCCTCACTTCCCTGTGAGATTGTTGCTATCTCCCTAGTTGATACATCAAGCCTTTACTCCTGTTAGTACTCCTCATGTGTTGATCCAGTTATCTGATCTCATTTTCTGATTTTGCCTGCCGGACCTTGTACCTCTGCTCTCGCTGACTGACCCTCTGTGTACCGAACTTGCTTCTGGATTAAAGACTCTTGTAAACTCTCAGACTGTCTCTACAGTTGAATCCTCCCTCTGTGCCTGACATAAACATTTTTGGTTCACAGACAAAACAAATGTTTTACTTCTAGCCAATTTCCCTGCACATAGATTATTATGGGGTGCCGTTTGTAAAGCAGCCCATTATAAAAAACAACAGCAAGATTTGGTCACATTTAGCTTCGAACAGCATTTAAAAAAGTGATGTGAATTTTCGGCAGTCATTTTTTTGCACATTTACAACAACATTTCAATACTAAAACTAAATGTTAAATGTTAAATCTAAATGCTAAATCTAAATGTTAAATATATATGTTTAATCTAAATGTTAAATCTAAATCTAAATGTTAAATATAAATCTAAATGTTAAATATAAATCTAAATGTTAAATGTTAAATCTAAATGTGTTGGGCGAAACTAAATATTTAGCTAATATGCAAATTCACGGTCGGAAACCGGAAGTGCCAAAATAAAAGCTCCAGAAGGTCATATTGATGATTCTTGTGTCGAAGAAAACGAGTTAAAACCAATTTAAGGGGGGAACAATTACTTGGGGTGACGTTTCGTGTTAATAACTACCTACAACTACATACCTACCTACCTACCTACTGCTCCTTTGTGGCGGACAGCAGCAGTATCATGAGTGCACCTGCATGTGTGTGTGCGTGTGTTAGTTAGTTAATTAGTTGGGTCACAAAGTGAGATTCTGTGACCATCCTCTGGCAAGGATGTTTTGACGATTGATTTGACCTCTATGGACCCTTTAGAAAAGATTTAGCCCCCAGGTCCCTCGCAAAAATCCCGGCATTTTTTGCTAGACAGCCAAATTCAAGATGGCGGCAGGCGCCATCTCTAAAAATTAACTTTTGATCTGGATGACCTAGAATCATGTATGAAGGCACTTTTCCATACAAGTCAAGCATGAGGATTCCAAATCTGACATAGTTTTAATCATACAACTTTGTTTTGACCGCGATATTCAAGATGGCTGCCATCTAGTACTGGGATTCTCAACCTTTTCAGGACTTGACCCCCCCAAAACAATCATATTTGAAATGGGTAACCCCTAATTTGTTTGACTCTGTTCCACATATAGATATTGTGAAAATAGCCGCTCTACAAACCCGTAACACCTTGTATTGTGAGGCGTGTGAGCTTGTAGATTGGCTGTATTCACAATTTTTGCCTTTTTCTTATATCATTTGACAATTTGGCCAATGGTTTAGCATTGTTTGTTGATTATTTTGGATGCAGTGATGATCTTTTTCTTTGAGGATCTTACAAGTCCTAACATTATCATTTCACTGTCATCTGGGGGTACGCCACCAACCAATGATCAAGTACAGAGAAAACTTAACTTAACAACAACATAAAGGCCAGTGAATATTGCACTCAAACTATCCAGTATGCTTGATTCATGTCAGCAGCAGTACTTAACTCAGGCAATTTGATTGGCTGTCCCTTCATGTCAGGGATCATCTTTGGGTCGACTTAATGGTATATGTGGCTTCATTACACAGACTACCACACTGGAGAATACATGACTGTCTGTCTGTCCTGGTTGGTATATTATTTTCCTCCATATTCAAGCAGCCATGTATTCTGCATGCACACTGTCTTTACAGATCAAATGTGTAGCTCCTCTCACTGTGGGCTCAAAAGAATGACTGAGGCAACATTTAGGAAAGCAGCAGCACTAAACAAGCAGCATGTGCTAACATGCCCTGACATGAAGGGACAGGAGGGTGGAGGGTGGCGGACCCCGCACAGTTGTATTTTCGTCTGGCGGAGCCCGGCGTACAGCCAGTTTGGTATTATCATGGACATTTTCGTGCTCGCCAATGGAGTGTAAAGTGCACTGAAAGCTCGCCGATTCAAACCTGGTCAGCTTTCAGCGCAGGCGGAGCGCAGCTGGTCTAGTGGTATTTTGGTAGACCAGCGGCGTATCGGCATACATCACCGATGCCTCACCGGCAGGTTTCCACAGTGTCAGGCAGATTTCAGTGCAATAAATAATCATCAATAACTATTAATCTGAGTCAGCACATACATTTAGATCTATATCGATATATTCTGATCTATATCTGATCTGATGAGCGCGTTTGGCACGTATTTAGACACACAACCTGATCGAATCAACACAGCTGAAACCGCATTAAATTAAATTAAATATCTAGTAAATAAACACACATGATGAAGTTAACAAGATATTTAATTTGTCTCCCTCCTTTTCTTTCTTCCTCTTCCTCTTATTTCTCACGCAGCTCGACCTAGACATGTGTCTGTGTCCTCTCTCTGTCCTGCTGCAGCTGAACAGATGATTTGTTTCAGTGCTCAGATGAGTTATTTACTTCAAGCCACTATACGGATATTATAATATTCAGTTTTGTGAGGCAAATTTATTTTATATGCCAACATCTATGAGAGAAAGAGCCAGGCCACAGAGCGCAATGCGTCATTTACGCACAGATGGTTCCAATTTTAATGCCATTTTTGGAGTTTATGTTGTGATCTGTGCGCTCAACCCACCTTTGTCACATGAGGTTTGAATATATGCAACTTTATGTGAGTGTCTTTATTTGTGAAAAAGGGTGTTTGTCTTACCAGTGGGTCCAACATTACACACACCAAATACGTCTGTGCTCACATGAGAGAGTGTGGAGGACGCTTACAGTGGCACTTGTTGAGGAGCTGCCTTCTGTCACCATCGTGTGGCATTGCTGTCTTCAGACATCTCTTGATCTCTTTGACTACTTCACGAAAATAGTAATACGCCTCGCCAGTGGCGGATTTAAAGGCAAGGAGAGGAGCCTATGTGATTGGTGAAAACAGGTCTCAGCTGTGTTAAACCCACTCCACGCCCTCTCTCCTCCCTCGCTACGACTTTCGCTGCTGGGAGGAGCTGAGTTAAGGAGGGGGAATACTTACGCTGGGCTGCGTCGCTCACCAAAATTCCAAATTGTGCTTCGGAACGCCTTGTCGGCGCGGCGGACCTGACTTACGCTGCGCCTGCAGCACGTCTCCAGCGAGGCACGAAATAGAGCCCCATGTGTTACGGGCTTGTAGATCGGCTATTTTCACAATATCTATATGTGGAACAGAGTCAAACAAATTGGGGGTTACCCAGTTCAAATATGATTGTTTTGGGGGGTAAAGTCCTGACGGTTGAGAATCACAGTACTAGATGGCAGCAATCATGAATATCGCGGTCAAAACAAAGTTGTATGATTAAAACTATGTCAGATTTGGAATCCTCATGCTTGACTTGTATGGAAAAGTGCCTTCATACATGATTCTAGGTCATCCAGATCAAAAGTTAATTTTTAGAGATGGCGCCTGCCGCCATCTTGAATTTAGCTGTCTGGCAAAAAATGCCGGGATTTTTGCGAGGGACCTGGGGGCTAAATCTTTTCTAAAGGGTCCATAGAGGTCAAATCAATCGTCAAAACATCCTTGCCAGAGGATGGTCACAGAATCTCACTTTGTGACCCAACTATATAGTGTCCGCGCCACACGGAGAAGCGACACTGAAAACTCGAGTCTTTCTAATAAAGTTTTTGTTGTTGCTGTTGCTATTGTACGTAGTTATTAACACGAAACGTCACCCCAAGTAATTGTTCCCCCCTTAAATTGGTTTTAATTCGTTTTCTTCGACACAAGAATCATCAATATGACCTTCTGGAGCTTTTATTTTGGCACTTCCGGTTTCCGACCGTGAATTTGCATATTAGCTAAATATTTAGTTTCGCCCAACACATTTAGATTTAACATTTAACATTTAGATTTAGATTTAACATTTAGATTAAACATATATATTTAACATTTAGATTTAGCATTTAGATTTAACATTTAACATTTAGATTAAACATATATATTTAACATTTAGATTTAGCATTTAGATTTAACATTTAACATTTAGTTTTAGTATTTAAATGTTGTTGTAAATGTGCAAAAAAAATGACTGCCGAAAATTCACATCACTTTTTTAAATGCTGTTTGAAGCTAAATGTGACCAAATCTTGCTGTTGTTTTGCTAAATGTGACCAAATCTTGCTGTTATTTTTATAATGGGCTGCTTTACAAACGGCACCCCATAGATTATGTGCTAAAAATGTATAAAATAGCTTGGGTTATATTGTAAGCTAAAAATAGGGCAAGAAGGCTAGTCATCAAGTCAAATACTAATATAACCTGGCTGAAGGTCACACAATATTCCTCCTGTTAGTTGCCCTAACACATGTTGATCATGTTAAACTTCATGCTGCAGGAAGTGAGTGGCTGGACTGTAATGTAAGGACATACACTTGGGACTTAAAATGTTCTTATACTGACACACAGTGTAAAAGTAGACACGTGATGCAAGGTCTCAGATGCAATATGAAAGCGCAGTTTAGGAGCAATAAATTAGTATGTGTAAATACATTGATGCTCACCTTCCCCTTCTGATTTACTTAGTTGTTCCTGTATTTATAACCAACTCTGGAAATTTAAATTGTGTTTCTCTGAGTCCATCCTAGCCCAAGTAGGCAAGTGTCTGTTCCTGAGGAGGTGAGCAAAGATATCTTAATAGTTGAGAGTGCATTATTTGAGTATCCTCATTCCTTTTTTAAATTACTTGACATTATTTGTTATTTTGACAGGTATTTTTAACAATTATACAACTAACTTTTATTTTGAATGATTTGTATTTGACCTTAAAACAGTCTGTTCAAGATGTGTGGTGAACCAGATTCTTTTTAGATTTTTGTTGTATTGACACTTATACAGTCAATTGATTTCTGTTGCTGGCAACTTTTCATTCTAAGCTCTTGTCTTCATTTCCCGTACGAGATGCAGGCTCTGATAAAAATGAATTACACCAAATAAGCATCAAGTTAATGTTGTTATGAGTGGGCTGGTAGTGTGTCTCTGAGGCAGTGGCGATTGCTCTAAGACTGCAAGGGAAGCTCGGCTTCCCTTAAAATGTCACCCCCCCAAAAAAAGAAAAAGTGGTGAAATACGTACTGCTGTGTGTACATTTCATTAACTAAATACGTACTAGAAAGCCTTCATCTTTTGTTCAGACACTGTGATAAGAAGCTGATAATTATAGGTAACCGGCATAACTTCGTACTCATTCATCCTCGCAGCGCCTCAGCGCTTCAAACAGTCGGACGCTGGGCTTCTGCTGACTAAGAAGGGGAAGCTAAAAGTGGGTTGTTCCAGCAGCGAAACTAGACGCTCATTGGATAAATGCTGGGCTTTTGCCCCGCCCAATGGAAGCTAAGCTTCACTGGAGTTCTATGGCGAGAGGGCGGTCCCGACTTTCTCCCGGACTGCAAGCTTCTGCATCCATGATTGGATGAGCTGTCTGAGGCGAAATCCTTTTTTGATTGACAGCTAAACAAGCGAATCAGCGATCTTGAAGAATAAAACATCTACCAGAGCATTTTCCAAGTCATTCATTCCGTTGTTCTTAACTGCTCCGGAGACTTTACCGATCCTCAGCGACTTTTGTCTTTATTAAAAACGACTGCCGTTGTGTTTGGCGACTCTGTTCTGTTACATACTAATAAACAAATACAATTATGATGTAGGCCAGAAAAATTAGCTTCCCCTCATTGAAAGACCAGCAGCCGCCACTGCTCTGAGGGCCTCTATAACTGGCTGATCCCAGATGTGAAGTCATCCTTGTGGGTGCAGTGTGAGTAGTACAGTCTCCCCAGTTTCCCACAAGTCCCCAACATCAGGGTAAATGATCTACAAAGGCCATGCCACTAATCAGTGTCCCACTGGGAATGTTAATTGATCTTTTGTTGCAGGAAAAGCAGAAACTCTGTGTACTGGTCCATCTGGGGAAAATTAAGTCCCTGCCTGACACAGAGTGGTTTGTTTGACTTTGTTGGCTCACCTAATTTGAGGTTTCAAACAATAAAGCTGAACAAAATACTCATTCATGAACTGCAAGTAGAAATGCTACAATAGAAAAAAATATGTTTCTTGATTGATAGTTGAGGAATGACTGTCATTAAGTGGCAGCATTTTTAACATCCCTCTGAATCAGGCAAAATGAAATGCCTATCTACTGACAGAAAATATGCAGCTTTTTATGATAACATACCTTAAAGAATGACTTGATACTAATTGAATGAATATGTTTTTGGTACCCTACAAGTTAATGCAAAGATACAACAAGTCTTAAGTTTGGTGACTGTGAAATAAAATGTACTTGACTGAAAATGCAACAAAGAAGCATGAGCCCTGATCTTTTCACAGGAACCCACATTCTGGCAATCCCTATGTTCTTCCACACATCAATGGCTGTAAGTGGTTGGGCCACACCGACATTCAAGTCCCTTTTTCTGTAAGTCTGATTCCCCTTCCCTCACCAAAGCTAATTCAAGGGGACCCATTCTGTCAGTTATTTTTCAGCAATGGTTGCTTACTTGCTTGCTTGTATATTCAGGTTGATTCAGTAAACACACCTGTATTCTTTTAGGTTATCCCTTAAACCCTTTTGCCTATTGGAACACCCCTATTGATCAAAATTTCAATTTTGTCAAGACCATGTCTGCTTTTATTCTCTTTTTTTATTAACTCATCATTATCATCATGTTTGTGTGAAATCTCACCTAATGGTAAGTGTGCACAACACAACTGCTGAGGTCTTCGTCTACAAGTGTGTGTGAAGATGAGCGCCCCCCCACTAGCACCCTGGGACCTCTGAATTCCAACAATACAGTCTCAGCCAATGCTCAGACCTGCGGCAGTGCAACATGGCTTCCCGTCAGCCATCTCTCTGTGAGTGTGGTATCTCTCGTTTCCCACACTCTGTGCCCATTCACTGGCCCCAAGACATGGACAATAGAAGTGTGTCTTGTTACACATCACATTAGCTATGGTGTTTGATCTCTTGTTGAAGGGGGATGGGAGAGCAGATGGCCTGGCCAACTAGACCCTGAGAAAGTCCTGGGCATGCCACATTTGCTACGATCAAAAAAGTGTGTGTGTATGTGTGTGTGTGTGTGTGTGTGTGTGTGTGTGTGTGTGTATTGGGGGGGTATCATGGGATACAGAGTTACCCCAATTAAATTAACAAAGAGATTGTCTGTTAAAATTGATATCTCCATATAAGGAAGATTGTGAGGCTAACCTAAACATAGCTTCAGTGTGCGAAAACGCCTGTTCAGTTGAGCTTTTGCTAGTAATATGGCACTTATCATGACTGCTGCATTCAGACATCATAGACCATGTTTGCTTTAGGATCAAAATAAAGTTTTGTCAGCTTTGCATTAGTCTGCTGAAGAAAGAAGTGCAGTCTTGAGTTTTCTTCAACCTGTGCATGATTTACCTTACACAAGAGCACCACACTCTTACACAAATGACAAAAGCTGTCTTTTGGTGTTTCTGATTTAGACTTTCTCCAAATCTTACGATAATTTTTCACCATGTATAATTCACTGTGTAGAATATGCCAGATTTGGTTTAGTAGTCAGAATTTAATATTTGTTTTGATCATTTGAAAGATGTTGTTTCCTTTTGCAAAGCACAATAATAAAGCCTTTGTGAGCTAAATACTGTACTTATGAACACTATTAGATTGAACAACCACCTGCTCTCTCCAGCAAACAGGAATTCAAACATTTATTTGTTCATCATTATTACACTCCAGTTGTTATCAAGGATTTTGTACTGATTTTATCTCTGACAGCCATCTTTAGAGTTCTCTAAAGAAAGACAGTTAAAACTTGTGTGTATGTTTGAAAAGCTTCACCTGAAGCTTTATCTTTATTTTTTTTCGAAAAGGACAACTTCTCAAGGAAGCATTCAGCAGATTCTTTAGAAAACACTGATCCCAGTATAGAACACATTTAAAAAAGGTGTCAATCTAAAGATGAAAGAACATCTAATATTACAAAACAGCTTAACAGTTGACAAGTCCCACACTCAGGCCAAATAGTGGATACATATGGTCAAAACTTAGAACAATCATTGTAAGATTTACAACAAAACTAGATCCATGGGATCCTTTCATGAGAGGTTGTCAATTCATCAACATCAAGCTGATAAATCTTCAAGCAGAGATACTCAGTATCAAAGATAGACATTTGTTTAGACACAGAAATCTAACAGTGTCTCAGAAACTTAATAGTTTGAACCCATGTGGGGTTTACAAATTAATTCAGTGTTTGCAAAACAAACAAAATTTCAGGATTCTCTTCCTCCCAGAGGAACTGTTAACAGTGTCATGGAGTAACAACTCATCACAATTAAGTGTGCTACGTGTATACACATGGTGTACATATTTAGTAGTTTCAACTTTTCTACAGGAGTACAGGCAGCACATAAGGGCATATTTCAACAAACTTCAAATAAAATCAACAATATTGAATCTTTTGCCAAAGCAAAAAAGAAAATCACTTGAACATGTCTGTAACAGTCTATCCATGACACTCACGGATATAGTTCTCCTCTTCTCAGGGTGAAGATAATTGTGCCTCTGTTCTACCATGGCCTCCACAGAGGTCCACTGGCCTGGTTCTGGCCTTTGTTGGAGCAAACTTGATGGAGTGGAGAGCCTGGAGGGGAGAGAGAGGAAGGCATACTGGACGCCTGCAGACCTTGGAAGTAGCCAAGCAGTTGTCTGTGGGCCTGAGTCTGAATATCACAGTGGGACAGGAAGCTGACAGCCTCCTGCACACAGTGGGAGTAGCCATCATTGACTGTCATCAGGCCAGAGGTCATACAAATCTGCTGATGCTGCTTCTGCCAGCTTCTCAGATAGGATACAGCCATCTCCAAGATGTCTGCCTTCTCTTGCTTAGAGTCAGGCTGCTGCCTAAGAAATTCGGGACCCAGCAGGGATTTCAGCAGCTCAATGCTGGTGTTGATGCGGTCTCGGCGCAGTTTCTCCACCATTGGCTTTCTTAACTGAAGAAAAGAAAATACATTTAGAAAAAATGTCTGACCATTTTTAAATTATGAAAACATAATTCAACAAAGGGACGAATGAGAATTCCTAGATATCTAATTTACCTTATGAGCTGAAGTCAGCTGTTCCTTAGAAAAGCTTGCTTGTCTGAAAACAGTGGGTGCCATAGCTATCAAGGTGTACAGAGGGTCGCTGCCCAGTCTGAAGAGTTAGCAAAATCTGAGCTACCTTCCCTTCTGCCTCATCCTTGTATTTATACACTCTAATCTCCATATGAATGGGTGGGTCTTGGGCTTGTTGGAGTTTCTCACAGTCCCTGGACCAATTGGAGTGCTGGGAAGGGCTTTGAAGAATGCAGGACTGCCACATACTCAATGAAGTGTTTATAGCTGCAGGGACAATGAGTGTGTCTCTGGGGAGCAGGTGGAGCAATAGACTGCTAGAGAAAGAGCTCAGGGAGGGGTGGTGGGGAGAGGACGAGAATGTAGCTGGGAGACTGACCCTGTGCTTGTGTTGATATGGGAAAGTGGTGACCCTAGAGGGAAACACATCGCTGTTACATGTCATCTCCACCGCCTGGTAATTGAGCACAAAGTGCCTCTGCCGACAGGCACACGTGGGTGTAACAGAGGGCCAAGTAATAGAAAGAGCCAACATGCAGCCACTTTAACTGGTCTGACACAGGAGACTTTACTCACGGCTTCGTGCAACAGTTGAGATGTCTCAAATATGAATGAAGAAAGTTTTTGTCAAAATTTTGAAACAAAAATTTAATGTGCTCGAAGAAGAAAAGTGTGAATTTGATCCACACTCCAAACAGACTGACTTAAATGTCAGAGTCACACATCTTGAAGTTTGAAGTTTGAAGTTTATTTCCATCTGGTCATATCCATTCAATATATTCAGTAAATTACAAGAAAAGAAAAAGAAAACCAGACCGAAAAGGCATAGGCTGAAGCAAAAGCTTATTAACGCCTATCCTTCTTACTAAATCAAAATATTCAAAACATCTTACTCCACACGGTAGATAGAAAACAAAAACAAAACACATCAACAAAACAAAGAATAAAAGATGACTCAGAAGAAAGAAAAAAATAAATAAGAATAATAATAATCAAATTCAATCCAGACTATAAATTAATCCATAACCTCAATCATTATTTCTATAATTTTCGATCACCTTGCTTATAAACAACGATTTAAATTTGTGAATAGTCTGACACGTTTTTAATTCATCGTCAAGGGCATTCCATAAATTCACACCTTTAACTGAAGTACACTGTTCTTTGGTCTTGGTTCTAGTTTTTATTTTTTCCATCAAATGTGTCCCACGGAGCTCATACCTACATTCCCTTTTTTTAAACATCTTGCTTCTTTTTACTCTTTCTTACAGGAGTGATGATCAGTGTCCTGTATTTGGACAGACTGCTGAGTTTAAAACTAGCCTAGTACACTAGTTTGCTGTAAAAAATAGCATACCATTGTTTCCTGCCTATCTCTGTACAATTTTCCAAATAACTTATAGAACTGAAAGACTGAATATAACACCTTTTCTGACCAAATAGAACCCTTTTTTGAATAAGAGATTCAGTTGTCCGGTTGTTTGCCTATATTGGCCAAGACACACTGCTTTCTATAAAATATGATTAGCTCAAACCTGAGGAGATTTTTGTGACATAAAAAACATGCACAACTCTTATATACAGTCTATGGTTTTTAACAACATATACCTGTATACTTTATTTTTCTTACTTTGTTGGTATCATTATGTTTTTACGACCATTTGTAAAAGAAATCAAGTCTTAGCTTTGAAATGATTACTCAACAGTTTATCATTGTCAGTTGAAAATAACTCTTGATATCTATCTATTGAAACACCATCAACAGACACACTCGCAGTTACTTTCCCTTTGACATGCACAGCTGGCCGACCTGGCTGCCGCTGGCCACATCTAAGTCACACAGGTCCCTTCCTGTCTGTGTGGAATGTGGGAGCTGCTGTGGTCTCAGGCTTCCCACACTTCAGTGTTACTCCAGTGATAATGACACTGAAGCCGGCTGCAGGCTGCACAAAGGAAGTGTGCTTCATCCAGCTCAGACTGAGTAGACCCCCCACCCCCCAACAGTGACACACACACACACACACACACACAGGCAGTGCTGTCAACAGGGCTTCCAGGCACACCATCTGGACAGATCTTATGTCAGCCAATCAAGCATGGGAGACACTCACCGTGAGAACTGGAGCGCCTGAATTAGAGACAGAAAGCTAAAGAAGAAGAAAAGAGAGTGTTTCTCTGTGCATATTTATGTGTGTTTGTATGGAAGCCCATTTCCGCCAGTCAAAAAAAAAAAAAAAAGTCGAAATTATGAGATAAAAAGTCATAATTATGAGATAAAAAGTCAAAATTATGAGATTAAAAAGTCATAATTATGAGATAAAGAGTCGAAATTATGAGATTAAAAAGTCATAATTATGAGATTAAAAATCGAAATTATGTGATAGTAAGTGCGCATGTTTTATGGCGCCGTCTTCAAGGTCTCACTTCACCTCACCGGATGCACCATGCAAACAATACTCATCAGTAAATTAGGAAAGTATTATAGGTGTCTTTGATAGATATTAAATATTACTATTCATTTAATCAGCCCGTCCGTGCTGCTAAACAAATTACGTTATTTTGACAATATCTTTCAGCTGTCAGTGAATCATCGTCTTGAAGTAACGTTTATGCCACTAGATGGTGACACTGAGACAGGAACAGTGTCCGTACTTTCTACCTGTGAGTTGCATTATGTTACTTAGAGTCGGCTACAAATGTCTCCACAAAGGTCTTTGTTAAGAGTTGGTAAGTGTTATCAGAGCTAGTTTTACATGTAACGCTGTGTTCTCCAGCATGTTGAAAAGTCATGCGAAAATTGTACACTGTGCACTCATAATTTCGACTTTAAAATCTCATAATTTCGACTTTAAAATCTCATAATTTCGACTTTTTATCTCATAATTATGACTTTTTATCTCATAATTTCGACTTTAAAATCTCATAATTATGACTTTTTATCTCATAATTTCGACTTTAAAATCTCATAATTTTGACTTTTTATCTCATAATTATGACTTTTTATCTCATAATTTCGACTTTTTTTTTTTTTTTGACTGGCGGAAATGGGCTTCCATATCTTTGTGTGTGTGTTGATAGTGGAAAAAGGTTTGAATTGTTTGTTTGACTAGTTTGTTTGAATTTTTTTTTTTTTTTACTTTCAGTTGGAAATGAATGGATCCAAAGATCATAGAAAGGTTGAAATTTTAAATTGTAAAGGGCAGATTTATAGAAAACACATTATAAAATAAGTTGTAACATGAATTGATGATAATGCTGTTGAATGATCAAGTCTTTAATTATTGTTTTGCTGTAAATATTAAGTTGTTTATCCAAGGGTACAATTTACGCTTACTACTTTAGATGATTACACAAAAGTGATCAGGACTTATGTTATAGGGTTAGTCTTTTTTTCTGTTCAGCATGTTTTTAAACTGTTAAACCATGTCCACAAGCACTCTCCATGCTCCCACCACATATTACTCTGTGTCAATGCAATCAAAAAGACCCCCCACCCCCACCCCCACCCCACCCCAGTGTCACATATCAGTTGAGAGACTAGAGGCCCGTGAAGGGCCCCTCCTACCTGTCGGTTTGGTCTTGGGCTATTGCACTCTATGAATTCAACTACTTCATTCACATCCTATTTTCATAACACTGCACTGTGATTGGCTAAATACTGTGAGAACTAGCATCACAGTAAATCAATGGGAAAGCTGGCCCAAGTATATAGGGGAGGATTGCTGCAGTGGGTAAAATTACAATCTTGGACACTTAGTACTTGAAACAGGCCTCCTGGACTGACTGGACCTTATTTGACTGCATATTCACCATGAGGGTACACAACGTAAGCTTATCTGGGCAAAGCCGCAGTGTGGGCTTAGGCTGATGTTTTGGTTTCTTTTTGTAAAATATTTTGGTTATGAAATATTGCACCAGGAAAAAAAGGTTTAAAGTCTGATGCCATTTTTAGCACAAAAAAGAGAAAGAAAAGAAACAAGAACTAAACCCCATTCACCCACTTTAAGTCATGGTGGCAATATATAAATCAAAGGAAAACGTTTCTGCATGGCTGTTATCCAGCCTATATCTGATGTTGCTTTCTCTTTCTTGGCATGTGCAAGGTGATGATTTTGGAGAGAAAGTGCACAGACAGGACAGTGAGGCTCCGCTCAGCATTGGCCAGCCAACTCCTCACTGGGGCTTCTAGCTCTGACCTCTGGAACAAGACCATCTCCTTCTTCACAGTGAAGAAGACTTTGATTTTTCAGAGGGGCCATGAGGCTGTTCCCCTCAAGTGCTGAGGATGTGTTTCCGCTGTATTAGCAATAACTGTGTGCAGACAAGCTGCAGAGTACAGGCCATGGAGGCATCATGTGAAGAAGTTTAATTTTCTTGATTGAAAAGGACTTAAAATCGTTTTAATTTTTTCTTAATTGTTTGGTATTTGTAACTGCCTTAAGCCATAGATGTCCTTAAAACTGGTCAGCTTGAGACCAACCAGTCAAGATTCTGTAAAACTAAAACCAGTATTCCTTTGTACAAAGGAGACATCTGTATGCCAATGCATGCCTGTTCAAAGACAATGAGGACATCATAAATAATATCATTTTAATGCCATGTGTTAACTGTCTCTGAAATGTAAAATGTGCAATATGCAATTTTATTTTCAAACAACTTCCTGAAATTTGGGTTGAAAGGAATTTCCTACAACTGCTTTCAGTAAGTAGAGTTGCCATTTAAGAAGAAAACTAAAGTTGTTGTTGTTCATATCCTTGTTATCATTGTAGATAAAAAATAAGAAAAATATCCTTATAACATCACTGTGATTGGCTTGTAAACATCACCCTCTGGTGGCCTATTGGCATTTTCATAGCTGTAATATTCAGTGCGCAGTCAATCAATCAATCATTTTATTTATAGAGCACTTGTCATACATGGACTGTATCACAAAGTGCTGTACATTAAAGAATACAAGAAGGACAGGGTCAGGGGATACCAAATAAAATACAAGATAAAATACAAATTGCAAAACCCCACCCACCCATCCACCCACCCTCTAAGCCCGCATTTAACAGAGACCCCACCACCCACCCACCCACAGACACACAGACACACACACACACACACACACACACACACACACACACACCACTTGGACACCAAGTCAGGGCTCAGCAGGAAGCCCCAGTGGACCAAGGAAACGCTATCTTAAACTAAAATGGGGAAACACTGGAGCTGAAGCTAAACTGATAAAACCATGACAAGATATAGGAAACTCATAAAATGATAGAAAATAAAATGAAATAAAAGAGTAATTATAATAATATAATAATAGAATATCATATAATAAAACTGTTTTTAAATCAAACAATAAAAGAAAATAAACAAATAGTGTTAAAAGATAAAATAATAATTCTGGGACTAGAGTGGAGTAAAATACACAAGATAAAAAGAGTAGACTAAAAGAGAGGCTAGAAGAATAAAACAAAAATCAGCTAAAAAGCCAGACTAAAAAGGAAGGTCTTGAGTTTGCATTTAAAAATATGAACTGTAGGTACTAATAATGCCTCACCGTATGTTTTGGTTCTAACTTTGGGGACTATTAAAAGACCACTACCTGAAGATCTGAGGGCTCTACTGGGCTCATATCGTAGCAGCAAATCAGATAAATAAGGAGGACCAAGACCATTAAGACATTTATAAACTAGTAAAAGAACCTTAAAATCTATTCTAAAAGATACAGGAAGCCAATGCAGAGACTTTAAAATTGGTGTAATGTGGGCTCTCCTCCTGGTCTTTGTCAGCATGCGTGCAGCCGAATTTTGCAGCAGACGAAACTGTGAAATGTTCTTTTTAGGAAGACCAGAGAGGAGAGCATTGCAATAATCAATTCTGCAGGTAATAAAAGTATGGATAAGAGTCTCTGCATTGGCTTGAGAGAGAAGCTGGCGGACTCTAGAGATGTTCTTAAGGTGATAAAAAGCCTTTTTGGTGATATCACATATGTGTGATTCAAAGCTGAGATTAAAATCAAATATAACACCCAGATTTGTAACTTTTTTGAGGGATTAAAAGACAGTCCTCGGAGTTTGTTCTCCAGTTTCTCTCTCTCTGGACCTGTACCGATGACTGAAACCTGGGTTTTGTCCTGGTTGAACTGCAATAAGTTGTCTGCCATCCAGGACTGGACATCTAAAATGTCTAAAAATCAATGGGCCCTGTGTCATCAGGAAACACGGCCAGGTAGAGCTGTGTATCATCAGCATAGCTGTGAAAGTTAATGCCGTGTCTCCTGATGACATCTCAGTCACATGGAGTAAGTATATTCAGCTAAAGCCATTAAAGTGTATAAATATAGGCCTTGGTTAATAGCCCTGTAGAGGTTTGAGAACATCTCACTTCACCTGTAAACAATGCAAACAGTGAATTGAATTTTATTATACCTTATAATGACAGAAATGCTCATTGATGCCTCTCCACAGCAAACTTCCTTCTTATAATGGACAAAGCTGTACTATGCAGAATTAGTGAGTCGAAGCAGATACTGGGTGGAAAAATGCATTTGAAGGGCTTATGAAGCCCCAGCCAATCCATGAAATGTTTGATCTTCGTAAGACAGCTTCAGTTTAACAGCTGTGCAGGAACTTGCTGTCATAATAAGAGTTACATGCTGTAGTGCAGTTTGTCTTTTTCTAATTATATATCTATCAAAATCCAAAAGTAATCAACTTTTTTATTTCTTTTTAGATCTAAAAAGTTATCTAAATACGAGAACAAGACATCCTACATGTAAAAACAATGAGGCTATTCTGTACCTCTTGAAAGAGAATTTCAACAGCAAAGGCTTTTTCATGCCCAACCCTCCAGCTTGGAAGCAAATAGAGCAATTCTATGCAGCTCATGTACCACTGGCTGGTATCCCCTTTATTAAGTCCAACCATACTTTGAAGGATGACACAGATAATCCACTTATCAACCATACATCCAAACTATGGTCAGTTATACAACAATGTATTCTTAGTGTGAAACCATTTCATAGCAGCACTCCCTTTCATAATAATCCTGCACTACCACCTGTACTTAGAGATGGTCTCACTAAGAGGTGGTACAGCACCTTTTTCTCTGTGAAAATAATATTCTAAAATTCTTTGAACAGTTAAAAGATACCTTCAATCTTCCTGCTGTACATTTCTTTAAATACCTGCAGGTCAGGCATTTTATTTGCTCTTAACAGGGAGGACACCCAACCCCTCAAGAATCTCCTGTAACTGATAACAATATGAAAGGCATTCAACGCCCTAAGGGCATGGTGTCCCTGATATACAGCAGAATACTGGACTTTCTGGCAAATAAGACTCTGAAATCTAGGGCTAAATGGGAACAAGATCTCAGTTTCACCTTTAACGACTGTGGTGGTCGTGGGGCGGGGCCCTGTGGGGTGCCCCACGGGCGTCCCACCACGGTGGACGTGGGTACTGGTCGGCCTGCTTTTTGGCGGTGCAGGGGGCCGGGCTGGCCTCTGGTCCGGACAATGGTGTTGTATATTGTAGTGATTTTTGTTGCTTTGTATCCTCGTCGTGGTCATTATTACTGTTATTATTTTTGTTGTCGTCGTCTTTGTCATTCGTTTATTGTCATTATTGCCGGTATTGCTATTGTTGTTATCAGTGATGCTGTTGTGGTTGTTGTATCGTCGCTGTTGTGTCGGTGGTTCGGGGGGATTGTATGTGTGTGTGTATGTGTGTGTATAGTGCATCCAGAAAGTATTCATACCACTTCACCTTTTCCACATTTTGTTATGCTACAGCCTTATTCCAAAATGGATTAAATTCCCTTTTTCCCTCAAACATTCTACACAAAATACCCCATAATGACAAAGCGAAAAACCTTTTGTAGAACATTTTGCAAATTTATTAAAAATAAGACACTCAAATACACAAGTATTCACACCCTTTACTAAATACTTGGTCGAAGTACCTTTGGCAACGATTACAGCCTCCAGTCTTCTTGTGTATGATGCAACAAGCTTGGCACACCTGGATTTGGGGAGTTTTTCCCCATTCTTCCTCGCACATCCTCTCAAGCTCAGTGAGGTTGGATGGGCAATGTCGGTGCACAATTACTTCCAGGTCTTTCCAAAGATGTTAATCGGGTTCAAGTCTGGGCTCTGGCTGGGCCGCTCAAGGACATTCAGAGACTTGTCCTGAAGCCACTCCTTTGTCTTCTTGGCCGTGTGCTTAGGGTCATTGTCATGCTGGAAGATGAAGCGTCGCCTCAGCTGAAGGTCTCGAGCGCTCTGGAGCAGGTTTTCATCAAGGATTTCAATGTACTTAGCTGCATTCATTTTCCCCTTGATCCTGACAAGTCTCCCAGTTCCTGCCGCTGAAAAACATCCCCACAGCATGATGCTGTCACCACCATGCTTCACTGTAGGGATGGTATTGGCGAGGTGGTGAGCGGTGCCTGGTTTTCTCCAGACATGACGCTTGGCATTCAGGCCAAAGAGTTCGATCTTCATTTCATCAGACGAGAGAATTTTGTTTCTCCTGGTCTGTGAGTCCTTCAGGTGCCTTCTAGCAAAGTCCAAGTGGGCTGTCATGTGCTTTTTACTGAGGAGTGGCTTCCGTCTGGCCACTCTTCCATAAATGCCTGACTGGCGGAGTGCTGCAGAGATGGTGGTCCTTCTGTAGGGTTCCCCCATATCCTCAGAGGAACGCTGGAGCTCTGTCAGAGTGACCATCGGGTTCTTGGTCACCTCCCTGACCAAGGCCCTTCTCCCCCGCTTGCTCATTTTGGCTGGGCGGCCAGCTCTAGGAAGAGTCCTGGTGGTTCCAAACGTCTTCCATTTCTTAATGATGGAGACCACTGTGCTTTTTAGGATCTTCAACAGCAGATATTTTTCTGTAACCTTCCCCAGATCTGTGCGCTGATACAACCCTGTTTCGGAGGTTTACAGACAATTCATTCGACTTCATGGCTTGGTTTGTGCTCCGACGTGCTCTGTCAGCTGTGGGATCTTATATAGACAGGTGTGGCTTTCCAAATCATGTCCAATCAGCTGAATTTGCAACAGGTGGACTGCAATCAAGTTGAAGGAACATTTCAAGGCTGATCAGTGGAAACAGGATGCACCTGAGCTCAATTTTTGGGTTTTTTAACAAAGGATGTGAATACCTATGTATATGCAACATTTGGGTGTCTTATGTTCAACAAATTTGCGAAATGTTCTAAAAAAAAAGTTTTTCACTTAGACATTATGGGGTATTTTGTGTGGAATTTTTGAGGGAAAAAAGAAATTTAATCCATTTTGGAATAAGGCTGTAACATAACAAAAGTGGTATGAGTATTTTCCAGATGCACTGTATATGTATATGTATGTATATTTATATATATGTGTGTATGTATGTATATATAGTTATTATTATATATATTTCAATGTAATCTAATTAAGAGTTTTTTTATTCTCTATTGTATATAGTATTTCCCCCTCCCCTCCCTCACAAAAGTATTTTTGTTCAATTTTGTTGTTGTTGTCACTCTGTTTTTTTGTTAAATAAAAAAAATTAAAATAAAAAAAGAACTTTTGGCATGATTTAGTAAACTGGTTGAAAATTTTAATGGATAAAGTTGCACATGGAAATTATAACATGGCAAACAAATTTTTCAGAATTTGCAATATAATAATTATGGGTAAATGCCACATCCATAAAGGTAAAAGGCAAACTAAAAATCTATCCCTTGCATTGTTTAGAACAGAACTTAAATCTTATTTTGCTGCCTTGTCACGAATTTAAGACTCTAGTCCAGAGCTAGAAAACCTATGTGATGATGTCTCTAAATACCTACTGTTGAAATTTAATGAAATATTAACTATCTAATATTTACATTTGCTGTTTGTATGAATTCCAAAGGCAGGCCTTGCTGTAAGTTTTTTTTTTCTTTTCTACATTATGTTGCTCTCATGTATATTATCACTGTTGTTCTGTAAAAGTAAGATGTACATCTGAATTGTACTTGTCTCCCATTGAGAGTTTTGTAAATTGTTTGGAAGCAAGATCAAATTTGTACAAGATCATAATACTTTGCAACTGATAATTATCTAAAGAAAAACTTATCAGAAAACATTTTGACTATAATTATCAGGTATTTAAGTTTTTCTTGATTAGACTTTGCTTTCCCTAAAGTAACCTCCTCTGGCTTTAACAACAGCATGGCATATAAGAGGCATTTGTTCCACAAGTTTTTTTTAAGGTTTGTAGCAGGAATTGCATTCCAAGCTTTCTTAAGTTCATCAATAAGAGACTGCCGATTTGTGGGACGCCCTTTTCTGATTGATCGATCCAATTCATCCCACACAAGCTCAATTGGAGAGAGGTCTGGAGGCTGAGGGGGCCAACCCATTTTTTGAAGAAAACCTTCCTCTTCTTTTTTGTCTAGGTAACCCTGACAGAGCTTGAAAGAATGCATGTTTGACCTCTGTGGGCGAGGCTTCTGAACCACGAATATTTAAGGGCATAAACATGTTGATGACGATCGATTTCAGCTGCCGCATTTATCAAGACCCGATCATACGTACGCTGGGATTGGTCAGATACGAACCCTTTCATAAATCTCACGTGGGTCCTATCGCACGATGAATCCTGCGCTCAGTTCTTGATAAATGAGGGCCCCTGTGTGTATGCGTTGTAAGAAATGAGACCGACAACAATGCAGTATACAACTTACTCATATCAAATGTGCAACAGCACAGGGTTCAATGACGAAACAAGATCATAATTGAAGAGTTAGGAGTTTGACTTAAATAAGTCACAGCAGTTATTCAAGCAGTTCTTTGCTCATCTGTTCTTAGGATTAAAACACAGTGTTGTCAGTGATTGTGTGGAAACTTGAATTTAGCACTGGGGAGAAATAAAGTAACTATCTGAAGAAAACAAACTGAAGAATGAACAATTACTCATAGATGTTTTTAAAGGATATATTGTAGGTCTGTTTTATTCTTAATTTAGACAAGTCTGATATTTCACTGCAACAGATGGTGTCATACGAATCAAATTTCACTATATCACAAAGGCATAGCTGAATGGGGAAAAAATAAAACAAACTTTTAGTCAATCTTTTCCTCATTTTTCTTCTGATGTGAATAAAAGAAATCACAGATACACGCTAAATAAAAAAAAAAAGAATTCTGTTCATCAATCAAATTCCAGTTAGAACCTACATGGAAAGCAAACAGCAAAACCCCAGAGGAGGACAGGTCAGCCCAAAACAACGAGACAAACTTTCTTTCATTCAACAAGCCCTGGCTGAAAACAACTTATACCAAACAAAACAAAAAGAAAACAAGATTGAATCAAAGACCACTTCTAACACACTGTGGGTAAATCCCCAAACGTTTTCTGTTACCTTAACACTGCACTGTAATTTAAGAGGATAGTGGCTGGATGGCGGGTTGGCTCAAGGGTCAACTGGAATTTCAAACTTGAACTGAATTTTTTAGTATATTCCCATGAACCAGACAAATGTTTGTTTTTGACATGAATAATTTGCCTTTCCAGCATGTCACCCTTTGATGGTGGTGTTATCCTCAACAGACAGAAGAACCATCAGGCTTCTGGTTTGTTGGCAGTCACAGTCATCAACATAAAAATACACTAAATGTACTCAGTTCAATGATTTGTCTTCACTTTGGACTAAAGGTGTGAGAAAGAGGCAAAGGATACATTTGGTTTTGGTGTTCCCTTTCCCTTAAACAGTGCTGTGTTATGTTACAGAGATGCTGCGAAAAGTGGATGAGTTTTTAGGCTGTACATAGTTTCTGTTTGTTAATTTGAAGTTGTCATGTAGGGGAAAAGTGAGTAAGAAGCATGGTGTACACTCTGTGTGTACTCAGCATGTGTGTCAGTATGTAAAAAGACAAGATTTTTTTATGGATGGTGTCTCAACATTATTTCAGGGCTGTTGTGTGTTGAGAGGGGTCTGGATTAGGTGGGTCATCAGGGCAAAGAGTTCAACAGATCCTGGAGGAAGAGGTCTGGGTCTGCGATTTCAGAGAGAAGACCTGAAAAAGAAACAACAAATGAAATCATACTTACACCAGTTTGGAATTTATACAAAGTTTTAATTTCACATCACCCTTTGACATACAAAAATTTTGACGGTAGAGCTGCACCCAATGTTGCAGAACCTCTCCGTCAAACTGAGAACTTCTAGAGATGATCAGGCATGTATACTGACCTACAACATCAAAGAACTCTGACAAAGACTCTGTGGGCATTAGCTCATCCTGGAAGGCCCGAAGCACACGCTCTGAGGTCTCATAAATGGGCATGTCGTTGTGACGGACATATTCTGCCAGCGAGAAGGACCAGCCCCCCTCTGTGTTGCTGGTGGGTACTTTCTGTATAGCCAGAGAGAAGATGGGAAAAGAGGTAGGAGAAAAGACAGGGGGTGTGAATTGCTTTGGTTTTAGTAAACAAACTAGAAATCAATGTTGTATCATATACATTTATTACTGAGCTAAAGTGAACTAAAAGACGTCTACAGCTTCACTTGTCTGGATTTGGATGTTTAGTAAGTCCACCTTTACTTTTTTGATTCGCTGTTACCTTTGATTAAGCATAATCAATAGGATTAAGTATTTATTCAGTTTTCACAAAAAAATTCTTTTTATCAGATGAGACTCAATAAACAATTAACTGAAACAAATATTCAATCTTCAAATAATTTTAGTTACACAGCTATTGTTTTTAAATTAAAGTGCATAACCTACCCTGAACATGTCATAGACAAGATCCACCAGACCCCAGAAGAGAAGAGGTGAGCGATAGACTGCATATTCCTTTGGTGCTTTATCTGTGAGTCTGAAATTAAGGAGAAGAACATAACAAAGGTGAGGATTTGGGTTAAAAGACAAAAAGAAGAAGCAAAAGTTAATTTTTATATGTAGTATCACAAGGTCAGCTACAGAACTGGAAACTGTTTTTGAAATCTAGCATGAAGGTTTTCAGTGTGCGTGAAAAGAATTTCTATTGCTTTATATCTCACTTTTTGTATGTAAATACTTCATTTGTCATACATTTTTCATACAACATCTTTATTCTTTATATATTTTGCATTTTTCTTTCTTATTTGATTATTCGTTTTTTTTCTAATGCTGAATTTTAATCTCATTAAATCTATCTAATCTAATCTAATCTAATCTGATCTGATGTAATCTAAGGAAACACAATTGAAACATTTTACAGCTGCCACCAAAACTGATCTTTTTAATCCAAGGAACTCAGCTAATTTGAAAAAGAACATTTTTGTTTGACCAGACCCATACTGAAGAGATTTTATTGAATAATTGTTTTAGGGCAGGGGTTCAAGCTGGGCCCCTCCAAAGGTGGTTCAATGCAGTGAGGATCCGTTTATTCACACACACACACACACACACACACACACACACACACACACACACACGCACACACACGCACACACAGCAGCAGGGATCAAATGTAAAAATTGGTATTAAGTGTAATAAACTTCATCACCTGTCTCCCTCATTAACACACCTGTCAGAGCAAAACAGCCCCTCTCAGACACACAGACACACCTGTGTTCACCAAGCTACAGGTTTCACAGCAGCTCATTAAACCACTGTTTAACGGGGATCTGACATAAAATAACGGAGGGAAAAATTTCCTACCTTTGCTCTGGTGTCTAAAACAGTCAGCATTGGTTATCCAGCTCCAACAGGTTAATAATCCACCAATATTATTTCCGTTTACATCCTGTTTACATCCCATTTACAACCCCTTCCTCGCGGTCAGCGTCTCATCCATGAGGTACCAGCCAGAGATGCTCCTCCTGTCGGCCTCTATCGGGACACTTGAAGCTTAAGTGTGCTTAAACTTTTTTCACACAATGAAAATAGATGAAACGTGCTGACCGCAAGAAAGGGGATGTAAATATGGGAATAATATCGGTGGATCATTAAACTGTTGGAGCTGGATGACTGACAATGCTGACTGTTGTAGACACCAGGGTGAAGGTAAGAAATGTTTCCTCAAGGTTTGATCAGTTACATCTCCGCTCGGATGTGTTGGACTGAGATCAGGAAGTTTTGTATTTTTTGTCCTGCTTGCTTGGTCCCCACCCCCGCCTCCAGTCCCGTGCTTGCACCCCTTGGAGGGTGTCCGCGCCCGCCCCCCCCAACCAGCCGTGATCAGTTGAGGAAAAAAAAAAGGGGAAAAAACATCAAGTTTCATACTTGTTGGTGCAGACTGCCATGACCTTGCGGGTGTGCGCAGTGACCAGGAGTCTCCGTAGGAAGTATATCCGTGAAGTCCTCCAGCGTTCTGGTGGCATGATGTGCATGGCCAAAATGGTGAAATAGTGCGGTCCTTCAACATCGTATGAGCTCTCGACCCATTTTTCACAGGGCTGTTCCTGAAAAGTCTGCAGGTTCTTCTCCTCCCGGGATGTAGCCCTTGTGCTGCAGTAAGTGACAGGGTGAAGAGAGCACAGTAAGATGAGCCCAAATATTGAGAAAAATCAGCTGAATGTTGGTCAACTTGTAATGCTGTCTTTATCCCTACACCTGACACTGGATTGATTTCTTTTTCTTTTCCAGCCAAGGGTACATACGTGTTGAGGACATAGAGCACAGTGTGGATGATGTAGGGAATGAGGTGGATGTTGCTCTCCCGCCCTCCTCCTCCTGTATCCACACTGAAAGACTGCTCAGTGGCAAAGCGGAGGAACAGAAGTTTGGTGTCATGGATGTTGAGTTGGTACGTTGGCTCCCGCTGGCCTGTGCACTCCTGCAGATATGTGTTGTGCCTTTGCAGCAGAGAGAAATCAGTTGGAAAAAATTTACCATGAGAAAAAAAAAAATTTTTGGTTGCTGCATGTGTGATTATGAATTTTTTTTTTTACCTTGCCAAACATGTAGCAAAAGCTGATTCTGGCACATGTGGCCCCCAAACAGGAAGCAGCCCATTGCACTTGGTGTTGGCGTTCTGGAGAGCAGCACTCTCCCATTCCTCTCGCCCACGAGCCAGCCTGCTCAGAGGAAAAACAATAATTGTAGATGAGATAAGAATACATTTTAATCAAAGTATTATCTGAGAGTATATTCTCAACCTTAAGAGCTGAATGGTAAGCGTGAGTTACCTGACAGCTGCAAGATGACAGTCATAGTGGACTATGTTAAAGTGCGACACAGTGCTGTAGCCCTGCTGCTTACGAGGCTTGTTTTCAAAGTCCTCCAAGGCCACACGCTTTGTGAAAGTGTAAATACCCAGGACTTTGGTTGGCTAGAATAAATAAGAGAGATAAATATTACTTACATATTTTTTAACATTTACAACTGTGTTGCCAATAGTTCCATTTCATTTTCTGCTTTTCCACTAGCTTTCATTTAAGTCTACAACCAGCAAGAATCAAAGTTGCAGACACCACAAGAGAAAACTGATCTGTCAAGTTGACTGTGATTCACATGGTCATGAAGGTATGGATTTATCCATCAAAAATCTCATTTAAGTTGTGTACCTGGAACTTGTAACCCTCTCTACAGATGCAACAGGTCAAGCCCGGCTCCTCTATGAGTTCCTCCATTTGCTTCAACAGGGAAGTCTTGGTCACCACTTGACCCTTCTCGTTAGTCTAAAAAGATAAAGATTTAAAATGTGAAATTCCAAATTTACCAACATGGTTGTGTTACTGAAGAAAGGGGAGAGGAGCAGACAGAAATAGATAAATACAACAACAGAAAAGTTTACAACAGTTTCTCCTTTTTTTTTTTTTTTTTTTCTCCTTTTTTTCTTTTTTATATATATATTAGTTTGTAGATATTTATTTATTTATTTTTACATGTTTTACGTTTCCCCCCCTTTTTTTTTTTTTTTTACTGAGTTCTGCTTATTCATCTGTTTCCACTTGCTCAGACCTTATTGATGTATGCAATGCTGTATTGTTGTTATGTTCTAAAAATGGAATAAAATCTGATTATTAAAAAAAAAAAAAAAAGTTTACAACAGAAAAGGTAATCATTAGAGAAAGAATACCGTCATGCCCAGTGTTCCTAGGGCCTTCTGTCTCATGGCCATAGCCATACGCTTCTTCTCAGCTCTGGTTTCCCTACGGGCTGCTTCAATCTTCAGGTTGACATCATTGTGTTCCCTCAGTGCCTCCAGGAGGTTCTCTGCCAGTGTACCAATACCTTCATCACTGGACACTTGCTCCAGCTTGTGCAAGTTCGTTATGGAATCTGTGCCAATCAATACCTGAGCAGAACACAAAATAACATTCAGTCATGGAAGTTTATTTGAAAAAGTTTTTGAAACTGAGTTTGCAAGCTTGTACATATGTTGAAATAGTCCATCTTGTTAAGTTCTTTTGCATACGTGGAATCTGTGGGAAAGTAACCAGTCTCCCATATTTGAATATGATGGGGCTCTACATCTAATACCTGTGTGGGGGGATGCTGAGTAGCCAAACCACGGAGCAATCTGAGAATGAAGGGTAGAGCTGGTCTGGACAGGAACTTCTTCCAAACATCTGCATCCAGACTTATAAGAATTCAGAACAAAATTCATGTTTTAGACAATCAAGCTCTTACAGTATTTTATTGAATTGAAGGTTTTAAAGAGACCATTACATGCTGTGCTGAGAAAAGACCTACTTTTTGGCGTTTGGGATATGTTTTTTCATGTAGTCCAGTGCACTCTGAGTGATTCCTTTCTGAAGAATAAGATCCTTCAGCTGATGGCCATTGCTGTTGTTTTTGATTCCTGCAGCTATTTTACAGAAGCAGTCCAAGAACACTTTGTCATCTGCACTGTGCTCCTCATCATACCTGAGGAGACAAAGGCAAACATTAATACTAAAACATTCTCTGATAAGGCATTGCTCTGAAACTGGCATAAGTTATTACACAGCCTGATTTAAAACTGTAACTATATTTGGTAACAGCTACAGCTAAAATAAATTTAAATATCAGCTAAATCAAAAGCCAAGAAATGCTGACTTGTCAAAGCTGCAACATGGTTTAAAGCGTTCCACCAAAATCCTCATCTTCTCCAGTTCACCAAAGGAAAGGTATGGGATGATGCGCAGCAGACCCTGTAGCACGCTGGGGTTGGAGCGCACAAATGGGGTATTGATCTGGTCTAGCAACATGACCAGCTGATCTTTGTCCCCTGTCAGCAGTAAATTGCCCTGCAAAGATAAACCAGCCCCAGTTAAACCAAAGCATTCAAAAACGCTTCTGGCTTGAATATTGTGTGGTGAGCAAGTTTGTTTGGTTTCCTTTACTACAAGATTGAACCTTCCTTAAATTCTTACCTTGTCCTCGGAGATCTCTGCATTTGCTTCATCCAGAATTATCTCCATGATACTAAGAACTTGCTCCGCTATTGAGGCTCCACCACTGTCTTTACTCTCCTGCTCTGCCACCAAGGCCTAAAAGAGAAGGGAAGAATAGCAGACTGAATTTCTAAACCACTAACGAAGAACCGGAACAACTGTATGATCAAAACCTGTTAAAGATATTAAAAATTGTGACTGTGATACTCACCAGGTTTAGAGTTCCCAGCATGACGTTGAGTGTGTTCATCTCAGGTTTAACCAGCTGCTGTCTGTTGATCTTAACCTTTACACAATAACTGAACAACTTCAGCAAAACCTGCAAGTGAAGCCATGACAAAATTGTGAAGACCTCCCAAAGTTAAACCTCCTTGTGCTTGTTTAAAACACATAAGCTACTTTTGAGACAGTATCAAAAACTTTGTTCCTTAGTTTGAGAAATGTTTCTGCGGGCTCTGAGGGTATGAATTAAGATTACCATTTGGCTTAAAAAGAATCTGAAGGGAAAAAACATGCTGTCTTACGGTCAACAGATGCCTTCCTTGTTTGAAATCTTTGATTCCAGACAGCCGGTTGAGCATACACTCCAGTCCGCCACATTGTGCCATGACCCCTGCCATCTTGTACACCTCCTCATCATCCTCCTCTTCATCTGTGATCAGATCAGATAACAGTTTATTGCATTTGGATGAAATACAGTAAGTTTGTCGTTTCCGTGCCTTTATAACACGGACACAGAATATAATACGTACACTTGAGATAGAATAGAGTATGTCCATGAGACTGATGGCTCAGATATTGGTCAACAGTAACTACAGGGTATATGCAGGAATCCTGAGGTTGATTTCAATACCTTTTTAAGACTTTTTTTAAAAACCTTTTATAAAATTTTAAGACCTCATCACCAGTTTTAGCTGTTGTTGACAACTCATTTTTAACAGTTGTAGTTTGCAGTTCAACAGAAATGAGGTAAACTGAGAAGGAATAAAGCCTGAAGAATATATTAAACTAAGGTGCATTTTTTAGGCTGTAGACTGCTTGGGTAGGTATGTTGTCAGTGCCTGATCAGTACCCTGAACCAGATCTGTGCCATATCACTTTAGTGTGTGCGCCAACATGTACACTTGCGCGCCTATGCAAGCGTAGAAGGGATTATTTCACAGTGCACACATGGGATACTTTACGTCAGACTTTTTTAAAATGAAAAAATAAATAAAATAAAACCAAAAATAACAGTAAACAATGAACAAAGGTGAAAAAATGTACTGTCCAAATATTCCTTTTGCTGGCTCAACCTGTTTCTTTGACAAATATGAAACTTAATACTTAACCAAAAACAACTTAATAGTCTCAAAATATGAAACGCTACCTTTTATTTAAAGTTTTTCTCCATCCAGGTTTTCTTCTTGCACTTCAACCTGCTTATCCATAGACACCATAAAAAGTAGATGCCTCATCAGCTGCTAGGGTGTGTGCAATACGGCTAGCATCTTGGTCTGGTTCTCCTACCTACAGACATAATAACCCTGCATCCTTTTTAGTTCTTTAAGTTTGGATTTGTTTGATTTTACCCCTGCTCTTTTTTACGTTGTAAATAGACCTTTAGTGTGTGTGTGTGTGTGTGTGTGTGTGTGTGTGTGTGTGTGTGTGTGTGTATATATATATATATTCCTAGTAAAGTGACCAATGAAAAATTCTAATGCCAATTTTCATGCTTGTTTCACCAACTGAATGATTATTTCACTTCTCTGCTCCACTATAGAAGCAAAATTGTATTCTAAACTTTGGACTTATCAAAGTATCCACCTTTGGCAGATATAACAGCTGCACACACTCATGGCATTTTTTTTACAACAGAAATCAAATATTCTTCAGAAAGTTCTTCCCAACTCTGTTGCAAAGGTTTCCACAAAAGTGTAGCACTTGTAGGTTTGCTTTGCTTTCACTCTTCTGTCCAGTATATCCCAATCCAGCTTGATGGAGTTCATGTCTAGAGACTATGCTGGCCACTCCATGTTTTCAAGCTTACTCTGGATCCAGCCAAACAATCCCAGACCATCACACTTCCTCTTCCATGTTTGACAGTTGACGTCACACACTGGGGAACCATCCTTTTATCTACTCAACGGCGTACAAAAATCCTGCGCGATGGACCGAAGATTTAGAATTTTGATTCATCAGTTCATAACACCTTCTCCCAGCTCGACCCATCAAACCTGCAACTCAAAGTCTTCTCTTCACAGATGAAACTAAGACTGGCTTACTGCGACCACTATTAAGCTGTACTTGAAGCTGTGTCCTGTGAGCCGCCTATCACGCAAGCTGTTAACTCTCAGAAACTTGTCTTCTGATGCTGTTGTGGCTTTGGGTCTGCCGGACCTCTGCCTGTCAGCATTACCCCCAGTTTCTGAGTGCCTTCTGATGGTAAAAGAAACTTTACTCACTGACACCTTGACTTTCTTGGCAATTTCTCTGTAGGAAATACCTACATTTTTAAGTGTTAATGATGGAGATTGGGAAAATATCTGGATATAAGATTACTCCTGTGAAAAGTCTGCTTTTCCCTGTTAACGAAGCAGCTAAGTTGATGTCATATGAGCTCTGTCCATTCCAGGTAAGCTGGGAAAGCTTTATATATCTTGGAGTAACTGTTACCAGGAGATACGCTGACCTCTTTAAATACAACTTTAAACCTGCTCTGGAGAAAGCTAAATTAGATCTGCAAAGATGGGGCTCCCGCCTCATATCCTTAGCAGGGAAAATAAATTGGGTAAAAATGTTAGTCCTGCCAAGATTTTTATACATATATTTTCAAACAGCACCAATAGTCTTTATCTCCAAAACTTTTTTAAAGAGTTTTATAAACATATAGACACCTTTGTGTGAAATTAAAAAAAAAGTCCTAGAGTAAAAAGAATTTCTCTTCCTAACATTTTCTTATACTATTGGGCAGCATCTTTATTTGCAAAATGCCTTATCTTGTTGAACTGGGAGTCCAACCACTCAAGGGTCAGTTTATGGATTCTACGAAACATGGCAGCCTATTTTGGACTTAAGTTTAGTTTTTAGCGAGTAATGACTAATTGAATGCGCTGACACATCACTGTGCTTGTCAAACTGCACTGAGCGGGCCGGCTAAAGATGGTGGCCTCACTGCACATCAACGCCAACAGGAAATAGCGGTCGATGGGGCGTCTACTCTTTATCATATCTGAGGCCATAACACACGCTGTCGCCTGAGGTCGCGCCCATAAGAGTGTGGCCCTAAGGTGATCTAGCGTTGAGTATGCCATTGGCACATCATTGTTTGTAATAGTCATGATGAGGAAAATGAATATTCATGGTACTATCTTAAGTCAAAGCTTGAATATCAATCAGATTTAATACCACATAAAATCGCACCAAAGACTTTTTGATACATTTTAACTCTCTTAAGCTGGAGCTGTTGCTGGTGACAGAAAATGACATGCACACTTAGAATCACTGCAACTCTTCAACTATTTGCGCTATTGACAAAATTCCAGCAGATTCTGAAAGTTGAGACTCTAAACTTTGCGCTGATGTATGGTACATTACAGTAGTGGCATTGATGCCTGTGCTGTCCTAAACTGAGTTGTGGGACAAGAGATACGATAAGAGAGAGACGTCAGAGGGTGCAGAGAGTGCAGATCCGAGTTTAGCAGAGTTTTAGAGGCATATTAGCAGTTTAGATTTGTATATATTATATTAATATTTTTTGTATTGTGTTTATTCTGTAGGTTTTGAGTGTCATTTAGCCATGTTTTGTGCCGTGGTCTGGCCGAAGCACCTGTGTTTTATGTTAGTTCCTTTAGTGTATATTAGTAGTATTAAAAGTAACTGTGTAGATAGGGGAGGGAGAAATTTCGAGGAGATTTGTGAGGAAGAGGAGACTTCCAACTTGATTTGTGGAGGAGGGAGAAGAGATGGAGATGCAGGAGGAGACGGGTGTTTCCATCCCAAACACACTAAGTAAATAGTTTGCACACTCTTGATATTTATTCCCAGCTTCAGGTCACTAATAATAATAAAGTTGGTGTCCCAAAAACTACAGACAATGCCCTGAACAAAAAAAGCTATGTTCAGACAATGCCCTGAATATAGCTGCTACAAACAGCTATATCCTCCACAAAGAGATCAGCCAGACACAGCAGAGGAAGCCCATGACATGCCAGGCTTTCCAGGAGGAGCTGTGTATGAAGCTGCTTGGTGTGCCACTCACTTCAGCACCCCAGCTCCCTACTCAAGGTCGCTTTCCTTAATTTTTCCACAAGTGATTTATCAACTTTTAACACTTTTTAAGACCCCGCAGACACCCTTAACTACCATATATGACATAGTCAGGACAAAGACCATAGCGTCAGATACACCCACCAAACTGTGTTTGACTCACACTATTTAGTAAGGCAATGTCTGTAGATCTAACCTGTAGTTGAGTCCAGTGACTCTATGAACTCCTCAGTGGCATCCCCCAACAGACCTCTCATGCGGTAGATGATTCTCATCGGCTCACCCTTCAGAAAAAAAACAGTATGCAGGATCAATGATTAACACCAGTGGCAGTTACAAGATGAATATCTTAACTGCTTCATATATGTAGAACCAACCCACACAATCCAAAAGGCTCCTGAAAAAGACCACTGGCTCCTAGTAAAAAAATTTTCTCACCTCATTTGTAGGGCACCAGACCTTCTTGTAAACCTCTGCCACAGACAGATCCAGGCTGATGATTTTGTTGTTCACCAGAAGCTGAGTAAAACAGATTGGCATCAAAAATACTTCTAGAAAAAGGTCAGTTTTGAGGACTTGAAGATATAGAACCCTTGGTAAAAGGTGACAACAAACAATAAAATGTCAAGTTAAGAAAGGGCTTAGAATAAATTACATATGCATTTTTTTTGTACCTCCATGCCACTGTCATCTTCAAGAAGTGCCACCAGGTCACAATCTTGGCAGATCTTGTTCTTGATGTCCCTCATTAGAGGGCCAATACCAGGCTCATTGCTGCTGTAGGGGTTTCCCGGCATGCGGCCCTGCAAGAAGTCCTCCTGCTGAGGATCCTTCTCCAGCGTGACAAAAAATTCTGTCACCTCATTTTCCTCCTAAACACAAAGATGAAACACAAGGTCCTGATGAAAATGTATTTGCAGCTGTATGTCTGCTTTTTTCCTTTGTGTGCTACATGTAGGATTTTTTCATTTGAATTAACAAAAGTTAAAGTAACTCACAGGATAGATGATGCTGCAAAGTCTCTCAAAGATGAAAACTGGTGTCCGGTAGTCATCCAGATTGTACCGCTTGGCAGTCTCTATACACACCGCCATAAATGCCTTGGTTTCAGACTCTGTACCTGTAAATACCACGGCAAGGTGTGCAATATTGGTATTTTGTATATACAAGCAAGCACATTTAAGGCACAAATGACATGAAAATTTTCTCGTGCGGACTATAGATATATTTATTTAATCTATACCTTTTCTTTTAAGAAATGCAACAGCTATTTTGATTATTTGATTCTTGTCCGAATCATAATTAAGCTCAATTCCCTTTCATGTTGCCAAGTATAAAGCTAAAGAAGTGCCATGAAACAAAACACAACAACAACAAAAAAAGGATGAAAGTACATCTTGTATCGTTGTATCATTACATCTTTGCTACGACTTTAGTGCAAACCTGTTGTCATGTCTTCCAGCATCTCCAGCAGCATGTCTTGAGTCTCATCGATGAGCTTGGTGCGCTGCACCACCAGTTTTCTCAGACACAGGTAGCCATTGAGCACTGTACCAACCAACCTGCTTTTGAAATGCCGTTTGATGGACTCAACCTCCACAAATGAAGAGAGCAATCCTGCAATGGCAGCAAAAAAAGATCAATCATTCAAATCTTAAGAAAGACACATGAAATGAAGTTCAGAGGTAAGAGTTACAACTGCAGTATTTTTTAATTAATTTGTAATGGTTTTGAAACCGGACCCTGCAGTAATAACATTGCCATGTTTATTTTCAAAGCCAAAAAAACACCAGGAATAACATTAGCATACCTGTCAGGCTCTTTAAGGCATAGCCCTGCTGTAAGTCTGTACTCAGTGTGGCCTCTTCCAGGGCCAGCAGGTTGGCTATTTCCTAAACAGAGAATTGGAATAACCATTTGAACTTACTGTATAAATATACTCAAGATTAGAGGTTAAAAAGTACTTCAGGGGTATCAGCAGTCCACACAGAAATTAGATAGAAAATGAAGCTCACTTACAAGAAAATAATATTGTTTTAATTTCAGGCACATACCTTGGTGATCAGGTTGCCTACATATGGCAGAACTCCACGGGCTGCGAGGTAAACCTTCCAGTGTGTTGGTTTTATCAACTTCTGATAGAGACCCAGGTACTCAACAGCACACTCTCCAGCTATACTCAACTCATCAAGATAGCTGGCAAATAACACAGTAGGAGTTATTGCACACACTGATACTTGGGATTTAATTACTTCATTGTTTCTTGATGATAACTAAAAAATTTTTAAACTCCCTTATAAAGACAAAATTCTCTTGATTTGCCTGATACCCTTCAATGGGTTTCATTATAATTTATGCTGACAACATACATACTAAGACAACATGCCATTTCCAACTTAAACTCTAAAAACATTCTTCATCAGTCTCATAAAAGTTCATCCACATGTGTTTGAACAGTATGATAAGATCACAGACTTTCTAATCTGTTTTAGGTTTGTACCTGGTAAGCAGGTCTAGAACTTGTTGCTTGCGGCTAGGAATTGTGGTTAGGGCTTCCACAATTGTGCAAGCCGCCTGCCTGGCTGCCTGAGTGGCGGGTGTAAATAAGACCTGCAAAAAACACAATTTAATTTAATAAATTATCTTATCAAGTGTCTTGGACTTCGCTTGTAGAATGTAGGGCAGCAATGACCCCTGCAATATGTTGCACCACAAATCTATATAATTGGTACCTGTCGCAGCCAGTTATTGTGGCTCAGCTTAAGCAGGCGAGGGAAGAGACTTTCACCTTTCCTTGACCTCATGAACTGCTTCCACTTCCACACATACTTTTCAAGCAGGTACTGCCTTCGCAACTCAGCCTTCCCCTGAGGCTTTGGTGTGGTCTCCTGGCCTGTTGGTATCAAGAGAAGGAAGATCCAGCAACATGCAGCATATCCTTCACATTGTTATATTGTTAATGTATGATATGACTGGAATTTTAATGGGTTTACTTGATTTTAAAAATTGAAGAAAAAAAACAAGATTTCATAATTTAATATATGACTTAACATTAGGGAAGAAAGAAAAAAAAAGAGAGAGAGAGAGAGAGAGAGAGAGTGAGGGTGAGAGAGAGCAAGAGAGAGAGGGTAAATGTAATAAGGTAGGAGAAGAGATGAAGATGGGGCTTATATAGTAGCATACACAGAGACATAATGCACAAGTGTCCCGATTGTTTCAGTTCAGTTCAAGATTCAACCAGAAGCTTGTGGATGGCTACCAAAATTAAAGTGAAAATGGCCAAGGGACATGTAACTAAATATCAGCATTGCTGTATGTATATTTTTGACCCCGCAGTTTTGGTCACATTTTCAGTAGATCCATAATGAATTCTTAAATGAACCAAACTTCATGATTTTATTTTTTGTGACAAAGAAGTATTTGTTCCAATCACTCTATCACAAAGAAATAAAAGTTGTAGGAATTATTGGAAACTCAAGACGGCCATGACATTATGTACTTTACAAGGGCAAGACTTTTGACCACAACTGTATTACCCCCTACATTTAAACATGTTCTTGCAGATGTTTCAAATCCAGTTGGTCACCTCTTCAGGTTAAAAAATTCGAAATTTCAGGTTGATCTGGATAAACACACCTCTGAATATTGTTTTTAATCAACCATATTATTTACCTCTTGCAGGGAGACATTTTTTCCAGAGCTCATAAGATGCTTTAGGATCCTTCTTGAGCCAGAGTTGGGCCTGAGCATGGATTTCATTGCTGTAAGGCTTGACTGTAGTCAGGGACTCAACCGCAGCATCCTTAAAAAGATACTATTGTTAGGGAAAAGCATAGGACTACATGGTATACACAGCACACAAAATTATTTAGTGACTTGAAACTTAGTCTCTGTTCTGATTATTGCATTTTTTTTTTTGGTTAACTGTTGAGTCATCCGAAAAGGCCTCACTATGTGACTTCCCCATATGGTCCTGCTTGTCCATATGAACTACACTGCATCACTGCTACCTGAAGCTCCAAGGGAAAACCAGGAAAAATCAAGGGGTTCATAACACAACTACAGCTTACTTACCTTGTTTTTCTTGCTGGTGGGAGCAGGAGGCTTGATCAGCTTTTGCAGGATTCTCAGACACATTAGAGTGATGTTCTCGACCACAACTGGCGTCTTTATATTCACTGACATGAGGAACAAACTGAGGGCTACAAGACAAAAACGGAACAAAAATACAAACACACACAGCGTTAGAGTAAGACCATCTTAGTACTTTGCAAAAAAATCTGCCTACTTTTGCACCCCCAAGAGGTCAGAGCTCAATGCCTCAGTGGAAGGATAATTTTTCTGAAATCTCTATATGATCAACATCAAATTGACACCAAGTTATTACAGAACAAACTGAAAATGGATGAGCGAAAATTCCGAATGTAACGTGAAATATCGTAGCTTCTCCCCTGTGCATTTTAGAGAAAAGTCCAAGTGTGCAAAATGAAAGGTCTTAGAGAGCTGTACACACAAAATTTCATAGTCCTATGAAAGGTCCCCATGATAATCTGAAGGGGGCGAGTTGGTTTTTTCATCCATATACACACTTATAGCCCATCTTGAGGGTTGTAACATTGAAAAAGTGGGACATATAATAATAATTCCTAGCATTTCAATAAGGCTCTTTGCTTACTGCTTTGATGCGTCGGCTCGGGCCCTAATTAAACCAAGTTATATCAGAGGGACAAAAGACAGACTGTGATGTTCCAGGAGACACCCTTGGGCTAGATCTGCCTCCTAATCCTTCACAACTTATAGACTGCTACTTATAATTACCATATCCAAATGCACAATTTCATGTCGAAGTTAAGAACATGACCGAGTCAATCACACTTTAGGCTACTTCTCATGAAACTTATCTCCATCAGCTTTGACTCAAAATAAATGAAACTACAAGTTTTACAAATCAGGCTTACCACAGCGTAACCGCAGCTCCCAGCATCCTCCCTCTTTTGAAATAGAATCCGTCAGCAAAAGCATTTCATACTGCAGATTGCTGACCTGTCATAAAAACAAAGGCAGCATGCTCATGTTAAAATGAAAAATCCTTTAATTAAGTTAACCTGCTTCATCTGGACGCTGTGCCATTGACATAAAGCGTTTTCCTCAAAACAAAAAAAAACAAAAAACAAAAAAAAAACAGAAAAAATATTTAAGAATACCTTTTTTTTTCAATAGCGGAATCACAATGCTTATTTAGATTATTTCCCTCAGATTCAAGTTGAATATAATGAAATACAAACCAAGTCAGGATTGGCCCAGTGGCCTTTGAGAGCAGCTGACACCTTGGCAATAATGAGATCATTCATCTGCTGGGTGGCCTCGGGATGATCTCTGGAATAAAGAATTATAAAGAGGAAAAAAGACAATATTGAAAATTGTGTGCAGTACATTGTGTATCACAGTTATATATTTACAGATTAAAAGAAATAAAAAGGTCAAAATTCTCAGTGTAGGGCTGCACAGGTCCTATGTGTATCAAGTATTGTTTCTTTTTGTTTTGTAGTTTGATAAATCATTTCTATCAATATCAGAAAATCTGTCAGCCTTACTTTAGTCTCCTATTTCACTAAAAGAGAACGTACCTGGTGAGGAGACAGACAAGCTGGCGTACCTCCTCCCTCATAGCTGCTGTACCTCGCCGCAAGTTATACTCAAACAGCTCACGGATAAGACCTTGTAGAACCAGGATCTGCCGCAGAGCTGGGTTAGTAGCCAGGGCGCGTAGCAGTGTAATGCAGTGGCCTGTGACAGCTGAGGCACAACCGTAGCACTTGGTTGAGGAGGTGTGTCCACAGCCCAGAACTGAGAGGGCACGGTACTGGCTGGCAGTAAAGGTAGGCTGATGAGTGCTGCTACTGCGTGACGATTTGGTGGCAGCTTCTCTTTGTTGCAGATCATACTCCAGGAGTTCTTTACGAGATGCAAGCACTTTCTGTAGAAAAGGAGGCCAAGTCAGAGAAATATTTGAAAAGGGGTAGAAACAAATAACACCAGTTGAACTAAGCCTATTTTTTTCAACCTGTATAATCTTGGAGAGTTCATCAAAGGACGTCTTGCAATCTCCACTGTACTCTTGTGCCAGCTGCTGTATATATCTGTTCACATTAGCAGAGGATGTGCCAAGTCCTGCACCTGCTCCAGGGTCATCCTGAAAAAAGAAGACAAAACAGTAACACAAGAAAAAGACTGTAAAATAAATAAAGACAGAATCTGAGTAATTTCAAGAAAACCATGTACTATGCTCTATGTTTTTTTCCAACATGCTTAGGCAGCAAAGTGATCGCTTGCTGCTTTAAGCTGCTGGATAACATACCAGAAAGAATCCCCACTCTGCCAGTGCATAGGACACAGCTCACTTTTTTTAATAGATAAACAAGGTATTAAAAGTGTGTATTATATGTAAAGTTTTGCAGTAAATACGCAATATGTCTGTTGAAACAGTTGCATTAAATTGTTTATTTGCAAAGCTAGAACTGTTTTGTTTTTTTGAAATAAAGTGATGCCCAAGTCTCAACATCCATGTCAGGTACCAAACTTTAAAATACCCTTCATACTCCTCTTGTAACAGACCTGTGGCTTCTCAGGCGCCGCCTCATTGACTTTGGACAGCAGGCTTTCCAACTGGGGACGGTGACCCATGAGCTGGTGGTAAACCCGGTCAGCTTTGTCCAATAGGGTATTGATGTTAGTCACAGCCTGCAGGAAAAAAGTTATTAAAGATTAAAGAACACGAGATTAAAGAATTCATAGAGATGGTGGAGAACCTTGACTCAAAAAATAATTTGGAACAATTTTGGGGCTGATGGGCTCCACCTCAACAGAGCTGGCAGCCGTCTGCTGTCTTATGGTAGGCAGCAACCTACATTCACCTCCTCTGAGCCTGCTCTTACTAATCAGCCTGTCACTGATTGATGTCCCCCAGGTCCCAGTTCCTATGGTTTTAGTTCCACTTTTGACTCACACAATACTGGACTTTGACCTTCTGTCTCTTTAACTGGTCACCCATCCCTGTCATCATTACTCATCATAAGAAAACCAGACTCCATCAAGTTCACTCTGTGAACTTTAAAAACCTCAGACCTCTCCCAAAACATCAACAGTCCACCCACATCGTGTAAATCATCGGTCACCATCAACATGGCACTTTTAAATGTCGCTCCCTTTTAAACAAATCTTTTATTATCCATGAGCTTATTTTAGATCACAAGGTTGATTGTCTGTTCTCAACCGAAACGTGGCTGGGTACAGATGCGCCAGATATTCTCCCTGAGGGCGCCCCACCAAATTTTAACTTTACATTTTCCCTCAAAAGTGGCAGGAAAGGTGGCGGTACTGTATCAATAATCAATAACTCACTAAGGTCCAAAGAAATACAATCTGATCAGTACATCACCTTTGAGCACCATGCAGTCAATTTTAACAGTCCCTCAATTCTCTGTATTTCTGTTTACAGACCACCAATACATAATGCTGCTTTTATCTGTGAATTTTCTGAATTTTTAGCAATAATCCATGCCACTTACAATTTTATTATTATATCTGGTGATTTTAATTTACACATAGACAATCCATCTGATTACATGGCAAAAGAGTTTTTAAATCTATTGAGCTGCTTGGATTTTACACAACATGTCACACAGCTGACTCACAACTATTCAAAACACTGTGTCTAATACAGTAGAAAGTTTGTTTTTACCTGAGGAAACACTGGACAGTTTTTTCCTGGTTGATGCTGAGATGCTTGGTAGAGTTTTCTCCCAAGTAAAACCAACAACCTGCCTTTTAGACCCAATGCCCACATCACTTTTTAAAATGTTTTATGGCTTCTTTGAAGGATAGCTTTTAAATATAGTAAATTAAAATGGCAGTAGTGAAACCACTTCTGAAGGAGAACAGTTTTGACCCAAATGTTCTTAATAACTACAGACCAGTGTCCAATTTACAAATTTTAAGCAACATTTTGGAAAAACTTGTTTTTATTCAGTTGAATGATTTTTTAAATAACCGTTCCATCCTAGAAAAACTTCAATCTGGACGAACCACAATACAGAGACTGCACTACTGAAAATTGTTATTGATCTTAGGTGCAACCTGGACTTATGCAAGCTTACAGTCCTTGTGCTACTGGATCTAAGCGCTGCTTTTGATACAGTAGATCACACAATTATTTTCAATAGACTAAGGCACCTTGAAGGCCTCTCTGGTACTGCCTTTCAATGGTTTAACTCCTATCTCACAGATCGAAAGTTTCTTATAAGTTTGGACACATGCTCTTCAGGAATTCATAGCATTAAATGTGGTGTGCCCCAAGGGTCAATCTTAGGTCCCGTACTATTCAATTTATATATGCTCCCACTGGGAGATGTCATTAGACGCCATGGTATCACTTTTCACAGCTGATGACACACAGCTCTACATATCCATGTCTCCTGATGACACAGGGCCAATTGATGCCCTTTTTAGCTGTATCCTAGACATTGAATCCTGGATGGCAGAAAACTTCCTACAGCTCAACCAGGACAAAACTGAGGTTTTAATTATCGATCCTAAGGCTCAGGGAGAGAAACTTTTAACAAAACTGAAAACCCTGTCCTTAATTCCATCAAATTAGGTAAAAAGTCTGGGCGTCATCTTTGACTCTGAGCTGACTTTTATTCCACATATCAAAAACATAATAAAAACAGGGTTTTATCTTAGCCCTTTCTCTCCCAAGCTAACACAGAGACGCTAATGCACGCTTTTATCTCCAGTTGACTAGACTATTGTAACGCCCTGCTTTCTGGTCTTCCAAAAAGAAACATCTCAAGTTTACAACTGTTGTGAAACTCAGCAGCATGTGCGCTGATGAGGACCAGAAGGCGAGCACATATTACACCATTTTAATATCACTGCATTGGCTCCCTGTGTTCTTTAGGATTGATTTTAAGGTCCTTTTAATGGTTTTTAAATGTCTTAGGGGTCTTGGACCTTATCTTTCAGAATTGCTTTTACAGTATGAACTCTCGCGGACCCTGAGATCCTCTGGCACTGGCCTTTTTATAGTCCCCAAAGCTAGAACACGAACTTATGGAGAGGCATCTTTCCAGCACTATGCCCCGTCTTTGGAATAGCCTGCCAGAGGAACTGAGGGCAGCAGAGAATGTTCATATTTTTAAAAGCAGGCTCAAGAGCCACATATATAATTTGCCTTTTAACTAATGTCTTATTCTTATTTATATTTTTATCTTATTTTATTTTATTTACATATTTTAGTCTTCATTTACATGTTATGTTTATTCTCTTTATATACTTATGTTTAAATGATATTTTAGCTATGTATTAGTATTTTATCATTTTATTTAGTCTGATGTTCCAAGTTTATATTTTTATTCTGTTTCTCCAGTGTTTTCTCAGTGGGGGCTGTGACTGGCTCTGTCTGGGATTTCTCAGCCACATGGTGTGCACTCAGCTCGGCCAGGTGTAACATGTATAGCACTTTGTGCTGCATCTCTTGTATAAAACGTGCTTTAGAAATAAAGTTTGATTTGATTTGAACAAACTGCTTCCACTGAGCCTCCAACTTGTTCTACTTTGCAAGCTGACTTTTTGAAAAACCGTTGGATATGAGTTCCATTTTCAAAATAGCTACTGCTTACTTTTTTCCTGTCCTCTTCATTCTCAATGGGATCCACAGCACAGCATGGTTTAGCATAAAGCATGAAGTCGAATCTGGCATATTTGCAGAAACCACAAGCATTGCACAGGAAGGGGTCTTTTTCATCATAGTTGATGGACCTGAGTTAAAAAAAAAAATCAAATTTGAAAATAATTTACTTCAATGTCTCAAGTTTCATTGACTTCCATATTTTTAGACTACAAGGAAAAACCTGCTACTTGCCTGCACTTGTGGCACTGATACACATTCTCACCGCAATTGCCACACACCCCAGGATTGGCTGGCACAGAGGCACTGCAACGCGGACACTGTAGGGTCTCAGTAGAGGCCTGGTAGTTCTCGTAAAAATCAGAGAACTCGATCATCAAGTTTGATGCAACGATTGGTAGTGGAAGGTCAATCTTCACCTCTGTTTGGCCTGGGGTCAGTTGGACTTTCTTTGCCTTGTGCCAACGAGCAGGTCTGGAAACAGAGAGTAGAGTCAAACGTAAAGCCTAAAACATACAGGATCCGTGTTGAGCGTGTTCCGTCAGCATCGCATGTCTCGCAGCAAATAGGTTGCCATTCTAATCAATGCAGCATCGCACTCAAGATGCGTCTCAGCTCTGTCGCAGCCCTGTCTCAGAGGTGTGTAGAGCGTGGCTCTGCAAAAGATACATGCAGAGCCTATTTTCTCTGGTCTTTCAACACCCATCAATCTACACAGGGAAGATCGTTCTTGACAGGATGTCAAAAAAGAAAACCGTGCATGTCATCCTGTAAATTTCAAATTAAAATACCATATGCGGACTCCTGACTGTGTATTAGTTTATGTAGATAAGAAATACTTCCTGGTTATGGATTTATCAGTAACACAGAACAGTCTGATGGTCAATGCCTGATCCATGTTGGCCCCAGCAGGACTTTAAACTGTGAACTCTGAAGGAGCAGCACAGCATAAAGGATAGGGCTTGACACTAACTTTTTTCACAAGTAACATGTGCTCCTAAGTTGAAAAACTAAGGAGCACACAAAGAACTTTAGGGGCACAATGAAAATTGATCAAATAATGTGTGTCTAGTATTGGTCGACATAAGTACTATTTTCTGAAATCAATTTTAGGTCAATTGGTCACGTGACATGTAGATCCACAGTGAATGTCCGTCAAATATCCAACCTAACACTAACTTCAGCGTGGTATTTACATGAAAACACATTTGTTGCTGTAGCCTTTTTTTTTTTATGGGCACATGTGCCCCTAAATACATTTGACAATTTGCACACATCTATCTTTAGTCGCAGATGCGAGTGAAACGGTCGTGCTATTGAGCCCTGAAGGAACATAGTTTACTTTATTAAACATGAGTCAACCTGCAAATACCAAAACTTTAAAATCATGTTGCTTTTTCATATACAGTAGAGGCTCAACAGTCACTGGATTATATCCAAATTAGCAGGAAATAGATCACAGAAAGGCAAAGCAAACTTTTGTGAGCATGTTGTTTCCTCTATACTGAGCCCAGTTGACCAAGGCTGCGCTACGCTACTGCCACGCTCCAAACACGCATCCTGTGTGTGATAGACAGCGCTGCTCGACACAGCAGATACGTGACGCTCAACACGGGTCCTGTATGCTTTTAGCTTTACTCTTAAGAGTGCTGTACAAGAAAAAAAGAAGATAAGGGACAAATAGCATATCTTTTAAGCTTACTTGTTCTTGAGCTCCACAATCGCTTGTACAGTCCTGTTGTTGTAGTAGAGGTTGATGGTTCGAACCATTTTTGTGCGTTTGAGGTCACCAATTTTCACTGTGACTTTGCTTATGGTGTGGCTGCCAATGAGCTTGACAACCTGCTGCGTGGTGGTGTAGCGAGTGTCCACTTTGATTGATGACAGTTTTATATTCTGGAAGATGGAGAACACAAGATGGTATTCAAATCAGAAACTGACATTAAACAGTCTACAGGTCAGGACTGATGAACCAGGTGAGATAGCTGTCTCTTTCCTATGTTCTGTCTGTCTGCAACAGACATAAACTGAAACTGAAGACCACAGAATATGTCAGAATGTAGTGATCTGTGAAGGAGACTAATTTATTGTGTAGAGGCTGAGGCACAGAGCGAGGTAGAAGGAAATACACAGCATGATGTAAAACAATGATTAGGGATGAGAATCAAAAACAGATGAGAGCAGATTCCAACTAGTTCAAGCCATTAACATCATTTGGATTAAGGCTTAATGGTTTCCTTACTGAAGCCTTCCACTTAGTTCTGCATACCTCACACTACAATGTGATGTAACTAAACTGGCTGTTGGCATAAAAAATGTTAAAAAATTGTAAAATTTTTGACAACCTTCACAGATATATAGTTGATCATAGTGTAAAGTACGCTGACTACATCGGATTTAGTGAGAGGCTAAAAACTAACCAGATTTTAGCCAATCTTAACAAATGTTCAAGCCATGTAAACCTACAAGTATATACAAACTTTTAACTAAAATTCTGTCAGCATAAGTGCTTATGTAATCTACGGCAGGTAATTTTGAGTTTAGAAATAAAGTCATGTACGTACTGAAAAGGGAACTTCTGGATTGTTGCAAACCAAACAGGGGTCACTCTCCAGATAAAATCCATCAAACTCCACCAATCCTGACAGAGTGCTGGGGGGGTGGAGAAATTGACCAAGAGTAAAAAAAAAATACACCAATCTATGCAGACTATGTCCTCCGCTACAAATGGCATTTTTCTTGCTACAAAATAGCATGCTGATTTTGACATACTTGTAGATGTTGGAGTTGGGGTGATTTGTCAGGATATGGTTCTGTGCTCGCAGGATTTCCACCGCCTTTTGGGAATACTCCTTCAGCTAAGACAAAAAAGGAGATTGATCTATACTTTTCAGAGGGACTTTTCATCAATCAGGAAAGATAACCATTGCACTGAAAATGCTATAACGGCAACTAGGAGGAGGAGTTCAGTCTAAACAGCAGGAACACTGTCCAACTTTCGAATCATCAATTCACTGAAAAAGTCTGAGCATTTCTGTGTCCAATAAACCGTATGTCATTTTCAAAGGCCAAACAACTTTAGAATACAGTAATGAATTTCCCTTCGGGGATCAATGAAGTTCTTCTTCTTCTTGTGTTTCTCAAGCAGGTGCAGTAAGTGATTATTGTAACTGATAGGGCAAACTACAGTCATGCATGGCATACATTATAAGAAATCTGGCAGTAAGACAGGAATACTGGGATAGATAGTTGTATGGTTTTGGTCTGAACTCATTAAAATTGAATCATAGCTCATGATCTATTCAAACAAACCTTCTTCTCTGTCTGAGGGGTTTTGAGTGAGAAGTATCCAAGCAGGTCCACAAACTGGGCAGCCTTGCGGCCGTATGCAGGGAGCTCAGGCCAAATGGCCCAAGTCAGTTCAAGTAGCAACTCTTGCTGAGATTTACTTGAGTTCCTACAGGAAAATCAAAAATATGTCAGCCACAGAAAAAGAATGCAGTTTTGATTTCAGAGCCATATCGTTTCAACTGTTTTGTTTATTGGTGCTATCACTTTCAACCAAACTTATTTTCAAAGAATCATCAGTTGCACTAACATCATTTAAAATGACAACATTATTTAAACAAGGACTTTGTGGATTTCATCTCCGTGTCCTAGTCACAGTAGATACACAAATTACAGGGAGGTTTATGCAACCAGACATTCAGACATTAAAAGAACTGGAAAACTCACTCCTGACTAGCATTACTAATGGTGCAGCAGTTCGCAAATACTCTGAATTGAAAGAGGAAGACTTGAGAGTCCAACTGGCCATGTTTAAAAATAAGTACAAGGTCAACACAACTGCAGATGCTGTGCATGCATTGAAAGAAATATGCCCCCTGAAGTCCATAGCCTGTTAGATCAGGTTGAGACACTGGTGGGATTGTTGATGGTGGTGCCCATATCATCTGCTGAGGCAGAGCACAGCTTTAGTGGGTTATGCAGATTAAAGACATGGCTCATGACTCAAAAAAGACTTAGTGGTCTTTAGGGTTGGGTATCGTTTGATTTTGAACGATTCCGATTCCGATTTCGATTCCTCATTTCGAATTCGATTCCTATCGATTCTTTATTTCGATTCTTTTAAAAGGCAGGATATCATAAAAAAAAAAGCATGGTTTGAATGAGGGCGCTAACCGGAGCTCTTCTTTTTGGATGTAATTTCTGAACTTCTCCATGAATTTTTAAATCATATTAACTTTTTAGGAACTTTACTATGAATTTCTCACAGTGCTATTTTCAATCAGTATATAAATATCATTTTTTGTTGTCAGGTCGTTTGTCTATGAAAAAGCACAAGGGCTAACGTTAGTTGGATATTTAAGTTAACTCACCGTACTCAGTGCAATTTGTTTACCGCTTCAAAGTTAGCAGAGGACAGAAGTAATTTATTGTTTCACTTATCTGATCCTGACTGGTTAGCGGAAGACAGGTGTTGTGCTGTAGAATGCACCCCTGCCGTAGAATGCCTCCCCTCCACTGATTAGCTTCTTAAAGTGGAAGACAATGATCTCATATTTAAAAAAACACGAGTATTAGATCATGACAACACGTCAAATGGAGCAGTAAACTTTCGTTTTGTTTTTCTGTGTCTCAGAAACGCACATATAGAGGTGTACATGGGTATATAAACTGTACAGTAAGCTGTTAATGTAGAGAACATTATATTTTCCGGACAGTAAATATTCAGAATCAGAGGGCTATTTTTTCGGCATATCTGAATAGCCTGAATGAAATCATTAAAGGCACACGCTTTAGATTCCGTCCAACGGTAAGAAAAACTTGGATTGTTTCGCCTTGTTGTTTACTTTCAACCGCGCTCCCGTCAGGGGTAAATTCAACAGCAGGGGTGCATTCTATGGCATAACACCGGCGAAGCGCGTCAAAGACGAGCACTCGGGTATTTCTCCTCCATGAATCCTGAGGTGTTTAATCATGTTTGTCGTTTACCCTCCTTTGCATGATATAACTGTATTGCTAATGTTGCATTGAGATAAGAGTTCATTCTTCCTGCTAAAGTTAGCCAAACTTTTGACCAACGAAGAAGAAGCTGCCGAACACCAACGAGGACGGAGCGTATGAGACGAAGTCACACAGAGAGAGGAGAGAGACAGAGAGAGATTACATTGTAACCCACAGCGGCTGCATTGCTGTGGGTTGCAATGTACTTTCTCTCTCTGTCTCTCTTCACTTTCTGTGTGGCTTTGTCTCATACGCTCCGTCCTCGTTGGTGTTAAGCGGCTTCTTCTTCGTTGATTTTCGGTGGCTATTTCTTCCGGTCGGCGGACTCCGGCATCGAAACTTGGAATCGAAATTTTAATATTTGAACGATACCAGAAGAATCGAAGTTTTAGTCTCGATTCTCGATACCCAACCCTAGTGGTCTTGTTATGTGCCACAATCACCAGGAGATTGTACAGGCTAATGAAAGATGGAGAGATGTTTTTTTGGGTCAATAAATGTGTTTGGCTGCACTCAAGAATTCCTCTTTTTCTCATTTAAAGTGAATTTCATTCACACTGTAAATAACTTATTTTAATTTGCGTAAATATGTTGTTATCGTTCTAAGTTCATAAATAAATATTTGAATAAAATACATACTCTTATTTCAAGTAAGAGTTCTCCATTGGATTTTTAGTGCAAACCACTGGCCCACAGGCTTTTACAAAAGTAACTGCTTGAATGTTAGTTACAGCCCTAATTACACTAAAATTGAGTCAAAATCATAAATCATTTGCTGATAGCTTGGAAGTGAACAACACTCCCTTCACACACCCTCTGGGTAAAAGAAAATTTTAATGATCTAAAAACTCTAAAATATTTGATATACATTAAAAAGACCCTCCCTTAAATTCAGAGAGATGTAAAGTCCCTTGGGCATTTATGCAAAAAAGACTATTTTCCCACTTGTTTCTTCATTTGTCTTCCCTCTTTTACTCTGCTTTAAGGACTGAGATTGTTATGTATACTAACAGACATTCGTAAGTACTGTAAACCTATTACCTGTTTGTATACAAAAATTCAATAAATAAATAAAAAAAGAAGACATTAACGAGACTAATTCTAGATTGAGTTTGGACTAAGCTGTTTGCCAATGCTTGGCCTCAGTAAAGTTTACAGTACCTGTAGATATGAAGAGCCAAGCAGTGGGCTTGCCAGCGGACAGCAGATGAGTTTGACTCCAGCAGGAAGCAGCGCAAGAACTGAATGAGGGTCTCCTTATCTGCAAACTTGTTAAGTTGGCTGACTAGAGCCATACAGAGCTGATCCTCCTGACTTCCAACACCATCACCTGTTGCCAAATCGTGAGGATAAAAAAAAAACAAATCAACAACACTAGCATCTACTGTTGAGTATGATACCCACATATCATCTTTAGGATATTTCAAGTGTTAAATGTGTGCAGAGTGATAAGAACTGGTGTGATAAAAAGTCAGAGTTATTGCCTCACCCTCTTTCTCTTTATCCTTGTCCTCCTTTTTGCTCTTTTTACTGGAGGACTTACTCTGTGAGGACTGGGAAGCTCCTGTCTGTCCAGCACTACTGGAGCCTCCCCCTGAGAATGATGAAGAAGAGGAGGAGGAGCTAGCCAGCACCTTACTGCCACACAGGGCACAGGAGAGGAGTTGCAGAAGTACTGGGGAAACACCCTCATCCACCAGGAAGCTGACCTGAAGGAGGAAATACAGAACAGCTGGAAAGAGAAGAGAAAAAGACAAGCAGAAGTTTAAAAGACTGACAGCCTTACAATTTTGTTTGTTTTGAACAGCAGGGAATAATATACAACCAACTTACAGTCATCCTTTATGCAGAACTTCTGCCAGTTGATTGTCCTCTGGGTGGCAATTTCAGCACAAGCTTTTAGATGTTCCATCTGTACAAAGAGTCAAGAAAAAAAACAAAGCAAAATATAAGCATTTAACTAAAAATAATACATTCTAACAAGAGACATAACAACAAGGTTTTGAAAATATATGTACATATTTTGATGCTCTAAGTTCAGTGAACACCCACCAGACTGATGAGTGTGTCATACTGTAGAGCTGATCCAGATGTAGCTGTGACCACTCCAGCCCGTAGAAAGATCCCTTGCTCCTCTAACAGTTTCTTGATGCTGCGCACATGGGAGTCAAGAGTGTGCAGATCCCGCAGCTGACGGTACTTTTCCTTTGACCCACAGATAAAGAGTAAGAGCTTCCTAACCTGTCGCCGGACAAATGGTGTCTGTTGAATCATCAGATACTGGGAGAAAAAGGAGACAGATTGTGTTAACTTTTATGTGCAGGACAATATTTTAATGGAAAATCCTTTCAGTATTAACTTCATGGTTTACCTCTGAGAGATAGTAAAACCAGGAATGGTCAAAGACAGGAGGTGGGATACGTGGGTTGGTGTCAGCAATCTTTTTGATCTGGTAAGGCAGCCGGAGCACCATTTCAGTCAAAAGCTGGGAGTAGGCTTCAAACACATCAGCAGCATGTCCCTTAGGAAGAAAGAGCCCATGTTAACAATAAGCTCCAGAAAAAGATGTCAGCTTTTAATAATAAAAAAATGTGTTTTCTGATACCTTCACATATTGACGCAGGAAAAATGGACTCATATCGGGTGGGGAGGAGGCTGTGTGTGGGCGGAGAAGCTGGCTGACAGCCACAGGCTCTTCTTCACCTTGTTGGCTCTTCCAAAACTCCAGGAGGGATTTAAGCACATGAAGACAGTAGTCAATAGCACCCAGGCTAAGCAAGGCAGTCGCCGTGGCGTTTGAAATAAGTGAGGATGACTGAAATAGAAAGGAGAGTGGGCCTTAGAACAACATTCATTTTAAACAAATAAAAAAAGAAAAAGTAAACAGCTGTCCAGACAGCACTTAGTCACACAGACAGCTTTATGTATATGAAGCTTCCAGGGGTACTCAATGGTTGCTGTGGAAAATCACCAAATTTCTGACTTCTCTTTACGGTCTTGCAACATTTGACGAACTGCTACTATTCTTATTAGTAAGAAGATCACAATAAAAGAGAAGGTTTACCTCAGAGGAAGATTTGGAGCCAGACTTGGTTCGAGACATGAACACACTGAGCAGTCTCATGATGACAAGGTGCACTTCATTGATAGAGCTACGTTCATTCTTCTTAGACACGTCCTGCAGAAAATAGCATGGAATTGGTAAAAAGTTGGTAAAATAATAAGAAATAAGCTTTATTCATCAAAGGGACATTGTGGTTACCTTTCTGTGCATGCCCAGCTCAGCAATGAGCTGTGCAAGCAGGTCATCTAAGGCACCCTTATCCTTTTCGTCCTCCCCATCCAGGTCAGAGGTCAACATAAGAATAACTTGCATGTAAGGAATGGCTTGGACTCCACCTACATTGTGAAGCTGAGAAAGGTGCTGAAGCAAACGCTCCAGTAGCATAAGACGAACCATGTGAAGCCTAACAAGGAAGACAAAATAAAAAGGATATTCACTTCTTTATGATTAAGTGGAAATGTTGACACAGCATTGTCATCATCAGCAGAGCAGGAAGATCATTTTGGATTGACTAAACCTAGCGTCAGTATTTTGCTCCCTCACATTTCTCTCCACAGACATAGCTGTTCCGGATCCTGTAGGTTTAGCCAGTCAGCCCGTAGGTGACTAGTTTCCCAAGGTGTGCAGAGATTCTTCCCATTAACGCTCAAGTTAATTTTCATCCAGGAAACTCAGATGATCACAAAAACTCTGCACTTTATAACTTCCTGTTGTGGCCACATTTTTGCCGGTATGGACATAAACAATACATCATTGTCTTCAGGAGAGTCAAAGGATTCCTACAATGGTCTTATTTTTGTGATATGATTCAAGGCAGTGGGGCCACGGACACCCTCCAGGGGGGTAAACACAGGACGAACGGACTGGCGGGGGTAGGGGGTGGATGGATTCACTGGCTATTAGTACAAAGGAGATGTAGCAGAGTCCCAAGCGGTTGGATATAGACTCATTTACAGCCTACCTCATCAAGAAGCTGCATGCACAGCATGGCAAGTGTCAACAAAAGTAGCCTAACATTTTGCCCCAGCCACTTAAACGACCAAGCAAGCAGTACAAGTGTCCCGCTTTGACTGGCTGGTGACGATCAGTCACGAAAGGGAGAGGCTCACACACTGACGATCCTTCACAATGTTACGCACACGCGTGTGCACACAAACAGAGCAGCAATCTAATGTAAACATCGGTATTAACTGTATAAACCAGGCTCTCCCTCATCAACACACCTGTCTCCACTCATCCACACAGACACACCTGTCATCTAGTGATATTATTCCGGTTTTCATCCCATCACGGTCAGCGCCTTTCATCCATTTGCATTGTGTGAAAAAAAGTTTTAGCCCGCTTTGGCTTCAGGTGTTCTGATAGGAGGCCGACAGAAGGGGCATCTTTGGAGTTCTTACCGAGTCCAGAGCACAGGTCCAGACAGGCCGTGACTAGCTCACCATGTTGGAACCGTGACGCAGTCTGCGTCCCTCAAGAAGACCTGAGGCCTGTACTACGAAGCTGGATTTGGTCTTAGCGAGATAACTTCTGGATACCTTCTGGTTTTTCTGTACTACGAAGGTGGATCTCTTTTTATCCGGGTCCGTTGCCCCGGTAACTTACGCGGAACGCCAAACCTGCTCCTGAGCAGGTTATGTTTCAGGATAAGATCTTAGCAGGTATAAAAGACCGCTCAATGACCAATCGGATCTCTTGGAAAATGGCTTGCCCACTTTTGCCGGATCCCGGGGACATTGATGCACAGATAGTGAGAGGAGCGCTTCGCTGAGAGCGTTATATTCATTATCGTTCAAATCCGTTTGATTTACCTGATGACGTTCTCTATGAACGTTTCAGGTTTTCCTTGGACAGCCTCAATATTCAGGTAGCATGAAGTCTAAGCAATGCACTAATATTTGCCAAGCTCCAGGTTCCAGTTTCATGCGGCATGTTAGTCATCATTCAGATTTTTTTGAAGCAGATTAGAAAACTCTTAACCCCAAATGTGTCTGCAGATGACGTGATCATCAGATGATGGAGAAAAAAGAAAAAAAGGCAGTGTGAGGAAATCACTGTTTACGCATTGAAATATGTACAAATAAAATCTTCCAATAAACTTACAAACTACTTTAAAGGATGTTTTTAGATTTATTTTTATTTGCTCCCACGTACTCTTTTCCCCACTGCTGTTGTATCTGAAATAATGAGGTCATTGATGGTGGTGATCACACACGCTGCATGACAACAGATTAGGGGGCCATAAATTTATGAACGCACAAATGTAATTTACACAACCGCTGATTTTTTTTTGCCAGCAGTCCCTCCGGCTTTTAGCAGCTGCGGCTGTCCTGCTCCTCACTGTTATAATGTTGCGGTACTCCTCGTAAAATAATGCTCTGTTCTTCGGCTGTGAAAAATGACGTGCAGCCTTCTCCATTGTGGAGATTGGGCCGATGGCACTGACCCCACCCCCTTTACGTGTGCGCTCACAGATCTAAAGTGACCACACCTGGATTCAGATATCGAGTTGATAACCGGCTTCGTAGTACAGCTGATCGGGATCGCGAAGATCCGGTGAAGTTGAGCGAGTTGTCGCAGAGTTATCCTGGATGTGGTAATCCAGCTTCGTAGTACAGGCCTCTGGAGTAAAATGACTGTGCCAGCCAACCAGAAACAGTGCTTAAAATTTTTTTTATTTTTATTCCTCACACAAATGGATGAGACGACGACCGCAAGGTTGTAAACAGAATTTAAACGGGATGTAAACGGGAATAATATTGGTGAATTATTAACCTGTTGGAGCTAGATGACTGACGCTGACTGTTTTGGACACCAGAGTGAAGGTAAGAAATTTTCCCCCTGTTATTTTTATCTCAGATCTCCAGTAAACAGTCGTGTGGTGTAATGAGCTACTGTAAAAGCTGTAGCTTGGTTAACACAGGTGTGTCTGAGTGGATGAGAGGGGCTGTTTTGGTCAGACAGGTGTGTTAATGAGGGAGACAGGTGATGAAGTTTATTAATACCAAAGTTTACATATGATTGCTGCTGCATGTGTGTGTGTGTTTTAGAGGTTTTAGCCTCTCTCCCCAACAGTGACTTTATCATGGTATGAATACGAGGGCCTGTCTGAGGAGAGTAAGCTATCTGTTGATTTGAGGCTGTGTTTATCAAATATTGTGCCAAGAACTGAGAGTCTTTGCAAGGCAAGGCAGGCTCAGGTCTCACATTAACATCGCACTGGTGTGTGTGTGTTGGGGGGGAACACCACCTTTGGGGGGGCCCACCTTGTAAAAGGTTGAGAACCCCTGATTTAAGGAAACTGTGGTAGAGGAAGAACTCCAAAAGGTTGAATTTCATTCACGTTGGGCAAACTTCTAATGGCATACGGGCTTTGATTCACAAGACACACACTTGTGTGCACACGTGCACAAACACACTTTAAACATTGCTATGGATTACTCTCACTCTATGACAGCTACACCTGCCTTTTTATTGTGTTGTTATAGTCCAGGTCTTGAACAGTTTTAATATACAACTTTTACTTAAACTTTTCAACAGTCTCTATTTGTAACAGTTTCTACATTCATATAACTTCCTTTTCACTTTAACATTTTTTACATTCATACAACTAATTTAACTTCAGCTCTTTAATACTTACTACATCCATACAACTTCTTTTGCACTTTATTATTTTTACGTTCAAACACTATTTGTTATAACTTAAGCTCTGTAACACTTCTAACATTTAGATGGAGAGGAGTAACTGAAGCACACCCCTAGATGGTGCTTGTTATGCCGTCACAACTTATGATGGTCAGATACTACTGACTGCAAATATTTCAACATTTAACGGGGACATTGTTATACATTAATGTTTAGTCATTTGTCTTTCCAAAGCACTCATAGTGATAATCATTTCTGTTTATTCACGAGTCACACAACTTCTTTTTCACTTTCTCTCTTCATACGATTTCTTCTCCGTCTTTTACTCCACCTCTTCAACAGTTTTTCCATTTATACTTTCCTCTTTTTCTAGAAGTTCTGCATGGCTGTTTCAGCACTCAGCATTTCCGTGCATTTTCTGCACAGAAATGCAATTTTTCTGGTTCATTTTGACACTTCATTGTAAAGGTGTAACAATTCATTTGATGGATCAATTTTAATTCCTGCAATATAATGTAGACACATAAATGACCATGCTCCATTACAGCATATTCATGGCTTTTACTTAAAAAGTAAATAACAATTTCGGACTCTTGCTGCACTATCCAGTACATCTATGAATTTAATTCTCACACACATTAAAATGTTGATTAAAATGGTATTCATTCATTAATATCTAGTCATTGAATCGAACAACATTGTTCTAAATAAACCAATGTAATACTGTAATAAAATGTAATAATTATATCGTAATCAAATGAACTGCTACATCCCCATACAAAACCATGAAGTGCCATAATGACCATTTACCCTTGCTTTGTCTTTAGGAAGTCTGACCTGTTACTTGTGTGGATGTCTCCTTCAGTCTCTCCTTCTCCTTCTGAACCTTCACCTTCTTGCTGGGCTGTGGTGGTACTGATGGCTCCAGTGCTGGAGCTGACACTTCCTGGGCCAGCAGGGTGGCCCTCTACAGTTGTGTCTCCATATGCACTGCTGCGTCCTGACACTGTGCATAAATGACAACCTTAGTTTTGTATCATGGTTAATTCAGATAGGAGGGGAATGAAAAGATTGTGAATGGTACCATGTATGTAATTCAGTAAAAAAAAAAAAATAGATATATATACAGTACAGGCCAAAAGTTCTTCTCATTCAATGTCTTTTTTTTATTTTTATATGACTATTTACATTGTAGATAACCACTGAAGGAATCAAAACTATGAATAAACACATATGGAATTTTGTACTTGTAAAAAAAAGTGTGAAATAACTGAAAACATGTTTAATATTCTAGTTTCTTTAAAGTAGCCACCCTTTGCTCTTGATGACAGAAGTACTTAGTGACTGACAGAGTATAAAACATGTTTAAACATAAAACATGAATATAAAACATGTTTTCAGTTATTTCACACTTTTTTCTTTAGCACGATTCCTCGTGTTCATTTAAAGTTTTGATGCCTTCACTGAGAATCTACAATTTAAATAGTAATGACAATAAAGAAATTGCATTAAATGAGAAGGTGTGTCCAAACTTTTGGCCTGTACTGTGTGTGTGTGTGTGTGTATATATATATATATATATATATATATATATATATATAAATATATATATTTATATATATGAGAAATTTTATGAGAAAATTGTCACAATAATTCACAAAAAAACAACAGAAAGGGTTTAATCAACAGTTAGACAGCCATTTGTTCTTAAGAGACTTTAAAGGGGGGTATCATGCTTTTTCATATTTACTACATAAACTGCAAAGTTACAAAATTTGGTATCCATTCTACATCAATGCAAAGTTTCAAATGTTAATGTATGTTACCATAGAATATTGATATAACTGGTAAAATTTCAGACAAATGCATAAAAAATGCAAATTTCAGACAAATGCATAAAAATCAAGACCAAAGTGTATATAAGAGATAAAATAAATTCTGACGTAATTTAGTATAGACTGTTTTTTCTAGTTCATCTGTGCTACTGGCAAAGCAGAATAGCCTGACTCCAAAAGCATGAAGTGAAATGCACAGCAGAGCGGGGTAACCATGGACATACATATACAGTGCATCCGGAAAGTATTCATACCACTTCACTTTTTCCACATTTTGTTATGTTATAGCCATATTTCAAAATGGATTAAATTCCTTTTTTCCCTCAAAAATTCTACACAAAATACCCCATAATGACACAGCAAAAAAAATTTTTTTAGAACATTTTACAATTTTTTTAAAAATAAGACACTCAAATGATGCATTTACGTAAGTATTCACACCCTTTGTTATAAAACTCAAAATTGAGCTCAGGTGCATCCTGTTTCCACTGATCAGCCTTGAAATGTTCCCCCAACTTGATTACAGTCCACCTGTGGCAAATTCAGCTGATTGGACATGATTTGGAAAGCCACACCTGCCTATATAAGATCCCACAGCTGACAGAGCACGTCAGCGCACAAACCAAGCCATGAAGTCGAAAGAATTGTCTGTAGACCTCCAAAACAGGGTTCTATCAGCGCACAGATCTGGGGAGGGTTACAGAAAAATATCTGCTGCATTGAAAATCCCAAAAAGCACAGTGGTCTCCATCATTAAGAAATGGAAGACGTTTGGAACCACCAAGATTCTTCCTAGAGCTGGCCGCCCAGCCAAAATGAGCAAGCGGGGGGAGAAGGGCCTTGATCAGGGAGGTGACCAAGAACCCGAGGGTCACTCTGACAGAGCTCCAGCGTTCCTCTGAGGAGATGGGAGAAACCTACAGAAGGACCACCATCTCTGCAGCACTCCACCAGTCAGGCATTTATGGTAGAGTGGCCAGACAGAAGCCACTCCTCAGTAAAAAGCACATGACAGCCCGCTTAGACTTTGCTAGAAGGCACCTGAAGGACTCACAGACCAGGAGAAACAAAATTCTCTGGTCTGATGAAATGAAGATCGAACTCTTTGGCCTGAATGCCAAGCGTCATGTCTGGAGAAAACCAGGCACCGCTCACCACCTCGCCAATACCATCCCTACAGTGAAGCATGGTGGTGGCAGCATCATGCTGTGGGGATGTTTTTCAGTGGCAGGAACTGGGAGACTTGTCAGGATCGAGGGAAAAATGAATGCAGCTAAGTACATCGAAATCCTTGATGAAAACCTGCTCCAGAGCGCTCGAGACCTTCGACTGGGGAAATGCTTCATCTTCCAGCACGACAATGACCCTAAGCACACGGCCAAGAAGACAAAGGAGTGGCTTCAGGACAAGTCTCTGAATGTCCTTGAGTGGCCCAGCCAGAGCCCAGACTTGAACCCGATTGAACATCTTTGGAAAGACCTGAAAGTAGCTGTGCACCGACGCTGCCCATCCAACCTCACTGAGCTTGAAAGGATGTGCGAGGAAGAATGGGAAAAACTCCCCAAATCCAGGTGTGCCAAGCTTGTTGCATCATACACAAGAAGACTGGAGGCTGTAATCGCTGCCAAAGGTCTTTCGCCCAAGTATTGAGTAAAGGGTGTGAATACCTATGTATATGTAACATTTGAGTGTCTTGTTTTTAATAAATTTGCAAAATGTTCTAAAAATTTTTTTGCTTTGTCATTATGTGGTATTTTGTGTAGAATTTTTGAGGGAAAAAGGGAATTTAATCCATTTTGGAATAAGGCTGTAACATAAAATGTGGAAAAAGTGAAGTGGTATGAATACTTTCCGGATGCACTATACACACACACACACACACACACACACACACACACACACACACACACACACACACACACACACACACACACACACACACACACACACACACACACACACACACGATGTCTATGGGGTAACAGGTAACGCTGCTCCATTGCTCAACTGATCAATCATAATAAGCGGTGGAGGTGAGCCTCCACAAGCTTACATGGCTAAAATGAATTGTTTCAGATGGAGGCGGAATTAAAGGCCTTATTCATCTGAAAATCATGACAAGTGTCTGAAAAAGTGTCTGATACCCTCTTTTAAAGATCCACTCCAATGAAAATCATGTTTTCCTGATGTCTACATGTTCATATGGCATTTTTCTGTTGCTAAAGGACATAACATGAGAAGACTAAGAGCAAAATTGCGTGAAATCACCCACCACTGTGCTCTCCTGCCACAGAGTCAATTGCAGAACCTCCACTCTCTGAGCCAACACTGCCACCATGCTCAGCTGGGGAGGTCCGCAGTGTGGAGCCGTCAGTGGCAGCTGTGCTGCCCTCATCATCTGATGCCGGGGCTGAAATCATAGCAATAGCTGTAACGGTAAATACACCGCAGTCATCCGGCCAGGATATATATTATTTGTGCACCATCAAACAATAAATCACGCATTACAGTCAGATATTCAATCCTCGGCTCCTGTTAATTTTAAGCTCCATCCAGCCTCCTTTGTCTCCAAAACAGACATGCAGGTAAGTGTTCATAAAACAATCATTATTAAATTATTATTATTATTATTATTTTACTTTTTTTGACTTGTTAAAATAATAAAAATGGAAAAGAATGGATGTTACACTCTTTTTATGCTAGTTATTGTGCACCATGTGACTGTTATTTTTAATGGATGTATTTCCCATGTAAAATGATCTAGATAAAAAAACAACAACATTTTTTTAATAAATACAGTCCGGGCCATGTCAATGATAAGTACCACAATCGATTTTGGTTCATTTTAAATTTTTTATGTTGTGCCGGTTTCTGTATTTTAGCTCAATCCAGCCTTGTTTGTCCCTGAAAAGGACATGCAAATAAGTGTTGATAAAATAATCATTTTTTTAAACATTTTCTAAAATTCTTTTTGACTTAAATCTCTTTAAAAACTTTAGCCTTGACTATAAATAAGATAAATAAGAAATTTGATGTATCACCCTTTTTATGCAAGTTATTGTGCATGTCATTAGACTTGGATTCATCCAGAAAGCTTGAGTTCTAAACAGGTGTGTGCATTGGAGCGAAAAAATACGCCAGTTTTACCTCCTTTTATCAAGCCTTGTCCTCTACCAAATATATATATATATCATATATACAAATATCAAAATGTGGGGTTTGATGGGTATTGGTATGCTATTACTTTTCTCTACTGTATAAGAACTTTGCATTGAAGTCAACGGGACAAGCCAAAAAAGGAGAGCATTTATTAGGTTAAATTTTGTTAAATATACACTGGAGATCAAAATTAGAGAACAAACCACAATTTTCTAAATGTCAACTTCACTGCATTGTTCTGTTATAAAATAATCCAAACTTAAATAAAAACGCAGTTTTTTAAGCATAATGTACGAGCTACGTATATAATGAAACACAGAAAAAAAACTTGAGATGAGATATAAAAAGAGCACTGATCAAAATTAGAGAAAACTTTAAGATACCTCCTAGTTTTGGGTATTAGTCTGGCACTTCGTCTGGTGCATTAGTCTGGTGCTAATTTCCTTAATATCTGACCAACCCTATTTAACTGGCAGCCTAACTTCCAGTTTTCACTGACTCCATAAGATGGTGAACCATTCTCTAATTTCGATGCGTTTTTTTTTTTAGTAACTTAAGAACACTTTAAAATACCTCCCAGTTATTGGTGTTAGTCTGGCACCTGGTGCTAATTTCCTTAATTATCTGACCAACCCTCTTTAACTGGCAGCCTAACTTCCAGTTTTCACTGACTACACAAGATGATGAACTGTTCTAAAGAAACTGAAACCTTCCAGCAGCAGGTCATCTGGATGAAGGTCAAATAGATTACCCTGTCAGCAATGGCAAGAAAAATTGCCATGAAATCTGTGATTTCCAGAATATTACATCTTCACAAAGTCACAAAGACATTCAAGTCCACCAAGAAGACAAATGAAAGGGAGGACAGGATAATACAGAGAACCTCAATGGACAATCGGTTCGACACTGCAGCTGGAATTGCTCCCCAGTTCAGTCCAGCTGTTTTCAAGCAAAGACCGACCTCTGCTGATTGGGAGGGATGCCCTGTTTGTCCAGTCAGTGTGTGTGTGTGTGTTGAAGCAACACTGACTAACACCGCACGGGAGGATTTGGACATTTTACTAGGGGAGTGATTTTTGGCTTCCGTACAAGTTGGAAAAAAAAAAAAAAAAGCGGGGAGAAAGCAAGACAAAGTGTGTTTTGGCATGTTCTTTGCGTATTTTCTGCCATTCGCATAAAAAACAATCAAATCCATGATTGATTGTTAATTTTTATGGTTTATCAATCAAGGGACTTTCTTAAAATGCCCATTCTTAATCAGAACCTTCTTCGACAACATATGATTCCATCCCTGCATTCATCAGCCAGCAATTTTCATGCAGGACAAAGCCCCCTGTCACACAGCAAAACTAATAAAGCAGTTCCTTGAAACTAAAATGAAACAACCCGCCCAGAGTCCGGATCTAAACCCAATAAAAAAACCTCTGGAAAATCCTTGGCGACAAGGTTATGGCCAAGAAACCCACTACAGTCACCCATCTGTGGAAGAGACTAAAAGAAGAGTGGACCAAAATCACACCAGAGCAGTGTGAGGGACTGGTGATGTCTTGTGGCCATAGATGTGCTCAAGTCATTCAAAGCAAATGCATGTACACGTCCTAATACTGTGTGACTGTCCTAACCTGCAGATACTGTAATTTTGTTGTGATCTTTCTTGGTGCTACAGGCATTGTTGTTATTTAATGCCACATCAAACAATCCTTCAAATTTTAAGCTATACAGATCATAATATAATAATTTAAGTCAAGTGCTCATTAATTGTTCTCTTATTTTGATCTCCAGTGTATTTCTCTTGTCTTGCAATTTTAGTTTAAATGCAAAGTAACTGTGGAGAGCCCATCTGTGAAATGTAGATACCAATTTTGGAGTGATTATTACCCATTTTGGGGGATTATATTCTGTGTAACAAATTTCTAAAGTTTCTAAAGTCACCAGAGTGTGCTGGTTTCGGGTGGCTTCACCCAATGAGGAGGTAGACGCTGTCTATTCTATATACAGTCTATGTTACAAATTGAGAAATGAACTTTAGACTAAATAGCCTTTTCTCAATATATACACTTGAAACACAGCTTAAGATGGGCGAAAGCAGGTTTTATATTCATGGCGATAAATCTGGTAAGGTAAACAGCTCATAACAGAAATACACATGGAAAATGTAAACATCACCTCTGATCATTCTGAAATAAATGATGCATTTAGAAATCAATACTCTCATAATACATTAAATTTTCCTTAAATCTCCTCTGAAAATAAAGTTAAACAAGAAGAACGCCTATCAAAAGAAGGAATAGTAGCAGCTATCTCCTCATTACAGTCTGGAAAATCTCCTGGTCCAGATGGGTTTTCTGCTGACATTTTTAAATTTTTCTCTCAGTTGCTGGGACCTCAGTTAACTTTAGAGTTATCTGATTCATTAAAAGAGGGTAAGCTCCCATTAACATTCTTTGAAGCCTGTATTACTCTTATTCCAAAAGAAGGCAAGGACCCAACTGAGTGCTCCTCCTACAGACCAGTCCCTCTGTTGAATGTGGATGCTCATAAAGGGCTCCCCTCTGTGATAAATGCAGATTAGGCTCCCTTCTTCACATGTTTTGGATATATCCCAGCCTTGAGAAATTTTGGAGAGATGTTTTTCAAGCTTTATCACAGATCCTAAACATGATCTTAGAACCTGATCCCCTGGTGGCTATTTTTTTGTACTGTGGGAGAGGACATAAACCTTACTTTTTTTAATGCCAAACTCTGGTGTTTGCCTACCTGTGGTTCTTCTGAGATGGAGGAATGCTGCCCCGCTTACTCACAGTCAGTGGCTGAAAGACCTTATGTCTTTTTTAGACCTTGAGAAGATTAGTTACTCGGTTGCTGGTTGTAACAAAAAATTTGAAAAGATTTGGGGACCTTTTCTGGATCACATTCAGAAACTTTCATCATTCTGAATCAGCACACCGCTTCTAGTCTTTTTTTAATATATATTTGTGATATTCTTTAATCATACATTTTGAATTCTTATCTTTCTTATGAATTCTTATCTTTTTCGTTTTCAGCCACTTGTCTACCTTGTTTTTCAGTGGTTTATTTAATTTAGATTCTTTTTACTTTTTATTTCTTAACGTCTTATATTTCAGGGTCTATAAAACCTGAATTTCAGCACTTACTTGTTTTTTAGCTCCAGAATTTAAACTCAGTGATAAGAACATCCAGCAGTAGAATCTCATCATAATGTACACACCTCGGCAGTAGCCCCATGGCCTTTTCAAAGAGGGAGGGACTCCCAGAGGGAATTTTCTAGTTATCACATACAATAGCTTTTTATTTCAACCTAACAAAATTAAAATGATAAATAATCATTTAATGGTTAAAAAGTGTTAAGTATTTCTAAACCTCTGTGAAGATATATTAACCATGTAGCGGGAAAAAAAAAGTGTTTTCGCTGATTACACACTATCACAGCGGCTTTCTTGTTACCTGATGCTGTGGTGTCCGACAGGGTGCCAGCGTCCAGTGAAGAGGAGCTTGGGGCCTGGCCAGACAAACCAAGGCTCTGAAGGCCAAGAGCACTGCTGCTACTACCTAAAATGTCAAAAAATATGTCAAGTAAAAGTAAAATAGTGGAGTCTTCACAAATTAACAGAAAAACCTATTAAAGAGGCTTGGTTTGTCATTTAAGGTTAACAGTTAGAGTACACCAAATTTGATTAAAGTATAAGGATGAAAAAGATCATTCTGGAAAAAAAAAGAAGTAAATAAATAAATACATTTTTGGAACTAATCAAGTTGTTTAGTTGCCAAAATCCTTGTACTGGTATTAGTTCAAATTGGTGTTAAAACTGTTATGGTGTCATTATCCTTCAAAATAGTGGGAAATAATAACACAACCAACTGCGCAGTGCCTCTCCTCGGTGTCAAGTGACTATTCTGCACATTGGATAACTGTTTCATCACAGATTAACAAATCCTTTTTAAATTTGATGCAAGTCCATACAGTCTTGGTTTACTAAAAATGTTGATGATGTGGTGAGACTTGTGACATAGACATGTGTTCCATTCTTTTTATTATTTGGGGTCGGTTTGCTGTGCGTGGCTGGTGCTGTCTTGTCACCTTTTTCCGGCCATGTACACACATAGCCTGGTATCTGCTAAAACAAATATACTTTTGTGCGTTTCGGGCTGTCATCCACACGAAGCCGCATGGATACTTCATTAAAACAGTGCTTTTGGAAAACTTGGGCCAAAGTAAAGATTTTGGAAAACTCCAGTTTTGCGTTTGCGTGTGGACATAGATAACCAGAGTTTGAAATTCCCAAACATCAGTGTCTGCGACCACTAATATGTAAACATCATATACTATGCCCCCTTGTTTATGTCAGGCAGTGGAAGGCACAGATATATACAGAATATATATTTTGTGAGGAGCAAAGGAGAAGGAGTGCTTTGCAGTCAGTTATTCAACATCAAATAACCCTTCCTTCACCTTTCTTGTGTCTTTTGGACTTTCTACTCAATAGCGATGCTTAAAAGCAATTCCACCTCTTTGTCTGTCCACACAAACGAACTACACAGCGCTTTGTTTCATGTTTGAAGAAGTGACAATAAGAAAGGGAAGCTTGCTTTGATTGGATAGAATGGATCGAACTTTTTGGCAAATACTACCAACTCCAGGTCCGGCATGCTTATAACTGCGGTTAATGGCACATTCATGCGGTTTTGTGTGGATGGGATTTCATTTTGAAAACGATGATGTGTGTACATGACATTTTTTTTATAACGGAGGGGGGTTGGATATTTCTTTATAAAAATATGTGTGTACTTGGCCTCAGAGGCTGCTCTGTTTCCTTCGTGGCGGTGAAGCTGCTGCCACTCTACAATCAGCTGGCCTTTAAAACTGCTGCCGACACAAGCCTCAGCCCCAGAGTACTGACACCAACACACAATAGTACAACAGCCCTCTCTGAGCTTTCATGATTGAGTGTATCTTCACTGAGAATTTTTGGTGTTTTTTGGTATCTCTCTGTTAACCCTCAGTCTCTCTCATTTTTTTTAATTAATTTTCCAAGCCTCTCAGCAGCCCTCCGCCCACTAACCACTGCAATATCACAGAGAAATAGAACTTGTGAAACCTGTTTCCCCTGGTCTGGTTGAATTTTGGGTCCAGCCATTACATGCCCATTACAGATTATTTAGCAATTTACCTTGTTGATCCTGCTGAAGGCTGAGAGCGATGGCCAGCTCTACCATAGTTTCATCATCTGCATCAGGGGGAATGTCCAGCATGGGGGGAAAACCCTCAGCCCCAGCTAGCAGAGCCTCCAGTGGGGACGGGTTCCCATTATTTACATTCTCTGCTGTCTCCAAGACCATGGACTCTGACTGATAAGGTAAAAACATAAACATGTTTCACAAACATGCATATGAAGAAACAAAAATTTGTAACCAATATTTATATTTGAAGTTGTTTTAATCTCTTAATTATGTTTCTTTTTTTGTTCATTAAACTACTATATTTATGTACGAAATTCCTTAAAATAATTTACTTTCACAATGTTAACCCCAAAATTTTATTTGCTCACCACCATCTCAAAGTCTCCATGGTCCACTTCATTCTGCTCTTGACTCTCTTGTCTGCCCCTCTCTCCTTCAGTCAGCACTGATGTCTGCATTTTGTCATCTGCATCGTCGTCATCATCATCATCCTTGTCTCCTGTACAGTAAATTGACCCAGATTCAAGAAACTGAAATTTTCTTGATCCCAGTCACTGATGAACAAAGCAGCAGCAGCTGTAACTGTTACTCTCACAATACCTTCAAAATTTTTCTCACTTACCTAAAATATTCAACAACTTCAAAATTTGTCATCTATATATCAATTTATCCTTTTTTTATAAACATTTCATATGGCTGATTTTCAACAGAAATAAATGATGAAATGATGAAAAATAAAAGGAACATTGCCTAATATATACACCAATGCACCTATTGTTCTCACCGAGGCTTCCCCGACAAATTTTAACTTTTTATTTTCTACGCGGGGGGATGGGGGACTGCATCAATAATACGATCCACACTGTCCCCTTCTGCAGTTCCTTTTAGCAGCCACTCATCATTTGAATATCACCCCTTTGTTTTTAGCAGCCCTCCTATCCTCTGCATCAATGTGTACAGACCCCCCCCCCCCCCCCCGCTACTCGTCCTCTTTTATCAGTGAATTCTCCGAACTTTTATCAATTATCCACACCACCTACAACAGGATTTTAATAACTGATGATTTTAATTTACACATTGACAACACCTCAGACCCAGTGTCTAGAGAATTTTTAAACCTTTTAAACTGCTTTGATTTTCAGCAGCATGTGACACAGCCGACCCACAGCAGGGGGCGCACGCTGGACCTGGTCATAAGCTATGGCCTGTCCGTCGGTGTGCCCTCTGTTGTGGATCTGGCTGTGTCTGATCATTTTTGTGTGTTTTTTAAAATCAGCTGTTTTAACCAGAGGGGGAGCCCAGTCAGAACGGTGAGGAAATGCTACCTAACATCTGAAGTGGCTGCAAATTTTATTCACATCCTACAGAACACCTCTCTACAAATTTTACCAGCACCCTTTGATTTTATCGTTGACAATTTTAACAACAATCTAAGGTCAACACTGGACTCAGTTGCTCCACTTTTAAATTAAACAATCAAGAAAAAAGCAAGACCCCCTTGGGGAAAGCGCATCAAACAGCTCAAACGTAATTGCAGGAGTGCTGAAAGGAGATGGAGGAAATCTAAATTAACAGTCCATCTTGAAGCTTTTAAACACCACCTCAAAACCTTTAATAGCACAGTCAAACAGGCAAGAACTCCCCACTACAAAAAACTAATCGCTGACAATAAACATAACCCCAGATTTCTTTTTACTACAATTGATCTTTTAACAAACAATAATTTTAACAGAACCCCTGGGTCATCCTCTGACACCCTCTGTGAGGATTTTGCAGACCACTTCAGAAGTAAAATCGACAACATCAGATCCAGTCTTTTATCTCAACAGATTTTAACTGCCAACACACCTGGATCAATGCTTTTACCCGAGGAAAAACTCGAGAGTTTTGCTCTGGTTGACGCGCAGACACTTGGTTGAGTTTTCTCCCAAGTAAACTCCACAACCTGCCTTTTAGATCCAATTCCCACACGTTTTTTTTAAACAATTTTATGGATTCTTTTAGGGCTGCAACTAACGATTATTTTGATAATCGATTAATCTGCCGACTATTTTAATAACTAATCGATTAATCGGATAAACAGGCTAAATTCATCAATGCAGCTGTAAATAGCAATAGCATAGGGCTTTAGTTTATCATATGAGTTTATCTGCCTTGAGGTGTTGAGGTCTCTGCATGTGTAGGTTACTGACTTACTGTAATCATCGGGTCTATCTCGTCCTTATAAAAACCTGCTCTATTTCGGCGAGTGTCTGTCTTCTTTTGTAGTCAAACCGCAAGATATCAAAATCTACCCGGATACAGCAATGCTGCTTTTTGATTGGCTGTTCAGTAGATATACTTTATTTGATTGGCTTGCGCGTGGCATGCAGCTTCTGAACTCTCTGAGAAACTCAGTTGATTTCCCCCTGTTCCATAGTTAAAGAGGTGCAACTTGGTGGACATCACCGTGTTCATTTAAATGCGTGAGAAATATAATCTGTGGTGTGTGAGCGTGTGAACGAGTGGGAATGCGTGTGTCATACGCTGAATGCGTGAAACTTGAGAGCCCTGTGCTCACGCATCATCGATGTACTCCCGAGCCATGCAAAACGGGCTTTGCAAATGTTGCACTGAACGCCTTCCTTTTCAGTCTTGGTGAAGTTTTCCCACACCACTGATGTTTTAGGTCGGGATTTGGGTTGGGTTGTGTCCATGTTTTTCTCAGCCGCTGCCTCGGCCATGGCTGTTTCTTTTCTGTGCGTCCTGCTGATGTTTAAACGCCGGTGTCCATGGACATATATAAAGACCCGACGAATCGATTACAGAATTAGTTGGCAACGAATTTTTTCGTCACGACGAATCGACTTAATCGATTCGTTGTTGCAGCCTTAGATTCTTTGAGGAACAGCTTTTAAACATTGCAAATTGCTCTCTTCAGACAGGGGTCTTTCCCACCTCCTTTAAAACGGCGCTGGTGAGGGTTCTTCTAAAGAAGAGCAATCTGGACCCCAAGATTTTTAACAATTACCGACCTGTATCCAACTTACCATTTTTAAGTAAAATCTTGGAAAAACTAGTATTTGATAAGTAAATGATTTTTTAAATACAAAGAGCATTTTAGAGAAGTACCAATCAGGTTTTAGGAGAAACCACAGTACTGAGACAGCCCTTTTAAAAGTTTTGAATGACATCAGGTGCAATTTAGATAATCACAAACTCACAGTCTTGGTCCTTCTGGATCTAACCGCCGCCTTTGATACAGTAGACCATCGCATTTTATTAAACAGACTTAAGCACCTGGTCGGCCTCACAGGCACTTTTTTTAACTGGTTCACCTCTTATCTCACTGATCGACACTTCTTAGTAAGTATGGATACATGTTCCTCACAAACCCATAAAATTATGAGTGGGGTTCCCCAGGAGTCAATTTTAGGTCCAACTCTTTTTAATCTTTACAAGCTTCCCCTGGGGGACATTATCAGGAGGCACGGCATCAACTTCCACAGCTATGCTGATGATACACAACTGTACATGGCCGTGTCTCCTGATGATAGCGGGCCAATTGACGCCCTTTTAAATGGCATTTTAGAGTCCTGGATGGCAGCCAACTTCCTGCAGCTCAACCAGGACAAAACAGAGGTTTTAGTTATTGGTCCTGAAGGCCTGAGAGAGACACTTTTACCAAAACGACAAGATTTTTAAGTATCAACATCTGTAAAAAACCTGGGCGTAATTTTCGACTCTGAGCTCAGTTTTATTCCAAACATGAGAAACATAGAAATGGTCGGTTTTTACCACCTAAAGAATATGGCCAGAGTTCACCCGTTTCTCTCCCAGGCCAGCACGGAGGTGCTGATGCATGCTTTTATCTCCTCTCGTTTAGATTATTGTAACCACCTGCTCTCTGGCCTCCTAAAGAAGAACTTACATACACTTCAGCTTTTACAGAATTCAGCTGCAAGAGTGCTGACGAGGGTCAGAGGGCGGGAGCATATAACGCCATTTTTAGCATTGCTGCATTGGCTCCCCGTCCGTTTCAGGGTTAATTTTAAGGTACTTTTATTAGTTTTTAGATGTATTAATGGTCTTGGCCCCTCCTATTTATCTGATTTACTTTTACCATATCAACCCTCGCGGACCCTGAGGTCCTCCGACACAGGCCTTTTAACCTTACCCAAGGTCAAAACAAAAACACACAGGGAGGCGGCGCTCAGTTTTTATGGTCCCCGGTTGTAGAACAGCCTACCGGAGAGCCTCGGGGCCGCAGAGACTGTTGATATTTTTAAGAAGAGGCTCAAGACTCACTTTTTTAACCAGGCTTTTTACCAGTTGCCATTTTAGACTTCTTTTACTGCAAATGTTCATTTTAATCAAAGTTCTTAATGTTTATTTTATGTCATTCTATTCATTATGTCTGTTCTTGGGCTTTTTCTTGATTTCCTGTCACAGGTTTTTACTTCTTTTACGCCTTTTTTATATAGTAAAGAGCTTTTCCTGATTTGTTCATTTTATATTATTTTCTTGTTTTAGTCCATCAGGTTTTACTCTTTTAACTATTTTTATCTCTATTTTTATCTTCAGTGTTTCCTAAAGGTAGCTCTCTCCTCATGTATTGTCTCGGTACCAGGCCATGTCTCTCTAACAGTATATCTTAAATTCTCACATTGTGTGCGGCTGTGTGTGTGTGTGTGTGTGTGTGTGTTTATGTTTTGGTGAGTGAGGGTGGGTGTGTGTCTTTGTGTGCGTGTGGGTCCATGGGTGTGTGTGTGGGTGGAAGGGTTGGGTTTTTGTCATTGTTGTTTTTAGCCTCTGTGAGGCACTTAGAATTGCATTTTCTTTTGTATGAAAAGTGCAATATAAATAAAGTTGAATTTGAATTTAGTGGTCTGAGTCAGAACTCAACAGCACTTCTTTAGTACTGGTTGAATGTAGTATGGTAGCTTCCTCAATCACACTGTAAAAACAAGTGCCAGGCTCTATCTGTTTGTGTCACCAACTGCCCAATATGTCTGCAGAGGTTCTCATTCATCCAGGTGATGGTCATCCAATTCTTTGTTCATTTTGAAGAATTCAAACAATTCTTTCGAACGAAAAATTGGACAACCCCCAAATATCTCAATCAGCACCGAGCATCATTTGCTTTTTGCCAACTATCGTGACTACTTCATCAAGTTTCATGTTTTTTTTTTTTTGGCATTCAATCAATTAACACACCTCCTATGTTGCAAAGATCTGCCCTACTTGAATCTGATTGGCTCTTAACTTTTGTTTGGATGAGAGCTAGGACTGTGTCTACCATGCGTAGGTGATTGCAGACATGATAAACCTCATCCACAACATATCCCAAAGTGTATTTTTTGTTCATTGGTTTTATCTTTTCCTGGCCTCATACCCATGATCCGGCAAGGTGACAGAATATCATCATCCCTGGCATTATGCGCTTGTATATTGTAATGACCCATTAACAGTACAATTATACTAGGCACATTGAATACAAAAAAGGCTCTTTGTAAAGCTCCCACACTTACCCATAGGTGTGTTAGAGCGTGGAGGTGATGGAAGGGTCACGTGTCGTCTTTTGTTTCGAGGTCGAAGAACTCTGATTAGAGCCTGCTTACAAGCAAAACTTACAGCTGTGTCCTGAAATTGGTTGAAACACAAAACAATTGCCTGATGACAGTCTGTCCATGCTGCTTTCGTCAACAGCATTTCAAGTTACAGTTCCTGTCCTGTGTTATTCTGACCCTATAAGTATTGATTGTGAAAAGCATTTTGTAACTTTACAAATTTCTCAATTTCTTATAGACAAGAATTTTACAAAAGAAACACCAATATCTACCATCAACAGAAAAACATCCATCTCATTTTTTGTCACAAGGGCCATAAATTATAAAACTGATTCTCAAGATATCCAGCATGTCTGCTGGCCATCAATGGAGGCATTTTACTTACAGGACACAGCAACATTTGCATGTAGATTTTGGAGGCCACATTGATGTAGTCCAGTTCACATGTGCAGTATGCATGGATAATGTCCACCAAAGCATTTACTGTAGCTTCCACATGAGTCAGTCCTTAAAAAAAGGAACAGCAACACAGTCACGACTGTTCATAAGGGGTTGTACGAAACAAAATCCTATTACCACTTTTCGACAGTATGCACAATTATCAAAAAGCAGCAAAGACTCCTCTCTTTTTCTCTTCATTCTAAATAAACTTGCAGCAGCTTTGTGGTATCAGATTTTGAGCTTACCAGGTAGGCAGGCCGGAGCAAGAAAAGCATTCTTTGGTTTAAGGGCATGGAGCTTCCAAAAGTTATTCATCAGCTGTGTGATGAAATTACAGTTTTCACTGTCCATGTGTTTTTGCCCATCCTCCATCATTTCTGGGAAGTGAGGAGTAAATTATCACAGAGTCTTTTTAGATACTTTTGGGTAAACTATTCTACCCAACAGAAGAACTTCACAGTCAATAAATAGTAGAAAGATAAACACATACAGTCAAACTATACAAATCATTCATCAACTAAGTTTTATCATGTTCCTTCTTCTGGAATAGCAATAGTCACCAACAGAAAAGTGTCTTACCAGAATCATGATGTAGAGACTTGGTTTCTGTAAAATGCACCAGGTTGTTGGGTCTCATGATGGCAATGGAGCGGGCAGTGATCACAAGCCTCTGGAAAACATCAGGATCAAGCTCTCTCCCCTCTCTGCTGCAGCTATTCAGACAATGCACTGCGTTACCCAGCAAAGACTGGTCCTGTGAAGGCAAGGATAATTGATGCTAATGATGATAATGATGACTTTTTTTTTGCTTTGTTTAGTTTTTTGGGGGGAGGCTTTAAAAATAGAAAGAAAGAAAATAATAGAAATAAATAAAATACAATTTTAACAACCAACAACACTGAACTTATACATCTATCTTAACTGGATGGTCTTATTCTCAAATACACGTGAACCTAAAATAAAACTTCACACACAAAAGTCAATATTTACAATAATTAAAGGTAATCTTATAAACAAAAATCAATAAAAATCACTTCTGAAACTAATTTATAAACACAACAGATACAGAGCAGAAAATGTCATGTTTTTTCTTTCTTTTTGGGGGGGCTGGTTCTTTTAGTTTTTGTTCACAACTAAACAGCTCAAAAATCTCCTCTCTCAATTCTCTCACTCTTCTTTCTTTTCCCCTCTACTCCACTGTTATATTCAACATTACTTGTTTTTATTGTTGTTTTTGTGAATTATTAATTATCTCAAAAGTCCCAAAGGCGAATTTGGCAAAGCTCTGCTGTTTCTTTTGCAATGTTACTGCTTCGTAGTGACACCATAGTCTGGCTACTTCCTGGCTCATTTGCATACTAACAGTGATTGGATGAATTGAACTGAGGACTGAGTGAGTCTGAGAAGATACACACGCATTGATTGGAGGGACAGAGAAAAGAGAGGAAGGGGATTATGTATCTTGTCCTTTTTTCTGCAGATTTTTCAGCTACTGCAATTACCATCATCAACTTGTAACAGATGAATTTTAAAACATGCTTTCTCAACTTTTAATTATTAAGACATATATTAGGAATACAACATAGCAGGTTCTACGATCTTTGTGCTTTGGCAGATTGTTGTCACTTTTTAATCCTTCACATTCTGAGATCGCCAGGTCGCACGCCCTGAACTGCTAGGCACTTTGGCCTTGCACTCTGTTTCTAATATAGTTTCACATTTCACATGAGCTTTGCAAATTTAACAAGTGAGTAGCATTTGCAAAAGACTGCTTGTTTTAAAAGAACAATTTTCCAACTGACATTAGAACTTTACGTGAATTTAAAACAGCAACAGCTGCATCAATTGATGTTGAATAGGACAGGCTGACCTTTAATCATGAGTGTGTTCTCAACTGTAGTGTGTATATTTTGCTGAACATGATCAAGGTGAACACACACTTAACCAATCATCGATGGTTGTTCTTTTTCAGAAAGACATAATGAAATGAAATGAACGAGAGGAAAGATACAATGTCCAGTGATTTTACCTTTACATCTGCATATAACTAACATATCACTGTTTCTGTAATGACCTGATAAGCGTGGATTACACCGCACAGTTCACGAAAAAAAAACAAACAAACAGCTACCTGAAGTCATAATCTCAACACCGTGAGTGCACAAGTCTTATCAAATACAGCATAAAAGTGTGTATATGGTCTTTTGAACCTGTTGAGTAGTTGAGGGAAATGTTAAGTGAAAACTTGCGTTGTTCATTTTTTTGGACAGTATTCTGTATAGCAGGTCTACCTGTTCCTGCTAGCTGTAAATAAGAATGGCATTTTGTCTTATGTAGATGGAGGTTTGTCGTGTTGCTGTAGAATTTAACCAAAGTGTTCCCATATGCTTCCAGGCCCATTTGTTGTTGTTTTTATTAAATTCTTTTTTTAATTGGAAGGCACTTTGATTCCTTACATGCACAGTGCACAAAACAGGCCCATTTGTTTTGATTTTATATGTGTACTGCATCCTGTGGTTTGACTCCTACTGCCATCTCTGGGCTTTCTTTTGCACTGCACCGTGTGCTACTTTTTTTTTTTTTAATGCCATCATAGAATTTGTGGCTGTATCAATTCTAGAACATCTGACTTAACGCATAAATTGGTGAAGAGCACATGGGATATATTTTTGTATAGATTTATTCAGCACAATATTAATTGGCAGTATACCTTTATAGGTAACAGCTCAGTACCTATTTCTGCCCTGTTTCCTTAAGTAAAAGAAATGATTGACAAGTTTTTTCTAAGCCCAATAGTGGTTGTTTTCTCATGTTCACGTGTGATTAGTAATATGTAGAATATATAAAAATGTGTTCAAGGGAATGTGAGCCAATCTAACTTATCTACAAACTTCAGGGTTAATTAAGACTTAAGTAGTTCTAGATCCCCTTTACTTCTCACTCACCTTGTGGTTGTGGTAGGCAGTTCTGCTGGTGTGCAAGCTGGCAAGAAGTCCCTTGGTTTGTTGTTGCACACCAGCAGGGGTAGGCATGGACAGGAGTAGAGTAGCCAACTCCAATGCTGCCACTTTATTCTTCTCCTGTATAAAGTTTAAAGATGGTCAACAATAAAAACTTAACTTAGGATTCATAGCTCAAATATCGTGTGACTTTTGAAGAAAGGAGGAATAATTTTTTCACTAATTTACCTTTTCACTGGAGGAGCCTACTGCAAAGCAGTTTTCCAAAGCTTCAAGAGAGCTGACTACCAACCTGAAATGGAGGTTGAACATCAACATTTTGTACTGTACATTTTGCCTTAAATCAGCAAATCAATCACAAAGAACATATCTCTACCTGTTATGGTCTGCACTAATCTAAATGTCCAAACAACTCTGAATGCAAGAACAAATGTCAGGCACCAAATTATTATTATTGTTTTTATTTTGTTTAAGTGTGATAATGGTTCATGGCATGTTCAGTCTCAAGCATAGACACACAGACTGGCACACGTGCACAAAACCACACAAACAAGCAGAGAAAGGGCAGTTACTAACCGGTCCAAGGTTGATAAGGACTCAGTTTCACAACTTTTTATAGTATATTTGGGAGCAAAAGAAAAAGAAAAAAAAAACAAAGTGTGAGGATCACAGAAAGAAACAAGTGAAATTAAATGATATATTTGAACAAAAGAGAAGCATGCAAGAAAAGATGACATCACAACAGCCATGCACTAAAGACTCTAAAGACAACAAACCCGCATCATCATAACTTGAAATCTCGCTCTTGACAACTAGTGCTACCTACTCATGAAAAATGAAGATATGCAGGTAATGGCTGCTATGACTAAAATCTATCACACCATCAAAATGAAAGCACCTCAAATTTGGACAAGATTAATATCCCTGAAAATTAATTCAGAATCTGCAGATGTGAAAAAAACTTGTTAATGCTTTGGCTCCTCCATTTTAATATACCAGTCAAGTCCAAGTACCGTACATTTAACAAAAAAAAAAAAAAGCAAAAAGGAACTTTAAAACCTAGTATATTAACCCCAAAATGGATAGCCCATACCTCTCAAGAACACTGCCACTGGTGGTTGTTGGGGTAGCAATGTCTCCGTCAGAGCTGCCATTGCCTTGGTTGAGATTGGGACTGCAGACATTGTTAACAGATGCAGAGGAGAAGTCCTCAGGTGGATCCTCAGGCCATCCAAACTGCTCCTTGGTTTTACCATAGATCTTTATTGAATCGAGCATGGTGACTCCAGCTGGGTCAACAGATGCTCCAACTTCAAATGAATAGAAATGTGAAACAGGAATGTGAAAAACATCAGGGGGTGGTGTTCTGTCATTGTTAATCTGCAATGCCATCTTATTCCATGAAAAGGTGCAGAACAATAATGATTTTAAAAACATACTGAAACACAGGGTTTTGTAACCACAACATCATATGTATGTCACAATGCAGTTTACATTTAGCCCCTTGAATAAATGTAACTTTGCAAAACCCAGTGACTTAAACAACACACACTAAACGGTGCTTTTTCAAGGGACCAGGAGTAAATTGAAAAATATAAAATATCATTTGAATGCAATATGAGTACATTTTAAAAGTGTTAGACATTTGCATAGCAATCATTCTAAATTTTCATGTCAAAATTATTAGAAGTTGTCAAAACAATCTTCCTTTTAAGAATAACCTTTTATGAAATCTTGTTACAAATATAATATAAAAAAAAAACGAGAATTTCGACTGACTAAAAAGTTAATCAACATGACTTCATTCATACATGAGGCCATTTAATAACAAAAATCAAAGAGAAAAAAAACAACCAAATATTGTCATTATTGCACACTACTGCTTACTGAAAATGCACAGCTTCTTGTCTGCCTGCAATGCCTCCTCTCTGGTGAAGGGAAAGTCAAACCAGCGAGCTCTTGTCAAGTTGATCTGCATAGTACGCCCGAAAACCTCCACATAGGAGGGAGCCCTCTCAATGGCCTGAGTGCCCACCTGCACCCTCATGCCTGTCATCACCATTGAGCTGTTGTTGTTAACTGCCTCTACAGTGAATCCCCCAGGCTGGAGGAGAAACATATAAAAATTATAAACACACAGCATGTATGTAGAAATGCAGAAGAACAGTTGGAGAAATATATGTACAAGACTCAGCTATTCTGTTATCAAGATTCCTGTTGAAAAATAAGTCAAAGTTAAACCAATAGACCAAGCCAAATGTCACTCTCACATTTGTATCAATGATAATGTTTATCACTGCAGTCATGCACTCTGGTCTCAGACAGAATACGCTTTCTAAAAAAGTACCTTTGTGTTTGCCACATACATCCCAGTAGAGTTGAGCCTGTGTTTGATCTGCTGCCCATTGTAAACCTGCAGCAGGTCATTGCCCCCAAACTCCACCTCTGTTAGCTGCTGGTTGTGTTCAAAGAAGTCCACTGGAAATGTCACCTGACTCGAGGTCCGAGTGGCTTAAGGAAAAATCATTTGATAAAATTTTACTTTTGCCAGGTACTTAGCATATACTACTTAGATCAGCACCATAGACTGTATATAGTATGGACTCCGCCTTCCGTCATTGTACAAATTTGAAGCCACAATGCTTTCGGTATTTCCAGGATTTTTCTCTACTTCCTGAAACTGGCATTTACAAAATAGCAGTCGGTGAGAGAGTCAATTTGATGACACTCTGCTCAAACAGCGTAATTGAGTGATTCCACAATTTTTTTCCCTCTGCTTGGCCTAAAAAGTAACTGTTACTGACTACCCCAATTTATTTTCTTGATATCTTTCAGTGTTTTTTAAAGCCAGAAAGTTGCCATTTGAAATGACTTTAGTTTTGTGTCATGTCAGTGATCCGTTTTTTTTCTACAAAATTCTATAAACTAAATGAACTTCCTCCAAGACTGGTGATTCTGTTATTTTTGCCCGGGGTGGTAACCCCTAATAACTTTTTTTTTAAAATGGAGCTGCACAGAAAAACAACAATAATTAGAATATTGTTGTAATTATCTAACACTAAATACACATCAACATTGCAACCAGGGGTGAGAAAAATTTATATGACATGTACTTAATTTTAAAGAGGGGTTATTATGCATTTTTTTAGACTCAATATTTCCTTTCTGATACCTCTTAAATTTCTTTACACAATTTTCAGATTAAAAAAAAGCTCAAATTTTTTAGTCTTTATTTCAGCCTCAGTCTAAAACGCTTTGTTTTAGCCGATATCTTTGATGTCCATTCTATATACAGCCTATGGTCAGCAATTTCCAGGAAAGACTGACAACAGAAAACATACTTTCAGATTTTTTCAAGTTAACTGTGATACCACGTAATCTTTTATACATTATGTCACCAATATGAGGTTGTAGATTAGAGTTAACATCAGAATGTCAAAGGTTGTTAAACATGCTTTTTCTAAAGAAATATTAAATAGTGTAAATGTGTCAGTAACACTTGTATACTAATAACTTCCATCTATGCTGTTATTTACAATTTCAAAGAGTGAAATTAACTTTACTGGTCAGAAACATACTTGTGGCAGTCGCTTTACGTTTGCGAACAGGCTTCATGATGTTAATGCCACAGCTAGGCTGCAGTGAGGGTTGGAGCCAATAGGAGGTGTTGTCAACATTGGCCATGTAGATTCGCAGGCTCCCATCCTCACAGAGAAGAATCATAGTTGTACGCTGCTGCTCATTACTGGCAGTGTGCCGTATAGCAACCATGTCTTGAATCTGTGTCGAACAGAAACAGAAACAGAATATTCAACAAAGTTAATTCTCAGAACTTCATCATGCTTTTACCAATGTACCTGGAATACTGTTCTGTGTATGTGCTTTACATGGTATTTGTATTGAGACCTCCTTGAAAATGAGATGCTGAATCCGAAGAAAAGCTCAATTAAGTCAAATCAAATGAACAGCAATGTGAAAAGACAAAAACCTCTCTGTGGCAAGTAAAACAACATCCTTTAACAGACAATGACTTGTAGTTCGGCCGAGACAGAACAGAGGTACAAGAAATAGTGAATGATAGGGGAGGTAAATGTGCCATCAGTGCAAGTTCTATTTTGACTTCTATTCAGGGATGTGTCCACTAGGCTTGGACAACAATATGGGCTGTATCATCAGCAAAAAGCTTTTGGAGAATTTTCAAGTGTATGGGGGCTGCTAATTAACATGAACAACATGAACAAGACTCACCTACCCCAATTTAAAACAACAGGTTGAGTTCAAGCTCAACACACACTGGCACAAATACTTGGAAATACAACAGCGGTAATAGCGGAAATACAAAGTTTTAACTTGTTACTTATTAAGATGTCCTGAAATCTATTCATGATTTACAGGTCACCCTTTTGGGTCAGAAAATCCAAGATTACAGATAAATATGGAAGAATCACATCCCTGTCCTGTTACACACAGCTATTTCTTGTAACAGAGGTTCAACTTGCTATCTTTAAGCAGGCCTTAAAAACTGGTAAACAGTGTTTTGCTTCTTACCTTGGCTTTGGCTGGCAGAGTTTTGATCTCTTGGATGAGGAAAGTGTCTGGCTTAACCATGATGACTAGTGGTATGCCTGTTGTCTGCTGCACGCAGCACAGCAGGCCTGGATGGTTCATGACCTCAGACCACTGGCACAAAGCTGGTGACATCTTACTGCTACTGCCATTGGAGCTAAAGAAGGCAGGATGGAAGAGATGTTTACTAACGTAGCACTTCCAGTTACCCATTCTCTGGTTAGACAGTGGTGGCAGGAGAATGAATGCAACATATATTGTGTCTGAGCAATGTTACCCCTTTACGTTGATGGGGAAAAGCCTCTGCATTTCTGTAGTGCTGCGACTCACTGTTGCAGCAAAAGATTTACCCTGGCTGTAGCTGAAGAAAAGCATCTGAAGCACATGTGAGTAATAAACTGACACGCCACCTCCAGCAACTTGTCCATTGCTGTCCTGAAATAATATACAAAGAGTGTTACTAAATATTGCACAATAAAACTCAAGCAATTAAGACACATCAAAAAGTGTCTAAAATTGTGTAACAACATAAACCTTTTTTTTTAAAACATGAAAGTAGTGATGTACTTTTTGGGCTATGTGGTCTACACCTTTTCAGAAAATGCTTATATTTCATTGGGTCAAAGTTTCCTAGGCTTTGACTTTCAGTAAGTGTAATTTTGTGGTTGAAGTAAACATCAGACGTACCTTTAAGTCTTCATGGTTTATCTCCAGAACATTGGTGACATAAAAGGGGCCATGTTGAGCACTGCTGAACTCATCCATGAGCTGTGTGTACATGTAACCTGCTGAAGACATGATGGCAATAACACTCTTCCCCTCTTCATTGAAAAGGAAGGTGGCATCACGGATCTTAGAACTTGGTAGCAGGAAGTAGTACATGGGACTCAGAGCATCCACAGATAAGTCATAAATCTGCAGGGCAAGAAAGACAAAATAAAAAAAGACAAATTTACCATTTTTTTTGCATCACCATACAAAAAAGCAGCACTATTTTTAATGCATTAGCACCAGTAACCCTTTTCTTTATGCTATATAAGTTTCAAATATATCCCCAAAAGCTGCTTTACAATGTCTTTAAAAGGACTTAGTGATGTTTTATTTTCTATAATACATGCCTTTACAAAGTCTGCTGTGATGATGGCAAGTTCAGTTTGTGAACCAGGCAACCAAATGGCTTTTATAATGAAGTTGCCAGTGGCCAGTTGTGGGTGCAACACCAGATGGTCTGACACAGAACCTGTACTGCTGAAAGTTAGAACATGGCAGTCCTAGGAAAAAAGGAAAGAACAAAGGAGACAAAACAGTCAAACACCAAACTTCTGCCCCATCCAGTTATATTAAAATTAGCATAATCATCATCTTGGCTCACTGAGTGATCTTTCCTTACAAACAAAATGGTTACCCAGTTTTCTGTATTGTTTTCATTTTGAATGGCTCCAAATGTACACATGGAATCAGAAAGCCCAAAACAAAAGAAAAGCTTTTCTTTCAAGGGAATTGGTTTTCTGACCTTAAGGCCGCACACAGCCAGGTAATCCTCATTACAGGGATTGCCTGTGAGACTGAGCACAGTAAAAGGTACTGGAGCAGAGGCCAGACGAGTCAGTGTTAGCTTCCTCTTGCTTGAGTCAGCTTGTTTCAGAAGAGTAGACAGCTGCAGAACTGTTATCTACAAGGCAGAAAACATTTGTCAAAGGGAGTGAATTCAAAAACCGGAACCACATACTGGTTTAAACTACATAAAGCAATTACTGTGAAAAAAATATGACAGATAAGGCCACAGAAATGCACATTTAGTCATAAGAATACTATAACTAAAAATCAAAAAACCCTGGTCCAAGCGCTGATCACAAAAAAAAGAAAAAAATCAAATAAAGAATATTCAATTCATAGGCTTTTTAATATTTCAGTGTAATATAATTATTAATGCACTCATCTGACTGGATGGAGAGCTTACCTTTCCTTTTTCATGGCTCACTGCAAGGTGCTGGCGGCGGCCATGAGGTGAGGACAGGACGCACATAGCAACACGACGTAAGACATGTGCATTGATTAGCTGACGTATGGTTTGTCCCTGGTCACCACTGTAGTTCATCCTCACGTTCTCAAAAGCCCCTTCCTGTGAGCCAAGTGTAGGCACCTTGGAAAAGCACAGCAAATTACACAGAATTTACTACCTAAAACAGAGTTTCTGAAAAACATGAAATGAAATGAATTGTACAGGTTTTATCACCATTAACTGGTCTGTCATCTCCACTGTTTTGTCCTGAGTGTGCAGTTCATTGAGAGCTTGCTGGGCTCGGCTGCTGCTTCCAACAGCTGATGCCTGCTGGAAGTTGGTCTGGATAGCTTCCATGAGAAACATAAGCATCTCCAAAATTACTGCTGCAGTAGATGACCCCATCTGGTGTAAATAAAGACAGCCAAAAGCTTTAGTAACACAATGTCCAGTGCAGTACATGTGAAAAGGATCTAAAATAACATTGTTTTGTGATTTGTTGAGTCATTTTAATGATGTTACATTAGAATTTGACACTTTTGTCCAAAGCAATGTACAGCTGAGTGCTAAGTACAACACAAGCAAAGATCTGCACAGCAAGAAACAACATCTTTAAGTGCCACAATACTAGGGATGTGCGTGGTTATTTGGATATTCGTGTAAACGGGGCTGTCCTTACTATCCGTTTAGTAAATAATATTCATTTATTCTATAAAAAAGAAAAGGGGGAAAAGAAGAAAAAAGCGAAAAAAAGCTTTTTTATTATGTTTTTACCGTCATGTCTTAATAAAAGTGTGCATTAAACAAGCTAAAATGTGTGGATCATTTGCGTGCGACTCTTTCTGCCTGGCTCGCTGCTCTGGGCTCGCAGCGCTGGCCTGCAGCATGCATGGCATCGTGGGTTAACTTCCTCAGAGTGAATCAACACATGCGATCAGCCAGGGCGATGTCGGTGAGAAAAAAGAGCAAAGTTTGGGAGTATTTTGATTTAGATAAAGATGGCACGCTTCATTTTGTGCTAATGGTGTGAGGCAGGCCGATGACCCAGCAGGCTGCTTGGCTTGAGCGCAGCGGAGTGGAGCTTAATTTCTTTGATCTTTCACATACTTTATGTCATTCTCCAGCGCTAAAATAAGATTCTGTAACATATTTTAATATTATAAGTATGGCTTTCATGTACTCTTAATATTTATTTCAGATGACATCTGGCCATAAAGATCGTCATGTGCTCAATTTGGGCTATTTTCTGAGCGTTAATTAATTTTCGGGTATTCGAATATTCGGTTTCAAAATGGTTGTTTAAACATCAGTGAAATTAACCGCTGGGAACATCCCTACACAATACTACTTCAAGTCCTATGGAACACAGTATTGTCATGCAGCACTGGAGGTGGTGCACAGAGCGCCTTGTCAAAAAAGACATGGGGCAGACAAATACATGCATCTGATGATTAATCAAGAATAGAAAAAAAAATTCTTACTACTTGAGCCAGCAACTCCTCCTGGCAGCCCTCAATGCTCTTGCACACACTGCTCTTCTTTGGCCTGTCTTCATCACCAGATTTGCCATCACAGATGGTGACCTTGCTCTTGTCAGAGGGTGAGGAGTTCTGGTGACGGATAGCACTGTCAGGCATACGCAGTTCACTCTGGAATGCAGAAGACTCTTTAAGAGTGGAGCCTATTCCACTGCTGGGGCTGCGTTTGACCAAGGCCTGTGGATGGTTGGACAAAAAGTATAACAGTGAGAACAGCAACACAATTTCAAGGAGAATTAATTTTTACGTAGTAGTACATCAAATGCAAACTTTTCTTAAGACATCATTTGTTTAGTTTAACTTCTTTACCAAAAGGATAACCTACTTTTATTTAAACACTACTAGCTACCCCACATTGTGGATCATATATAGTGATTAAAGAAATGGAAAATCTAGGAGTTTGTTGGATGAAAATCTGCATAATCTAAACTGCCACCACAGCAAAAGCCATGACTGTTAATTCAATTTGATACATGCTGGTACCACATCATTATCTCTGAACAAAAGCATTACGCACCATTGTCACAAGAGAACAAATCAGACTAATGATAAACTAAAGGTTAAGTAATGGACAGTTTGTGCATCATTACATGCACATTTAACAATCCCAATTGTAAGAATTAACTAAGAGAGCTGGCCTTTGTGTTACACAAAATAAGACATTAGACGTGATTTCACTCATTTTCTGGCCACATGTGTGGGCTAGCTATAACCCTGACCAAATGAAATGACTGGATGGAAGTCAATGGGGGAATGACTTGCAAGCCAAAGTTACCGCTGTTGTTCTCTTCCCATGATGACCTGAGGTATTCGGTCTCACCTGGCAGCTGCCATCCTCTTTGGCACCGCAGTCACAGAAGAAAGAGCCATACTTGGCATAGGAGATCTCATGGTCTTTGTGACAGACCTTGGCGCACACTGTGCACACACCTACCCCATCCACCATTTTGCAGGTGTGACAGTGATACCTGCAAAATGAAAAAAGAAAACAAAAACTTAGTTTGTGTAGCAAGTTAACATTAATGACTATATCAATGACAGTGTATAAACCGCTTTAAAAGGAAGGTGATTACAGTTCCTGAAATCCAATTCCTCTATGTGCAAGCAAATAACTTTGGAACATTGGGAAAAAACAAAGTGTACTTACAGAAAATACCTCTGACCAAAATGAAAGTTTTTTTTTTCAACTCAGGAGCAATACAGTAAGTCAAAAAACAACAAAAAAACGTGTGACGTTTAACACACGTCAAGGATGTAACGTTTTGTTTTAAAGGAAAAATGTCTTCAACAATTTTTTAAGTTTCTTGTGGGATCTTAGCAGCTTAAGATTTTCCTTTTTAGTTAACTTTAAAATGGTTCCTGTAAAACCACTGTTTTCAGGTTTAACATCCTAGCAGTTAGTATGAAAATGGATTATGTTGAACTAAACAATAATTACAACATGCTCATAGTTACCAGTGCTGATTCATAAACTCCTTCTGTGTGATGGTAAAAGTGCAGAGTTTGTTGCAAAGAGAGTCTTCATCCTGCACAACAATGATAGATATGTTACGTTGGACAGTTACATTTTGCAACAATCAAAGAATGTAGAACTTAGCAAAATAAAGCCTACAGTACTATAACTTAGATTTAATTAAAATCAATCAAGTTTTGACATCATACATTCATATTGTGAGCTTCTAGCCAATCAAAATATTAATTTCAGTACGTGTACAAAATTCAGCAATTAAAGGTAGCTTTGAGTAGTGGTGGTTGGCTGTGCTATGTACTATATGTGACTGGGTTTCTAAGGCCAACACTATAATGAATTTATTCAACTGGTGACGACTACCATGGGAAAATATGTTTAATCTATTTGATGACTAGACATGCACATCCCTTACGAAGAACACAAGTACTGCTAAAATCATGACTAATATAGCCTAGATTAAATTAATTATTTTATCTTTATTTACCATAGTGCCATGAGCAAGACCGGGAGCTAAAACACCACAATTGAAGGGATTTTCCTAAAGTCAACCAGTAAGTAATAACCTGGAAAAGCTTTTAAAGTTATGTAGTCTGTACCATGTTAGTGCACCATTTTTATTTAATCAGTATATTTATCCTTGATTTGATCCAATAGTTTAAAAAAATGTAATTTTTTTTTGTCTAATGCAGCCTTTCTTAATGTGGGTGCTACAGCACCCGTATAACTGCATCAGGGTTGCAGTTCAAAATGAACTATTCTGATATTTCATATATGAATGTATACATAAATACATTACTTTTACATATATTCATGATTAGATAAAATAGATACATTTAGCGTCATGCAGGGCACTGACAGGCCCGAGCAGTGTTGCACTGCCACCCCTGTGCACTGCCCTCCCAGTGCACCGCCACCCTGTCACCCTGTGTGTGCGAGTGCGCGTATGTGTAGGGCAGGCTACAGAGGCACGGATGGAAACCAGCACTATGGGCGTAAAGAAACATCCCTGCTATTCTTTGGTACAATTTTAGTTCGTATTATGCTCTCTTTATTTATCCTTTCTAAATAAATAGGACATTTTCATTTACAATTAGGCTATGCAGTGTCATTTTTAACTATATTTTATACTGGTTTTATGCATAGTTGAAAGGTGCCATGACTGAAAAAATTTGAGAAATTCTGGCCTAATTAACAAAAAATGTTAATTATTTTAATCAAGACAACACCAATGCTTTTTTTTTTTTAACAAACCTCAGTGAAATTTTGAAGTATTAAGTTTTCAGCTCAGTTTTCTAAAAAGTTACCAAACTAAAGAAACTTATGTCAAAAGACAAGACATAAAGGGGTATCATCTCACAGAGTCCTCAGCCTGGGAGTCATCCTCCTCTACAGCAAGCTCCTCAACCCAGTCAGAATCAACTTCCATTGCCTTTTCTTCTCCTTCCATCAACAAAGTTGAGGTACCTTGACCACTGCTCTGCCGCAAGGCATTCATCACATCAGCCAGGTAGGAGATGATGTGACAAGAACATTCCAGCATGCTGGCGTGCTGAAATTGAGTAAGAGGTGTACAATCAAAATCTGAAGTATCATGTGTGAAGGCCAGTGTGAAATTAAATCACACCTGTGTGAAGTTGAAATGAGAACATTCTATAAACTGCTATGATGCAAAAACATACCTTTCCTTGAGATAAGTTTGTGCTCACTTTTTCCACAACATTTTTCTGAGTTAGATACCTTTTGCTGCAGAGAGAAATTAGAAGCATTTTTAATGGTCATTCACAAACTGAAGAGAAACTGCTGCTTGCTGGAACAAAATATATTGGGTAAAGTAAAGTAAGTAAATTCAATCAGAGAATACCATCAAATAGAAGTTAGTATTTTACCATCTGGTCAGCCAGTCAATAGCTGCCCTGTGAAGCTGCAGGTGGCCAGCCCCCTGTCCCGCACTGGCGAGTGTGGCCATGATGACCATGAGCTCAGGGAAACCAGTTCCGTCTCCATTAGCCAGCATGTCTGTTGCCATGGGAATGAGTGTACTGAGGAGAACAGTGCACACTCCTTCCCCTACCTGGCTGTTGTCTCTCACAATGTGAGTGGTGAGCAGCTGTAGAAGCTGTCTGTTTTCTTGTACTATTTCAAGCTGCTCTGAGTCCTTTGGTGGGGCTGCTGTCATGCGCATCAACCATGACTGAAGGCGGGAGGGTTCCACGCAGGCAAGCTGAGCCAAAGATCCACAAAGACACAGGAGGCTGGGATTTGGGCTCTTTTCCGCTAAATATAACAGTATCATCATTAGATTCAGGAGCATTATAAAACTTAATGCATCAGCAGTATACAACCTTGAAAATGTCTACTTGGACTGGTGACACTTTTGTGACCTCAGTATGTGTCAGATAAAAAACTTGTTGAACCAAAAAAAGGGTCTGAATTTGCCTTTTCATACATTTCTCATATCCAAGTGCAGGGGTTTATGTCAAGGCTAAAACTTACAAGATCCATACTGAGCGCGTAATGTCAGCGATGAGTATCACGCAGCAAATAGGCTGCAATTTTAATCAATGAAGCATCGCATACAGGACGCGTATCAGCTTCGTCGCAGCACCGTATCAGAGACGTATTGAGCGTGGCTCTGCTGAAGATACGCACCAAGTCTATTTTTGCTGCTCTTTGATTCCATTACGCATCAAGCTACACAGAGAAGATTGTTCCAAACAGGATGTCAAGCACAAAAACTGTGCACGTCATACGGTATTTCAAAATCAAACACCATATGCGGACTCCCGACTGTGTATCATTTTGTATAGATGAGAAATACTTCCTGGTCATGGATTTATTATTAACACCGAACAATCCAATGGTCAATCCCTGATCCATGTGGACCCCAACAGGACTTTTAACTGCTAACCTTGTCTGAAGGTAACAGCACAGCACAAAGGAACATAGCTTACTTTATAAAACCTGCAAAAACCGAAACTGTAAAATCATATTGCTTTTTCACATATAGTAAAGGCTCAACAGTTACTGAATTATATCTAAATTAGAAAGAAATAGACCACAGAAAGGCAAAGCAACCTGTTGTGTGTTGTTTCCTCTATACTGAGCCAAGCTGACTGAGGCTGCACTACACTGCTGCCACGCTCCAAATACACATCCTGTGTGCAACAGACAGCGCTGCTTGATGGAGAAGATTTGTGACGCTGATGGAGCATACTCAGTACCTAGATCATGTACGTTTTCAGCTTTACACACATTTTGTTTCTTTCTAAATCAATTAGACAAGCATACCAATTTAAAAAGAGAGAGGTATGGTACATTTCCTTTTGTTAACACAAGCACTGTGTATTCGATTTTCATCTCTTCACCCTCTGGCAGGAAGGTTTTTCACTGAAGTTTAGTTGAACCCATTGAGTGAAAAAAAATTATCCTGCAATACATGTGCAGGCAAAACCATTTTTTAAAGAAAACAAGTCCTCTGACAACATATGTCAGTTTGATCATCACCCTTACTGATTACAGTTAACAATGCAAACAAGAAACTTACTGAGCTGGAACAGTTTGGTGAAAAATTTCAGCACCCTATTGCAGAACTTTGCAGACAAATTCTCATTGGCTGTTGCCATCATAATCTGGACAAGCTCCCCACTGAAAAAAAGGCAAAGAATAAGTGAGGTGGATGCAAAAAATGTGGAATAATGCAGCCTGTGTCCTCATATTAACAAATACCTGAATGAAAAGAACTCTTCCATGGCCTTACGAACTTGGCTGCTCTCAAGCTGCTTCTCGAGGTACTGAAGACATTCCTCAAGGACAGACTCATCTAAACCACTACACAAAAGAAATCAGAGATCAAATTTGCAAAGGGAAGGAAGAAAGACTGCCTGCTGGTAAACAAACACAATACATTAAATTAGGCTTAAAGCTAAATAATGATAAGACTACTTCCTAGCAACAAGTTTTATTTTTTTTATTTACAGGTTTACAAAATGTTAAAACACACTGTGTACCTGTTAGGATCTGAGTGGTTAGCAATGATGTTGTAACACCCAGTTACCAAACGCTCATAGATGCGGGCGAGGTAGGCATCTGACTCTGATGGGCCAAGAATGCGCTCTAGCGAGGTGCTGCTAATCTCAGCCACACTCTCTGTGCTGCTCTCCAGGAGGAGGGGTAACAGAGTACGCACGACCTGTGAGGGATTCAGCTCCTCTGTGCTGGAGAGGCAAACATGCTGTTTAATTCATCATATACTTTCTCTAGGGGATGCACCGAAAATTCAGCCGCAGAAAATTTTCGGCCGAAAACGACCGAAAAGTGCATTTTCAGTTTTAGGCCAAAAAACCTATCACCAAAACAGCACAACCAAAACAGGAAATTGTGATGATGCAAGCAAAAACCACAGCCAGCACACGCTTCTCTGGATTATGGGCAACATGTCTGCAGCATGGACGTATTTCAATATATCCGAGAACCACTGAGTAATACTCAAATTTCAAGAGGGGGTGCATCTGCAAAGAGTTTCTTCATGTCAGGTTTAATTTATCACTTGAAATCCAAACATCCCAATCGGCATTCTGAAAATTAGAACCCAGTACAGAAAAGGAAAATCCCTCAGAGCACGACCACTCTGTCTGTGGCGGATGTTGCAGCCAAATACACAGGCAGACTCTGATGGAAGTGTCACTTCTTCTCACCATTATTCATAACTTTATATGTAATTGCAATGCCTTGGTTTAAGTGAAGTTAGTACAGTCATAGCCATAAATGCAATGGCACTAATAATTGGCATAATAATTTCCATCGGTGTTTTGGTTTTAGGCCTTGGTTTCCTCATTTTCAGTTTTCGGTTTCAGCCAAGAATTTTCATTTCGGTGCATCCCTTCTTTTTTTCCTTAAATGTTTAGATTTCACATTATTAAAAATGACAAGAAAAGAACTTACACTATCAGGTCACCAGTCAGGCGAACTAAAGAGAGTAGGATGTGTTTAAGAGAAGAGGCCAGTGGTAGGGACTGACAACTTAATGTTCCGAGATGAGCTGCTTGAATTGCACTGATGTAGCTCTCTGATGGAATGGTATCATTAGCAAAAGCATTTCGCTGTCAAAAAACAAAATACAATTATTAGTCACATGTTTTTAAGTACCACCATTTAAAATAAAAATTAAAATAAAAAAAGAAATTTTAAATTTGGGATATAATTTATTTATGCTTTGAGGTAAATATTAACTAGACAATCTGTTTTTGAAAATGAGCAAACAATGAAAATTTCAACCTATTATGACCCGAGGTTTAAAAGCAACTTAGTTCACATACCCATGAGCCAATGTTTGGGAATTCATTGGTCTGGATGCTGTTCCAGGTATCACATATTATCTGTACTGCTGATGGTAAGTTCTGCATAATGCTATGACCTTAAAAGTTTGAAGAAAAAGAGCAGGTTCAAACAGAGGGTATACTTCCAAGATAAAAAAAAAAAGGAGAAGAAAATCGTGTTAAACTATTTTACTCTTAAATAATCTGTTCATATACCCAACGTGTTAGCCTTGCAGCGAGTGGAACCAATGGAAAGAACTGCAGCATAGCCTTGGAGCTTGGCATCTGTGAGCTTGTTTTCTCCTTCCACTGGGATGTTCATCAGAAGGTATGACCTGATCACAAGAGGTTTGGTTAAACCTTTCGGTCAGGCCTAACATGTGAGTAAGTTGAAGTATGATCAATTTATTTACTTCAGAGTTTATGGACTTGAGGAAAGTTTAAAGGTTTGAACACAAAAAGTTGGAAATACATAAGAAAAACCATAAATAAATCTGAGACAAATCACTTCATACTCGAAAAAATATCAACTCTTATCACAGTAAAATTTGCCATCTACATTCTTCCTCACAAAAAACTTAAATGTCCACATCAGCCTTTGGTTCTCTTCCTCTCTCACAACCACACAACCGCGTCTCCTCTTTGATCTGTTGTATAAACAGGCCTACTATGCTTCTTTCCATGTCTTCCTTACTGCATACATTAAATATGTTGTAGAAGAAAGATCCTTTAACTATGAGAGCATGTTTAGGCAAAACATGATAAAGGTGATAACCACCAAGATGTGTGTGTCTGTTACTGAAATCATGCAAAGCCCACAAAGTTTTAAAGTTGGGTAGCCATATTTGAGTTGTGATGGTGCAAAAACTGTTTGCAGGGCAGCTGATATACTAGACAATGAACAGGGGCATGTGGAATATGGTTTAAAAGTAACAACTATGGGTGGATATCCCACCTGGAGAGCAATTTTTAGAGAGCAACATGCTAGTAAATGCTCAAACCACATTAAGTGTATTATCAAAGGATTAGGGATGTCCCGATACGATATTGATATTGGATATCTGTCCAATATCGACCAAAAAATTATTACCGGATGATATCAGCCTGCATCTAAAATCTTCTATATCAGCACTCCGATACAAGCAGTCCATCCCAGAGTGCCCGGGTCCAGCATGCAGAACCCATGTAATCACAACAACAGTGTACGCAAGCTAAACGATTAATTGCATTTGCAATTGCAACTCTTGACTGGTCATGTGATCTGGTTACATGACTTGCGAGTGAGCGGAGTGAAGCAGGGCAGGTAGAGAGAGAAGTCAACACTGCACTCTGTCACACTATGGGCTAATTCCACTACAGAAGCTTACACTTCAGAAAGTTTAGTACCAAAGAGGGCAGCACGGCAGTTGTGTGGATTCATCTTGGCAAAAAAAGATGCTGCTGTGCAACATGTGCAGAACCTGTCATGCTACTGTTGTTACATCAGGAGGTAACACTATGAACCTTGATCAACACTTAAAGAATCACAACAAAGCCATGTACGATAGTTGAATGGCTAAAACATCAGCTACCAGCACTTCAACTTCAAACCATGTCTTCATAACAGCGGAAAACGCATCCAATACGGTGATGGCAGCACAGCTGAATGAATAGACCCGACCAGTGTTTTGGCATACATCATGACATACATACATGACATACATGATGGCACGTGCATGTTTGTGCACAACAGTATGTGAGCAGAGAGAGCCTGTGCGTTAGTGTGTGTGTGAATTGATAATTGCCAGAAAGAACAATTCATGTATTATTAATCTGATATTGTTAACTATAATACAGATTGATTTATTGTCTGTTTGTTGAAAAATACATTAGAGGAGTTCCTTGAAAAAATAGTTGCTTATTAATCTCAATATCGAGGAAAGAAATCCCACTTAAATTATTTTTCAAAATCGTTCAGCCATAGTGTGTACTAAGGTACCAATAAAGTTGCAAGGAGTAAGAGTGATGTAGGCCATGTGGTAGTATTTTTTGTTTGAGTCTGAAAAGACGTTGACACTGAGTGCAAAACTTGTCATGCACAATTTTGTGCCAATATCAGATCAATATCAGTCTCCACCAATACCGAAGGCTACAATATCGGTATTGTATCAGAAGTACAAGAGTTGTATCAGGACACCCCTACAAAGGGTAAAACTATGCGGCAGTTAACTTGGTGTTCCTAACTCTGTCTGCATGCCAGTTGCGCAGGGCTGGCCAGCACACACGAACACAATGCACTTCACACTAACATGGTACTGTATAATTGATTATTTTCTGCCACTGCATCTATACAAAACTGCCCATTCATTGCAATGCATAACAAAAACAATTAATTTCAACACCCCTGGTATTCCGGTACACTACACATAATGTGGGACTTAAAGAACCTTGTCTGATGTTAAAATGCATGATTTATTTTCACCTGGTGAAAGCTGTGTAAATGTCAGTGAGTTGTAGTGTGGCCGGTAGCAGGTCCTTGGCAATCTCAGATGACTTGTGGGGTTCTGCCTCGATGGCAACTTTGGACAAATGCTCATCAAGGGAAACCTGCACTTTAGAAATAACTGCATCCAGAGTATAGATGGCTTGTAAAGACGGTAACTGATGTAGTGGAAGAACTACATTTGGGTCAACACTTGAGAAGGTTGATATCTGCAACAAAATCAAGTTGTCAGTTAGAGAGAGTTGTGTTTTGTTGTCCCCTTCATCCACACATCAAACAAGTCAACAATAATAATGTAATTATTTACCTGTCTAGCAATGTACTCCTCTGCTAGCTCAACGTCATATTTGACAGTACTGCACTTCGTAGCAGTTGTCTCAACCAGAGAGGCTGCTTGGTCTGCTTTCATACCCTGCTTCACCAAATGATCCTGTCATAGGCATAGTCATACATCAAAATAAACACTTAAGATTTTCCATAACCACATCAAGAAAACGATACAGTTTATCATATAAATCAAGAACAAAGTTATCCAGTATCACTGACAATTAAATCCGCACAATCGAAGTTCAATATTTTCATTTTTGGAAGTATATATTCATTAGGAGTAGCACTAAGTAAAGATGATAAGAAAATTACAAATATATTAATCTACTACAGTTGCCAGTGGCTGTGTTCCAGTGCTGAAACATAATGCTGTTAGTCTCATTGAAGTTTTTTGGCATCTATGGTGCAAATAAGAATTTTGTTTAACTGTCACGTGTCAACAAACCTTGATCCAGTTCACATAAGTAGACACCCGTAGCCGTGAGGACCATCGCAGCGTGTGCAGTATGTCACTCTCGCTGGGATCGCTGCAGCCAGTCTTCAGTTGTTCCATGTATGCTCTTGAGGGTGGTAAAACCCCCAGGATTCTCCACAGTACCAAAAAGTAGTACTGGAGGGAGCATGCCTCCTGTGTAAGTGAGTGATAAACAAAAACACCATGTTCTTATTCCATTGTTGATGTCATCACAGAAGCCTCTCAATCTTATGTCACTATAAGTGAAAACCATCCTCTCTTGGCAGTTGACATTAAAACTCTCTTCAGACTGTTGGAGTATAAAAAGGTCAGTGGGGTTGCTTCAGTGGCTTGTATACCATGTAAACACAGTCAATGGTTTGTTCATGTCTTGTGCTCTTACCAAAGGAGTGATGGGCTTGTTCTCTTGTCGTCTTGCTGTGTCAAACTCAGAGCCTGCCACCAGAAGTGAGATGAGCCAAGCATACAGTTCATCGTATTTCACTGCCCCACTGAACAGTTTAGGGAAGACCTATGACCAAAGAACAAACAATCTTTATATCTCCAGGTACCTCAGAATAACAAAAATACAAGCAGCAGCAACTGAAGATATTTGATTAAGGTTCAATTCTCACTTTGCTGTCAAGTCTGCTGATATCATCTTCAGAAGCCTCAGGGGACAGGACACAGAAGAATTTGGGCTGAACATTCGAATCTACAAAAGGTTAAAATTGATGGTCACAGATTATTTTCTTTTCCAGAAGAACCACAGCAATTTCCTTTTAAAAGATAAGCGACAAGACAATACCAACAAAATGAAAAATACTGGTGGGAAAGATGAATTAGTAATCAGTGTTTCGGTGTCGAACTATTTCCTTTCTGCGGCGTAGTGATACTTGCACACGCGCAATCGAATATGCAAAGGGATGAAGCAATGTTTGTCACGTGGACCAATAGGAGCCGAGTCTCATTGCCATAGTATCAGAACAACACAAACATGGCGACAAGCGCATCTAGCAGCAAGACAAGTGAGGAGCAAGAAAAGTAAAGGAAAAAAGAAAACAGCCTTCAAATGTGCATAAAAAAGGAATGAAACGATGCTATATGCATCTATCATCTGCCCAGGGCGAAGACGTTCTCGACTTTACGAGGACACGCTGGGAAACTGACTGAACTTGTATTAGAAAGTGGCTTTATCTACGGGGTGAGACAAAGGACCTTGTAGAAACTTATAACCATTGCATTGATGTCGATTTTGACAATGTTCCTGATAACGCTGGGTTTCACATGACATGCTAAAAGGTGATTTATTTGCAAAAGGCACTGAGTTTTGCCGAAAAGAAACAAGAACGTGATGCAGCAGCGGGTCAGTCAAACCCTTCAGCCAGCATCGCTGATCCATCCACGTCCACACATTTGAAACTCCGCTAAAGAAACTTCACTCGAGGTCAGGTTTGCCAGTACCTTCAGTTGGCCCTGTTCCTCCACCGTTGTGCATTACTTGCAAAAGAGTGGAAAAGATGATTCATGTGGCTGGCAAACAACAAAGGGATCAACTCACACGAACCGAGACACTGACTGCAGGTAAGCCCCCCCACACACACTATTTATTATTATTTTGCATGTGCTGTTACTATATATTATACATTCCATTCAATTACTTCACACACTACTTGATGTGCTCTTCTGTTCAAGTCATAAAATGTTAAGTTATAATGTGTGGGCTGCAACTGTGATGTAGTGTTCTGGTCTTTTTGGTAAGGGAGATGTACAGAATACAGATAGAGATCAAGTCTGTAGTCCTTTGATGAACTTTATTTACATTATTATCATAAATTGCTTTACATTGAGAAGTCTGAGCAATATGTTGGGTTTGACAGTTGTAAAACACAGCCTAATCACCACCACTAAAGAATGGGAGGGGGAATTTTGTTTTGTAGGTTGTGTCATTTTTTATGTATGAAACATTAGCTTTTAGCTGAATTTACTGTATATATTTCATTGTGCTGGGTGCAAATCACTTTTCTTTAGGAAATTTGCAACATTTCCTAATCTGAATTCACTTATGCGAATACTAAGGCACCAATAACTGTTTCAGATGTTAGGTAGATGTATTCATGACATTTGAGAAAGATTTTGTCTTGCCAGAATCAACATAGCAGTTTCTACAAGCAAAAACAGCAGCACCATATAGTTGTTTTTTGTGTTACTCACATATGTACATTTCTGGCTGGTGACAAATGTCGGTCAGATAGTCTGAGCAGATACTTTAACCCAAAGTCCAGAATGGTATTGTCTATGCAAAAATGCATTGAACAAGTAGCACTAGCTTAGTGGAACAAAATTCACTTTCTAGGCACTTTATCCTTTGTCCCAATACAGCCTAAACCTCCAAGGGGGGGGGGGGGGGGGGCTCCTGTCCTGTTAACGGTGGGGTAGGCAGGACCTGAGAATGTGCCAGTTTTTGGGAGAAATCTTGAATGTAAACACTACCCCTCCCAACCAGTTTTTCCCTCAGCTCCTCCTCTTCCCTCCTTCTCTGCTCCAGCAAGCCCCACTCACAAACAAACACTCCTGCTCGCTCGCATCGTTTTAATTAAATTCAGATATTATGCAGATAGATACTTTAGATAATTACAAATGGGAAACTGCTCTTCTGGTCTGAGTTTGATCAGTCGGTCTTCCTGTCAGCGTGAAGGGCAGTAGCTTACAGTATATCTACAGTATATAGTATACTGTAGATATCTACAGTATATATATATTTTTTATAACTTCATAAAAAATTTAAAAAATCAGACGATTAATTGGTAATCCGATTTTTTTCCTCCCTAATAATCGGTATAGGCATCAGCCCCAAAAAAATCCATCTCAGTCGGGCCCTAATTTAGACAATTTTCCGTACTTTCTGGTTGGATTCTACTGTCCAATATTGTAGCACGCTACCTTTTGTTTGGGCTCATGATCGACACGTTAGAGCAGTGTCTGCCTCACAACCAATCAGGCTGGGGGAGGCGGAGAATGACTTTGTTTACAGTCAGAAAGAGCGGGCCACTCAAAAAATTAAAAATGTTGACATAACAAAACACAGCGAAATTGTTATATTACCAAATGTCATCAATAACTAATAGCTGATATTCAAAGCTTTTTTGTATATACACCACAAAAAAGATGCTTCTTTAACATATTCCTGCCTACCCCACCTTTAATGTATGGCAAATCTGAATTTATATTCATAATAAACCCCCTTTTTAAAACCAACAATAAAAATGCTGTTGTTCAGAAGCAGCAATCACTAATCATATGTTGTTCAGTAAGTTTTTTTCATATAGTCATTAATATCATTATCGCATATTGTCTTAAAATATCGTGATATCATTTTGAGGCTTTATTGCCCACCACTGGTGTCATTGAATGTTAACAGCTTAAAAAAATATTTAAAAAAAGAGATAAAGTAACTACCAGATGGTGGTAAAGAGTAGAATCACCTACTGGGGAACAGTGTGTGTGCACTGTTGAAGACATATTTGTAATAAAAATACTCATGCATAAATTAAGATTACAGGAAATACAATTGGTAGAAAACTGGGGAAAAATGGACTGATTTCAAGAGGACAGAGGAGGGCACCACCGCCTTCATTTGACTATAAAGAGATTGATATTAGAAAGATTGCTGAATGATTTAAATAGGTTTTGCCCTGACATGGTAACTGTTCAAGAATTTTTTTTATAAAAAATAAGTTATAAAAAAAGAATGAGGTCTGAGTAATGTTTCTCATTTGTTAAAATGATTAAGTTGGTATATGCACAAAAGTGCATAAAAACTCACAATATAGGTTTATAAATCAGACACTAGCTTACCAGCTCTGCTAATTATCGACATTGGTTAATAAAAAAAAATAATAATAATAAAAACATAATTAACCCATTAAGCGAGACTAACCAGTGAATTTAGGGACAACATAAATTTGAGGTTGGCAAGACTCAGTAGAAACAACTGGTAAGTAAAAAGTACATTTGGTTCATAGATCTTACCAGCTGAACAGTGTTTGGCCCAGTTCTCTTCAACCTCTTTGAATCCGTAGTATAGTGGGAGACTGCTGCGTTTGCCACCTTCCTGAACAGTACTTGGCCCAGCAGATGGGGGGGTGAGAAGGTTATACTGCACCTACAATATCAATCATACAGAAAAGTCATTGCCATGTCCTGTACATATCAGCCTGTAAAATTTTGGATGGGATCCATAATTTTGCTTTAAGTTTTAAATTAACCAAATCCATATTACCACTAGAGCTGGGGGATATGACAAAAAAAAAAAAATCACAATACATTCTGTCATATCGTCCGATCTCGATTATTATCACAATTTTTTTTTTTTTAACTGCCAGTTTTAAAGCATCTGCACTAAAAACTAAAGAAACTAGAGATTAGTTCAGCATTTTATTAACATACAAAGTAAATAACAAAGAAAACTGAAGAGGATAAACTCAGAAAAATAAAAACCAATTTTATTTAACAGCACAACAAATGTAGATAAATACTTAACAACACAGTGAACTAGTTTACAGTCCTGACTGTTTTTGCAGGTATGCAAGACCCAAAATAAACAAAGCGCCCCCTCAGGAATAATAAAGAAGCCTTAAAATGTAAACATTAGATGATGTAAACGTAGATGATACGATTGATTGCTGTTTTGGTCTAGTGGCTGTACTGCTAGCAGTGGCTAAACTGCTTATGCTACTAGCAACGTCAGCAGAGGCAGGCAGTGCAGACTCTGCTCGCATTTTCATGCTTTCCACATAATCACTCGGAAAGTACTTCTTCAAATGGTTTAACAGATTTGTTGTGTTGCCAGTTTTTGAGGGCATCAATCGCCGACATACCTTGCACATCAGCTAAATTGCTCAATGTCACTTTGGAGATACCCAAACCACACAAGTGACGATAAATTACTTTGATGACTCAAAGTCAAGGCTGACATCTATTTCGCTGCCCTCAGCTCTGTGTTTAGCTCCACGTTTGTTCATTCTGTTTACTTCCCCTGTTTACTTCTCCAGCAACTTACAGAAGTGAGCAGAAAAAAGCTCAACTCGAATGGGCTTCAGTCACGCACATTTCTGCTATGTTTGATACAGTAAAAATGCTCACAGCTGATCACCGTTATCGGAATGAAATTTATCACGATCATATAATCGCCCAGTCCTATTTACCACTATTTGTCTGTTGTCTCATATTTTATGAGACAACAGACAATTGAATTTCCCTTAGGGGATCAATGAAGTTCTTCTTCTTCTTCTCACCACTATTTAATACATGGAAAACCCCCAGTGATCAGTTTACAGTTAACTGTTAGATGTCTCCAAACACTATATAACCCTTTAGAAAACCAGCAACTGACCTGTTCAAAGAGGTACAAAGGAGCCTTGGAGTAGTGGCGCAGAAGGTAATCAAAAACCAGACACAGGCGGGCCAGGTTGAGGGGCACTGCCTTCAACTGGGAGTCTCTGCTCTGTGCCACTTCAGTGATGGCTTGGGTGACTTGGGTCAGCACTGACCGTCGACCACGCTCTGACAGGTTGTGGAAAAGGAGCAGCAGAAGCTGGAGGTGCTCCACATTAAGATCATCTTCTCCATGAACAGAGCTCTGGATTGTGTGCTGCTTCAGTGTTCCTAGAAATCTAAAAGACGGGTAGATAAGAGGATAACATTTTCAAAACTACATCAAAACAGCTGAGGCACATGTTCCAGAATACTTGTAAATATTAAAAAATGGAACACTTGAAATTGTCATACATGTGCAAGATAAAAATTGAATTCATGAATGAATTCATACCGTTCCCAAACTTTCATACACTCAGGAACATCTGGTTCCCCTTGCACACTTGCTTTGTGCTGCCATATGAGAAGAAGTCTGGAGAGGACTGACAATGATTGAGGGTGAATATACAGAGGCCAGGGACCCTCTGAAAATGGTGCAACACCTAGCTGCTGAAGAAGAGTGCTCTGAAAGTGACAAGACATAAAAATAAGTCTGTGACTTCAGTGGAGAAAATACAAATGTTGAAAAGTAATCTGACTGATAGAAGTTGTAGCGATTTTATCTAGGGTCTCTGCAGGTTTCAACAAGTCAAATTTACGACCTTTTAAGACTTTTTAAAGACCATAATGAATATCATTTAAGACCCGTTTACCATTCATACTGGCAAAAAGTACAAAAGACATGAAGGCAAATCTGAACATTTCTCATTACTTCAAATTAATCTTTATTCCTATGGCACATTATTTGTTTGTTATAGGGATGCACCGAAACAGAAATTCTTGTCCGAAATCGAAAACTGAAAATGAGGAAACCAAGGCCAAAAGAAACAAAACGCAAAAAGTCATTATGCCAATCATTAGTACCACTGCATTTATGGCAATGACTGTGCACTAATCTCACTAAAATAAAGGGATTGCATTTGCATAAATTGATATTAAATTAATATTACAAATTAAATTAATATTATTCTTATGCAATTGCAACTTGAGTTCAGAGTTTTTGAGTCAGTGTGTTGTTGCATGTTCTGTGTTGTTTACACCGTAAGATGGCGCCCGCAAGTCAGGGGCAAATTAAACTCAAAACTTTCAGAGAAAGAGAAGAAGCGCTAGAGACTTGTAGTAGAAGTAGCGTCAGTGTTTTTTTTTTTCCAATCAGTCGGGAGCAGGAGCCGAGCATTAGTTTGCATAGCAATGTTGATTTCTGTTTAAGTTATGAATAAAGGTGAGAAGAATCAAAGAAGAATTAAAGAATTAAGAATAAAACTTTCCCCAGCGTCTACTAGTGTATTTGGCTACAACATCTGCCACAGATGGAGAGAGCATGCTCAGAGGGATTTTCCTATTTCTGTGTGGCGTTCCCCTTATATTCAGAATGGCAATCAGGATGTTTGGATTTCAGATGATAAATTAAATCTGATGTGAAGATACTCTTTGCAGAAGCACCCCTTCTTGAAATTTAAGCATTACATGCCATGCAAATCACTATCAGTAGTTCTTAGACATATTATATTGAAATACGTCTACACCGCAGACATGTTGGCCCTTATCCAGACAAGCATGTGCTGGCTACTGTTTTTGCTTGTGTCATCATAACCTCCGTTTCGGCCATGTTGTTTCAGTTGGAATTTCCGGTTGTTTTGGATAAAAATACACTTTTGGACCATTTTCAGTGCATCCCTAATTTGTAAGTAGAGTTAATACATTTTTAAGACCTATCAAAATCGTATATAAGATATTTTATGAGATTTAAGGTAATTTTAATGCCTTAAATTCAAATTATTGGATTTTAGATGTTTTAAGACTTTTTAAGACCTTGCTGACGCTCTGTTATTGATGCTAAACAAGATGCATGCTGAATTAAGAAATTAATTTTCACCTGCAGTGCCGGGGATGGAAGATCTGATGTTACCAGGGTGTGGTTAAAGTGATAGAGAGCTAAACAAAACACTTCATCCGAGGAACCTAAGAAGAAAAAGTGCACTTAAATATGCAACATGTTTTGCCATTAACCAGCTACATGCTACAATCATTTCTAGCAGCTAAACCAACAGAGGGACATTAGGGCTATGACTTGACCACAAAGCAGTATTTTCTGGCATACCCTTAACATCTTTGTCCACATCTTTGATGATGCTGGCAAGTGTAGCCATATGTTGCTCTGTGAGAGACACACTCAGGTAGTTGCGGATGAAGTTGTTCCTGGACTTCAGCATTGAGGTGGTGATGAAGTTCAAAATGCTTGAAGCTAAACTCAGAAACTACAGAAAAAAGGGCATTTGGTTTGTCACACACAAAAGCTTTTGTAGATTGTTTTAGAGAATGAGCTACATAAAAACAATCATACTATCAAACTCTGCTTTTGTGAACATCTTAACAGCATCCCTGCTTTTAGGGAACTAAGGTTGTATGAACTGTTGTCTTAAAACCTGATGTCAATAAAACTATATTTAAAAACCCCTTACCAGTTCTGGATCTTTACGACCGGCTAAAATGTTGCCATTCTCACTTGGATTCTGCTTGCTGGGACTCTTAAGTCTGGGAGAGGTCTCCAATGGTGGGGGCGGTGGAGGGGGTGGGGGAGCGACTTTGTCTTTTGTGGGGGAAATCGTCTCTTCAAACCAAAGCCCCAGGATTGGTTCACTGTCATCATCTGCAAAATATAAATAGCTTGCATAATTTTCTTAAGAGTCTGGGGAAGAAATTACACAAGAAATGCAAGAAATTTATGAGGTGGTGTTGGTGACATCAGTAGACAAGACATGAAAGCTTTCAATTAGTTTATGACACCTATAACACTGCAGGCAGTGGACAAAGACTGCAGTAAATAGCTAACATACAGTGATGTCCTCTAGGGGAATATCCACCTTAACTGGACAGCTGAATAATTCTTTCTTGTTTTGTTTTTCCACAATATCCACTTTGTAGAAGTTTGTTCATTTATCTGCTTTCATTGCACCTTACCTCTAAATGAAATTAAACTGTTACCAACACCTAATGTTCTCAAAGTTAAGTAGCTCATGAGAATTCTCAAAACTGTCACTCAATATCCAACTAAATTTTGCACAATATAATCTGGGAAAATCTGAAATATTGTTGTGTGTCTTTTGTGATTATATAAGCATTTAAAGCATTTGAGTGTTTTCACATTGATGCAACTGTTAATGTACAAGAACACATTCAACATTCAATTTCATCAATCATCTATCCCAAGTTGTTTTTTCTGCTCTGAGCTGTTGTTCAATCGCAACCCAAAAAAATCTAATTTGGTCCGTAACACACAGTAATGGACATAAAAGGGGAAATAGAAAAGTGAAGAAATTCTGGTATTTGATCTCTTGTCTCCAAAATAGTAGTGCTGTTGTTTTTATCACAATTGGTTCTGACACCCTTTAAAAAATCTAATTTACCTTCTCCCCTTAAGTTTTCATAGTACTTCTTTGACATGAGAATGAATTAAAAAAACAATATAACAGTTGGGGGAGGGGACAAATTTAGAGGGGGTTTTCCAGTTAAATGTAACTGTTTAAAACATTTAGTATGTTCTTAAGCATGCATGCAAGTTTTGTATATGCATGTGATTGCCATGGAAAAGTCACATGAAAGTGTTCTTCTTTTACCCAGCACCCAAAACAGGGGCTACTGACAATGGAAATAAATGCTTTTAAAACTATATTCAAATGATGCACTTGAACCGAGAGGTTGCTGCAAATCTGGTCTCTCGGCATTATCTGTAATTTTTGCTAGATTTTTTTCATATTTTTGTTGTCACTTTGTTGGCTGCTGATGGATAATTCTGCTAGGCGAAGAGTTTACTCAAGAGAAGAGCTCCTTTCATTGAGGAAAAGCAAATCTGGAAAACAACATACAATTCCAGAGTACATCAAGAGGTGTTATCGTGGTTGTCGTGCTGATGCAAAGGTGAAGGCAAAGCTGAATGTTAGGAGGTGGTGATATAAACCCTTTCTTCCATCAATCATCATGGGAAACGTCAACTCTTTGCCCAACAAAAGTGATGAGCTGGAGATATTGGTGAAGACTGAGAAAGCATACCGTGAGTGCAGTTTCCTGTGTTTTACTGAAACCTGGTTGAATCAAAACAACTCGGACTCCAGTGTGGCTCTACCTGAACGGAGATGCAAGAAGAAAGGAGGAGGTCTGGCTTTGTTTGTCAACCAGAGATGGTGTAACCCTTCAAATTTGGCGAGAGTTCTTGTTTTTCTTCATATAAGAAAGCTTTTGGGCAGCTTTTGTGAATGTGCTATGCAGCAACCGGTAGCAGTGGGAAGCATGTCTGTCTTGTCTGTCAGAGTTTTGTCTTTTTAAGTTTATTATTTTAAGTTTTTAAACTTTTTAACTCGCTGATAACTATGAATTGATTGATTGATATAAAAAAAATTTAAAAAAAACGTCCCTTAGACGACTTAGAGCATATGAAGTGCTATTCTAAACATCACCAGAGTTAAATAAAACTATATGTGCTACTAGATATGGATGTCTAAGAGTGGGCTATGTGTGTAAGTAGGGCTGGACAATATGGGAAAGAGTTTATCACCATATATTTTTTTCATACCAGTCGATATCGATTTAAATCACGATATAAAAAATGAAATTTAACAGTGCTTATTGGTAGCATGTCTTTTGCAATTCAGTAAGTTACTGCATCTGTAAGGTCTTTGTGTCTCCTTAACGTTTTGTCGTAAGGAGTTGCGCTAGAGAAAGCGGAATGAATGGCCAGCTGTTTAGGATGCACAGGCGCCATGGGCTCCTCGCTCCACTCGGGGTTTGTAACCTTTTGCATTGCGCGTGCTCTGCCACGTGTCACTGCATCAGGTGATGAAAAAGATTTGAGGTATTCCCCAACTTTGCGAGAATATGTACCAGACATATTTGTAGTGCACATTACTCTGCTTCATGTCCGACCTCAAAAAATCAAAATACCTCCATACCACCAATGTTTTCATGCCAGTGTTGTGCTATGTGCTATGGTTGCGTGTAGCTGCAGCCTGCTACTACGCAGTTGTTTGCTACTTGGTTCTAATTCTTTCCATTGGCTATTCGTATAGTCTACCAAAACATGACTATCAAAAAGCATATTGACCGTGTTTTGTATCCATATTGGGGGAAATTAATTTTCAATATATATTATTATTGTTTTATCGCTCAGCCCTATCTGTAAGGAAAAGTTTATGTGCTCCTACATGTGTGCACGGGTGAAAATCTGCATCTATGTTTTTACCCAGATGCACCATGAGCTGAGTTACGCTGCTACATTCATGTTACGTTACTTTACTCGTGCTACTCGCTATATAGACCATGTATAAGCTTGAACATTACCCTTCACATTAATGGAAGAGGGTCCGACAGGATTTGATGCGCTCATTGATGACTCAAAACAATTAAAAAATAACGTTGTGTGTTGTTGTGCTCACACAGTGCGAGTAGAAATCACTAGTGGAGCATTGATATTAATGATCATGTGAAATTTTAGAAGTGGCGCACGTAATTAATAAATGTAGGGGAAACACTGATTTATATTTAATCAACTTACCACGAACAAATGAATTTGCCCAAATACGATTTGGTAGAGGATGAGATGAGACAAGGAGGTTAAAGGTGGGGTAGGCAGGGTCTGAGAAAGTGCCAGTTTTTGGGAGAAATCTTGAATGTAAACACTACCCTTCCCAACCAGTTTTTCCCTCAGCTCCTCCTCTCCCCTCAGTCTTTGCTCCAGAAAGCCCCGCCCACAAATTGACGCTCCAGCTCGCTCGTATTGTTTCAATTAAATTCATTATTTACAATGCAGATAAATACTTCAGATAATTACAAATGGGGCCCAGTCAGCATTAAAGTAAACAGCATTGGTGCTACTGCAGATGCCAACAGACTACCATCAAACACAATGTTTGCAGGACTTCTACAACCAGCCTCACAACCAACCAGGATTAAGTGACATACTCCAGGACCCGAGGTAAACATTTTAGTGGCGAAACAACACCCAGCAGGTCCCGTTTGACAAGAAACTCCTCTGTAACAGACACTTGGCTTACTTTGTTAAAGCGGCTTGTATCTGGTATTTACTTCATTTTCTTGCTTGTGTCAGCAGCTGTGGTCAAAGGAGGATTCAGACAATTGTCTGTACTTTCTGGTTGGTTTCTACTGTCCGATACTGTAGCACGCTAACGACTCATGAACAACGCGGGGGAGCAGCGTCTGCCTCACAACCAATCAGCACTAAGGAGCAGCATCTGCCTCAGAAAGAGCGGGCCGCTCAAAAATTTTAAAATGTTGACTACACAGACATAATAAAACACAGTGATATCATTATATTTCCAAAGGTCATCAATAACTAATAGCTATTGACTGATATTAAAAGCTGTTTTGTATATACACCACAGAAAAGATGCGTCTTTAACGGATTTCTGCCTACCCCAACTTTAACTGACGGGTTTTTCCACTCCGATAGTCTCAGCTGGTTTGGAATGAACGCTTTCTCATTGAATCCTAGTCCTAGTAGTTATGGCGCACAATAACTGTTATAAAAAGGGTGACACATGCAATTTTTTATACATATATATATATATATATATATTTTTTTACTTGTTAGAGCTGAAGTTGTTAAAGAGATCTGAGTCAAAATAAGTAAAAAAAATAAAAGGGTGTGACATCTTTTTTTTTTTCCTTTTGAGGTTAGAGCTGAAATTGGATTAAAATAAAAAAAAATATTGAAAAAGATTATTTTATTAACACTTATCTGCATGTCCATTTTTGGGATAAACGAGGCCAAACGAAGCTTAAAATTAAAAGGAACCAAGGGTTAAGCCAATTTCATATTTTGAGATGGTTTGCCAAAGCCTCTACATCTGTGGCTCTGCCATATTCTAGGCTATAGGGCCACAGCTCAGAGCCTAAATTGTGAGACATACAATAACAAAATGAATCTAGGACAGTGAAGAGGACACCAATTCTTTGACCTGAGGATAGAAAACAGCTGACCTGAGACACAAGCTGCGCTTGTCTTCTCCTGTCTTCTCTCTGCTGAAATAGTAGACACTGTCAACTACACTGTCATTGTGTGATGAAGGGACAAAAATTTAACTTAAACAATACTGTGTGAGCGTGCATGTGTTTACCATTTTCACTGCTGCCAAAACCTGACTGACTGATCCACTGACAGCACACCTGTTTTACTGTATCACTGATGCAGCTCAGCACTGACACTAGCTCAAACACAAACATGACTTTGCTTTCAGCACCTATCACCTAGACAGAAATCTGAGGCATACCTTAAAGACCCACTCCGATGAAAATCATGTTTTTCTTTTTGTCTATATGTTTGCATTTTAAGCATTTTCCTGATGCTAGAGGACATATGAGAAAACTAAGTGCAAAATTGCATTTCTGAGTATCTCTGCTTTCAAATTGCTGTGAACCTCTGGCAGACCCAAACGGCTGGTTCAGACACAGTGGGATTTTCCATGTCACAAATCCAAGCTCTGCTCCTGGTGCCCCACTCTGCAGGCCAGATCCCAAGAAGTTAAGAGGGCGATTGCGGAACAAATGTGTGCGGTAGCAGACTGCAATGCTCATAAGAAAGCTGATTGTGATATTCGCTTTCAAAAGAAATTAGTATCGGAGAGCTAAATAGCTTCTATATTACCTGCTACTTCTGCGGCAGCAAAAATGTTAGGCTACAAGCTAGCGTGAAGAGGAGTGTGCAGAGCAGCACTGTCTCTACCCACGACTCAGAGGCCAATTGCTGATATGCAACTGAAGCTCTGCAGAAAAAAAGCCCTTGAAAATGACACAGGTAATGTGATTTTGGCTAAAATCTTCATCGTCACAATTTAATGACCACTGAGAACACAAACAGTAAAAAAATCGATCGGAGTGGGACTTTAAAGACAGCACATATAACTTTTGGAATATTGACTTGGTTTTTCACTTATTTAAGCACTGAAAACAATTGTGTGTTTACCTTCTGGTATAAATCCATGTTATGGTTTCAAACTGTTTCTGCTAAATGAACTTTTAGGGATGCTCTGATACAGAATTTCAGGACCATAAGAGATAATTGCTTGACATTGTTATAAAACCCCTTTTCCACAGTGATAAAGATTAAAATTAAGTAAAATAAGTAAATCATAGGAAGGTCTTACTTTCTCTAGTAGGTCACACAGAGCCATCAGTCATGATTTTAGATATATATATATATATATATACACACACATATATTAGTGGTGCAACGGATCACAACACTCATGGATCGGATCGTTCCTCGGATCAAGAGTCACGGATCGGATCATTTTTCGGATCAGCAAAAAGCAGTTTTGTCTGTATATTAAACACTTAAATGGTTGAATTAAAATATATAAAAGTAGTGCATACGGCATAATATCTTCTTTTCAACATAATTATTAATGAAAAACAACTTAAAGTGCAATATATAGGCATATCTCCTTCCTTTAAAATGTAACAATGAACCAAAAATGAAGTATGTGCGCGGTGGGATATTGTAACGTGGCTCAAGCACTTTCAGCATGTTTTTAAAGCCCTCGTTTGCACAACTGAATATGGCCTCATGTCTGTAGCTATAAACACACCGATAGCGTTTGTGATAGCTTTAACCCGGTCGGATTGCGCAGGAAGAGGCTGCTTAAATGCTGCGGTGATGAGTGGTTGCTGGCCAGCTTTCGTTTTATCTCAGGTGTTGTGACATAGAATGCACCCCTGCCGTAGAATGCACCCCCTGACGGGAGCGCGGTTTAAAGTACATAACGAGGCGAAATAATCCAAGTTTTTCTTACATTGGATGGATTCAAAAGCGTTTGCCTGTAATAATTTCATTCAGGCTATTCAAAGAAGCCAAAAACAACAGCCCTTGGAATATTGCTGTCCCGAAAATATAATGCTCTCTACCTGGACAGCTTTCTGTACAGTTTATACCCAAGTACACCTCTATATTTGCATTTTTGAGACACATAAAAAGAAAATGAAAGTTTGCTGCTCCATTTGACATGTTGTCATGATCTAATACTCGTGTTTCTTTAAATATGAGATCATTATCTCCACTTTAAGAAGCTAACGAGTGGAGGGGATGCAGGGGTGCGTTCTACGGCAGGGTTGCAGTCTACGGCACAACACCTGTCATTAAAACACCCAGGTGATGTCGCTTTCAAATGCGTGAACATGCTCGATGTGTTTCCACTGTCATATGGCTTTCTTATGCCACAGTGCCTACACACCTTCGCAGTTTTGTCCACTGACCTCTTTCCTTCCTCATCATAGTTGACAGGGAAGCCAAATTTTTTTTTTCAGAAATCGAACCGCGGTTAACGTGTGTGCCGAACCGATGACGTCGACCCGAATGGATCACGGATCAATGATGATCCGTTGCACCACTACTAATCACAATAACCTAATAGTCTTATTTATTAATAACTATTTATGAATGATCACATCCTGACCAGTCATTTATCAGGCATCCCTAAAAGGTAACTGAGATAAATTTGATAATGAAATATCTCCAGATGATTACACTGTCCTTGTATTGTCAAATCCACCTAATAAAATAGTAAATTAACACTCCAATATTAATTTGTCTGAAACTGTTGTTTTGCTATTTATTTCAGATTTTATTTACATTTATTTGTATTTGTCCTGTTTCATACAGTATATGCCAATTTAGGAACCTAAAGCTGCCATGTGAGGGTATTCTCTAACATGAAATAGGCTTTCTGACATTATGATGAAATTGCTCATATAAAGAGAGACAAGATACCTTGGCTGCTATCTTCCTCTGTGCTGCTGAAATCATCCTCATAGTAGGTGTTTGAATCTGTAGACGCACTGGCATCGCTGCTGACTGAGCCCTTCCTCTGGCGTTGGAGAACACATGCCTGGTAAGAGCAAAAGCACAAAGTGCTGTGATGATGATCAAATATCTCAGGCTTTGGATTTTGTTTGGTATCACTAAGTTGTCTACTTAATAAATGACAGCTGAGTATAAAAAAGTTGCAGTCAAAATTTTTTCCCCAATATGTCTTCCAGAGTATTAACATAGTCTGTTTTGTCTTGGGTGTATCATTTGTTGTACATGTCTTAGTAATTAAAGTCAACTTTCCTGCTGTGCCAGACTGAACTGGAATACAGTATGAATTCTTAATGAAACCCTCTCAGTCTCTTAAACTTTTTCAAAGATGCAAGAATAATACAACATTAGCTGTATCACGCATCAAAGGTTTGTAAGGACAACTTTAAAGTACCTTTTTGTAGGAGGTGGATAGAAGGGTGAAGAGGAGATTTGTCAGGGGTACAGAGTCAATAAGTCTTTGAACTCTCTGGATGGAAGTGCTTTGTGCCATGATGTTGAGCTCTGCTGGTGGCCCATCACTTGCCCAACCCTACAAGAAAAGACGGGAGTCATAAAACATGGCTTTCAAGGTTTTTATGTTCTAACCATTTTTCTGGATGGTTAGAACATAAAAATCTAAGTATTTATTTAACTTTTATAAAACAAAACAAATAATTTAACATTAAATTCTTTTGTTATTCTATCGCCTCAAAGAGTCCTCCAAAGTAAAGCTTGGGTATAGCAGATGAGCTGTACTTGCTTTCTTGCAAAATTTGTTTTTGTTTTTTTTGTTCAGGTACTTAAAGGAAGCGACATGAAACAAGTTACAAGCAAAAACTAAGGTTATACAGAATAGTGGTCACAGACAGCATCGCTGATAGGCAGTAGTCATGGGGTTCGAGCTACATGTTACATGCTATTATACAAAGGTTTGCTATGAAGCAACTAATCTTTTTACTTGCTTGAAGGTAAATTTTAAATTTAAATAGCTGACTAGTCTAAAAGAAAGGCACACGTAAACTAAGCACAATTTCTTGAACACAGCTTAACACAGGCTCACACCGTCTGCATGGTAAATAATGTCAAACTGGTTTGATGAGTGTGTATAATATTAGCAGAACTAGATAAAGCTTTTTATCTACCCGCAGGTTTGTTGTCCACAAGCCCATGCTTATTACACAATATTCTGATGTAGTTAAAGAGACCTGGCGGATATCCTTCTTTATCATCATTTCCCAGATTGCCATGTGCCCATTTCCATCTGAACAGTAGAATATTACTGCCTTACTGCCGTCACCATTAGATAGGGCTCAGAAACAACATTTGGCCAGCATTTCAGGCCTACATCAGTCAAAAATTAATAAGTTGTTTAACCAACCAGTATTTCTGGTGCTGATTAACCAAAGTGATGATATACTTTGTCAGCACAAAAGGCACACCCCTACTAACATACTTTTCATATTACAGCTGTTATGAGCCCTCACTGTACAGAGGGTCTTTGTCAAGAATTACCAAAAAGATAACAAAGCTCTTCACCAAAATGATGTCATGTTGGCCAAGAGTGAAACTCTTTTTAGGTTACACTGCCCAACCCTGTTACTTGTCTGTGATGTCTCCACACAGTATCTCTTTTGCAGCACTAGTTGCAAAGCTGCAACATTTATCTAAACTAAGTGTGGCCATCAATGTTGGAATGGTTGGAGTCATTTCATTATCAAATCTATATCAGAACAAAATCTGAAATGTATTTTTTGTTGAAGACAGAAAACAAAATGCAGAGGGAACAGGCAAGACCCCAAATCACGGGATTGTGCACAATGGCATGAACTCTTTGTAACTCTATTTTCATGGGCTGTGTGTGCTTTAGCATGCTGTAATGAGTGTCATATGAGAGATGTGGTGCTATGACACACATGGATTGCTCAGGTAGGTAGTAAAAGGCATTGGCTGTAAAAAACAGAAATTTCTCTTATGTTAAAGAGAGCAAATGTTTGTTGCTTCAAATACCCGATGCAGAGCCTCGACTTGCAGATCCTGGAAAAGCGAAGTCAATAATTTGATGGCATGGTTGGCCAGGATGACAGACAAAACTCCAAACCCTTGGTGTCTTGACAGAAAAATAACACAAGGAAAAGTTATTATAACACAAATAACTCCAAGTATCAAATATTAGCTTGTTTCTTAAGACATTGAAACAATTAAGTGAAATTGTGCTGTGTATATTTGTCATTTTAATAAATAAAACTCATGGTATACCAGAAATACCAAACCTTAATGGTTTGGTATTTCTGGAGCATGATGTAAGATACAATGTCGGGATTTCGTTTTTGTAACAACTGTCCTCCTCCCTGAATTAATTCTATGCAAGGACTTGTTAAAAGATCAGGGTGAGGAAAAATGCTAAAACAAAAACAACGCTACTTTTTAAAAACATATTAAAGGGTAAAAAAAAAAATACCCTTTGCCGGGACCAAGTTTAGGCGATCCTGCGCCATCCTTAGTGCGAGCAGCAATATCCCGAACACGCAGAGCAGCCAAAGGATCTTTCTCTTTCCCTTTATCTGCCAGAGCAGTTGGGCTCAGGTTAAGAATCAGGTACAGGCTGTTTAACAGGCACCAGGCACCAAGCAGCTGGAAGTTCTGATAATGCTGTAGAACACAAAAAAAGTAAAATGAACACCTTGTTTCCCACCAAAAAACACAGAATATGTAGCCTTCGAAAGAACAGAAGTGTATCGAGAGGCACTTAAACATGGTACTCACCTCTCCTCCAGCTCTACGCGAGTTGCTGATGGCCTGTCCAATCATTTCGTAGATCTCCAACTGTTGTCAACAAAAAGACTACACTTGTTACCTTTGAAAATGAACTGTATCTTATCAAAGCATGCAGAAAGACAAGGCAGTCATTAGACAGACAGACAGACAGACAGAAAGATAGATATATAGAGATAGCTTATGAAAGATCTTTTTGGTACATTTGATGTATTGTTAAGTTGAACACTTATTGAAACAGTATGAACGTATAGTTCAAACAAAATCATACATTCATACAAAATCCCCAACAATCCCTTTTTTATTTGTGGTCTACTCACACATTTCTGAACAATTGTGGCCGCATCATTTTCATAGTCTTCCTCTTTAGTCCCAGTGGAGGCAGAGCGAAGTTGCAAGCCACTACCTACCTGCAGAATGGCCATGCAAGTAGCCACGCTTACACCTGAAGAGGTCAACACGGTCATTTTTTGTTTTTTAATCTTCCCATTTAGATTTAAACAGCACACAGAAAACAACTGTAGCCTACGAAGCAGTTTACATCATCTGACCTTTATTTCACAAACAACGTGGTCACCTACCAGCATAGAGACAACTCAAAGCCAGCACAGTCATATCCAGTAATCTCCCTGGTGTCAAGGGCTCCAGCACAGGGAGAGAAAGTGTGTCTAGAGCCATGGTCACGTCTATCACCAGTGAATGGAACCTATGGGTTTTAAAAATGGAGCTATGAATGCTTGGTGGTGGTGGTGGGGGGGGGGTTTACTGGTCATCTAAAGCGTATCACATTTAAACAGACTCTGCTGCTACTGTGCAAGATTAAAAATTAAACTTAAATAGATAAAGAAGAAAAAATACCCATTGCGAACAGCAGTGGCATCAGCCACTGTGGCTGGCATGATAAAGAAAGAGTTGGCTGATACAGCATCCTGGAAACGGTTGATGTAGCGTAGAAAGTAGGGCAGGTTGAGGCACACTCGTAGCAATTTCTCAGACCCACCTAGAAATGTGGGGGAAAATCCAATTTTAAGCAGAATTCAAGTTACTGAATTGCTAAGTAAACACGCCATATTGAAAATACTCAAGGAATTTTGAAAATGCAACTGACTGTACTATCGAAAAAGAACATACAACCGAAAGCTAACTTCAACAATCCTTTCTCTTTTGTTTCTAATTGAAAAAGCCTCTGCAACTGTATATGTGTTCAATTTGATGGTTCAATGTATCAGTTAGAGCTGAAACAGCACTGCAAAAATTCTAATCAAGATTCATAAACTTTGCACTTGGGGGAGATTTGATGGTAAGAATAATAACAACTAGCGCCCCACGGAGCACCAATGGGCCCAAACTTTGTCATGTGGCCACCCCTGTGGACCGCCTCCCCTTTTTGTTAATCTTGGGGTCCAACATAAGTGTCACTGATTACATAGGTTTGGGTCACAGTCAGGAGCAAGGGTTACATTCTGAAAATTTGTAGGGGACACTATGGAGCCATTTTTAGTTGGATCTCCATTTTGATATTGGAGCCCTTTTTGTTCATCTTGGGGTCCAACATAAGTGTCCTTTACTCCATAGGTCTAGGTTACACACAGGAGCGGGGATAACATTTTGAAATTTTGTAGGGCACTATGGAGCCATTTTTAGTTGGACCTCCATTTTGACATTGGAGCCCTGAAGAGGACTTCCCTCCTGATCTGTGTACCAAACTTTATGTGGCTGTGCATATCTATAGCAATATCACAGATTGCTATCTTTTTTTGAGATATTTCATAGTGCCTCTTAGGTGCAGTTCTTTGAAAAAAGGTGCTGATTTTATAGCCTATCTGGTACCCTTCAGGTATGTCCAGAACAAATTTCAGCTGCATCCCATCAATAAAGGAGTTACAGGCCATTAACCGCAAAACACATTCCCCTCTGCCATCAGGTATCTACAACATACAGACAAAAGTTTGGTGTCAAATTGTCCAGTGCTCGACCCTCATCAAATGAATAAAATCTAGGGGGGGCTGGAACCAGTGTACGGGGGGTTATACAGGAAACTCCCTAAGCATGAAAACTGTAGGGTGCGCAAGCAAGCCTTTTTTTTTGTATATAAAGAGGCGCGGTAAAATACGGGAATGTGAATATAAGCTGGGCCCAACCCGCCTGCCAAATTTCAGGGGTTTTTGAGCCCTTCTAGAGGGTGAAAAAGTTTTAAAGTAAATCATATTATTAATATTAATAATAATTATAAATAATTCCTGCAATTTCAATAGGGCTATTGCCTGCTGCTTGCAGCATCGGCTCAGGTCCTAAAAATGATAATAATAATAATAGTAATAATAATAATAATAATAATGATAATAATAATAATCATCATCATCATAATCATAATAATAAAAATAATCCGCAAAGGGAAGTTTGTTTGTCTGTAGTCTCAGGTTATCTACTAATTACAAAAGAAGAGAACAGTCCAATGGCTGTCAGTACAAAAGATTGTGTTTGTAAACTAACAATGTCACTACAACAAAGCCACAAGTACCTACCTAGTTCCTGTAAGCTTGACACATTCTGAGAGACAAAGGCATTTTTCATTTTGGCCTGAATGGCTTGATCTGTGGTTTGGTCATCACAATCACTTTCAGCCTATCATCAGGGAGAACAAAAACATTTAAATCAAATTCAATGACTGAGCAGCTAGTTTGTGTCTGGTAACTTAAACAGGTTGAATTATGACAAATGCAGTGATGAGCAAGAACTTTGACAACTGTGGCTGTCAGCCATTGCACAACTGATAAGCTACACTTGCCTGCAAGTGTGCTGCTGATGGGGAGGCCAAGATGGTGGTAAGGTCGGGGTTAAAAACTGAAGTCAGTTGATTAAAGAAGTTCATTTGTACTTCTTTTTGTCGAAGCTCTGGATTCACAGCACTGGGCAACTCCTTCTGATCTTCCACTGTAATGTACAATGACACATGGCACATTTACTGATAACAAGGCTTTACAGATTTTTTTGCTTGCAGGAGACCAAAAACATTATTTCTCTATGAACACTGTTTCTTTTTCAAGATATACTGTGGTTTTTTTTTTTAAATGAATGAACAATTCTTCAAGTAGAAGGTCTGTATCAGCAAAAGTTAAACATTTTTTTTATCTGGGTCATATTTGAAGGTATACCCACCATCTGACAGTGTCTTCACTGTTTGAGGCAACTTGGCAGATTTCATCATAGCAGTAAAAGTTATGATTTCTGTGCGATCTAGTCTGCTGCAACCAGTGCAAAGTCCTTTTATCAGAAGAATCAGGTGTTTCTGACAAGAAAAAAGAAAACAGTCAAAGTTTAGCTTGAGTACTCTTCGCAGTATATCAAAAATAAAAAAAAAGATATGTTAAACGCAGTATTGCAGAACTGAGACCAAATGGCTGACACAAAAAATGATGCAACATAATGTTTGTGGCAGATATCAAGTCCTTCTGCTTAAAAGTCAAAAGCAACAAATAACAGTTGAATGCAAGCTCAGGAAATGCAAGCTGCCCACGTGTATTTTTTTTCGTACCTGTGACACTGCACATGCCTCATCTGGATTCTCCAAGCGCAGCAATGAGAATTCAATCAATACCTTGCATGCTGCAGCAACCGACAACAGCTGATTTCTTGGTACTACCAATAAAGAGCACAAACTATTTAGTGGTAAGAAACATAGCCTGTAACATTAAAACATTAAAATCTTTTATTTTTTTGCAGTAGTAAAAAGAAGATACATACTCTGTCCACATACAGTGGTGATGTAATGAGCAGAGAGTGCCACAAATGATGAGTAGAAAGGCTCATACTGTTTATCATGGTGAAGGATGTCCGATTCACTGCAAAAAAAACAAGGGGATTGTCTTGCTGAATAGATATCAATATACACAGCACACATTCATACAATTCCTACTAGGAATGGGAATCGAGAACTGGTTCTTGTTGAGAACCAGTTTCGAATGGTTCAATCCATCGACATGGTTTACATTTTATCTTCTCACGGTCTCACGAGTGTGGTCTACACGAACGGGAACAGAGAGAGAGACAAAAACATGGCAGGCGGTAGGACTGGGCGATATATCGATGTAAAAAATATATTGATTAGGGATGTCCGATATTGACTTTTTACCGATATTCAATGTGCCGATATTGTCTGAACACTTTATTTCAGATTCCGATATAAACCGATACAGATATACAGTAAGAGTTTTTTTTCCCCCCAAAACTAATTTAGGTCACATTATATATCTCCTGTTGTAAAATTAAAACATTAACTACTTTTATCAGGGTGCTCTGTTAGATGCATACAAAATTAAGACACTACTTCAACTTATAGCCATATTTGAAGTTTATTTTTTAACATCCTTTTTCTTACAGATTGGATCACGCACACTTTTTAAAGCTTTCAGTTGACCAATAATGTTTTGTGTAGGACAACTTGCTACATTGAATTTACAAAAGCAAAACTTGCATTATTAATGTGGTGTGCAAAATAAAAACAATAAAAGGCACAAAGTTCAGTCCAGACTTTTGAGATTAGTAAAGAAAGTTCTCCATTTGTCAAAGTCCAGTAGGCCTAAATAATGAAAGATGGGCCTACGTAACTGTCCATCACTTGGCTAGAACAATCATTGAAATTAGAAACTGGGCTCATTCGGCCCTCCTGTTAATATGAGTAAAAAATGTAAAAAAAGGCAACATAATAAAAACAGCTTAAACTGAAAAAAGTAAACATAAGCCTTTCTTAAAGTGCAACAAATGAGGCTGAAAGACCGATGCTGGCTTGTTTGGTGTGGACTGCTCAACTTCTGGTTTGTACTGATGTGTGAGAGGTAGATTTTTCTGAATGAAAATAAGCATCTCAGCATTGTCACAGTGTATATGATTCCTCTTCTCATCTATGACATGTGAGACAGCACTGAACAGCCGTTCGCTGTCTACACACTCGTGCAGGGTGCCGTGAGGTACTTGCGTGCAACATTGGCAAGAGCAGGAAAGCGGGTCTGGCTGCTCTTCCAGTAGTTCAAAGGGCATTCTTTCTTGAGGATGGTGACCTCTCCCAAGAATGTATGCACCTAAAGAAAAAGTAAACACAAAAATGGAATTTTATTAGTTTTTCTTCAGAGCACTTACAGCTATGTGTTTTTATTTTCATTTTATGCGTACAATTAGTGAATGAAAATAGTTTGTTCATATGTTTATTATTTACTAACCTGCAAAGCTGTTTCACCAGTAGCTGCTTGTTTGATGTTATCATTCTCTGCGAGGATTTCTTTGTACATGTCCTGCAGGCTTTCATTTCTTGCCTTCTTTGGTGGTGGCCTCTCATCCTTCTGGCTTGGGTCACTTCCATTGGCACCAGCAGCCTTCTCCTCATGGTCAGACTCACTACCACCTCCAGCCATTTCATCCACAACGTTCAGCAACATGTTAAGTGCTTCTTCCCTCTTATCAGAGTTAAAGTAACAATCTTTTTATCCAGCATCAACCATTGTTGCAATGGCATACAGTGGTTCATCTTGCACACCATTAAAGCGACTGCAGACAGCTTCCAGCAGGCTGCGTTTGGCTGTTTGCACACCGTTTTCAGATTCATCTACCCTGGCCAGCAGTCGTTTGAGGGACATCACAGCAGGAATGACTTCTGCAGCAGTTGCCTCTGCAGAGCTGATGTCTTTGGTTAGCTGCTCAAAGGGCTCCAGAAGGTTGATCATCTTCTCAAAAATCCCCCAGTGACTTCCATTTAATGTTGCAGGGAGTTAAAAATCAGTGGCATACACATTCAATGCCCTCTTCTGCTCCACCAGGCTTTGTATCATGTAGTACGTGGAATTCCACCTTGTGGACACATCCTGTTGCAACTTTTTCACTGGTATGTTGAGTTCTTTTTGAATGTTTTCTAAACGACTGCAAGCAAGTGGCGAGTGTTTAAAATGACCTATCACTCACCTCCCCATAGCCAGAGCATCTGCTATGTTGCGCTGAGACAGAGCACCTCCGTTCACTGCCAGCTGCAGGGTGTTGGCCATACAGGGCAGGCTTGGTACACCGAACTCCGTCGTGGCTTTGGCCATGTTGCGTGCATTGTCCCTCACAACTACATGCACCCATTCCTTTGGGATTTTCCACCTGTCAAACATCTTTTCAAAAGCACACACGGTTGCCTGCGCTGTGTGAGATCCACGACACTCCTGAGAGTGAACCACAGCCTTGTTAAGAGCAAAGTCTGCATCTAACCATTGTGCAGTTAAGCACAGCATACTGACCTGGCTAACGCTGGAAGACCAAATGTCTGTTGTGAAGCTAATTGCAACAGCATCTGAAATTAGCTTCTAGACTCGTCCATGAACAGAACTGTATAATTTGGGGAGGCAAACATCCAATGAATACTTTCGAGTCGGCATGGAAAATCGTGATTCAAGGAAGTCGACTAGTTCGCTGAATACCCTGTCTTGCACTATTGAAAAAAGCTGGTTGTCCAGGGCAATGCACTGCATAATTTTCTGCGTGATAGCTTTTTGTCTAGGGTGTTCCTTACTGTATTTATTTTTTCTTTCCGCTGACTCTTTTAGTGAGAGTTGGGTTGTTTTTTTCATAGCATCCTCCTTTCCTTGGGTTTCCTCTTTCATTCACTGCACAAACACTTCGTGTGCCTAGGGGTGCTTGTTTCTGATGTGAGTGTTGTAAGACAAAGTCTTATTCCCCCCTTACATGACAAGTGCCTTGCAGTTTTTACAAACAGCATATCTTTTATCTGCCGGTAAAACTTCCAGACCCCAGACATTTTCGAGCGACGAGCGAGCAGGTTCGTTATCCACTAGTCGCATGCTGTTGTAGCCGCTGATGGCACGGCTTGATGAGGTCATCAAGCGCGCCGCACCAGTCTCAGAACCTCACAAGCATTTAAGGACAGGCACAACCCGGGCTTTCAATGATCGGTTTTTATTATCGGGCCAAAACCCGATGCCGATATGAACAGATATTACATAAATGTGCCAATATCGGGCCGATATTATCGGTCGGCAGATATTATCGGACATCCCTAATATCGATATATTTTTAAATGAGATATGGAATTGGACCATATCGCATATACGGATATACAGATATCAGATGCTGTTGTTGACAGGCTGGTGTTCCTCGCACAAAATCTTTAACCCATTTAAACCGGGACAGCATGTCCGCATTTCAACCTTCCAAGCCAGGAGCAAGGCTGCTCATTTCTACTCGGAAAGCCGGGTGCATGTAGGTATTTCAACCCTTCAAGCCAGGAGAAGCTTGTCGCATTTCAACCTTCTGAGCCGGTGTTGTGCCATAGAATGCACCCCTGTCGAAGAATGCATCCCATCCGCTCATTAGCTTCTTAAAGTGGAAGAGATATGATCTGATATTTTAAAAAACATGAGTATTGGATCATGACAACATGTCAAATGGAGCAGCAAACATTTGTTCTGTTTTTATGTCTCTCAAAAATGCACATATAGAGGTGTACTTGGGCAAATAAACTGTACAGTAAGCTGTCAAGGTAGAGAACATTATATTTTCGGGACAGCAAATATTTCGTATCAGAGGACTATTGTTTTTGGCTTATCTGAATACTCTGAATGAAATCATTTAAGGCACACGCTTTTGAATCCACCCAATGGTAAGGAAAACCTGGATTATTTCGCCTCATTATGTACTTTCAACCGCGCTCCCATCAGGGGTGCATTCTACGGCCCAACACTGGCAGCGCCACTGCGTATTTCTGCCCTTTGAGCCGGGAGTGCAGATACATCATTTCGTAACATTCTGTAGTTTTTCAATCATTTCTGGCGAATTGTGGCATGGTGAATCAAATCATCATACCCGTCTGCCTCTGATAGGCTAATAAAGCTTGATAAAGCGATCAGATTCATGCTCAGATCTTGCTACGTGCTTCATGAGGAAAGTAAACAATGACAGAGGGAGAGAGCAGCTTCGGAGGAGAAACATCCAGCAGGGCGAACAACCTCTTCATATTGAGTGCTTTAGCTCTCACTGTCGGCGTTTTCTGTGAGTGTTGCATGTCTTTGGGTGAGCACAAAGATGAACACACTGTCACTATACGAGGGCAGCTGCATACCCTTTCAACGCTGGATGGACACTTTATCATGACTGCCACTTGTTTTACAGAAAGCAAATTATTTGTTACTCTCCATTGCAGAGCCTTTACTTTTATTTAAAGCCGCTTGACTTCATTTGAGCTTGTTTGTTCAAGGTTTTCAATAATGTGATTAAGGTTCCGAAAAATAAGGGATAGTTATCTTTAAAGCCACACGTGTGAGCTCTCAAATACATTTTGAATTTTGTTTCTATCTGCTACAGAGGCCGAGATATCAGCTTTTTTGTAAACCTCAACACTTGAAAAAACCTCAGGATCTGGGAGCCCTTCTCAGAATTGCCCTCAGGATTTCAGAGGCGTATCTCAGACAGGGTTCAGGTCTTAATGGGTTAAATAAAGAGGGACACACTTGTCTGTCCTCTTGTGTCAATCTGAAGACAGCAGTAACTGTTTATCACAGTAAATAAGAAAGGGGGAAATATTTCCTGAGTTCATAATCTGTCATAGTCTTGTGCAACTGGTTGAGACTGTTAGGAAGATAAGAAAGACAGATAGGTAATCTCAAAATGATTTTTAAAAACTATTTTCTTAAACTGAGCACTTTATTTTGTTCTGTCTTTAAAGATGTAAGTGCTGCCCTTACTAGGGTTTGTCATATTTAATTATTTTGTAGTGTTCATGTTTACATCTGTGGATTTGTTAGAGAGAAGAAGAAAATCTGCTATTTGATTTTAACATGTTATTTATAGTTGTCAAAATGTTGATGCTTTTCTCATATAAATAAATTTATTTCAGAAAAAGATTGGCCTATTTTACTTCATGGGCTATTTTTATTTAAGATATATTTTTCATTTAAATGTGTACCCTATGGAGCTCCAACTAAAAAAAAAGGTACTCCTGTGGTCATACAGTATTTATGTTTACATTTTATTGTTCTTTGAACAGCTGAGCATAATTTCATCCAGCTAGTTTAAATAGAACTACTTTTGACATGTCATCTTTGGCATTTGCTCTCACTTGGCGATAACAATATCAGGATATATATCGTATATCGATATTCAGCCTAAATATATCTGGATATGAGTTTAGGTTCATATCGCCCAGCCCTAGAAGGTGGGTACAAAAAGTAGGCAGAAACAATCTAAAGTGTGGCTTAATTTTAGGAAGAAAGATGACAACAGTGCAACATTTGTTGAGCAGTGATAACATGCAAAGGTGGAAACACCAGCAACATGCTTAAACACTTGTCAAAGGGGGACGGTATCACGGTATCATGGTATTCGATGCTTTCTGCCGGTTGTCAGCCGCTGCTGCTCTGTCTCAGCACGGCACTGAAGGTACGCACAGGTTGACCATACGTCCTCTTCTACCCGGACATGTCCTCTTTTGGGGGGTTGTCTTTCATCACAAAACTGGGCAGTGCATCAGTGCTCTCTACAGCTCTGCCCCTCTGCTCACTTCTAAGCAAAGCCACTGACGCAACACACACATGCACTGTCTGAGTGAGAAGTGCATAAAAACACTCGACCCAACACAAAAACACCCTTGGAATTTCCGCCCCCCAAAGTCGTGTCCTCTTTTGGGGGCTTCAGAATATGGTCAACCTATCATCTGTCCGTACCTGCCAACACTTCTGTTTTCCCGGGACTCTCCCATATTTCAGACCTATTTCCCACCCACCTCCCGTATTGTCATTTCTCCCGGGAATCTCCCGTAGTTTGCATGGTCCACATTCATTCACGAATCGGATCACTATGTTTGTCCAAAGCTGCCAGTTTTCCAGACAACCGAAGATTGTCCTGTGTTTCTGCTGAGCCTCACAGACACAGAAGTGATACTTTTACTTGACAATTTGGGATGATTCGGGTTAGTTTAAACTGTAAACTATATTTAAGCAGTGTTCGCTGCAAAATTAACACTTTAGTGAAATGGAAACAAACATTGAAAGTCTTGCACTGTCTCAGAGTGATGCGTTCAGGGCAGCCTCAGATAAAAGGGTGCTGTAATGCACTCATGGATGTTCAGAGAGCCTCATACGGGAGAGCATGTAAAACATATGAGGACTTTAACATTAATATTAGAACTAATTAAGTTCAGGGCAAATTGTACCTATTATTTTTTTATTACCATTTGTTATGTTAAAACAAAACAAAAAAGTGTGCAGCTTCACTTATTACTATTCAGATGAGCAATCTAAATACAAATACTCTCATAAGTAGCTCATACCCACCATACAAGTTAACCCCAAAACTGCCCGGCACGCTCCACAAAAATCTTCCGGATTCCGGCCAACGCCCCCAGGTGCCGAGAACAATGCGCAGAGTGAGACCTCTTCTCTCATCCAGCGTGTTTGGTAGCGAGAGAGGAGGAAAACAAACGCACGTCAATTATCGAGGCTGGCAAAGTTATCGACCTCGTTTTTATTTATCGAGCGATAAGGCGATTTATTGATTATCGCGACAGGCCTAGCGGCAGTGTATTCCTTATATTTGCTAAACAAGCCTGGGTGCTTCTTTTCCAAGTGGCGTATTAAGTTTGTTGTTCCAAATGTCTTAGGCGTTGATCCTCCACGGCTGACTTTTGACTTGCAAGCATTACAAACAGCGTGTTTTTGGTCGCTCTGGCACACAGTGTCAAATCACCGACATGTTTTCCTCCTGAGTCTTGCTAATTTTTAGCAGTTTTGCTCGGAGCTGATACGCACCGCGCATGCGGGTCAGTTTGCTCGGGGAAAACCGGCAAATTACGAAAGTGACCGGCCGGTTGGATATAAAACCGGCTTTTTAAATCGGCGGCCGATTAATCGGTGCATCTCTAATATTATTGTTATTATTTCCTTTCTCTTTGATTTCTCTTTATTTCTGTGAACAGATGTCACTTTTTAATGTCTTGTGCAATATGTGTACCAAAATCCTGCACTGTTTTAAGTTATTCAAAACTGTTATAAATTATTAAAATTTTTAATTACAAATGGAAAAGACTCTGTTTAGTACTCAGGTGAAAGAAACAAAGCGCTCCTAAATCCATGTTACACCAATCTTATTACCCATCTGCTGGCAAAATAGTGCAGAACTAGTAAACAATCAAAATATTAATTTATATGATAATAAGAATGCATCTACTGCTATTTATCTCGGCCCCCAAATAGGATTTTATTCATACAATTTAGAAATCTATCATAACAAAATGAAACTAAGTGGCCTGGAGGAATTGAGACTGCTGTAGCTGGTAAAAAGTCTCAATAAAATTAAACTCTCATACAACAGAGGAAGATCTTCACTTCAGTGTCAGGAGGGATCCTCTGATGTCTCCATGAAACGGGAGTGTCAAGTAACAACCTGGCAACTGTGTTAGAGCTGGTTGTCAAGTCACCTCAGTGTTTATGCACTATGTGCTTACAGCGAGAAACTTACTTATGTTGCCCAGTTTTACAAGAAAATGTACGATCCCAGAAAACACTACACAAACCCGCAGAGATAATTGCCCACCCTAACCCATTTTAACAGCGACTGACGAGTTATGATAGAAACCGCGGCAAAGTAACTACAAACAATCTCATCAAATATGACTCCTGGGTTAATCCAGAGTCCCCGCCTACTTCCAGCTCTACCACAGACATATCAGAGAAAACCTATAGCAATCTGTCATTCAACGGTAATAAATGTCCAAACGGTGGGTGGTCACGCACAACTTTGACCGAGTAGGACAAGTTAAGTATAAAAACTAAACATATTGGAACAACATGCCATTGACGTAATCAAAAACTACAGAAGCCAGGCCAATTTAGCGTTACGTTTTCCAATCCATCTTGAAGGCCCAGTTGTAAGCTAGCTAATGTTTGTGTTAGCTAGCTAATGATGAAGCAAATTTTCACAACGTTACGGTACAATTTCTGTTTCGATTTAGTCAGCACTGACAACAACAGACATATCAACACCCATTAGTCTTTAGCTGTACCTTGTTACAATCACTTTGAATGAACAGTAATGACATTCGTATCTACATTAAGACAAAGTTAGCCAACAGTTGGCCTATTAGCTAGCCGCTAACCGCCATCGAAACTGTCCGGCGAGGATAAGGTAGCATTTTAGCTTTTCTGCTAACTCCTCGGTGGGCACAACCCCATTAGAAGTTAAATGAGACCCGAAATGCATTGACGATTGACCAGTTACCTGTTAATTATAGATCCAATAAGCTGAGGTAGCTCTTTCGTTTCAAAAGCGGTGTACGACGCTGATAGAAGCGGTCGGACTGCTGCTGTCCATTCGTGCTCCCCATCGCCTCCGCTCGACGCCATCTTGAAATCGCTCAACAGCGACCTGCTCCGGGAAGACAAATAAAAACTCGACCCACAGGGGGCGCTCCAATCCCAATACTAAGCGAACACCACCATTAGAAATCGATAAGAAAGGCGTGTATATATTTATCTATGGGCGGTCATTGCAAAACACAGGAAGTATCGGCAGAGCTTCTACACGGCTTCTCAATACCGTAACTCCTAGAAAGTTTGCTCGATCTGAAAAATTCCAAAGGTGACAGACAGCTGAGAATATGTGCTTTCTGTCAATATATGATGTATGGTAAGGGCTATTTCAAGGTAATCTTTAACAGTACCACCATAACTGCAATTTTGACAGGGGCAGAAGGGAGAAAAGTAGAGTGGAAAAAGAGACTGAAGTAAAACAGAGTAAGCAAAATAGTGTTTTTTTTCCCCAAAAAATACAGTAATATCTATTAGTAAATAGTAGTAAATATATAGTAATATATGAGACGGCCGCTATGGTACGTAGAGGAGGAGGAGGAGGAAGGCTATTCAGAGGAGAGTAATTTGGAGGGTGCTTCTTCTGAACTTGAGGTGTGTTCAGATGAAGCAAACTGTGCATCATTTGCACACTCAGAGTTCGAGAGTCAAAAAATTGACTGTTTCTGATTCTAAACATGTATAGGTTGACATTTCAAATGTGAAATCAAAGCTTCATGAGCAATTACAAAATGTACTCTCATAAAAGTCGTGAAAAACAAACTAGTTTTTTTCTTCTGGGCATTTTCAAGCAAGAAAATGGAGCATCATACAATGTTGTTTCTGTCATACATGATGTACACACTACTTTTTCTGCAGATGAGATGCACGATGCTCCTCTTCTCTGGTGTTTTTGTTCCACAGTTATGGGGGTGTGGTGCACGCGCACATGCATTGTCCGATCATACTCCAACTATGCTGGTTATGTGGTAGAGAAAATTCCAATCGCATTATCTGGGTGTCTTAATCAGAGTTCTCTGACTCCAATCGGAGTTCTCAAACTCTGATTATAGTCGGACTAAACTGTTTATAATTTAATTTGATGCCGTTTCAGCTGTGTTGATTCGGTCAGGTTGTGTGTCCAAACGCGTGCCAAACGTGCTCATCAGATCAGATATAGATCAGAATATATCTATATAGATCTAAATGTATGTGCTGACTCAGATTAATAGTTGTTGATGATTATTTATTGCACTAAAATGTGCCTGACACTGTGGAAACCTGCCGGTGAGGCATCAGTGACGTATGTCGATACGCCGCCGGTCTACCAAAATACCACTAGACCAGCTGCGCGCCGCCATGCGCTGAAAGCTGACCAGGTTTGAATCGGCGAGCTTTCAGCGCACTTTACACGCCGGTGGCAAGCACGAAAATGTCACTGCGCCTGCTGATTCTGTCGACACCTCCCCCTGCCACGCCACCACGCCCAGCTTGGCGGATCTCGGCTCGCCTCCATGTGGCTCAGTCCACGAAAATACCAAACTGGCCTTACGCCGGGCTCCGCCAGACGAAAATACAACTGCGCGGGGCTCGCCGCCCTCCGCCGCCTCACCGGCGCGCACGAAAATAGAGCCCGTAGTGTTAAAATAAGGGACACCTTCATAGCTTTAAAGAACTGTCAGTCATCATAAAATTCAACAAAATAAACTAAAAAGGCATAATAGTTAGACCTATTTTTAAGTGCTCTAATAGGCCTGAGTAACCAAAAAATCCTATGAATTATATTTGAACCTATTTAAAAAGTTACAAAAACAGTTGAAATAAAGTTAAAAGAAATGTCTTATGTACAACCTTTAAAATGAAGAGTTCAATAATGTTCCACTGAAATATGTTTTCATGTTGTTTCATCAAGTGTGTGTTTTCTATCACAATATTTAAAATTTCATAATAGTTTTGACAGGGAAAAATTCACAAAGTGTAATCGAAACACTGTCCTTTTGTGGAAGTCAGTTTTTTTATCAAACTGAAAACAGAGGATTTTCTTATTTAATCCTGAAAAAGTCTTTTCCCCAATAAAATAAAATGATGGGTGGGGCTTTGGAGGGCGGTAGATGGTGACAATGACCAGAGGGGTGGGGCGAGGGAGTTTGACAGAAATGTGTTCAAATGAGTGGACAGACGGGGTGGGGATGGGGGTGGTCTTGAGGGTCTGCTTGTGGATGAATGCGACGCCACCGCCTCGTCCAGTGAGGCGGGGTTGGTGCAGATAGGAGTAACCGGGGGGCGAGGCTTAGTTTAGTGGGAAGAGATCGAGATGGTTGTGCCAGGTTTCGGTTAAACAGAGGAAGTCCAGGTTATTGTCTGTTAAAAAGTCAGCCATGATGTGTCCTTTGTTGTTGAGAGAGCAGGTGTTTTGAAGGGCCACCTTTAGGGGAGGGGGCTGTGTGGTGGGCAGTGAGGCAGGGGGAAGGCAGTGGAGGTTTGTTTGATTTCTTGTCCTTTGTTTTGCATGCATGGGATTTGAGCAGGAGGATCTAGTAGTTGTGATTGTTTGAATGAAAAAGATGTGGCGAGATCCTGGTGAGATGACAGAATGGCAGAGAGTCTCCGTGATTGGAGGGTGCAGTTACTGTTTGGGTCGGGAGGGGGAGCTTGCTGTAGTGGAGGCGATGGGATTGGTGTGCAGTACCAGTTGGGGCCTGTTGGGGGAGCCGGTGGTGGGGATGGCGAGGGCGAGGGTCTCGGAGGGGGGGCTCTGGAGGGCGCTGTTTCCAGGTGGGGTAGTGACAGGCAAGGAAGAAGAGGATGACAGGGAGAGTGTAAACAATGCTAGTCAGTTGGTGTGTATATGGTGTTGGATATTAGCGGTTAGTGTGTAATAGCCCAGTTTGTTTGGGTGAAGTCCCTCATGGGAGAAAAATGGGGATCGGTTCCAGAACAGATTAAAATTGTCAATGAAGTGGGTGGAGGAGGTGCTGCAGAGTGATCAAAGCTAGGAGTTCAGGCTGAGGAGGTGGCTAAAACGATCAATGCTACGTGTTAGCGTTGGTAGCGGACCACTTATAAAAACAGATTTGCCGCTGCACTGAAGGATGTGGAGAAGTGATTTGAAGTCCCTTTTGGTCAGTTCAGATTGTTTGTGAGCCGTGTCGTTGGTGCCGACGTGAACAATGATGCAGTGGATAGAGGGAGGGAGTGACTGGAGAAGACCGGGGAGTTTTGTCGTGATGTCGGCGACAGTTGCACTGGGGAAAGAACGAATGATGTCGTTGAAAAAACGGATACCTCGTGTGATACTGTCATAGACGATCAAGGTGGTGGGTGGGAACAGCGGCGGGGGTTGCATGGCTCCTGTACCCGAAGTAGAGCTGATGGCCGGGCTGCGAGGACTCGGCGGTGCGGTGGACGCCTGCGGCAGCGGGGATGGTCTGCCATTTCGGTCCGGGGCGGCGGTGGCGGGCCCGGCGGAGTTCCGTCGGACTGCCTCTCGAAGAGAACTCCTGTGGGCGGCCGAGGACGTGGTCCGGCTCTCAGAGCGGTGGTCCAGGCGGAGACCGAGCACGACCAGGCACCGACAGAGAGGGGTCCCTTCCGCCAGGCCACTCGGGAATCCCTCTGCACGCCGGCAGGGAGGTGTTCTTCGCACCAGCGCCCGGTGACGCCTGGGAGCTGGTCGCCAGAAGATCGTCCGGCCGGCACGCCATGGAGACATCGGTGGACGAGGACGAAGGTCCTGGGGGCTTCGCCGGGTGGCCGTGTAGGAGCCATGGGAGCTCCGGCAGCCGCTGTAGAGGATGCCACCACGTCACCGCGGAGAGGGGACTGGTTCGGACTGGTGCTGTCGGGCTTAGGAGGATGCATAAGGGCCTCGAAGCGGTTAGAGAGGGCCAACCGGACTGTGGAGGCATCGTTGGAGTGATCCGTCCCACTGCCGGCGAGAATCTCGGACCGGAGCAGTGGATTGCTCGGCGTGGAGCTTGAGGTAGGCCCGGCATGGTTCCAGGGGATGGTGTTGTTGGTTTTCCTAGTTCGAGTTATCACTTCAGTCCAGGTTGAGTCCTGGTTGGGTGCTGTGGTGGATGGCGGTCGGGATGAGTTCTTTGGGCTGTGAGGCTTCCAGGGTAGCGTGTCCTGGAGGGTAGCTTGGAGGGAAAACAGGTGGAGGGATTGCTGGTGGGCCACATCCATACATGTGTAGATTTTGATTTAAGTTCCTTGGACAGTTTTTGGATACGGAGTTTGAGTGTGGTAATTGTTTGATTTGCCTCGTGAAGGGCTTTGGTCTTCGCTAGGAGTAGGGACTCGCTCGCTCTCTCGCTCATGCTCGCTTGTTTTATGACTTTATTCTCCTAAATTTACAACTTTAATCTCCAAATCTTAAAAGAAAAAAAAAACTCAATGTTGTCCTGATACTCTGCTGTAGTTTTGTCAGCTTTCTCATTTCTAATGTTTTTGATTGTTGAAACAGAGCGGATCAGTTGTCTCTAAATCTATAATGTTTGGTTTGCAGATTTTAGTGAGTTCAGAGATCATGCGCTCATACAGCCTGAGCTGACTGTCTGCTGTTTTTGGATTTCTTGTATTTTCTTTAAAGACGCGCTGTGTCTCCAAGCAAGTCCAGCCTCTCACCTGAAATGCGCAGCTGTGCAGCGGCACGCAAAGAATTCTGGGATACCAACGGCACGAAAGCGTGCATAAATGCACGCTTGAAAAAGAGGCGGGGGCAGTGTGGTTTTGAGACCAAATTGAAAGCGCGCTTAGCATTTTGTGCCAAACGGGACACCGTTCGTGCCACGTGATGACCTCACGCCCGCTTCAAATGTGCCGTTCGACGGTTGCAGTATCTGAAATGGGACACAGGAAGGGTACATAACGGCGCATAATGGCACAAAACGGCAGTGCACTCAGCTAAGGGCGCTTAAGCGCACTTATCCCGATGCGGTCTCTGAAATGAGACACAGCCAATGACTACAGACCAGTGGCCCTCACTTCACACATCATGAAAACCCTGGAGCGGCTGATTCTACGCCTTCTGAGGTCGGAGGTCAAAGACAAACTGGACTCCCTGCGGTTTGCATACAAAGAACACATTGGAGTGGATGATGCTGTCCTCTACATGCTTCACCATGCCCTGTCTCATCTGGAGGAACCTGGGGTTTATGTGAAGATCATGTTCTTTGACTTTTCAAGTGCATTCAACACCATCCAACCCACCATACTCAAAGACAAGTTCACAGAGATGGGAGTGGATCCTGTCTGTGTGTCCTGGATCGCAGATTACCTGACAGGAAGGCCACAGTTTGTCAGGCTGGGGAACTGTGTTTCTGGGACATTAATGAGCAGTACAGGGGCTCCACAAGGGACAGTGCTGGCGCCTTTCCTGTTTACACTATATATGTCAGACTTCAAATACAGCACTGAGTCCTGCCACATCCAGAAATACTCAGATGACACTGCTATCATGGCATGTATCAGAAATGGACAAGAAGCTGAATACAGAGATCTAATAAGAGCCTTCAGTGACTGGAGTCACAAAAAACTGCCTCCTCCTCAACACCTCAAAGACAAAGGAGTGTAGCAATCAAGACAACCCTGGGTGTGAATCTCACACATTCCTCACAGGAAAGTTCCTTATCTGGTCCCAGGAAACAGGATATAAATCTTTCCAGACTTGTTTACACTTTCAGGTTGCCTAAGTGACCCAACCGGAGGTTGACTAAACCTCTGACTCTTCATGATTGGTCGATTCGGAGAACAGAGACAGAGTTTTTATTACCTTTCAAACTGACTCCATTACTGACCATCTAAATAAACATTAACGTCTCAACCCAGATCTCCCATTTGAGATTTACCTTCTTAAAGTGTGTGAACATACGGACCCCAGGATAAGGGGGGACACTGACCTCCAGACCTCGGTCGTAAAACCCTGTTCGACCATACACTGATAAAGACTACATTCCTTTGGTGAAAGAATACAAGTGACTGATCCTGACATCTTATGCATTCAGCATTGTACTAATCTGTCTAATCATGAAATATGTGTTAAAATGAGATGTTTCCCGTTTTTCTAGGTGCTTCAGAAGCTGAGTTATCACTGTGACAGAATAAATCCTTATTCTTTAGTTTCTTTAGACCAACAGCTTTTCAGACTGTTTCATGAACTTTTAAGAGTTAAATTTATTGACTGTGACTCATAACTTTACTCTAAAGTAACAGAAATGGTTTAGAAATGTTTGGTTTATATTTTAGTTGTTTATTTAGTATTTTAACCATTAGGTGGTTATAATGTCATTGAATAACCTGAATGTGAGTATTTAGAATCCATTATTAATCATGATGACGTTCATTCACATGTATTTACTCTTTTGTTGTTCACAGTTTCCATGTGTTACTATCTGTTTCATTTCAGAGTAATTTAGCATGTTCAATGTGATACTTAAAACATAATGAGAATGTTGATGTGATCCTACACTTCATTCATATGTGTTTAGTATCAAATTATTTATCATGAAACCAAGCATTCAATGATATTAATCATAGTGATGTGAGTATCAGATCTGACTCTTTTGCCAGCCAAAAGAATAAGTTAGATCAAATAATCAAAGACCACACGACCCTCCTCTGTCTCCTCACACACACGCCGGAGCCACTCCCAGTGTGAGAAGATAAAACCAGTGAAGTCGGGTTGCTCACTCTCTTCTGCTGACTCTCTTGTCCCCGGCTCTTATGCCCCTTCTCTTCTGCCCACACCCTTCTGTGGTGCGTTTCTTTGTTTTCTCTTAGAACTTTTCTTAGTCTTCTAAGTTTTACGCCACGTGTTGATTCACGTTGATTTTCTTTAACATCGTCTTAGTTCAAGTTTTGAAACTTCAACTTTTTGTGCGCATAGCAATTCAAGATTAAGCCTTTGATTGATTTTTCTTTAATTTCGAGAAGCCATTTTTGAAAGTTTTCTCTGCTCGAGTCATTATTTTTCTAAGTTACTGTCTGTTAGTGTTCTTCCAGAAGTGGAGTCCCTGAAATTAGAATTTCGACTTAAGATATGAGACTGATTAATTAAGACTGATTAATTAAAACTGACTTGATGTTTGATTTCTGAATTAAACTTTTGTTTTCTTTATTTTCCCACCATTAAGGGTGGGTGGTGCCCCTTTTAACGAGTGCATAAATGTCATAATTTGAGATTATTAATCTTCAGACATTTATTATAAATTCCAATCGCTGCAGTATTATTTTGGTGCGACCGTGTGAGGCTCATTTCAAATCGCTACATATATTTTGGTGCGACCGTGTGAGGCTCATTTCAAATCACTACATATATTTTGGAGCCCCTGCGTGAGGCGTTTCAAACAAAACTTCTGGATACTAACAGACAACCTAAAACTTAGCCTTCCAAATTGATGCGAGAAACTTATTTCCAGGCTATTTTAGACTTAATCACAATCAATGCTATGCTTGCTGAAGTTGCTTGACTAAGTTCTGATGTTTTCATGATCTATGCATAAAACCTTTATGCTCTGTGTTTCACACACTCTTGTACTACATGCCTGTAGTCTGTGTTTGAGCTGGACAGCGTGAAATGTTGTTCTGAGTAGCAGTGAGACTGACTCCTCTGCTCTGTCTAGACTGTCCAATATTTAAGTGCACGATTGTGGCGTCGCCGTACGCTTGTATTTAAGGCCTTTGGCTGAACCCAGTGTTCGCGATGCTCCGAGCTGTGGTTTCAAGCCCCTGAAGTCTCTGTAGTCTGCTACGAGGTTCTAGTAACTATATGGGATTCAGATTTCCTCCTTTCCCCTGACAGATTAGCTACCTGTCACAGGAAACCACTGTAACAGTGGGAGGTTGTTGTTTGATTGAATTCAGACAAAATTTGTGTTCACAAATCGCCGCATTTGTGATTTTAAAGTCTGCAGTTGAATCTGCTGTTGAGGGATTTGTCACTTTGATTCTTGTCTCTATAGTCTGCTACGAAGTTCTAGTAACTATATGGGATTCAGATTTCCTCCTTTCCCCTGACAGATTAACTACCTGTCACAGGAAACCACTGTAACAGTGGGAGGTTGTTGTTTGAATGAATTCAGACAAAATTTGTGATCACAAATCGCCGCATTTGTGATTTTAAAGTCTGCAGTTGAATCTGCTGTTTAAGAATTTGTCACTTTGATTCTTGTTCCTGTAAATGATTTTATTGAACCAATCTGCCTGAGCAGATGGTGTAAAGTTCTATGTTTGAGGGTGCAGACACAGCTGCTGTGAAATGTTAACCCTTTGTTGTCAGTGGAGAGACTGACCATTTGGCCTTAAGCAGATAAGGCCCTTCAAGGAGGCAGAGCCTAAAGGCCCCTTCCTGCACACTTCCCAACTCCTCACAGCCACAAGAGGCTAGTTGGATGACTGTTTCCGCTTCTCTTCTTCTTCTCCACTTGTGTTGAGCTTGTGCAGTTACCCCAACTCCATACTGCCCCACATGGTTGTTTTTGGTATTGAGCTAACACTGCTATTATCTGCCTGCAGTATCAGCCAGCTGTACTGCCTCTCTGTAGTCAGTGTGTAACACTCTACAGACATAACTCAAGTGATTGACTTGGTTGATGAAGTTTGATGTGCTTATTCTAAATCATTGATCATTGATTTTTGATTTTTATCTTTGTTATAAGAGCCTACATAATGTATTGATAAAGTAACTCCTTGAATCAATCACCTGATCTGTTGTTACTTATCACACCATTGAGCAGTTTTACTGTTCCCTATAATACATGAATGTATTAACCCTCCTCATAAGATTAATTAATTAATGAACAAATTAATTAATATTTGAAATCTATTTTACCATTTCAGATGAATTGGGTAGTTGAATCTTTGGCTTTATTGCGATTTGTGAATTAACTTCAGAGTTAATTCCTTAAATTGACAATTTCATTGGTTTCAGATTCATCCAACTGCATCAGGCAGTTTATTTAAGCTTTGCTGATCTCTGCAACACGGAGACAATTTGAACCCTTTATTCAATGGTTCTGTATCTGATGTTAAATTTAATTTAACATTATTTCACCTTGTTTTATTTCAATTTTCATTGAAATGAATTTAACTTTATGTTATTTTTCTCTCCATTAGAGATCTACTCAGATAGGCTCTTCCTCTTTATCAAGCACTGATAAATTAAGTCGATTAACTCACTTAATTTGATATTTTGCTTCTTCTTTTCATTTTAAGCCAACTCAAACTCATCAACCAACCACCTGCACCTCTTTACCAAAACCAAACATGCCTAACACAAAAGAGTCCAGCCAGGGAGACCCCCTGAGGGACATACACACAGTGTTGGCAAACTTGACTAGTCAGTTGATACCTCAGTACATGACTAAGATTCAAAAGGCCAAACCCTCCAATCCGGAGGATGCAATGGCTGACTTACTGGAAACAGCCTTAACCACGACACTTCGTGACAAAGAGCTCACTAGATGCATGTCTGTCATGATGTCTTCTCAGCTTGAGTATAAAGACTACTTGCTGGAATGCGCTTTAGCAAAGATAAAGGCGCAAAAAGACGAAAACAGCGCTCTGAAAAAGACGCTAGAGGAGACTAAGAAGTCTCTAAGTGTTTTAGAAAAACACAGTGCCAGATGTGAAGCGTCAAAGCTTCCCTCACTGATAAGTCATGAAGAAAATCTTGATCTCAAAGACAAGATTGAAAGACTTAATGAAACCCTTTACAAAAAGGAGAAAGAACTTGATGACACGAATAAGCAGCTTGCTAAGACCACAGAGGATCTGATACAGTCAGAATCCCTACTAGAGCAAGCAACAGAAGATGTAAAAGCTTTGAAAGCACTGGTCAAAGTGCGTGCTGAAGCTCTTGAAGTTAAGGAGAAGCAAACTTCTACCTTACAGCACCAGCTCCAGATAGCTCAAAGACAGTTAATTCTTTGTCAAGAACGGCAAGGAAAGACAGACAAAGAACTTGAAGATGCCCAAAGAGAGTTACGATGCTCCCTCCAGTCAGGTCGAGCCCAAAGAGAACGCATGAAGCAAACTTTTCTCGAAGAAATGATATATGATCAGCCTCCTGAGAGAGCGCCATCACTTCCTTCCAAACCAACTCTTAAGTATCTCTCTCAGCATCATGACAGGACCCTGCTTGACCCTGAGAGGTCATCCTTAAACCAAGAGTCCTACTCTCCTCCTCATGATGGTTTCTTGCCATTTCCCTCAGACAGGGATCTTGACAAAATTGCTCGTAACATAGCACGCTTTGAACCTGAGCACCAAGGTGCTACTGACACCTGCACCTACTTGAAAGACATTGACTTTTACCTGAGGAAATTTCCAGGTGCAACCACTGATGACAAAATCTACCTTATTAAGGCAACGTCAAGTCGAGAGGTTAGCAGTTTCCTTGAACGACAGCCTTATCATGTCAGAAATAATTATGACTTGCTCTGCCAAGCATTAATTGAAGAGTTTTCTGATCACTTGACCCAGACAGGCCTTTCTGCTGCTCTGTCTGTCAAACAAGGGAGATCAGAACCTCCCCAACAATATTACAACCGCTTACGCGAAGCTTACTTTGGTTTCCGAAATGAACCAGAAATGGAGGAGGACTTGAACTTCAAAACGCTGTTCGTCCAGAACCTCCACCCTACCACCAGTCATCACCTTGGCGTCTTAGCTTGTCCAAACACTTTGACTAGCCGACAGCTTCGTGAACTTGCTGTAAAAGGTTTTGCCAAACAACGACAAACTTTGGCTAAGAAAGCAGAGTCCGTTACTCCCTTGGCTATGGGGACAAAATAACTGCCCATGGAGCTGAACGAAGCTTCAGATTGTGTATTTTCAGGCTCCGATAAGCCTCCAAATGAGTGGTTAACCAGGCCTCCAAAACCTTTTCGACCTCAACACACTCACAAAGGTCAAAGTTACACACCAAGGCCCAGGTCTGACTCAGACCAATGCCGGGTAAACTTTGAGGCCAACTGTTGTTATTCAGACTCCCGTCACGGTGGGTTTTGTCCCAGACAAAGGAAAAACCATCGACACCGCCAAAGGGGGGTGAATGACTGGCAGAATCAGAGTAAATCACACTCTCAGAAACGACGATCTTATTATCCACCTCAATCGGTTTCATCCACTTTGAAGGTGAATAAACATGACTACTCAGCTAACCACTGAGATTAACACTGCGGAGCCATGAAGGTGTGAGTCCTGCGAAAGCAGAAGTCACCCAGCCAAAGCTAAATGACTCCAATAAGATATCCAAATGCTGTGGTGATACATTGATGACTGCAATCCCAGTTGCTGCTTTCTTTGTTAGCATTTGTCTCTCCTCTGTCAATATGGTCAGCTTGTCAGCTGTCAAAGATCCCATGAACAGATTAAAACCTGAAATTTCTGTCCTTAAGACTCAGATTGACAAATTTCAGACTCAACAGCAGATAATTAGTCAAACCGATAAGAGCATCATCCCCAAGTTTAACAGACAAAGTTTAAGAGAAACTCTGTGCAGTAAACTTTTGATGTTTGTGATTCAGGTTGACTATGCTCATACACAGATGGTTAATATGTCTATAGCAGACATTTCTTTTCCACCTAAGTCTTAACCATTTTTGAAACTGAAATGGAACTTTCAGACTTCTCCAGCAAGCATGAAAAACAGCTATAGCTTTAGATCCAGTTAGCATTCAGACTAAAGAGTGCTTTTCTAAATCTCATTAATACTAAAAATTAGGAGATTTTCTTTCACATTAGTCTACCAATAGTTAACTGAGAAAAGTCTAACAACTAGACGATTTTATTTGATAGCTTAATGCATGCTTAATTTTATCTCAAAGCAGTACTTGTGATTTACATAGTGATGACGAGACGCATCAGTCCTATTTGCATACACCTGCTGCTGCTGCTGCTGCTTCATGGTTGTCTACTCGGCGTCCCGATGCTCCATGGACAGGACCACCGTGACGAAGGGGGGACTGTAGCAATCAAGACAACCCTGGGTGTGAATCTAACACATTCCTCACAGGAAAGTTCCTTATCTGGTCCCAGGAAACAGGATATAAATCTTTCCAGACTTGTTTACACTTTCAGATTGCCTAAGTGACCCAACCGGAGGTTGACTAAACCTCTGACTCTTCATGATTGGTCGATTCGGAGAACAGAGACAGAGTTTTTATTACCTTTCAAACTGACTCCATTACTGACCATCTAAATAAACATTAACGTCTCAACCCAGATCTCCCATTTGAGATTTACCTTCTTAAAGTGTGTGAACATACGGACCCCAGGATAAGGGGGGACACTGACCTCCAGACCTCACTCGTAAAACCCTGTTCGACCATACACTGATAAAGACTACATTCCTTTGGTGAAAGAATACAAGTGACTGATCCTGACATCTTATGCATTCAGCAATGTACTAATCTGTCTAATCATGAAATTTGTGTTAAAATGAGATGTTTCCCGTTTTTCTAGGTGCTTCAGAAGCCGAGTTATCACTGTGACAGAATAAATCCTTATTCTTTAGTTTCTTTAGACCAACAGCTTTTCAGACTGTTTCATGAACTTTTAAGAGTTAAATTTATTGACTGTGACTCATAACTTTACTCTAAAGTAACAGAAATGGTTTAGAAATGTTTGGTTTATATTTTAGTTGTTTATTTAGTATTTTAACCATTAGGTGGTTATAATGTCATTGAATAACCTGAATGTGAGTATTTAGAATCCATTATTAATCATGATGACGTTCATTCACATGTATTTACTCTTTTGTTGTTCACAGTTTCCATGTGTTACTATCTGTTTCATTTCAGAGTAATTTAGCATGTTCAATGTGATACTTAAAACATAATGAGAATGTTGATGTGATCCTACACTTCATTCATATGTGTTTAGTATCAAATTATTTATCATGAAACCAAGCATTCAATGATATTAATCATAGTGATGTGAGTATCAGATCTGACTCTTTTGCCAGCCAAAAGTATAAGTTAGATCAAATAATCAAAGACCACACGACCCTCCTCTGTCTCCTCACACACACGCCGGAGCCACTCCCAGTGTGAGAAGATAAAACCAGTGAAGTCGGGTTGCTCACTCTCTTCTGCTGACTCTCTTGTCCCCGGCTCTTATGCCCCTTCTCTTCTGCCCACACCCTTCTGTGGTGCGTTTCTTTGTTTTCTCTTAGAACTTTTCTTAGTCTTCTAAGTTTTACGCCACGTGTTGATTCACGTTGATTTTCTTTAACATCGTCTTAGTTCAAGTTTTGAAACTTCAACTTTTTGTGCGCATAGCAATTCAAGATTAAGCCTTTGATTGATTTTTCTTTAATTTCGAGAAGCCATTTTTGAAAGTTTTCTCTGCTCGAGTCTCGTTTTTCTGAGTTTTCTGCGTGATCTCAAAGTCACCTCTGAACGCAACCCAGCAGGCCCAGGTCATCCTCTGTGCCAGAGTTTTAAGTGAGACCAAAGAAGTACCCAAACGAGCATCCACAGGATCCACAGGTGCTGGCTTTGCTTCGGGCCCGAGTGCTGCAACTCCTGGCTCATCCTTCGGCTGACTTCAGTCGTCTTCTGAGCTGAACCGCTCAAACCGCCAGTAGCCCGGACCTTCGGAACCTGCGCCATCTTCTCCAAGGACCAGTCTCACTTAAGTATGCAAACCTCCAGAGCTCTAAAGAGGGCTGGTGCTGTCTCCTGCGTTCATAACTCAGATATCCTCTTATTCTGGTAATCTTAGATTCCTCCAAATCCACATCCGAGTTTATCTCGATACCAAAGTTAGTGTAGGTTAATATGTTAGCGCATATTCACTCGCTATCATTAACTTTAGTGCTCCTAGCCTGACTCAGAATCTTTATTTAATATCTATTATTATTTTATCCTCATTATCTTATCATCATTTATTGCATGTGTGTTGTACCATCATTTATCCTGTAATAAACAGATAATTATTTTTCTAAGTTCTGGTCTGTTAGTGTTCTTCCAGAAGTGGAGTCCCTGAAATTAGAATTTCGACTTAAGATATGAGACTGATTAATTAAAACTGACTTGATGTTTGATTTCTGAATTAAACTTTTGTTTTCTTTATTTTCCCACCATTAAGGGTGGGTGGTGCCCCTTTTAACGAGTGCATAAATGTCATAATTTGAGATTATTAATCTTCAGACATTTATTATAAATTCCAATCGCTACAGTATTATTTTGGTGCGGCCTTGTGAGGCTCATTTCAAATCACTACAGGAGATGGTCATAGACTTCTGTAGATCCAAACCCCCTCTTCAGCCAGAGAACACCTGTGGAGTGCACCTCAAAGTGGTGACATCATATAAATACCTAGGTGTACATCTGGATAATAAGTTGGATTGGTCTAAGAATATAGACTACATCTACAGAAAGGGGCAGAACCACCTCTTTTGCCTGAGAAGACTCCGATCAATAGACATCTGTAGTAACTGTAACATCTGTGGTAACAAGTGTTCTGTTCTACGCTGCAGTCTGCTGGGGAGGAAGCATCAAACACAAAGATGTAAGACGTCTTAACAAACTGGTGAAAAAGGCTGGCTCTGTGGTATGACTCAAGCTGAACTCAGTGGAGGATGTGGTGGAGAGATCTACACTGAGGAAGGTGGAGACTATTCTCAAGAACATGGATCACCCACTTCACAACACCTTGATGGACCAAAGGGCAAGTGGTGGTGGATGGCTCCTCTCTCTTCACTGCAGGACAGAGAGATTTAGAAGATCTTTTGTACCAACAGCCATCAGGCTTTATAACTCTTATGTAATATCAGTGAGAGAACAGACAACTGAATTTCCCTTCGGGGATCAATAAAGTTATTCTTATTCTTATTCTTATTGTCATTATTATTATTATTATTATTATTATTATTATTTTATTTTTATTATTATTATTATTATTATTATTATTAGTGCTGTTGCATGCATCAGTGCCTTCTAAGTTTCTTATCTCACGATGGACTGATTGTTTGCATTTCTTCAGACGTGTGCTCGTGTGTGCTCGTGTGTGTGACCGTGTGTGTGTGTGACCGTGTGTGTGTGTGTGTGTGTGTGTGTGTGACCGTGTGTGTGTGTGTCTTTTAGGAGGATTTTGGAGCTTTGCAGTGGAGCCTGAGAGGAATGCGTCTCCAGTTGTTCGTACCACAGGCAGCTGCAGCTGCTGGATCATTTAGCTTGACTGAGCAACAAACACAAAGGTGGAGAAATCAGCAGGAACCTAATGAGGAACCCAAATGTTCAGGAGAAACTTTCCATCCAGAGAGAAAACTTACCAACACAAATTAAACAAACATCTGATCTTAATCAGATCTGACGGTGTTAAAGTAACCGGACCTGTTTGATACTAGCTCCATTCTGACGCTGCTGTGGAACTATTTTGATCATGAACTAATAAGGTCATTAAAGTCGGATAGAAGAGCTTCATGTCAATTATTAGACATGTGAAGAAGAATCATGGGAAACTAAGCATGAGTGTCAGAGGAATCTATATCATATCTACAGAGAGGCGAAGGATTAGAATCAAGTTACTGTGGTCCTCGTGTGTGTGTGTGTGTGTGTGTGTGTGTGTGTGTGTCTATGTGTCATTCTGCTGGACAGTGGGGGATTATTGAGGGGACTATCCTGGGTTCCCCTGGCGTCTTTTGTTCGACTAAAATAAGTTTATAGTACCAGCCTATTGTTCTCTCTCTCTCTCTCTCTCTCTCTCTCTGTGTGTGTGTGTGTGTGTGTGTGTGTGTGTGTGTGTGTGTGTGTGTGTGTGTGTGTGTGTGTGTGTTAGTCCCGTTGGTACGACAGGTGTGTGTGAATGTGTGTGAAGAGGGTTCAGACAGGATAAAATCAGCATTAACGCTGAAGGACATTTGTGTGTGTGATGGTGCTTAAAGGGTTACAGGATACTGCAGGAATTATCTGATTGAGTTTATTTGTGACTCCTTCAACAATAAACTTTTCCAATGATCCATAATTAATATTGATTATATTAATACCAAAGAGCAATACTGATTAAGACATCTATGAATCTAGAGGCTGGAAAAATGTCCAAACGCGGTTCAATCATCACGAAATAAAAAATCTAAAAGATAAGTTTAAAAATGTTGATAAAGACAAAATCAGACAG